CACCACACCCCTGCTGGCTGCAGCGGGTACGTGCTGGTTTCACGGAAGCTTTGCGGATGTAACCAGCGGACTATAATTGACTAGTCTCTCATTCCTCCAATGGTATCGATGCTCCGGGGGGAACATGGTGTCTTGGTAGCTCTCATGATTCTCCGTTGGAAGAGAGGGGACTAGCGATCGCCCAAATGATTCAAATGCAACACACCTGAAGAATGCGGATGAGACTAATGACTCACTTTGACGAGGGTGATTCGGTCGCGAAGACCCTGCCCTCGGGATGGAGATGGACAGCCACCTGGTATGTCTCTCGGTTGGCGATGTGGCTGAGAGGAGGCAAGATCCGTGCAGCCTTGCCGATGATGCCCCTGCATGCTCCGTGCCGTTACTTACTCTAACCTCAGTCATGCTGGCACTACCCCTCCATCTTCCCACGCCTTTTCTCTGTGGCAAACCTGGAAGGCCCTCGAGACATGGCTGCCTAAGCTGGTAAACGTTTCCCTCCACAAGAGTTGTCGGATGATACATTCAAATTAACCTCCTTTGATATGGATGGAACTTGTAGAGGCTAGAGTGGCCCGCAAGCTATGAAGTAAGACCTACCAATAGTACCTGGTGACTGAACCGCATCGTATTGAGCACCGAGTTTACGATGTAGCCAGTCAAAGATACTACTACTTTTTTCCGAGGGTCCAAAACCATATAGACATATTGACTGATAGGCGTTTACCAGTCGATTCAAGCCACAGAAAGTCTTGAAGTAAAAGTTTCTATGTAACTTCCTGAACCTTTTAACGGGCGTATGGCTGATGCAGTGGCTGGCTGATCTGCCTCACAAGTCTTTCTGAGCAACGGCACAACGAATAGGGTTCCGTCTTGAGGATAATCTGCGATGGACTCGACCTGCGGGAAGAGTGGCGACCTGGGGGAAAGTATATGATGGGTAGTGAGGAAAACATGCATGGAGAGAAACGAGATAAGGGTCGAGATACGGCCTATTTTGTTGATAGGTGAATAGAGAGGTGGTTGAGGTGCTGCTATCCGGATGAATTCAATATCTAACAACCTGATCGAAGTAAACGCATGAGTGCTCGACATTGCCGTAAAAGGAATTGAAGTAAGGATTGCCGCCAGCATGTTCCACGGATGTATCCGAGTGAAGAACCAAGGGTCGTTCGCACGTCACCGAGAATGCCCTGACGCCCCTGTATCGTCATTCAAAACACTAACACTCTTCATCTTCAGCGGTCCGCGCATGACTTCCATACGACAGACACTCGTTATCATCAGGCCTAGTCCCCGCGCGAGGAGCACTTCTGTTCCTGGACCATGAGGCAGCCACTCGCGAAATAAAATGCCTTTCCATACAAACTCAATCAACATCAACTTAAGAAATCGGCATACTCTCAGCTGTCGCTGTGAGCGACCGAACGGAGCATGGAGCTATTCCCAGCTGGATCTGAACCTTTGTTTAGGCAACAGCAACGGTACGTACAACATGTTTGGCGGTGTCTGCAAACCCTGTCTGCTAACACCCTCTCGAGGCGAGTTCGTCTGGGGAGGAGATAGCTTTGCACACAGCGCCACGGAGATTCGACTTTCCCTCGAAGGCCCAGAGAAAGCTCCGTGGCTGCATGCTGAACTAAATGATCATGATGGAACTCATCAATGTGCTTCAGTAAGTATATGGGACATACTTTAGGGAAGAGTTTCTGACATAGTCAAAGGTCAATTTATCTGAGTGCATCCATAACCATATCGGGGTTTTGACGTTTAAGCATTGAGATCGAGATAGGCAGAGTAGTCTGGCAAATGACTACTTGTGGACTTGCTTGCTTGGTTAGGAGTCCTGGGTTCGGTTTCTGATCGATAGTGCTCTGGATGTAGTCTTTAAGGCCCTCTTTCATACGATCAAGATTACAGTTGAACCTAGGCGGCTCGTATATTTCTGAGGCTTGAATATTTTCCTTCTCATAGGCTGCATGTTACGACCTGCGCCCGGACCCGCTGGCCTGGAAGGCCAAAAACCTAATATCTGATAACGCAGCCAACGGAACGTGGGACGCCTAACGTGCTAGTAATATATCATGTTTGCGAGCTCTCACCGACAAGATCAAATCCGTCGTACCCGAGGCTCTGTACCAAGCTTTTATACAACGTACCTACCGCTCACCTTTACGACAACCTCCCACTCCCTAAATACCCACCACAGTCCTAACAACACATCATCACAAACGCCAAAATGGGTATGAAAGGACGTTGCCAATGTGCGAACGTCGAATTCGAAACCCCAACGGACAAACCACTAGGTCTATACGTCTGCCACTGCACCCAATGCCAACACCAGAGTGCCTCTGCTCACGGCATCACCGCCATCTTCCCATACTTTGATCTCCCCTCATCCGCCGCCGACCGCGTGGGTGTCTGGACGCGCCCCACACTGAAGGGCCGATTAATGGAGTGCGTATTCTGCAAGAACTGTGGTGTTCGCCTTTTCCACCGTTTTCAGGATTCGATGCCAGCGCCCGGGGTGAAGCCGGGTCCTACGGCGACGACGAATGTGAAGGGTGGGTGTTTGCTGGGGTTGGATAAGGAGATGATGAAGAGTGCTGTGCATTGTTGGACACAGCATGCGATCGTTGATATCCCGGAGGGCGTGGAGAGTTATGCGACCGAGCCGCCGCGGCCGACTCAAGCGCAAACGAAGAGCTGAGTGAAGATTCGATATTTTCGATGCTGGTTCACGTTCCTCCCAAATGGAAACAAATACATGAAACTGTTGGCCTATATATGCTCAGATAGCTTCTACTGCGGTAACTCATACTCTTCGTAGGAGGGTGAGATGCCATGAAGACTTAGCGAAATTCCGAATGCGGGGTATCGCAACTTTATAATATCCACTCGTATGGGGCGAAAACAACACAGTAAAGACCTGGGAACTTAGAAACTGGTCCACGTCGCACTACATGAGAAGAGTTATAAGACAGTTGCAAGCCTTGATGCTACTCGATTGCGAGGGAGTGGAGGGTCACTATGTTTGAAACCTTTCTTGGCAATATGATCTTTGTTGCAGCACCTTGGGTTAGGTATAGATACAAGTCGCTACTAACATATGTACACAAATAAAACCCCCCCGAGCTCACATGGCATGTCAAAAAAAAAACAAAATCAGCCAACAACACAGGTCCAGCCGTTGTCGACAGCAATGCACGCGCCGTTGATAATACTGGAACCGGGGCCATAGGTCAAGTTCACGCAGAAACCAGCAACTTCGTCCAGATCGCAGGCAGGAGCCTGGATAGACTCGTAGACGGAGTTCATCTTCTGATAGCCCTCCATGTGCATACCAGTCTTGAACACGTCGGCAATGTTAGTGTTCATAGCACCCATCATCATGGCGTTGCAGCGAATGCCCTTGTTGCCGTAGTATGCGGCAGTGTTCTTGGTCAATCCAACCAAGCCATGCTTGCTGGCAGTGTAAGCGGCACCTTGTTATATCCAAGTCAGAACGTTTGTCATCTTCAAAGCGAGATAAAAGGGGCGTCCAACTTACCGGCAGCCCATCCGGCTCGACCAGCAACGGAGACGATATTGATAATGCGGCCATCGGGCTTCGGTTGCTCCAGCATGTTGCTAACGGCCAACTTGCTAAGGATCATAGGGGCAGTGAGGTTCAGGGCCATCACCCGCTCCCATAGCGCCACATCCAAATCGCCAACGGGAGCGAAATGGTCCATAATCCCAGCATTGTTCACCAGGACATCGATCTTGCCGAATTCCCGGATCAGCTCGTCGAACAGACTTTGCACCTCATCGACTTTGGTGATATCCGACTTGATGGCCCGGAGGGGTCCCTTTGAGGACAACTCGGCCGAGGCCTCTTGTAGACGCTCTTCGTTGATGTCGCAAATCACCACGTTGGCGCCAGCGCTGAGGAAGTGAGTCGCGATCGCCTTGCCCAATCCACCGGCTCCACCGGTGACGAGGCACGTCTTGCCTGCGAGAATTCCTTCAGACATTGTAGAGAATTGGGATTATCGGGTCGGCTTATATTAGGTGAAGATTTGGGCAGAGATTTGTGGAAACAAAGCCCATGACCGAGCAGCCATTGTTGGCCTTAAATATTTGAATTTTTTACCCCCTATTGGCGACGGGAGGTACTGTATCCGCTCCCCGTCGTGAAGTGGTTCATCATGCTTCGCTTGGGGTGGCCTCGGTGGTTACGATTCCGGGGAGAAGGGCCAGAGCATCGGCCGTCGAACCATTCTTTTGGCAGTTAACAGCGAGGCGTAATTTCAGTACAGCTGAGTGCCTTGCTGTTTGCCAGGAAGAAAGAGCACCATGAGGACAAAATTGCTTGTTTCAATTATGATTTGAAGCTAGTTGGGAAGAGACAAGCTTAAACTTAGGCTTTCTGGTCTACTTGCCACATGCAGAAGAACATTGTCTCGTCAACTGCATCTGGGGTTGACAAGGCTCCTGCATAGATCTGCCGAAAATAATACGAGATCGGGTAACAGCCAATATTACAGTCAATGCTTGGTCGGAGCCTCCACCATCCGGAGCCCTAAGCCCTACATGCTAAATCGGGAGAATGCCTGGTTTCTCCTCGGCGGGAATCCTGCTGGCCATCCGATTGGGGGGAGCAGCACGAAGTATAGAATCACTTCTCTCTTCGGAGAATCAGCAAAGCATTCTTCATGATCCTTCGAAGACAAGCCGAATAAGAAGAGGTCTAAGCCTTGGATCCTTTATTTGAGTAGCTTTCAAAATCATAGAGGAAAGTTGGCCCTGAGTTAGCAGGCAGTGGCCGTTCAGGACTGGCAGCCTGGGCTCCACCGGCGTCGCGCAGGCTTTCTCAATCAGGAAATCATGAGAGTCTATCTATCTCATCACCCCAACGGTTTTGACTATGATCATCTGGTTCCTCTATGAAGTGTTGGAGATAGCATGGGGTAGAGACAACAGGAATATATTCCAGCCTCCAGGCTATTTGAAAGCATAGGTCTCACCCGCCCCGGTGAATTTGGCCTGCCTTGTCTGCCTAGGACAGCTTCATTACAGCCATGTCGGACCATGACGAGGGTTCACAGGTGTTAAAAGGCACTACCACTGAAGATGTTCGCCTTGAAAATTTGGGACATGCACGTTGATCGTCGAGTGATTATACTTTTCATACTGACATCTGGCTGAAATGTAAAATTCAAACATTCTTTTGGGCTGTTGTCTATGATCGGTTTTACCTTTAGTGTTGTGACATCCTGAGTACGTTTTACGTCACTTGGAGAAGTATCTCACAAGATCCCCAGATGGACGGCACTGAGTGGTGTGTTCATCGTTGGTGTGACCTCGAGTGGTCCGCCATGATGGTCTTCAGTTTTATCGGAGCCAGCTTGCTCACTTTGGCTGTTACCATCCCCCTGGCAGAAATGTGTTATGTATTTCGTTGACGAAGGACAGTACTCATGGGTTGAAGCACTTACGCCTCATCGATTTGCTCGAGGTTTATCATACGCCACCGGCTGTTTTATGCTTATCAGTATGTCAGCAACCGACTGACTGAGTAAACGCAAAAAAGGCTTCCAAGCGATGGATGCCACGAATAACTCCATTGCGTCCAAATTTGTGCTCGGAATGGCAAATCAGGTTTCCCGGAATTTACGTGCGAAAGATGGCAGACAGTGTTGGTGGCCGTGGTTATGGGTGCGGTTACTGGAGTCACTTTCCTGCTCACTCTTTGCTTCTGCATTGGCGATATCACAGAGACCGCAGTGACCAGTACCGGAGCTTCTGACATTCTGCGACTCTACCGGCAGCAAGGTTGCCACCTGCATTTGTCTAGCCTGATTGCGGTGATTGTCATTGTTGCGGGTGTCAACATTCTCGCCGAAGGATCTCGCTCTGTCTTTGCCTTTGCTCGTGACAATGGACTGCCGTTTTCGAACGTCTTCAGCAAGGTCGCGAGCAAGAGCCAGGTCCCCATCAATACCGTCCTTCTCACACTGACCGTCCAGTTGGCCCTTGATGGCATTGACTTCGGCGCCATCACGGGCTTTGAGACTGTCATCTCAATCTCCACCGAAGGCTTCTGTAAGATATCTAATTTCCAACTGCCAAGAAAATAGCTAACGATATTCTTAGATCTGTCCCACGCAATGGCCCTTTTCAACCGTCTGATTGATACTTCTCTGGCCATGTCACCAAGCTCGAGGGTTCTTATTCATTCTCCACTCCGGTGTTGATCGATCGTAGCTTTTTTTGTCTTCTGTTCCTCTTGTCGCATCTATATCATTCAACTTCCAGCTACAGCTCCAGTCAATGAGGATTAGATAAATACACCAGGGCTGCCTTTGATGTCATCGGTCTCATTAGCGTCGCGACCTGGCTTTTTACTGGCCGGAAAAACTTTACCGGTCCAGAAGCTGTGAGCTTCTTGAGAGGCCAGAACACTGCCTAGAGCACTACGCGAGGGGATGTTGATACCACCGGGGTGGACGAACTGAAAGGGCCCCGAAAGAGTCATATTTCGTCGAGGCGACTTGAAGCTGAATTTTAATCCAGATGTCCATTCTTAGACCTTGATATCCTGGGAAACAAAGTGGGCGTGCACGAAGGGAGACAAAGTTTTTTGAGCCCACGGAAAAAAACTACAAGCGATGGCTGTCACATCCTTGACCAGAACAAAATTTAGTCTCTCAAAGTGAAATTGTAGCATTGGTCCAACTTTGGCTACTGTGCATTTCCCCATGATTGGTGCCGTGGTATCAGGAGCAGTAACTCGCATTTTAGGTAAAATTGCTTACATTCTAATCCCGTCTGCAGGAAGGTCCGGGCTTTGCATGCGGCTACAAATGAAGTCATTCTGTCTGCCCTGTGGTGGCGAGCGGCTGATCGTGCATTAGGTTGAAAAAGCAGTCCAGTCCACGACGACACATCACGACGAGGCGCCATCGCGCAACGCCCACCCACGCCTTGCAGGGTCAGCACTAACACCACGGGAGAGGCCAAGGACAACGGGATAGTAAATATCCTCCGCGATGTAAGATTAGGTGCTTTCTAAGGATAAAATGTTTCCCGCGCCAAGATCCGTAGACAGAAGGACCTCATTGCTTGGCCTCGCTTGCGTGTGTGCTCCGTGTTGGGTCTAATGTAGCTATGTCTCTTTGTAGTCAAGCGCGTTGCCCGAGCGAGAGGGCTGGATAGCCCGACGTGGCAAGGTGCTCAGCTAAGAGTTGGTTGGGAGCGACGATCATATGATACGAGCATAGTCAGCACTTATTCTAGACAATTGGTACGTGGGGTTGACAACGTAGAGGAAGAAAATGTAGATATCGGTGAGGCCTTGGCGGGTTAATGTCTCACTCAAATCCAGTTCGTCGTGTCCCTGGCACGATTGGCGGGGAGTGCTTGCGGCGATCTGGAGGCGTTGCGGGCATTAGGTGACTCGCGTGCTTGACCAGAATGATCAAAACTGCGCAAAGTTGATTGTGGTTTATAGATACGGTCTCATCGACAAATCCGATCGAACTCGATAAGCTTGCTCCCGCTAGGCCCTAGCTTATGCGTGTGACTTGAAATGCCGAGAGTTAGGTGGGGGAATAGGTGGGGGGCCACACAAACGAAAGATAGGACTTCCATCGATGTACTCGCTAGCCTTTCTCCTGGCAGGATCTATGCCAAATCAGGCTTAGGGATTGACGTGGCTAGCCGTCGATGGTTCACGATCGGTCCGATCGCTCGGTCTCCACCACGATGCATGTTAGTCGGGATTTAGACAGGTTTATCCCTGCCAGTCACGACTTTCACTAGTAAAAAGAGCATAATTCGGGTCAACATAGATAGCCGACGCTAGCAAACTAGTTAGAGGGCGGGGCTCATTCGTAATCGCAGTCTGATGTATCACTCTCCATTTTCCTATCGTATTTTTTTTTGGCAAACAACACAAGGCACACACGAAAGTACTTCCCCAGACCGACTTACTTCCCCCAGCAATCATTTCAGCCCCCAAATGTACAAGCTATCGTCCCCGCTCGTTTTGTTGTCCATAACAGGTAAATGATCCTCAGAGCCCAGCCCGCTCAACTCAGAAGAGATCCAGTGGAGGGCTCGATCGTTCTCAAAGTCACCAACGTTTGGTCTAACCCTCCTTGACCCGAGTTGCTCCACGATAACGTGTACCAGCCAGTAGCACCGGCAATAGGATTCGCGTAGAAGTTTGCCCCGTCGACTTTGATCATAACATAATGACCATAATGCCACCACACATCGGTGAGTTTGCCTGTAGAGTCGGACGAAGTGAAGCCAACTTCGCCCGACCCTCCATCGGCCAGGTAGAGAGCTTTGGTTGACCAGGTGGCATTACTCGAGTCAGCATGCGCAAGCCACGTGTATTCTCCTGTGCTCGAGGCTGTAACTAAAGTGAAGTGAGCTCATCGAGTCACCAATGGATACTTGCTGGACCTCGAATGCTGACCAGATCGCCAGTTGGGTTTACTCACAGTAGACCGGGACCACTTCGGCTGCATTAGACTGCGTCGGGTCGCCGATTTTAGCGATTCCTGGAGTTAAGAAAAAAGGAGAGTGATGTCAGGTCCTGAGCCAAGGTCAAAGGCAGTTGTTCACATTACCGTCTGCATAGAATACCTGTAGGCCGCTGATATTGGCTCCAAACGCGTAGATGCGGAATTGTTTCGCAGCACCACGTCCATACAGCGGCCATGCCGAGCAGGTGAAGCCGAAAAGGACGTAAGTAAGAAACAGACGAAAAGAGTATAAACAGAGCATTTTCCTCAAGTAAGGGGTAAAGGCAAATTAATCTAGTGAAAGACAAGCAATTTTGAACAAAAGTATTGTAGGACATATGCCAATATAGTCGGACACAGCGACAAATATTGCACACTTAGCAATTTGAGAACCATGTTCTGACCGGGTCATATTATAAGTGAGATGATGTTCATTCATAGCCCAATTCATGATCCCATCATCCGTAAAGGTTACGCGTCCACACTTACACATTTCCCGGGGCACGCTCGCACAAAGAGGCCTAAACTTCCGAAGGGATCTCACGAGCCCATGTTCCTAGAATATCTGGGGTCCATCATAAACCTTTCCACGCAAAATAATACTCGTTCATTGGTCACAGCGAAATACATTCCTATAACTCGTGCTCTCGTTCCACAAAAAGTCCGGCGGCTGAAGCACAGTGACAACGTACATTGCAGGCGCCATGCGAGGCGGGACCTAAGCAATTCTCCTTGGTAGTGGTTATCGTCCTATGGAAATGGCTCATTTATAACTGTATGGTACTTGATGGGTGATCCTCGGCGATGAGCTCTCGTGGCGTTCCACGCTCAGCACGGGCTATAATCTCACTATGCCCTGTGCCGCATGAGAGCCAGGCAACTGACTGTCTTGCAAACTGAGACATGCAGATGCGACTTTTCCTTCGGCAAGAGTACCTGATGCCAGTTTTTACATACCAGAAACTGAGGAGGCGAGGAAGTCATGACCATTGCGCAACTATACTATGCGATTTGGGTGAATTAATGACTGGGTGTCTTGCCATGTGAAAAGAATAGTTGACTCAATTCCAAATTCTTATGCCGTAAAAGATAAGCCATTGACTTCGTTCCCTGGGGTCGTATGATTATAGCGCCTTGATATCATTTTGCATCCTAGACTGGCGTGGCTGAATGAGGGGAAGAATGGTCCAACAGCGGCGGCCCAGTTGATGCACTATAGATCCCGCTTATAGACAGCCTGGTCCGAGATTCGCTCAAGTGGGAAATATCGAGCGATTTATAGCTATAGTAATATTCAAGTGCGATTAAAGACTACAAATTCTTTTAAATTGTCTTAATAGCCCTGTCAGCAGTGTCGTTCAGACCTTCGGGATTCATAAACGCTCGTTACATACTCCTTCATGTTTACTTCGGGTAGATAGCCATCATGAAGTTTTGCTACAACATTCTTTTTGTCTTCATGTTGAGGGCTGCCGCCTTCACCATTCCTGGCCTCGAGGCTCGCAATTCTCGCAATTCCAAAAAATGTACAGGAAACTCAGCCCATACCCGGACGAAGTGGTGTGACTATAGCATCAACACTGATTACACGACCACTGCTCCCAATACCGGTGTTACTCGTGAATATTGGCTCTCCATTGATGAAATCACCTTTGCCCCAGACGGTGTTCCACGCCCAGCAATGGCGGTCAATGGGTCAATTCCCGGGCCCACAATCTTTGCAGATTGGGGTGACGAGGTAGTTGTACATGTTACAAACCACCTTGATGAATCAAAAAATGGAACAAGCATCCACTGGCACGGAATTCGTCAAAGCTATACCAATGCAAATGACGGTGTTGTATCAATCACTCAGTGTCCCACTGCCCCCGGGTCATCGGTGACCTATAAATGGCGAGCTGTTCAATATGGCACTTCCTGGTGGCACTCGCATATTGGACTTCAGGCCTGGGAGGGAGTCTATGGAGGAATCATAATCAATGGGCCCGCTAGCTCCAATTACGATGTTGATAAGGGTGTCTTGTTCCTTACTGATTGGTGCCATCGAACGGCGGACGAGTTGTATATTTCTGCTCAAGCCAAAGGCCCTCCAACACTTGACACTGGGCTGATTAATGGAACCAATGTGTACAACACTACTGGGTCCCGATTCACTATGAGAGCCAATAAAGGGGAGTCATATCGTCTAAGACTCGTCAATTCGGCCATTGATACACACTGGAAATTTATGATTGACGGACATACATTGACTGTCATTTCCATGGACCTCGTGCCGATCAGGCCTTATAGAACAAAGTATATCAACATTGGGATGGGTAAGTGAAAGAACTTCCAAGCTTACAAGCCATAACTAAGCTTAAACTTGCAGGTCAGCGATACGACGTGATCGTCACCGCCGATCAAGCCTCCGTGGCTCGAGACTTTTGGATGCGCGCAGTACCGCAGACTTCATGCTCGGAGAATGATAACGTCGATAACATCAAGGGTATTCTTCACTATCACAACAAGGTAGGAATACCTGAAACAAATGCCGCCCAGTTCGTGGATGGCTGTGTCGATGAAAGTCCGAGCAATCTGGTTCCCGTTGTATCAAAATCAGTTTCTGCTGCAGACTGGCAATCCATGGAAGATGTGACTGTCACGCGAAACGGACAAAATCTGTTCCGCTGGTACTTGAACAGCACGACTATGGAGGTAGCGTGGGAAGATCCAACTTTGCTCCAAATACATAATGGCGCGACAAACTTCTCGGCCTCGAGTGGCGTTATCGAAGTTCCGAATCCCAATGAATGGGTCTACTTGTTCATCAATACTTCAATTCCCGTCGCGCATCCTATCCACTTGCATGGTCATGATTTCTTTATTCTGGCACAGGGAGTAAATCCTTGGGATGGCAAGACTTTATCTCACAGAAATCCTCCGCGGAGAGATACTGCAATGCTAGAGAGTGCGGGATACTTACTTATCGCTTTTGAAACGGACAATCCTGGCGCATGGCTGATGCATTGTCATATTGGATGGCACACCTCAGAAGGCTTTGCTTTGCAGTTTGTTGAGCGTTATGATGAGATCGAGGATTTGATTGATTATCCGTCTCTGGAGCAGAATTGTGCAACTTGGACGGCATACGAATCGGCGGTTGGAATCAAGCAGGATGATTCGGGTGTTTAATCTGCGTAAATTTTGGAGGTTCAATCCGGGCGTTTTGTCGATTTCAGTGTTAAACTTTTTCAATAATGTAATACCTAATTTGACCTGGTTGGGTAGTCGGTATTTAATGTGAAGTGGCTGAGACTGGGCATGCTAACAGAATTTCTGCAATTAAACTCCGCTAGATTAGTATGGAGCGCATAGATCGGAAAGAAAAGTATGACTATTCTTATGTCTCACACATTGAACACACCGATAGTGTAGGGATACGGCGGACTATAGGGGGGAGAAGGCCATAACGCCGGATTTCTTCAAAGACCATTCACCATTTTTCTTCCACCCTAAATACGTTTTGTGCTTGCTACATCGCTAGGAGATCGACCTAGAGACTAATTAGTAAACCACCTAAAAGACCATCTAGGAAACTACCCCTTTATCTTGGTCATGATCGTCATAATTAATAAATAGAATTAGGTAAAGATATTCGGCTGTACGAAGATAGAACATCAAATTACGAAGTACATCTACATTTTAGCTCCAGTAATATCATTAGTCATTTGGTCTGAATCGATTTCGATTGGTTCGGTGCGGAAAATCGCACTTAACAAAGGGTATAAGGATATGCGTGGACTATATGGGGAAAAGAATGCCTGACAATGAGATTCTGCCGATTCTTAAATTGCGGACAAAGGATTATGGCTTTGTCCTCCCTATAGTCCGCCGTAGTAGGGGTCAGTGGTGTCTGTCTTGAAATGGTACGAAGGAAAAGGATTGGGCACGCAGTACACCTCATCTTCGGAGGGGGTAGCGACTCTAGCAGCCTGCGCCGTGGAACAAACACTACGGCCGACCTCGGCGAGCATATCTTACGAACGCTGAGTCTGTAGGGCTTGCATATAAGCTTAGTGTGGTCCAATGTGTTGCCCAGTTGTGCACATGGCAACCAACCGAACGTCAGCGTGGATGTGGCCCGAACACCGCGGGCCTCAGCTGATGATTTTTCAGAAATTGACGACAAGTGCGCCGCAGTGGAATAGAAGAACGCTGTGCCTATGCTGCTGGCCGCCGATGTCAAGCATTTCCCCGGCCTTTTGATTCCCCAATGTCATCGAAATGCTTGCCGTAATGGGTATTGATTGGGGGGACCACGATACGCCGGTACAGGTGACGTGATTGCACGGTTGTTGTACGTAGCCTCGTTATCTTCTTTTTCTAACTTAAGTATATCCTCTTTAGAAACGCTGTACCACTAGGCCATAGGTGCATTAGATTGCTTGATTTATAATAATTGAAGCTATATAATACCCTCTTCAGGGAAGCGTTCTACACTCAGTTTTTTATCAGGCTAGCGGGATCAGACGCGAGTCGTCATAGTTTTCCAACAAGATTAGTTAGAATACTTTCTTAGCCTAGAATATCGCTTATGAAAAGGGGCTTCTCTTAGTTAGGTCATTACCCTCTTCAAAGATGAGGTATTCTGCGTGCCCAATCCTTTTCCTTCGTACTATTTCGAGACATAGACATCACTGACCCCTACACTATCGGTGTGTTCAATGTGTGAGGAATAGGAATAGTCATGCTTTTCTTTCCGCTCGAGTTTACTAAGTAGTCGGTCGTCCAGGATGAGGAAAGGGAAGATGGAACTTGCAATCCCTACGTATACAAAAAAAATCTTGAAGACCTATCGACGCAACACTTAGCTGTGTATGTTGGGATCGTACTGGGTGGGAAGGATGTAAGGAGAAATAGAAAATTCTGGACACGCCCCGATAATCCTCTTCACTGGTTCGATAGATATACAGCTACTGGCCTAGGTCCCGAGGATTCCGTTAGGAGCTGATCGAGAGAAAGAGGGAAAGTTCTAACTGCGAGAGAAATTACCCTTTTGTCCCTCTTCCTCTAGAGTCCTTTCCGGCCGGAAAACATCGCGTTCCTCTGTAAACAAAGAAACACTCCCTCGCCAGTAAGCTCGAAGGACTTAAACTTAAACTTTCAGACGGCTAAGATCGTAACAGATTCTTTTACTTCATCTGGAGTTCTAGCACTTACTCGTTTCCTTGGAAGTACGTATCAAGGCCCATCGAAGAAATTAGGTGATCAGTGGAGTGGGCCTTAAAGGATCATTATTATTATTATATTTCATTTTTGGTTCGTCGGGCCCAGTGCCCCGGTTTGCCGGGGGGTTGCTGTCGGAAGCTGAGGCCCCTCCACTTTTAGATACGTATATTCACCTTGTGTCCCTTTACCATCCATCCTATTAACTAATTTTAATTACCGTAGTATCAGTAAGGCTCGGTAGCTATAAGCAAAGACCTCATCTTTGAAGAAGGGAACAGCCTGACTAAGCGATATTCTGGGCTAAGAAATTACGACTCGCGTCTGGTCCCACTAGCCTGATAAAAGCCTGGTTTATAGGACGTTCTCCTGCAGATATCATAGTATATTGTATGGTATAAATCCAAATAAAATGCACCTATGGCCAAGTGGTACGGCGTTTCTCTCCTAACTGCCTATTTCGTGCTAGCTCGCAATAGGATCATCGGAAAAGAAAAGATCCTGGGTTCGATCCCCAGTAGGTGTGCATTGCAACTTTTTGTATTTTATTTATATCAGATGATTTGTTCACCTCTTGAGAGCTGTGCTTTTCCCACCAGAGCAGACCATTATATATTATTTTTTTTAGTTACCTTCACTGATAGTCCCTGAATCCATAATTTTCCTCTGAAAATGTCTTTATCTCTTGTTGGACCGGTGCCTCGATATCTCGCTTGATTGACCCCGTTCTCTGATTCCTTCGGCTCGGTGGCTTCACCGCCCTGATTTTGCCGACCCTCACTGCCTGGCATTAACGAACGACACAACACAAAAGTTCATGGCACAAAAAGGCTAGTCCTAATGAGGAATCCCCTCCCTTCGATACAGAATGCTACATTCAACATATATAAGTTACCTACCGAGTCCTTCTGGATAATTCATATTAATTCTTCTCGCTAATAACGTTATTGACTATATACACGACCTCTATCTGTTTATTCCTAAAATAGACTAAGTCAATGTTCTACTTCCCCTCCTACTATATCGCCCTCTTTTATGGTCTTTTCTCATAGCACCTTTAGTCTTTTCTATAGTCTTCTCAATGGTCTCTTCTAAAGTTAGGGCTATACATCCATATGGACTCGGTAGGTAACTTGTGTGTTCCGAATGTAGCATTCTGTATCGAAGGGTTGGGGGGGGGGGGCATTCCTCATTAGGACTAGCCCCGTCGTGTCGTTATTGCCATCCTTACTGTACGTCCCTATTTCGTACCTCATGCATACTCATTTCTTACACGACGTTCATATACTGTTCATAGCACCAGGGGCTCACGTTCGAACGCAATATGCATTAGTGGACAAAGAAAGCTAGCCATGTATATCGCGTGAAATACGTGCTGGGGAAGAGAGTTCCATTTGGACTTCCTCGCCCCGCACTTCGGAGGAATCGACCAGGCAGGCTACGGAGCTTCCTCTAGAGGAAAAACCCGAGTGGTTATACGGGTTGCTTCCACAAGGACATGACGAAGAATGGCGAGGATTTGCGTATCAACCATTCATGAATGTTGAAACCTAGGCATCTCAGTTTTCACTCTCATCTTTCATTCCTATCAATATCCAGATAGTTACTTAAAAAGGGAAACTGGCCGGAAGGCGAGGGCATCCACAAGAAAGCGACTTCGCAGGCGGTCTGTTCTATTCATCTGTGATTCTTGAAGCGCTGCCTGCCCCCCCGATTTTCCGCCCTAATCTGGTTAGCCTACCCCTCATATCTACAGTGGGTATCGCAAAGTCTTGAGCCTAGCGACTGGAGAAGACGGTGAGCTAGATAGCCCTTGAATCTTGCCCTTTTGCACGATCTTCTTTGAAGTCGCCTTTCGGCTTGTCATCTAAATCGCCATTCACAAATAATCATCTGGAAATTTAGTCCAGTGATCATATAGTCCCTCGTCGACGAGCTGACTTGTTGTACGAATAAAATCCTATTCATAAATGTTTACTCACCGAGTACATCGTCATCTCCCCTCAAATCCTTGCCACAATTCGCACCATCTCAGAAAGTATCACAGCCAATCAGGCAAAGTAGAAGCGCGAAAAGGCTCGCCATCTTTTGGCCACTCGGCAGACCAGCGGTGTAAAGGGTCGATCGGCCAATAAGCAACCAGCTATGGTGTTGATCATGAACAAATGCTTCTGAGCTCTTGCATAGCCATGTGTGATTTCATCTGTGAGCAGCTGGTCCGTGTCCTGCGATGAGGGAAGCGAATGAAGAGGTCCTAATCCCACAAAGTCCTGTGGCATCTCCGATCCATCGTCTGTGCGGGTTGGTCACTTTCTATTTGAGCGGCTGGAATGCAGTATCACCACACCCACAGGTCAGAGTCATAGCGTGAAGTCACCACTGGGATCCGAACTTGGGTGTCGTTGTCTTTCTACTTATACAAAGTCTTTCCGGCCTCAGCCTTGAGGTTCTGGTCCCATCCCCGGTTATTGTATCAGTCAAACTCGCTATCGCCCGTTAGCTGGAACCCCAAGAATAAAGATGATCGCTTGGTTCTTGTTAGGAAGTGCCATAGCCTATGGCTTGGTCATCGCCATTTATCGCCTGCACATCCACCCACTCAGTAGATTCCCCGGGCCTCGACTGGCCGCACTGACGGGACTATACGAGGTTGTATGCACTGCTTGGGGGGCTGATTCCTTCGATGACGAAGTCGAAAGAATCCATCAAATCTATGGTGATATCGTACCCGGTGCAATACCGAATGTCAGATCCTGTACTGACAGCATGGAAAGGTCCCATCGTCCGCATCACTCCAGACGAGGTTCATGTCCAGGAGCAGTTCTACAGCCCCCAATATGCCGATCGTTGGATCAATGGCACCAAGGTTCTTGATACTCCCCGTCACCAATCGGGCGACACCACCACCCAACGTTTCCAAAATGGGAAGCGATCAATTTGGCAGGTGCGATGGCAGGTGCGATCAATCCTTCAAGTCGAGGTCCATCAGATCATTCGCGGCCTCGTCCGCAAGCACCAAGCGCATCGAGTGATCAGCTGGAAGGGTGGGCCCGTCATCCCAATGACCGCGCTCCATAAGACGCGAACTGGATCCTCGGAAGCAAGCGACCTAGAAGACGGATCTCCAAGCGGCTCAGATCCGGCGTAAGCCCGATCGATGTCCACTTCCGGCCAGCAGTGCAAGGACCAGCTCCCCCACGCCGGGTAAGACAAGCCCGAGGACGTGGTATCCGCGGGGCTTCTGCGGGCAAGCATGGTATTCGACAATGCAGAGTCAAAGTCTGCCGTTTTGAGACCGGTTGGGACTCCACAGAGTTTGAGGACGAGAAAGATCCGGGGGAGAAGGAGCTGGAGAGTTTGCTTATTGGCACCACGCGAGCGGTCAAGTCTGGTACAAGGGGAGAGACTCTTCCACTACCGAAGGAGGCGCTTTAAGGTTAGCGAGCGGGGGGATTGACCGGACTTTCGAATCGAAATGATAGCAGCGACGGCGATTCGACGTGATTCGATCGGTGTGCAAAGTGCCGAGGGACAATTGACCAGACGAATTAATCGAGGGTTGTCCAGGCGTTTAGGAATTTCCCGGATACCAGCTGCTTGAAACGGACAAGGAAGAAAGGTTGGGAGAACAAAGGTGTAACGCGGGGGGGCTTTGTGGTGATTATTGCGTGCCGCCGGCCAACCTGAATTCTGCACCCTCCGCTTGGCCTTTTAAAGACTCCTCTCGACTCCCCTTCGCACGACACGCCTACGAACCCTTGCGATTGTGCTTTCTCATAGCTTTCCCGCATTTCATCCTCCAAAATAGTCACCATGGTATGCTCTTCATCCGCTTGATCGCCCATGCGCGTTCCTTGCAATTCCGGTCGCGAGATCGTTGATCACCAAGACCGCAGATCCCGCAACACTGAGCTAACTCGATCGCATCATTTAGCCTCACGCCGACTCCTCTTATTTCTATGGTCAGACCAAGGCCGAGGTCTACTCACAGCTATTGGACCAAGCTAAAGGCCTGGTCGATGGACAGCGCAATTGGGTAAGTGCTACTTGTAGTGGTCGCGTCACAACCCTCCTTCAAATCAAGCCCCCCCCCGTTGAGCTCAATTATTCGTCGTTCTGTCTGGAGAATCCCGAGCTAATCAGGTTTCACACGAATAGGTCAGGTGAGCACAATACCCTCGACATCACGCGACCATCGCGGCGCTTGAATTGCGCCTATCGACTTTACAAGCAACATCCGAATTGACTTTCTCTCTCTCTCTCTCTCACTAGCAACCTGTCGAACATCTCCTCTCTCCTCTGGCATGCCTACGCCGCTCTCCCTTCCCCATCCTCCGCCGTGAACTGGGCCGGCTTCTACATTCGCGATGACAAATTCCCGGCTCTCGCCTCGCCCGTTTCGTCACCCCCGCTGCCCGGCGCAGCGGGTCTTGGTGGTGTAACCATCTCGACGACCTATGCCTCCCCCGAAGACCAGATTTTGCTCCTCGGTCCCTTCCACGGCAAGCCCGCTTGTCAGCAGATTCGCTTCGGAAAGGGTGTCTGCGGCACGGCTGCCGCTAGCCAGAAGACTCTCATTGTCCCCGATGTACACGAATTCCCCGGTCACATTGCCTGTGATGCCGACAGCCGGAGTGAGATTGTCGTGCCCATCGTCATTCGTGGAGAGGTAAGAATTTATGTATCTGCCAAGTGGTAAGAAGATAGGCTGACATGTCCCTTGACAGACCGTTGCCATCATCGACATTGACTGCACCCTCCCATCTGGCTTTGACGAGGAAGACCAGCAATACCTCGAGAAGCTCGCCGAGCTTCTGGCCGAGAGCTGTGACTGGTGATTGGACAACAAACCAAAACAAAAGTCTGAATGTTTATACGAGATATTGGGAATCTGTGTTATGTGATTATGACTGGAATTGTTAAAGGGCTTGCTCTTGAGCCATGAGGGGGTTGAAATTTCCTGCTGACAAAAGTTTGAGTTTTTTCTTGGGTTGTTATATGCTACGGTCACAAGGGTACCTAGCGAGCTTTCTATTTTTACATTTTGCATTTGCGTGGTATATAATTCCATGAACATGTTACCTCCACGGCAATTGTGCAGATCCGATCAGGGATGTCCCCCACTAAGAGGTCGATCTTGCAATGCCCAGCCTGGTTCTTCTGAACAGCTAATGCAGATGTTACTACCTGGCTCGGCTAGAGCTCCCTGAAACGCGAGATCTGCATGCAGGGTGATCGCGCAGGGACCCTGAGACCCCTGCCAAGTGACATCGCGCGTGTCCGAGCGTTTAACCTGTGTGGGGTTGTAAAGGTCAATCACTGAAAACAATGACCTAGACAGTAGAGTGGCATAGCTACTGAAGAGTCTTTCCGTAGCGTCCATCTCAGCAGCGAAGATAGTCCTACACCTGGGTATGACGGATAAGCGGCGTGAGGTAGTTTCCTTCAGCCAGAATAGACAGGCCGTATTTCTTAAGTAAAATCTGCATTCTAATTTTATTCCTTGCATGTATTTGAGATAACCACAAGCTCAGTATTGAGTCAGAACAGTCCCATCTCCAGTTTTCCTGCTTTCGTAGGACCTAAAAACCCACGCTGACCTCATAACCATCAGCAGTCTGTTGAGTCGAAAAATCGACCTGACCAACACAGTCACCAAACTCATAAGGCTTTTCCAGACTTCCGGAGTTACTACTCGACGTAGTCGGCGCCCCAAAAGTCACCGAAGTCTTGGGTAAACTACCACAAGAATGACTGCCCGTGTTCCAAGGATAATATTCAACAAAGCCAATCTGCGAGCCCTTGATACCCTCCGAGCCAGGCGGCAGCGTATACGAGCCAATACGAGTCTCAGTTCCCGTAACGGCATCAACCAAAGTACCAGTCCAAGTCGTACCCTCCGTGTTCTGGATCCTCAACAGGTATCCATGGTCATAGTTGGCTTTGACCTGGACTTCACAGCTCACTCCGGGACCACCGTCAGCACCATCATGGCAGTTCGCATCGTTCGAGGTGGCTCCACTGCCGAAGCTGTAGAAGGCAGCGTTAAAGATGGACTGAGAGCCGGAATCCGAGTCTGGTTTGAGACCAGCGTATCCGACGTTTTCTTGGTTGATGAAATTGAATTGCTGGGCATAGAAGTATCCGGATTGGTGTGGGGAAGCAGGCATTGAGATTGGAAAGGTAATGTCTTTAAGTCCGGAGCTGGGAACGTCGGCGACACTCCATGAGAGACCGACCAGAGCCTTGGAAGATGGAAGTGAGGACGGCAGCGCGAAGAATGGAGGATGGGGCCTTCATTTCGGAAATTTTTCTTTGTTTAGCTGGGATGGACGTGGTTTGACCTCCGTCCGGTATTTATATGTGTCTCCTTCGCTCAGGGGGCATAGTTCGGTAGTTCTTATGGGGCGTCCATAGTTCGCTAAGCCGTCGCCTGGAAAGCCCACCTGCGGCTGACATTATTAATGCTTGATCAGGGTTGTCAAAACTAAGATTGACTATTATTGCCTTTCTTAATGATCATGCTAGAAGTAATACGGCATATGTTGATATGACTAGCAAAATGCTGCTAATCTGGCGACAGCGTATACGGAAAAGTTCGAAAGACATTCCAAGATTTACCCAATCGAAGTTGAGAGATCAAATGAGTGGTTATATCGCTATCTGAGGACTAACAAATAACAGTCCATCACTTTCATTTTGTCGAAAAGCCCTCGTTCTCGGTGCACCATCTCATATGCGCCAACATCCTCCAATATACATCCTCCGCGGCCGATTTTCCCACAATGGGATCAAGATGCCGGTATCCTTCTGCTAAAAACCTGCGATAATACTTCTCCCCAAACTGTCGTCGTAACAACTCGTAGTCTTTGAGTGTAGATTCCGGATCAAAGACTTGATTATCGGTACCAGATATGAACAAAATCGGCAGCCCACGTAGTCGTTGCAAGCTCTGTGTTGACAAAAGTGGACAGAGAGAATTATCCAAACAAACTCCTTTTGTTCCCATCCGCACCAAGTGCTTCATCAACTTTGTATAGGTACTTGCAAAGAACGTATGCACATTGTCGTGAATGTTGGCGTCGAGATTCTCGTGGTTCCATAGCAATCCGAAAGCAAACGATGTTCGATGACACGCCGTTGAAGTGCAAACATCTCGCGAGTGTCCGACAGGATAGAAGCGAAGGATCTGGTCTAGAAGTCGCTGGAGCAAGCTATCACTTGCACTACTCGCAATCGGGAAACAGCTTCCAGCAAGGGTCTCGTAGAGCTGTATGATGAGTGTCGTTCTTCCTTTGACCCAATTCCAATAACCAAATACTTGGTTCATGAACACTGAATTTGCAGTTATCCCGAGGAGTTGATCACGTCTGATTGTGCCGTCGAGCAGAGCCATACAGAGAGCGACGGACCCTTGACAATGAGCGATCACGTATGGCTTTTGCGGCTCCCTGTCTCGAATATATTGCACTGCCGCAGCAACGTCGAGACGGCAGTCGAATACGGTTGACTTCTGAGCCACGGAGGGATCGCAGCTCCAACGAGGTGTCAATGCATAGCAACGATGCCCGCGTTCGGTGAAATAATCGACCAAATTGCTGCGCAAGAATGGCAGTGCAAACAGACTATACTTGGCCCAAGATCCAGTGATCCCCGGCAAGAAAAGAACCGGTGGTGAGCTCAAAGTGTTCGAGGAATCCTTCTGCTCTTGCCAAGGAAGTGGCTCATAAATCTCCAAGAGTGTATGTACCCCGTCGCGCGCTTTGATTTTGCATGAAGATGACACTGACTGCTTTGGTTTGACGTTGCTCTTTATCGAAATTTGTGGGAAGCGCATCGAAACGAAAGGGCGGAAGAAGAAGAGACTAACTTGATAGGCAAAGCAGACGAAGAAAGTAATCAAAGCAAGAAGAAGACTCAATTTGAAAGGCACCGTGGTGCGGAATGTTCTCATCTGTTTCTGAAAGTCCGCTAATGAGATGTGAAGAATTCCGGATCCGACCTTGGTGTCATCATGTCGGGTGACGTTGACATCGATCGTTGTCGTCGCCTGCCAGGCTTTCCTGACGGACAATGCAACGTTCGAATCGATAATTTTGCGACCTTCAAGGTGATAATGAATGCCTTCAACTGATGCCAGATCTAGATGGTATGTAATGGCAGACGTTTCAGCTCTTTCAGAAATGGATGTGAAAAAGTCGACGGTTCCATTGACAATCCGGAGTGTGGCTTTAGATAAAGCCCGACACGAGACCGTCCCGGTGCATATGCCTTGATATTGTGATCCGAATAGACCTAGCCATGTCAAAATGTGTTGATATGAAAGGAGTCTGTAGTGCATTACCTTTCTCTTGCCGCCAAATTTCAATGGTAGCCAAGACTCGCATCGCGCAAGAACTGCCCCGGCCCAGAATCTCAGAGACCGAGGGGTCCCGGTCTCCCAGTCTATCGCTGAAATAGCCAAACAGATTTTCCGTAAATTGCCAGCTTATTGATTTACAGGTCTGTCTGATGCTGCGCCGAGGATTGTAGTGACTTCGAGATACTTTGGGCTTGCTGCCGGCTTTGAGAATGTCATTTTTACTTTCAAAGTCAATTGCGAGACCTGCCCTCTTGGTGATCAAGCCGAGTGATCGTTCTGAGAGGGCCGATATTGTTGCGAGTGGGTTGACACCTAGAAGATTAGTCTTTAGAGATATACAACTTTCTATATCTGGCATACCTAGTGCAGTCGGAATGACGGAGGCATCACAACACACGAGGCCTTCGTATACCTGGTCTCCAGAACCGGTAAAAACTCCTCCCAGGTGATTCGTAACACCTCCTTTTCCCGTCCCATCACTACTCATATTGGCTCCTCCAAGAAGGTGGACTGTAATCTCTTCCTGATTTCGACCTGCAAGCATGGTTAGCTTTTCCAATGGAGATGGGTGAGCAGAACTACCGTAAAAATAGGAATATCCCATTTTGGCCCCGGTGAGAATGAAAAGCTCCTCTAGAAGCCCTTTCATCCATTTAAAATGTTTGGACCGACCTTCTTTCGGTGCACGTAAATGGGGCTGTCCGTCCTTCAGTGTGAGAGTCATCTCGTTGCTGTCATGAGACATGATGAGATACGTTGAGGTTCGTTGGAGAGCTCCACCACTAGCATATGGACCCAACAAGAAGGACTTCACGGTAGCCAGTACTTCCATAGCTCCGCATCGTGGGCTCGACAGAAATGACAGAGCTTGACTCTTTATCGTCTGTACTGTAAGCATCAGGTTGATGACAGGGTTGAGCGGCTCTGGAATACAGCCGTCTTGAATAACGAATCCAGATAGCGGATTTTTTGATGTCCCGCTGATCCTATTATCAATCACGCCAGTCACAGTTGGCCCGGGTAAATCTGATGCCTGAGACGAGTGTTTCCGAGCGATTCCGTTGATTTCAGCACTGCCATTATAACCTGATATGCATCAGACGCATGCACGATCCCTCTTTTTGGGGATACGTACCAAATAGTAACAGATCACCATTACCAGAAAGATTTCTTCCAACGAGTGGAGACATCGATAGCCCCCGTTTCTTCGATCTAAGCAAGATGGAAGTAGTACCCAGAGAGCCGGCCCCTAGGAAACAAAATTCCTTCTATACAGATAGGTCCTTGATGAGCTAGGCTGAAGTATTTCACCTCCTGGGACCTGGTAGGTACAAAGTGGTGAGTAGAGTTAACACTTACTGCCTTGACCCAAAATAGTTGCTCCTTAAAATCATCTTTGAAAACCGACCGCCCTGATCCATGCCACGAAAAATGAACCGTATATCCCATGTCATCTGCGGATTTTTCCACGTACTGTACCTCACATCCACAAAATATCTCGGCACCCCAATTCCAGGCGTCTGCAAGATACGTTACAGCCACCGAATTCTTGGATCCATCGTTAAGACCCGTTGACTCGTGACCCGTGCCACGGTTCGCCTGCATGGGGACACCCACGTTGTTTCGACCCTCGTGGAAGAATATTGTCAGAGGGGTCCGATAGAAGTTTTTACTCTTTCCCAATAGCTGTGACTCGCGTCGGAGATGGTCTAGCTTTGTCAGTTTTGGGTGGTTCTTGGGATATGGGGTTGGTTGTAGCATCGCTTCGGCGCGTGTGTAGTCTGCCATGACTTGTTACAGGATGTCCTCCACATGTGATGTTGAGCCATACTTACATTCATCTAGATCTGATGGGTGATTCCTTATCTCTGATGGCCATGGGCTCATACTAAGGGTTGCCTCGTCTGCTTTGAGAAAGACACCGGCGTTTATCAATGAGCATCCCCCAAGTCCTACAATATACCGCATATGAGCCTGTACATTGAGTGCAGACTTGAGGGGTAACCCACTTACCATGAGCAGAGAAAGCGTGCTGTCCGTCGCCCATAAACAACTGAAACAATTGGGTGGGATCATCAAACGAAAGCCATTTGGGCAGAAGAGATATCCTGGACGATCTTCCAGAAATGCTCATCTCCCTCAGGCAGTGGGAGAATGAACTCGGAAACGAACCGGCTACATCAAATCTCAGCTTGGAAATGTCAATGCAGCCCTAAAAACGTGGAAATCACGGAATTCTTGCAGGTAGAAAACGACCCAACAGATCTGGAAGCACTCATACGTTTCCTTTCCCATCCAAGTTCCAGCACTGCAACACTCTTCCCTGCGCGAGCCATCCGACTCGCTGCTACCCCAGCGCCATACCCAGATCCCACAATGACCACGTCATATTCCTCCTTCATCGAGTCAAAGGGAAGACTAAGCGTCGGATAATTATCGACACTTTCCTTACTGTTTGACATTGTGCTTGCCCCCTGTGAAAACTTTTGGTGCGGAAAATTAAAATCTGCGTAAGGTATCACCTAATGCTTAGGCAGGCATGTAGAAGAAATTTGGGTAATGTGCATCGGTTGCGGTGGCGCCAGAAGAGGGGAACGGGTCTGAAAAAAGGATGTATCGAGCGGGATCTATAATAAGGGAAAGTTTGCCAACACATCGATACTGGAAATGGCTAATTGGCTTCTCTCTGTTAGAGCAACCCTAAGCGTTATCACGTAGTACCTGTAACAATTCGGGGTCGGTGTCGGTGTCGGTGTGGGGCATTCATGGGTGCAAGGACGGGTTTTCGTATTGGATTGGTCGAGATGCACGTAAGCAGTACGAAAGTTGCTCGACAGAGTACGGTATCTACAATTTTACCGCTTGGGCCCTCTTGCCTCGAAGAGTTTCTTCGATTGCTCGACAGTTTGGTGCAATTATACATTGTTGTTTCTCTAAATCTACAGAAGATGTCCTATGAGGAGGATAGGTAAAAGAGGACTAAAGAAAGTGTGATTTCTATCTCGAACCTAGGGCTTCCAGTCTGATGGGCGTTAGAAATTGCTCTAAGTTTTTCCACGATGGTCCCCTTGCATGATGTTGTGTATCAGTCGGTTGGCAGTGGCGATGCCACGGCATGATAAAGCTTTTTTCTGAACCTATTGACACATGCGCTAGCTTGAATCTGGTATGGTCGTCTTCTCCCAGATATCCTGCCCACTACCTTCCCCTTTATTTCGATAAGGTTGTTTGTGAGCAGAATGTATTCTGCAATTATTCTTCCGTTTTCTAGCCGAGGTTGCTTGCTAGCTTATTTTATAATTTCAGCTAGTGGCAGCTTTCTTATGCCAGGCTGCCTAGCCTAGGTCCTCCTCGATGAGCCGAGGGAGAGGGATGAGATAACCTGAGTCAACGATAACAAATTCAATTCAACCTAGAATGGGGGCAATTGGTAGATGTGCTTCTATGACACAGATAGTGTCACTAAAGTGCAAGAAAGAGGTCCTTTTGTTTCTAGTCACAAGGGTTTCAGACGGCCTACAGTGTCATGCAAATGTTTGTATGGGGAAACCCAATAAAAACATGATTCAATTGTTCCCATTCACAGCAAATCCAATTGTGCCCAAGCACCTGAGCGCCCTCTACTCTGTCAATATCTAGTAACATAGGTAGAGACTGTACAATCTAGTCATAGCCATTATCAATATCCAAAATAAGACAACGAATAAAACAAACATAAGGCATGCCCGAAAGGTATAATGTAAAGACCGCGAAGCTTTCTCTAGACATGGCGGTACAACAGAAGGAAAAAGGAAATCGTGATTCTATGAAAATGGTGGTGGTAGAATGCAGGCCGAGAATTAAATATGTCGTGGTTTTGACGTCCACTAGAGCAGTCGACGTTAAGCAAGGAATATTGGATCATGTCAGGATCATATAGATTGAAGAGCTGGTCGATGGATACATGTTACATGTTCAACAGGCTCATTTGACGCCGCATGGGATTTGGTGATAGAGAGTCTCCGTCCTCGCTGGGACCGAGACCACTGTCCGTACCGGTGATTCCAGCATCGGTATCTATGTCCCAGTCATCTTCGGCATCGCCGGCACCATCACCACCGTCCCAGCTCTTCTGCACAGCACCCCGGGTGTTCCAGCGTAGAGCACGTTGAACGCTGGTGAACCACTCACCGCTGTCAGAGACAACGGTGGGGAATGGGTACTGACTGGCCTCGACGGTGACATAGTCGCCTTGTCGAAGCTCGACGCGCCCTTTACCGTCGAAGGAGCAGTAGGCGGTTGATCGAGAGGTATTAGGGACAGCGATGCGGAGGAGGTGAGAGTCTGAGAGGACCATGGGACGGAAAGAGAGGGTGTGGGGGCAGATGGGGGTGAGAAGAATACCGGGAATCGATGGGTGCATAAGAGAGCCGCCAGCGGACAAGGAGTATGCAGTCGAGCCGGTTGGAGTAGAGAAGATACAACCGTCCGCTTGGACAACGGTCAACAACTCATTGTCGGCATAGAGTTCCAGATTTGAAACATAGGGAGAGGGGCCTCTATCAATGACCACCTCGTTCAGAACCTCAAACTGCTCTCCCTCTTCTACCGCCCCGGCCTCTGCACCTTTACTCCGGTCTTTCCGGAACACAGTACATGTGAAGCGCATCCGCAGATTGACGCGCATGCCAATATCGCCCATGACACCATTGAGATGCGATTTATATTCGTTGAATTCGAAATTCGTCAAGAATCCCAGGCTGCCAAGCGAGAAGCAGAGCACGGGGGGCACCACGCGCTGGAACAGCCAGGAAGTATACAAGACGGTACCGTCACCGCCCAACGTCAACACCAAATCAAATTTCTCCGGCGACGTCCAGCACAGATCTGGGGTCCAAAAATGGAGCATCTGGGCGAACCGCGGTTCCTTTTGGAGAAGACCCCCGGCATCGAACCTTTTGGAGTTTCGCAGCTTTGCATCCACGTAGACATTAACACCCAAGTCACTTCCATATCGCGGGGTTGACAGCAGCCAGTCCGTTAGCTCGCGTGTCAGATGGACCAGGCTGTTGTCCCGAGCTTTGGTAACGATCATGATATTTCGTACGGCACGTTTGATCGGCCGCCGTTGTAATTGTTTGGAAACCTCGCGGACTCCCGTCGCAGTTTGGACCAGCCGTGAATGTGATAGCCACTCGTCATCTGCAATCTCCTCCAAGACCTTTTTGATATTCACAGCATCGTCGAATCGCTGGTGGAAGTAACATGGGGACTGGAGCATCAACCGCGCCGTCGAGGGTGACCGCCCCAGATATCCGCTTAACTGTAAGTTGGACAGCGCTGTAGATAACTTTTGAGAAGAGGCATTGCTGGACCGGCGTTCCTTGTCGTCCGGCGGCGACGACGCCGCTTCACTCGTGCCATTGGTAATGAGACCGGCCCAGGGATTTGTGAAAGGAGGATTCGAGTTATTGCTAGGCAAGCAAGGACGTGAAGCCAGGGCCTTCATGATGGTTTGCCGAGGTATGCAGTCGGTGGATAGTGATCGGGGTCCGGACATGGACTTTTGGCGAAACGGGCGAATGGTCGAAGGGGGGAGTGACAAGCCCGCGGTCTCCTCCTGAGGAAAGCCGTTCTTGGATGCAGGTAACATAGCACTGCCCGGCACTTGCGGAGCGGGGTCGTGCGAAGGAATCTCGTTGTGTGTCTGGGAGGGTTCTATATGAAGGGCATAACCACGGAGGAGCGCCGCGCCGACGGTTGAGGCAGACGTGGGAGGTGGGGCACTTGCGCTGCCGTTGGTGCTGGCCGTCGCGGGAGTCGGAGATGTGTGAGACGGGGGGTTCGAGGCAAGCGCAGGTAGCGGGGAGGGAATGTCAGGTCGGTGAGAATAATCACTGCCCGGCGACGCCATGAGGACAAGATCCACAGTCGAGGGCTGGGATTGGCTATCGGCGAGATTTCAAAGCGTTTGGGTCATGGATGACAGAAGGAGGGACTGTGAAACCCGGGGCGGATGTAACGGGGTTTACGGACCAGGACGAGTCCAAGGACCAAAAAGTGCAAGAGACCAAGCCAATTCTGGACCAAGTCAGCACCAGGCCGTGGGTCGCGCAGGGCCTCGGGCCCGGTTTTGGGATGGTTTCCACTGTCTTCCACGGTGGTTCTTCCGTTTAAGATCTGCCGACTGGGATCCCTGCCGGATAAACTGGGGGGAGACTGCTCCGATCGGTGGGGAAGTTCACTCTGGCGAGGGGGGAATGAGCTTGGCGTGGGTCGCACAGCATCAGTTATCAGTTATTCGGTGCTGTGCGAGGGAGACGTATATGAATAAGAGGTGAAGGTGAAGGACAAAGTTGCTGGCAATGAAGGAGGAGAATCTGCCGCGGAGAATTATTTTCACCACTTGGCCGTGAGGTGGACAAATTTCCCAACTTTTTTTCATATCCGAATCTTGCGGTCGGATAAATTGCTTTTTTGATCGCCGAATAAACGGATGACACTATCCTGATATTAATAGCAAGGCCCCCGACGCTCGGGGCATATCACAAATCTATACCCGACCGAGGGAAGCAGGGTTGTTGCATGGCGTTGCTACTTGAGTAAGATATCTAGACAATCAAGAAGTACGCTTTCGATACGTTGGGCATCTTGACAATGGCCGAGTTCCACACATTGCACGTAGCACGATGATCGAGGGTGAAAAAAGAAAAGGGACGAAAGAGGCTCGTGGCATTGATGCATCTATTTTCTATCTAGGTATTGCCCCGCGCTGGCTGCACCGTTTCCATCCCATTGGTACAGTCCAGCCTCGAGCAGGAGGGCTTGAGCGCCGCTTCCTGACCCGAGAAACCGACTCGGTCTCCGTAATCCTGTCGCCCGTTGGCTTTGGGAAACAAGCTTGTGCCCTCTGACTTGATCTGACAAGGTGAACCGCCCTAGCCGAGCCCTTCACGCCCATCTAGGCTCACCAAATCCAATCGTGCAGCTGGAGTTGCTATCATCTTGATCACAATGCTCGGAATGACCCCTCATACATGCAGAGACCGTCAGGTGATAGTGGCCTTGACGGAGCATGACGCGTAGCCACCAACGTAATCCCAGTCTTCGTTGCCCGTATACGATCGACGGGCTCTTTTGGGGTTGCTGCAGACTTGGGTACCGTAAGGAGGTAACGGGTGGCGGACTACCCTGACTGCTTAGGGACAAAAGTCCAAGACCTGCGGTCATCGGATTTGTATATCGTCTCCGAAATAATTCAACCGACGGCCTCAAGCAGAGTCAATCTTCCAGGCGTAATCGCGGTGCAGATGGTCCTCCACGGTCTCGCGGATGAAGCCATCGGCACGGCCATCCTCCCCCTCCTCGCCCATTGCGATATCTCCGTCGGACCCAGCCACGGCAGCCCCCCGGCAGGTGATGTATGCGCGCTCCCGGACTGACTCCCATGTATCGAAATCGAAGGCACCCTGGCTTTCGTTGAGCAGAAGGTGGCCCTTGGAGGAAAACGCAAGGACGTGCAGGGACGACGCTGTCTTTGCCTCGACGGGAGAGGGATCGCTGATAATGTCACCCGACTTGGTAACAGCAAGCAATGCAGTGGAAAAGGTCATGGACATGGGGACGGCAGCGGAGAGCAAGGCGAGCAGGGAGGTTTGGAGGAGGACCGGGAGGATAGTCAGGTACTGTAATCATGTTAGAAGAAGTGATTTCCCTTGGGTATCCAGGATTTCAAAAGACAATGAAGCCTGAGACTTACCGAATCGCCGCGCTGCACCGCATCACCGCCAATAATCGCAAGCGTAATGACTACACCGCGCCGAGCAAATCCACGCTCGCGCCCGAGGATGACCTTTTGTAGCATCGTTCGCAGAATACCCTCCACATAGCGCTCACCAACTCCAGCGGTGGTATTTCCAGGCTTAACAAACACCTCGACGGTGGCTTCCTCGGGCTTCAGGGCGTCACGGCGAGCAGGTAGCTCAATGGGTGCATTGACGGCGCCCAGCACCTTGTAGCCTGTAATCGGGCATTTGAAGGATGCAGAGCCGTCAGCACGGCTCAAGTTTGAGAGAGACGCAGTCGGGCCGACCATTGTGTGTGATAGGGGAGATGAGGAAAGTGGTCAAGAAGAGTGGTGAGGGCTGTGATGAGGAGTCGTGGTTTTGAAGAGTTGACGGCGCTGGAGCTCCGGTGATTTTTTATCGACCGTGCGGGCCGCGCGTTGATTGGCCGAGAGCTCAGTCTTCTATTGACACAACTGCCTTTGGGTACGGGTTGGAAATGGGATTTCCCTTGATAGAAATAATGAGCTGGATCCTTAGGTTTGCTTGCTAGAGGGTAAAAGCTAGCTCAAATATGTAAAGTGAGTTCATAGTTTTATCGTTGGCACTGTTGGTGTCCACAGTCTTTTGGAACTAGACGTACACTTGAGGATCTCCATTGGACTGTAAGCTGGATAGTCGTTTCAGACATGCAATCAACTCCAAGCTATCTGGCCAGAGGATCCTTCGTTTCATAATTTGCTTAAAAGTCTCTAGTCATGACTCGCTGACATCGTCTATTGCCACTGTCTTGCGTAGGCAGTCCATGCGAGACTTGTAGTCTTGTTCGTAACCGCTGTACCTTGGCAGCGATTGCCGAGAAACTAATTCCTAGTAAGAGACCACGCGACAGGATTCTTAACATGCCGAGATCTTGGAACGTGGCACTGCTAGAGGTTGGCAAAGTGTACAAGTAGATGCAGTCATGGAGTCTTTCGGAACCATGAACCATGGACTACCCAACAACGGTCAAACTTGTTTGAACTTGTCTTCTGACATTAGATTACCTATGACTTGATACCAGAAGGCTCAAAGTGAGAAAGTAATACTTGAACTGATAAGAACAGTTACTCATAATGAGAGTAGCCAAAGGTGGCTAGAGAGCTAGGGATTGCAACGCCCACACCGGGGGGAAAGCCACCAAGATCCTTACATCCAATCATGCGTAGGCTAAGGCTTGGCCCCAAGACCACTTTGTGCATTGCCAACCAGCATCGTCGCAAGCAATGGTTCCGGATCAGAGTAGCCAAGCATCCGCCTGGAGACACCCCCAATGACATCGTGGCTCGAAGAGGTGACAAGGCAATCCCCGCATCACGACTTGATCTGCCTTTCCCCCCCCTCCTCCTCCGTCTGGGTCAAACTAGGGACCCCAACAGTTCACCGTACAAATATCTCCAGTCGCTACTTTCTTTCAATTTTCCTCTCATATTTACACTCTGGGAAAAGACTTCCACCTTTTGGTGACACAGGGTTATCTGGCTGGTGCTTAGTTCATTCGTGAAACAAGAAAGCGTTCTTCGACTCGTCCCTCGTTCCTTCTCTCCTCTTCCCCTCCCCCTCTCTCCTCACTGCCCCTCCCATCTATACTTGAATGGGCATAGAGACGCTTCCTGATGTCGAGGAATCGACAGAGCCTCCTATATGTGCCCTAAGGGAGTACATTTCAAATCCACAGGGAACTGCCCCCCTAAGCTTTGAGCCCTGCGACGCCAATGAGAAGCCAACCTTAGAGCCGACCACTCATAGTCTGCCTTCGAGGGGTGACCTGCACAGATTATCTGAGCCCTTGCAAAGCCTTGAAGATCAATTCAACAATACCCATCTTCTGGAGCCAGCGAGAATTGCTGAGCTCCTCCAAACAGATCTCAAGTATGTAGACTTTGCATGACATACTCGTCATTCTATATTAACCAGATACCACTTACTGCAGCAATGGTCTCTCCAACGTTGAGGCGAACGAGCGCCTCCAGAAAGATGGTCCTAATTCCGTTCAGGAAGTCAAGAGCATCTCCGTCTGGGGGATACTGCTAAGGCAGGTGTCCAACAGTCTGACCATAGTATGTCTTTCGTTTTGTTCAACATTATGGCGGTGGTTCACCTACTTATAATATAGGTTCTACTTATAACCATGGCTCTCTCCTTTGGAATCGACGATTACATCGAAGGCGGAGTCATAACGGCCGTGATTCTCCTGAATATTATCGTGGGGTAAGTCGTGCGAAAACCGATTCAAACGGCGAGAATTTACTTTTGACCATATCTAGCTTCTTCCAAGACTACCGAGCAGAAAAGACTATCCTATCGCTCCACCGCCTATCCGCACCAGAATGTAAAGTCATCCGAGATGGCCGAGTGAATACTGTCAAGGCCGAATCTTTGGTCGTTGGAGACATAGTAAGACTCGCAGTTGGAGACATTGTGCCTGCAGACCTACGACTCTTCGAAGGAATGAATGCTTCAATGGATGAAGCATTACTGACGGGCGAGTCTTTGCCGGTATTGAAAACACCCAATGCCACCCTGGTAACCGCGGACACTCCCATCGGCGATCGCACCAATATGGCATATTCAGGATGCAGTACTACTCAGGGTCGGGCAACGGGAGTCGTGGTTGCGACGGGCATGAACACTGAGGTTGGAAAGATTGCACAACTGCTTCAAGAAAACGGGCATCCTGGCGACGGAAGTTCATTCGCAAGGGCATTGAAGCGAGTCAAGATTTCGGGTGCGAAAATCTTGGGCCTAGTTGGAACTCCCTTGCAGGTGAAGTTGAGCAAGTTTGCCCTACTGCTTTTCGCGCTTGCAATTCTACTGGCTATCATTGTGTTTTCCGTCAATTTGTGGGACGTCCAGGGCGAAGTCCTGATATACGGGATTTGCGTAGCTGTGGCTGTGATTCCGGAATCCTTGATCGCGGTGCTCACGATTACGATTGCCGTGGGCACAAAGGCCATGGCTCGGGGTAATGTCATCGTTCGAAAGCTGCAGTGTCTGGAAGCTGTCGGAGGTGTCACAAATATTTGCTCCGATAAGACTGGAACTTTGACCCAGGGCAAGATGATTGCCCGCTCTGCATGGATCCCTAGCGCTGGAACTTTGTCAGTACGCCAGACGACCGACCCCTATGACCCGACAAGCGGCGTTGTCCAGTTGGATGAGATAGACTGGAATTCAAATTACCCCGTTGACCAACACCCGGCTCTGCATACTTTCCTCTCGTCCATTTCTCTTTGCAATCTATCGGTGGTGCATCATGACAACAATGTTTGGACGGCGGTCGGGGAACCGACTGAGATAGCCCTACACGTCCTTGCCATGCGCTTTGATTCTGGGAAGAGTGCCGTGATGGCCAGACGTGGAATAGAGCTGCATACCGAGTACCCCTTTGACTCGGCGATTAAAAAAATGTCAGTCATCTACCGAAACCCTGCACAGAAGGTGAACGAGACGTACACGAAGGGTGCACCCGAGGCGATCATACCTTCGCTTTCAATTTCCGACAGCGAACGGCGTGTCATTCGAGAGACTGCGGATAGAATGGCGGGCGAGGGCCTTCGTGTTCTCTGCATAGCCTACAAAATATCACCCGTCAACGATGATAAACAAGTGTCTCCACGAAGTGCCGCTGAGTCTAATTTACAGTTCGGCGGCCTGGTTGGGCTTTACGACCCCCCTCGAGTTGAGACGGCTGCAGCAGTGCGCAAGTGCCAGATGGCAGGCATCACTGTTCATATGTTGACGGGTGATCATATTAAGACGGCCACGGCTATCGCTTCCGAAGTTGGAATTCTTGATCGGGTTATGGCCATTGCAAAACCAAGACACTTAGTCATGGCTGCAGATGAATTTGACAAGTTGACTGAAGAGGAAGTCGACCAAATTGAAGAATTGCCTTTGGTCATTGCACGTTGTAGTCCCTCAACCAAGGTCCGCATGGTCGAAGCAATGCATCGTCGTCAAGCATTCTGCGTGATGACGGGTGATGGAGTTAACGATTCACCCGCCCTGAAGAGAGCAGATGTCGGCATCGCTATGGGAAAGAACGGAAGTGATGTGGCTAAAGAGGCTGCTGACATGGTTCTTACGGATGACAACTTTTCATCCATTGTCAAAGCAGTTGAAGAGGGGAGAAGATTGTTTGACAATATTCAGAAGGTATGATCGAAATTCTTGCTACAAAATTCATGGCTAAAATATGATTCTAGTTCCTTATGCATTTGCTCATTTCAAACATTGCACAAGTGATTCTGCTTCTCATTGCTCTTGCATTCAAGGATACCGGAGGAGATTCTGTGTTTCCTCTCTCGCCATTGGAGATCTTATGGGCCAATCTGGTCACATCTTCATTCCTGGCCGTTGGACTAGGTCTTGAAGAATCTCAACCAGATATTATGTATCGTCCGCCGCATGACCTACGCATCGGAGTATTCACACGCGAGCTTATCATCGACAAAATGATATACGGAACTTTCATGGGCTCCTTATGCCTGGTCGCCTTCGTTTGTGTCATCTACGCCGCTGGAACCGGTACCTCAGACCTCGGCAACGGCTGCAACCAAGGCTACAACCCAACTTGCGACACTGTCTTCCGAGCACGCGCCACAACATACGCAACCCTGACCTTCCTCTTGCTTGTTACAGCCTGGGAAGTCAAACATTTCTCGCGATCCTTATTCAATATGGATCCCATGCGATACCCCCAACGCCTTTCTATCTTCCCCACGCTTTGGCAAAACCGTTTCTTGTTCTGGGCTGTCATGGCCGGGTTTGTAGTTGCTTTCCCTGTTATCTATCTTCCCGTCGTGAATCAGCTTGTTTTCAAGCATCATGCCATTACTTGGGAATGGGGTGTCGTGTTTGGTTGCACGGCTACCTACCTTGTCTGTGTGGAAAGCTGGAAGGCTGTCAAGCGTGCATTTGCAATTGGCAGTGGTAAAAATGTCATTCTTACCTTGGAAGATGCGGAAACTCGGGCTGGTCTGAATACCCTGACGCCGTTGTCGATGAGTGCCAATGCGAGTGTGGAGTTGAAGTGAGCAGGTGATATGAGTGAGAGTACCCGATATATTCAACATACAATCGGGGACTGGAGTAGTGGGAGTTGCCGACACCACTCGGGAAATTGGATCGTGTCTCGTTTTTTGCATTTGATTCTCTAGTTATTGCCCTCCAGATTGTCCAATAGGGCCTGTATTTGACAATTCTTGACTGAATGACCCGTGCAGCATAGTAAGCTTAAATATTGAGCACCATATGATGGCTTTAATGGCTCAAGAAGTTGGATGGTTTATTGGAGGTATTTTAACAAGCATGAGGTAGCATACGAAAAAATTAATCAGAATGAAAAAAGGAAGCAGCTTTTTGGAAAGTAACCTTGTCAAAGCCTTACAGCACGGAGAACTTGGTTGTATGGTAAATGGCATCAGGTGATAGGTGATTTCAAGTGGCGAGGCACTTGATATGCTCTTCAGTGTCCATTCTCACCGCATCTTTCCGTTTGAATAGCATTGTAGCTATGGCATACCTTAATCTATGACTCCTGATCCATTGAAGCCAGTCACTCTACGGCGATCCTGCCACGCTTGCATCAAGGGCAAACGGCGATGTGACCTCATGAACGATTCACCTGAGCCAACTGCATGATATCAAAGACTTTGGTCTTAACCTTATCAGTGCCGTGACGCTGCGCAAAGGCATCCAAGTTATCCCTACGCCGCCCTGAAACGATCACTTACTTTCCGGTCTCCACGAGTTTGGCGGCCAACGCCACTCCAATTCCGGAGGTGGCGCCGATGATCAGAACAGTTCTGTAAGCAAAAGGCATGGTGTCGAGGTTTTAGTGAGGGATATAGAGAAGACGCTCTTTTCACTAGGTATCCTCATTTATGTATCCCCTGCCTATATTGTTAATTCTTAAGCAAAGAGTATGAATGTCATCGATGGCATCTCTGTTATGTGGAGACTAAGCCCAATGAGATGTTGTGGAGTCACGGTAAGGATTTATATTGGCCTTTCGGTAAGCCGTGGCAAATGCCGAGGTATTCGCGCCACCGGTGGAGGTTAAACCAAATACAGAAAGTGTGGAATTATGAGGGTCCACCGCGAGCTTGATCAAAGTTTGCACATCTCGATCGACTTTTCGAGCATTTGACTGATGGGTATTCGGCAAAGATCTACTGGTAAATTCTAAGGATTGGGGATCATAAGTAGTAAAATACACTCGCTAGTCGGGAAACCTACCCAGAACATGATGAAGTCATGCAAAAGAACTCTAGTTGATTTTACAGAGAAAGAGCAAGCTGCAATATTCAAGTGTAGAAGTCTTTATATTCTCAATTGTCGAACTTGTCGTATCTTTAATCTATAATCCCGTTCATGGAGTCTCGGAGACATTGTAGACCAGCTTCTCTCCGCTGACCTTATCCTCCTTCAGTAGCTGCAGTCCCTCCAAAACACCCTTCAGTCCATCCTTGCCAACCCTGGGCCGGTGCACCTTGACCTTTCCTTGGGCCAAAAGTGACTCTGCAATGGCGACGAACTTCTCGGCGTGTGCCTTATCCTCGGGCTTGGCGGGGAAAGGAATATCTCCAAACTTGAAAGCCTCACCAACGGCAGTGTAACCAAGAGTGAAGCGGCTGTTGACATTTTCACGCTCAACCTTCACATTCAGAAGTGCGCTGTATTCGCCACCCTCAGTGGAAATGGCTGCCTCGCAGTACTTGGCGCTAGCCTCGAGAGAAATGCAGTCAAAGACGAGCTTCAGATTGTTGTCGGTAAGCTTGCGGATCTCGGCGGCGGACTGAGGGTCCCTGTAGTCGAAAACTCCATCTGCACCGAGGCTGGTGACGAGATCAAAGTTGTGCGGAGAGCAGGTAGTCAGGACCTTGTAGCCGGAAAGCTTGGCGAATTGAATAGCCAGGGTACCAGTGGCAGTCGAACCACCGTAGATGAGAATTGGCGTAGAGTCCTTGATAGGCTCGCTAGGCAGAGCAAGCTTGAGGCTCTGGTAAAGAGCCTGGCCCACAGTAACGGTGCCGACACCCAGGGTAGCGGCCTCTTGGAAGCTCAGGTTGTCGGGGATCTTAGTCTGCAGGTCACCCTTGGCGACAATATACTCGGCAAAGGCACCGTCTTCGGGCTGAACGGCATTGCCACCGTGGACAAAGCCACAGACGCGGTCTCCCTTCTTGAATGGCTTCTTGACGTCCTTGCCGACGGCTTCGACCACGCCCGCATAGTCGCATCCGATCAGCACTCCCGGCGGAGCGAGGTAAGCGACGTGCTTCCAATCAGTTGGGTTCAAGCCGACGCTGACGTTCTTGACCAGGATATAGTCATCGCGAAGAGTAGGAATGGCTCGGTCGGTAACCAGACCGTCCTTCTTGGGTTCAACGACAATAACGGCTTTTTGGGTGGACATGATGATTAGAGTTCAGGTGTAGGTTTGATGTTGGAGGATGTTTACGGGGTGGGACAGGGGTAGTTATATAGAAATGATAGGCTTCCATTTAGAATCGAGTCTCAAAAGAGGGCACAAGTATTCTTACAAATCGCTTGCCAAAGTTGGAGCGGTCTCCGTGTGTGATGACGAAGTTCTGGTTAAGCGGCAGACCGGCAGGGTGGATCCCGCTGGCGAAGTTTCCTCCTGACGATCCTCTGTCTGGTCTACCATGGAGATTGAGAAAGTCTCTGCAACAGATGTAGATACTGCGAAAGAAAGATGAATAATCGATCTTTCTTTGGACGTTGGAGGGGTCTCCACTTATCCGAGGTAAAATCGTATTAGAAGCCATACATTGTTCGATTTGGGCATGCTTAGATATCCAATCGATGGGAATCCCCATAGCCGGGGGGACTTTAGGCCGACGGCTAGTTAGCTGCTTCTATGGGACATAATTTTGCCTCGGTAAGTTAACCTAGGATGAAAAGTCTGACTAAAGTGATTTGAATTGATAAGCAGACTCGCATTGGTTCTAACTATGATTTTTGATAATGCAATGCTCTAGCGTGTAACATTGACATCTTCCTGTCGATGACATCATTGCTATTTACAATCTTGAGATCAAGCGATGCGAACTGGTCAGTGGAAGGCACTCTTTCCGCGAACCCTATATGACCTAGTCCTTACGTTTCTCAACAAGCTTCTAAGAATGTCGAAATAGCCCTCATCATCCTCCCATCATGATACCCTAGTGCACAATCCATCCCGGGCTGGACATGAGCCTCGCCAGGGGCGATTGCAAGAACAAAATCCGTTTCCCTCACCAGGTCGAGGCTTGATTGATCGTCAACATAGATTGTCTCACATCCAATGCATTCCTGCCCAAATGTCACACAGGAATCAAAGAGAACTTCTGAAGTCCCAACGGCTAACATCGCCTTGCGACATATTGCGTGCTCATGTGCAGTGGGAAAGAGCTTCCTCCACACAGCGATCGCGTCCTGCATCTCACATCGATTACTCCATACCTCGTTCAACCCGGGTTTGAACATGGTCGAAAAGCGAACAATGCTCTCTCGTGTTAGGAAATCGTCCGGTGCTCTTGGGAGGATCTTGATTTGCTCCTCCGACATGGCCATCCAAGGGGACAATAGAAGAACGGCCTTGAATTGATGACCATTAAGATCAATGGGAGGCGCATATGGAGAGGGGTGGATAATGTGAGTTAACAGACTTGCTGTCAAGTGTCCGCCCGCACTATCACCGCTGAGAATGATGTTCTCTGGGTGAATCAACTCTTGCTCAAGAAGATACCGTAGGCCAGCCACTGCCTGGATTAATTGGCATGGGTACTGCTGCTCAGGGCTGAGAGAGTACTCTAAAAACACGACCTGCTTGGCTTTGCAGGCCACCGCAAATTGTAAAGCGAGCGGAATATGCCCTTGTTCTTTGATCGGATTGTGGTACCCGCCACCGTGCGAGTAGAAGATTGTCGGTCCTTCAGGTTGTGCGGCCAGACTCTTAACAAAGTGGAGCACCGGGGTTGGAATGTCGCGCTCCTTGTAAAGCGCATCATCATGCACGGACACCGCTCTATGTGCCAGGTTATATCTGCGACAATATTCCTGAATCCTGGGGCCTGTCAAAAGCTTGCGTGATTGGGCCTGTTGCTTGCGTGTTAAGGTGACTCTAGATGCCTGTAGATAAGCAAGCGCAAGTTTTTGACGCCAATGAAGCTTGGCGACTTCCACATTTGATAGGTAGAATGAAGCAAAATTGGTTGTACAACGCAGGACTATGCATAGAGAAGTTAGTCCTCTGCAGTCGAAAATCTCGAACCAGAGCAAAATGCCAAGACCTGCCGAAAAAAGGGATACGCCACACAAGCGAAAACTTGTCAGAGATGCTCAATGGCTCTATGACCACTGCGGTCGTTGGAATTGTCGACATGGTCAAATTTTAGTGCCTAAAAGGAGGGTGTGGGTATGCGCGTCCTGTTTTGCAGTCGATTCATAGAGAGTGGAGAGGTGGGTGTTGCTCAGAGTAGCGGGGGACCTCGGCCTGACATGTTGCGGAGAAGATTGGTCAGTTAATCTTTGATATTTTGATGGAGATTGAGCGGGGAATTTGAGGTACCCTAGCATATAACAGGCGGTGAATGCTGTACTGGTTATTTACTTACAGTTCAGCTTGAAAGGGGGCGGGAGAGGTATGGTTACGCCAAGCATAATCTGCTGTAGTGAACCCGCGATGCTTCAAGTGTCGGTCTGGGCTTGCACATATACAAATTACACCGTAGGCATCTGCAAACCATTCCTTATCTCTCCAAATTGTACTTTAGAGTTCAATTTTCTCTAGGGTCAATCAGGCAGTGATGAGTCTCCGCATTTAGATAATTTCTTTCGTAACGCTGGCCTCATTCGTCAGCAAAGCGCTTACTCCGATCGAGCAAAAGTCCCCCGCCCCAATCAATATTCAATCTCCTTCCTTCACCGACTCTCTTCTCCTAATCTCAGCTTCGTGATCAGCAATGAAGGTCCTTTGTCTCCATGGAAGAGGCACCAGTGGCGCTATTTTCCGATCTCAGACCTGTAAGATCCTTCTTCGAACGTCGCACTAAGCTAGTCCTAATCCTACTACCCCGCAGCATCGTTCCGGTCGAGGTTTGCGGATCAAGATATCGAATTTGACTTCCTAGACGGCCCATATGAATGCAGTGCCGCTGCTGGCGTGGACTTGTTTTATGACCCGCCTTATTTCTCCTGGTGGAGGGGCGACACTGTCGACGATGTGCGGGCGGCGATCGCCCAGTTGAATGAATATATCGCAGAGAACGGCCCCTACGACGCGGTAATGATGTTTTCGCAGGGCTGTGTTCTTGGCTCTGCAGCACTGCTACTTCATCAAGAAGAAACACCGCATTTACCAGCACCCTTCAAGGCGGCCATTTTTATCTGTGGTGGGCCATCCATGCCCGTTCTCGAGGAACTTGGGTTCCATGTATCCGCGAAAGCTCGCGAGCGCGACGTGCTCTCTAGGAACGCCTTGACGCAACAGGCTGGCAATTCAGCAATCCTTGCCCAGGGTGCCAAACGTTGGACGGGCTTGGAGTCTTTGAATGGAGGTCTCTCGGAAGACGAATTGCGGAGTGAAATCGAATGCCCGTTCCGCATTGACATTCCAACTGTTCATATATACGGCTCCAAGGACCCCCGATATGCTGCCGCAATGCATTTATCTGCAATCTGCCTGCCGGAGAGAAGGAGAACATATAACCATGAAGGAGGACATGATATTCCTCGTTCGAAGGAAGTCAGCGATTCTATCGCCGACCTGATTCGGTGGGCTTTGGCGGAATAAACTTGCAGATGGCTTACATTCTCTCCCTTCTCAACTTCAGCCTGCAATGAGCGCCCAGGAAAAACACATATGGGGTAACATACACATAGTCGGGTCTAGAAGATACTTAATGGAAGGCTCGAGAGTCACTCGAGCTCATACCAGTTCATTAGATTGCGGCATTACATCATGAAAGGATTGGCTCATAGGCTAATACTTAGGTGATTTTGATGATGTTAAGAGTAAAATCGAGCGCACGCGTTAAAAATTGAAACCTCTCAGAGGATGTTCATTAAGAATTATATAAGAAAGGTATCTCAGGAAGCCCAATCAAAACCATAAAGACCATCTCTTTAGACGATGATCACCACGAGAAAGTCTCCTCGAACAGATCAACTGTTTTCTCGCCTTGAACATGGCGGACAGCGTCCCTGACACTATCCCCAAGACTACCTGGACCGCATACACTGACTGCCAATGCACCGACCTGTTCCGCTTTCTCATTCTCGAGGAGAGTTCTGAAAGAAGGCCTCTCATAGTGAATGGTCACAGGTACATTAGATGGTGCGCTGTCGGCCCACGTTGTATCTGGCGCGACAGTAAATGCTTCGAGATCATCCTTGTGACCAGTCACATGGATGCTGATGGAGAGCAACAGGCCCGGGATTTGGTAATACGTATCTCCCTTAAAATTGACGGTGCTGTTTAGTGAATCATGGCCGAAGATTTCCGCCATCCACGTCTGAACCCATGCGAGGTGATCTGAAATGATGGTCAGCTTTTGGCCAAACGACCGCTAATTGCTTGGAGTTACCTAAGTTACGGATCATCCACACGAGATGCACCTTCCTTGTTGCTGTCTTTCGAGAGGCAAAGTTGGTGACTACCTCGTGCAAATAGGAAATTGGGTGAGTAATCCCGATTCCACCTGCGACCAAAAGCAGAGTTCCGTAGGATGCAAGTGAATGAATGCCCCCTGAGTTACAATGTTAGCAATCGCTATCTCCTAGACACCGCGGTGGAGTGTTTCATACCGAACGGTCCTTCGGCCAAAGCCGTCGCCTTGATCCTTCCATCAGGTGAGTCTTCGACCTTTCGGAGAAGCTTCTTCGTAAAGCCGTCCTGACCTTTGATCAGGACTGACATCGTGGTTTTTTCCGATACGCCGATAAGCGAGGCAAGTGAATCGCTTAGACTGCGCTTCTCGGCAAAACTCGACGAGTCCGACCCGGTAGAAGACCATGCGACTGTGAAGGGATGAGATGTCCACAGTCCCAGACATGGAAGATACAGGTACATGTACTGGCCAGGCCGAAACTTCCATGCCCGAGAGACTTCGACATCGACACGTGCAACAGAGCCTGGAAGGGCTACTACAGTCGCAGTGGTACGTCGCTTTCCACAATTGCGCCAAATTAGAACTCCGAGTCGACCCACGCGCTATGACAAGTCAGCATTCTCTCAGGCGTCAAAGGTGCACAAGGTAGACTGACGTCGAGGCCCCAGAGAATCAGAGTACCCAACAAGACCCGTTGTTGCAACAAGTTCTTGAGGTGATACCACAACGCCACGAACGACATGACGGCCAAGGCAATGTGAAGATGAAGGAAAAGCTCATAAAATGCATGTCGGACCGGCGACAATGATTGTAAAACGATGAAAATAAAGCCAAGGATTGCCACGAGGCCGTAAATATAAAAGGGCATCTGCCAGATTGTGTAAAGAATATAGTCGATTCCGTCTGTCTCAATGTTAGGAACCAATATTCTTGTCGTGTCGAACATACATACGCATGTGGGCCTGATTTGCCAGAACCGCGCTCATATGTACCACGGCATTCGCTGCGATAACGCGACCGACCCAACGATGCATAAAATTGAAGGTATCGAAGGGAAGTCCGAGCATTTGGATCAACGGGTTGTTTCGGCCTGCGCTCAAAACCAAGCCTGGCGTGTTCATCACGGCCAAGTGGCCAGCAGCATACTTGAGTTGAAACATTTTCTCGGAAAAATCTTTCCACCAATCCACCATCACAACGACGAAAATGAAGTTCAGCAAGAGGTAGATCACCAGCAGGATCACTTCTAGCCGCAAGGGGATAGTTCCCATGTGGTGCCTGAATAGCCTGAACTCTCGGCTGTGGCGGGCGCCACAAACGGGAGCGTAGAACACATGCTTCTTTAAGCTTGCATTCAAGCTAGTGGTCTGCGACAGCCGGGTCTGATCGTCTACCTGCCGAGCTGATTCTGACCGGCGACGATGTCGAATACGAATGATCGTTCTCCAAAAAAATAGGACAGTGACGAATCCTCCTACGGCGAAAAGAGGAACGGCCAGGGCAGGATTCATGGGTGGCTCTCCAGGGCCATTTCCTTGGAGTTCGACACCCATTTTGCCATGCGTAAGCGATGATCGAAGGCGTGTATACCGGATGGAATGTTGGCAGGGATACGGATCATCAAGTCGGCCAACAGCGTGGATATCTGCGACGACCCCTTCGGAGACTCTCAGGAATAGGGACAGATGGACGGATGGAAATTCGTGGTTTCTTGAAGTCCAAGAGAACAAAAAGGTACAAGATTACATCAGAGCCTTAGGGCTAGACTATCGACATCACGGCGTTGTATCCGATCCTCCACGCCATGTTCCGCACATGGATGCCGTCATGGACCCCTGGTCCTGGCGCCGAGCCGTGCGTGCGACGGGATTGAATGAAAACATCGTCATTTTCTTCGAATAGCGGGTGTCGATCTACTCGGAAGCGTGTTTTGGGAGGGGGAAAACCAGCTGAGTGTAACCGGCCGAATCGGGTGGTTAGATCGCGGCGCCTTAACCTTAACGCTGTTAGCCGTTAAGCTTACCCGTTTGTATGCTGGAGCTGCTACGGACGTTGATACGTAGTCCTATGTTCAAGAAGCCCTCCGTATCGTGACATTTGCGGGATTCATGATGGAGAATGAGGCGTTGGTCTAGACTGATCGGTGTTCTCTGGGCTTATTTTGCCGAACTGGCGTTGTTGTCGGCAGCCCGGAAACGGAATTGTGTAGGCGCATTTAGGTTCAGTGGGAAGATGCTTTTTTCCTCCCCGGCCGATCAGCCGTCTTCGGCAACTCATCCAAGGGATGGCCCCTCCCCTTCTTTCTGTCCGCCCTGTAATTCAAGAGAGAAGTGGGAATTCGATAACGGTTCCTGTCAGAGCTTTAGATCATTGTAAATGATGCTGCTTTTCAGGATTGTCAGAAATACACGCATGTGATTATCAAGATTTTCGACGTCATTCTCCCCAGCCGTCCCGTCCATACACTCCTTCCTATAGTACGGATTACCGGGGAATTCTGGGACGCAACTGCAACGTTGATAAGACAATGGTCAAGTTCGACCGTGTGGAGACAAGGTGGTAGTACATGACGCCATATCTTGAGACTCATCCCACGTCAGAGCTGGGGACATCTCCGTCAGAGTTTGGACTGAAATTGGCTCTACGACGTCGGGGTTCCAATGGTGCTCTTCAGTAGGAGCAAAATGAGCCAAAAAGGACAAGACCGCCTTCCCAACTCGACGGCAAAAGCCGAAGATCATTGCCGATTTCTACCAAATCGATCTCGTGGGGAGGTTTGGGGTCGATCGGCTTGCAATAGACAGTGCCTTCACGAGGTCCCCGACAGTCGTCCTCATAGGCTACAACTCGTTTTTAGCGGGTCCTTCTAGTAGCCCCGTACATGGGCTAGAATCGTGTTGTGTCTCAATGCGTTTACTTCAGTTATACCCATTGACAAATCCGTCCACGATTCAGTATACCCCTCAATAACACCCCATACAAGCCCCGCGGGGATGCTAGTATGAAGGAACTACCTGCAGTAATGTCTCCAAAGCGAGAAGCATCAGTCATCCGTCCGTGCATACGATGCCACTATGGCATCGAAGAGTCTACAGGTCTAGAAGCTCCTTGATGAAACTATACCTGACATGTGGCGTGTAGGTGGCTTGAGTCAACCGTTTGTGGAAGTTCAAAAGCGACTTCAGGTGCACTTCTTGACTTTTCACCTGCAACCGATAATACCGCACCGACAATACGGCATCTCTAGCTAACCTGAATGCTACCACGACTTTTGTGGCTGTATGTTGTCGGACAAAGGCGTGAGAGACGTGACTGGTTACTACAGCGAATGTCAGACCTCTATCGACAAATATCACAAGCCAGGGGCTGTCTGTAAATGAGCGTTTGAGGCTACGCTACGGCAGTGGCGTATCTAAGGCTGAAAGACACTAAACGCTACCTAACTACGGTTGAGAAAAGGTTCGGGTGACAATGACCAACGAGGGCATGTAATGAAATGTCTTTTGGTAGTTAACTATCCATCTTTGTGTTGACTACCAATGTATATTCCGTCGGAAGAACCGAGAGACGTCCAATGTGATACATGCACGAATTGCAAAAACAAAAATAAATCTACAAGTGGAAAAACGCCTCATGTGCCATATCGTACTCCAAATACATTCCGCCTTATTCCCTCCAATGAAGCCAGAACCCCGTAATATGGCGAAGCCGTAAAACGCCGGGATTATTTATCAAAATCCCCCCACTGTAACAAGAGGAAGGAGTGAGATCTAGGTTGAACACTCCAGCACCTGCTCAGGCGCCTTGGCAGTAGACTGGGTTTCCTCCTCCAGGCTGAGGCTACCATATCCAGTGTCATTGCTAGCGGACCGTTCACGCTGGAGCGGCTTCCCCAGAGGAAGGTTTATCACGCCGTGGTCTGCATCGTTCTGCACAGACTGGTCGGATCCTCCCCGACGACGACGGTGACGCCGTGTCCGGGAGGGGAGGGGTTCGGGTGCAACTTCCAAGTAGTCGTCCACGTTGATGCCAGCCTCAGAGCAGAGGGTTGTGCAAGACTTGACAATCACATCGACCAGACTAGATGAAAAGCCATAAAAGGCTGGATTATAGGCGTTCCGTACCCAATAGATGAGCTCCGCTGCCACACGACCTAGGTTTGGGATATCGCGAGGACATATGGCAATCTTACGCCCGGCGGAGCGAGGCTTTTCCTCCGCCTCATCATCTGCAGAGGAGCTAGCTTCCGAGACTGGAGAAGACGGAGCAGAGGAGTCGGATGATGCGATGTAGTCGACATTAGAGGCCAAAAGGTGCAACAGGTGATAGACGGCAGAGAATCCCAGTAAGCTTAGTTCGACCGGGTCAATCGGAAGCTGATTGAACCAGTTGATCGCCTTACGCATGGTGAATGATGCAGGAAGAGACGTCTCGCCCGCAGAGCGCGAGGTCACAATCGCTGCAATCATTGCACAGCGCACGGCAACAGAGATTTCATCGCGAACGGAGACGGGAAGGGAGGAATCGAGGAAGTTGGCAGAATGGTTCTTCTCCCCCTGGCCCTTTTCCTTTGGGAGGGCAGCCAGAACAGCACTGACGTTCTGCACTCGACCCTGCTCGAAGAAAACTGCCTTCATGACAAGAGCACGGGTATAAGCTGCGGAGAGTCGAGGAGCCGCATCGAGGGCCATGCGAATCTTCTCCTTGAAGCAGTCACGGCTGACCTTGGACGCTGGAGCACCTTCGCTTGCCTCAAGGTATTTGAGCAGCGCATTCTGAAGGAGGTGACTTGACCACCATGCAGCAAGAGCATCAACGGAGCACTGGATTGCAGGGTCTTCTTCCACGACGTCGAGCAGCACTTCGTCATCAGCAGTACCCTCTTGTGTGGGTCTGTTCCATGTGAGATTGACTGCACGCTGGATGATACTGTCAATCATCACATCTTCACAGTCAAGCTTGAGAAGGGCAGCTAAGTGGCTCGGAAGTTGGTCGGGGTGACCTTCGGGCAACGCATCGTTGATATCCCTTGCAACTGCCCACTGATATTTAGCCAGGGCGCGAGCAATGTCGTTCGACACGTGGAAAGTCCAGGATCCAGGCTCCCCGACACGCCATAGAAGAATGCGAACATGCAAAGCCTTGAGCATCATTCGCATGGGGCTTCGAGGCAGAGTACCGGCGGCGAAGATGGTGAGCACCAGGCGACTCTTACTGATTTCAATATCTCCGCCCGTAAGCTGGGCGTCGATGGCAATATCCCATGTTTTAACACGACCTTTTTCATCTTCCTCTGTGATACCAGTAGCCCACGAGTAGAGTTTCCAGCCCATGAAGCATCGTAGGACGTACTCAAAGCATCTCGAGGTCACCACGTACCACTCGCGGAAGAACCTATGACGCGGAACACCGACTCGCTGCATACTTGTCAGCCAGGCTTGCCGGCGGAAGTGGCTCGACGAGGACGGCGCATTCTTGCCCTCTGCCACAGCCTCCCCATGAGCGCGCTGCGTGATGGGTTGGGCATTGAAAAGGTAAACAAAGACGATGAAAGCGCTTCCAACAACCAGGCCAGCAAGTAGAAGAACGTGGAAGATGGCTCGAGTGTGCCACGAGGACCAGAAACTCTTTACGTAATATTCCAGGTAGGGAAGGTTCGGAATTTGAAGGCGATTGAGTAGATTCAGAGGCACGGCCAACAACCCCTTTTGCTCGGTCTCGGATTTGTCCGAGCCGAAGCCCTCTAGAACCATAAGACCAGCCAGTGCACCGAGCATGTACTTGTTGGGCATCTTGGACCGTTGGCGAGAACCATCCTCGCGACCGTAATCCGAGCCTCGGGGTGTAGACTGGAGGTATGACTGAGAGAAAATTCCTCCACTTTTTGCACCCTCCTCTCGCATGCGCCTGAACGCATCAGGGACTTTGATCAGGCCCTCCGGTGGGTTCGTTGAAGCGGGGGAGGCTTCATTGATCTCCTCGGGATTAGAGAATACACTCGGAGAGGTGCCCGAATCGCTGGAAGCAGTGTAGTTGCTAGGTGAAGATACAGACGCACTCGAGGTAACCGCCTGATCAGCCGCCTTGTCTACTTGACGGAGTCGGTTCTTTAGGTCGGTATTCTCATCTTCCAGGCGTTTGTTTCGGATCTCGAGGTGCTTGATATACTCGGTTGCCTTGGACAAGATTGAAGCTTTATTTAACTTGTTTGCGGGCGTGGCACTGTCGGCGTCCTCATCGTCCTCATTGGAGTCGCCGTTGGCATTTCTTGTCGCTCGAAGGCTCGGCACACTATCACGTAACTCTGCAATCTTCTCATTGAGGTTGGCTCGATATCTTTTCTCGATGACATTGTGCGCCCGCTTCTTTGCGGGCATCTTCTTGCCGGATTGCACAGGTCCAGTGACCGTAGTGGCGTCGTCGTCGCTGCCGGTCTTTCGCTTACGGCTCGTGCCGACACTGGAGATTGGAGATACGAGGCCCAATTGCTGATGGCCTGGAGTGGTCGAAGATTGTGGGCCATTCATACTGCAGTTGCTAATCAATCCATTGTGATGACCGGACGGTATCTCCATCAGACCGAGCGGGAGGTTCGGAGAGAAGTCCATCGAGTGAAGCTGATCGGGGGAACTGGAGGTGGTGTTTGGGGATACGAAGGGGAGGTCCAATGGTCTTTCCATGCGCTTAGAATCGTTGTCGGCCAACATAGGCTCATCCCATCGCATCCACTGGGTCCAATCTTGGCTGGGGTTATCTGGCTGTGAATACACTCCTCGAGACTCATCCCCACCAGAGTGGCGGCGGGGAGAGAAGAGTTGAAAATCATTGTCCATGTCTGGAACAGACACGGAGTCTAGACATCCACCGTGAGGATCCTCAGCCGATGTCGATTTCGGTTTGAATGGGATTGTGATGTTTCCAAGATAAGGTGGTCAACACTAGGCAGTTTGGTAATATCAAGACCTGAGCAGAAATCTGCACTAGACTGATGATCTTGGACAATTAGGATTCCGTATATAATTGGGCCAGACTGCCAGTCGATGACAGACTAACTTCCGTACCAAAGCAACATAGCAGACTTACTCAATCTATGAAGAAGCGCAGTTAATGGGCGTCAAGTGATAGAGATGTTGAATATCGCGCAGCGGAGTGTGAGACGCAGAACCTTGAAGAGGGGGAAGTGTCAGAGACCAAGTTCAGGGCACAAGCATTTGGAACACCGCGCAGGCAGTTAGGTCAAAGATACCCACCCCAATTAGTCGTAGCCTAGGCGGGCCCTTGTGACGAGGGTGGACTCTCAAATCAATTAGTCCTCCCCTGCAAGGATGATCATCTCCAGATGGTGATGTGATTGTGGACCAAACGGGTCACCATGTGAAATTGGAGCCGATACAAAGTACACGGGGCGTAGAGGCTGTTGATAGTATCGCGTTCGTTGTTGAGTGAACGCGAAACGCGAAATGATGCTGGCAGTCACCATCGAACTTCGACGGCACGCCGACTGGGGGCGTTTTGAGTTGTCGTATGATCGCGGCTGGCCGCACTTCCGGATGGCCGGCCGGTCGGCGAAAGTGTACCGTACTGGTATTGTGGCTGAGCTCCCACGGAAACCACGAAGAATTTCCAGTATTTCCAGGTTATCCCTGGTTATCTTACTGTATTTTCTACCCAATCATGATTGGTCTTCTTCATCCCCACTCCCCCCTGATGACTCAGCGTTTCTCATGTGATTTCCATGCCTTTGGTTCTTTCCAAAAGAGCACCAGGCTGCCAGTCAATGAATGAATCGTTCCATATAACCCTGCTTGATGCAAAAATTACGGCCCGATTGAAATTTTTTTTTCCAGAACCCTTCTCACCGATCAGCAGGAGGTGTTTCTTGGCGCTCCACTGTGGTACCACACGAAGACTAAAAAAAATCAAAAGCTGTCGCGTTCTGATCTTATCAGATCGTGCCAGTCCCCACTCGCCTTACCCTGGTAGGTCCGAAACCTGAAGGAATAGCGAAGCTCACCAATCCTGCTCTGCCGTCATTCGCGAGAGATGTCTTGTGGGTCTAATTCCGATGTCGGCGGATACATGACTCCAAAAATCCCCTCACTCGCAAGCAGACTACCGTTGAGGCGTTCGCCCGCACCGTGGAAGTTGCTGCATCATGGGGGAGCTGCTTCCTGAGGCTCCAATCAGTCGACGCTCAGCGAGAGAAGTCCCATCCTTTCAAGAATCGAGATCACACAGTGTTGCATCCTAAATTAGGGATCATATTATCCTTTCGGGCTGAGTCTAACTCTTAAGATGACACCCTAACTGTCGTCCCAGTTTACATTGCGCTCTACGTCACAGCTATGGCTTCCATCAGCTCCTGCCTCCTCGTACGGTGTGAGTAGGTTGAGTTTCCCCAGCCCATTGTCGATCTCCGCCGCTAGGGCGAGTACAACGTCACCGCATCTTTCGTCGAGAGAGTCCCACCCTTGCAAGGCGTCTCAGCTAGCGCCGAGCCCCGCTGTAACTCCATGGCTTCAGTCAACTTGCCGGCAGTGAAAAACTCATAAACCTTTGGAGCGGGTTTCGGGGAAGACATCGGCAAAGGCAGAGATGCAGCTCGCGGACCCAAGGGTCAGACCAGCGATGAGGAAATCCGATGGCCCTCCAACAATCGCAAACTCGGTCCGGCCAAAAGTTGCAGCGAGGCATATGTTTTGCCGATTGAGCCGCATGTCAATTTGACGCCGACAATATTTGAGACTCCATGAGGGCTGCCGGCCGTAATTGACTCTGAGTCAATGTCCACCTCATTGCAGTCTCCCGGGAATTATAGATGAGCACGGGCAAGGGGCTTTGGCGTGCCACATCCGCAAAGAAGCGCTTAACAAAGTTCACCGTGGTCGCTTTGCTGAAGTAGGCTGGCGGTAATACCAAAAGACAGTTGGCACCGGTGGCAGCGGCATCGTGTGCTAGCTCAAGAGTCTGCTTGGTGGAATGGGTGCCCACGCCAGCCATAAGAGGGTAGTCGGGTCTGATTGCTTCGCATGCAGTTGCAATCAACTGAGAACGCTCCTCGCGTGTCAAGAGGAAGGCTTCAAAGTAGGTGCCCAGGATCTCCAGGCCAGCCGAGCCACTGCGCAACAGATACGCATAGTATTTCTTCTGTGATTCCAGATCCAGAGTATTGGTGGCTCGGTAAAAGATGGCCACTGCCGGATATTATACACCTGATTTAGGTATACGAGGCTGTGAAAAACCTGCGGTCCTTGTCCCATTTTGTTCGGCGTGAGGGCTACGATATACTCTGGGCGTTTTATGTAGCAGATGACATGTTTTTGTGATCCTCTGGGGCGACCGTAGAGTATATTGAATAAGCTCTGGATAATGCCTAAGACGATATATTACAATTTCGATATATTTGCAGGATGGTAGGTATATTTGCTACTTAAAGCTGGAGTTCATGCGGGGTTATCTAGAGTGGAAAAGAATCCGCGTCGGACGCCCGCCGATAGCTTATTCCCAGACAAGTTTTTTTTTTCGGGCCTCGAGGTCCATTTAAGTATCGGCAGCGAGTTCTCAACTTTACGTGCGATGAAGGACTATTAGGTACCTGTTCATGATACCCGAAGACCCTGAAGGTGGAAACACGAAGTAATATTAAATTCTGATTTCACGACCGTTGTCAACGCATCTACAGCTACTAATTTACTGAATGGCACTAAGTAGCGGCCCGTCTGCTGAAGAGAACATTGGTGTCTGTGTTGAGAGAGGCTGCCAGGCGGACAATAGTTAACCACCCGGGATTCTACCTTGAACCGCAATTTGTATAGCAGAAATGATCGTACTTAGTGCTGCAGTAGTATGCATCAGCTGACAAAACAACGAGCACCAGGTTCATTAAAGGGCTCTACATACCTCGATATCCTCCCACTTCTCCCAGCCACGGCCACGAACTTCGGCTAGTTCGTCCATTGAGGGCTGCTTGCCAGTGGTAAAGTATCCGGCATTGATCTTGGCATCGATTTCGACACGAGAGTCACTGGGGATCATTTCATCAGGAATGGGAATACGCTCAAGGATCTTGATACCGGAATCCACAATGGCGTCATGTTTCATGTTAGACATGGACAGCATGCGGTCGATCTTCTTGACACCGAGCCAATGAAGGATATCAGGCATCAAGGCTTGGAATCGCATCTAAATGACCAATAGTTAGCGCAAGAATACAAGCATGATGAGGGGAGCTGTTCTGCATACATCCCGCACTCCGGCAATGTTCTCAGTTCTCGTAAAGTACTTATCGGCAGTATCTCCACCTCGTTTCCGGGCGTTATATACGAGGTATTTGATCACCTCACCCAGGGCACGGCCTTCCTTACGGAAGTAGATAACAACGCCACTGCCACCGTTCTGTGCTTCCCGAATTGCTTCGCGGATACCAAAGGCCAAGTATGGCCGACACGTGCAGATATCCGACTGGAACACATCACTACCGTTACACTCGTCGTGAATGCGAAGAGCAAGCTTGACATTCTCATCGGCCACTCGCTCCGGTGGTCCGAAGATATAGACGGTAAGACCGCCAATTGGCGGAAGGAAAACCTTCAAGTCAGGGCGAGTAATAAGCTCGGGATAACTGCCACCCGTATGTTCGAACAAGGTACGACGGAGAGTGCCTTCATCAACGCCGAATCTATCAGCCACACCGGGCAAATACCACACCGGCTCCACTGCGACCTTTGTCACTCGCACCTCGCCAGATGAGTCGACAACGATAGACCCGTCCACCTCAAGCAGACCATCTCGTACCGCCTCTGCAATCTCAGCCAGTTTCATGTTAGCTCGTGTCACTGCCATGGTGGGTCGAATGTCCCAGCCCGCCTTCAACTCCTCCTCATATTGATTGACAATATCGTGACCGTACGGGTCCATTGACACGATCTTGGTCTTATCTGCCCACGCCTTTTGCCAGGGGAAGTCAAAGGTTGGTTGACTGTTGCGAAGGTCCGGACGGAAATTGGCATCCAGGTCACCGGAAGCAACGGCCAGGGCATTGTAGATACTGTAGCTTCCACCATGGGCCCCGATGGCATTGCGACGCTTCACGAGGTTACCGCTGCGAGATACCACAACAGGACCACGAGATTTGGCATCCGCGGCACCCCATTCCAATGGCACCGGGTCAATGCCGCTTTGACCTGGGTATGTTGTCAACTAATGCCAGTTAGCTTTCCGTACCTCCAAAAGAGCTCTCAAGGTCGTCAATCCTACGATGATATGCTTGCTATAATGCGACTTTGGCGACGTAGGGGATGGCGGGGTTGGTTCCGGCATTTTTGCAATGGATTCAGTCTCGAGCATGATGGAAGAAAAGAGAAAATGAAGATCTTGTTGGGCTCAAGAAAGCTGGGTGAAGTTGAAAGGGTGACACTGCAGGGGGGGGTCGGCCATGTGACTTCCCCCGCACGTTATCAGCTTATCTGCTCCGTTGCAAAGCGGCGGTCACTCCAGTCTCGTTGTTATCTGCACGCTGCAATCTTCCTGCATTTATCTTTGCTAAGAGGGGTATCGATGACGAGGGATGTTGCCTGCACGATGCACGCCAAACAGGCCATGGGTCTGATTGTTACCCTGGTTCCACCTCTGTATACAATCTCTCGGCTGCTATGGGGCGCCCCGATATGATCGACTCCACACCCCGCTTCCGCTTGTCTTCGGAGTTCTCGGGGTTCCGCCAGGCTGGCCGGACTGGTGAACGCCGAACGCCAATCGCCCTGTTAGCACTGCATCTCGCCCCACGAAGACTGTTTTGGGCTGGCTCTCGCAGTCGAAAGGGCATGACACCATAGAGGACGCGACCATTCACCACATCTATGAGGTTTGTATCCATTGCATTATGAATAGTCATCACGCCCGATGCTAATTCTGCTATCAGTAGTGCGCGCCGTCGCAACGGCAAGCCGGCCTCGTGCGAGCCCTGCCGGCGCGTCAAGGTGCGCTGCGACCATGCTCTACCCACGTGTAGTCGGTGCAAGGACCGTGGTATCTCGTCGCGGTGCTTTTACCACCCTGCGCCCCTGACTCGGACGAGAACGAGACAGATCTTCCCGCTGGCAGAAGGGGTCCCGTTTGACCGTGCGGCCCTAGCCAGGTACGTCTCCACGTAGCTCCAATGTGGAATGGTGGATTGGCTGTCGGCCGTCGGGAAGCTCCGATATCTGCATCAAACATCTCCAAGCCATCCATTACAAAGGGACTAATGAGGGCCTCGGCTATCTTTAGGAATGCACAGTCTGGTGAATCGTCGGTTAACTCGAATACACCCCCGATATCCAATGATCATGCATCGTCGCGAGAATTAGAAACAAGATCTAAACCGCTGCTAGCGGGGTACTTTGGTCCCACAAGCTTTGTGTCTCCTCTGACTGACGATGTAGATCTTGTATCTGCTGGGCAGGGGCTAGATGTAGTTGAAGGCGCACAACGCGTCTTGCCACCATACTGGGTGCAGAAGATTTCGGAGATGCTATTGATTCTTGGAGACTTCTCCCCCATTGAGTCTCTGCTGCGCGAGTACTATGACCTGAGTCAGAGTGCTGCGATCCCTGCGCCATTCATCTTGAACAGCATCGGCCCTTTCAAGGCAATGTGCGAAGAAAGCGTTCGTGCGAGAAATATCGAGGATTTGGCTTCATCGATGACTGTGCGTATTATTCAAAATACAGCCGAGGTATTCGAGATCCCTTCAACCATGGCTGGAAAGGACTTCCACAAGCTATTCACCGGCCCCGCTATTCGCTTGGAGATGATTGGTGTCATCTGCTCTCTCGCTGGTAGAGCACGATACTTGGGGCTGGCCCGTGATAAGTTTGACGGTCAATCATCGCCTATCCAATTTGCGCGAAAAATGCTTGCAGCTAGCGATGCTGCCTTGTACATTTGCAAGATACTTACGACGCTGAATGATTTAACGATTTGGCTCGTCCATGAGAACCTTTTGCTTTCTGATCTGATCAACGGAGACTCGAGTAAGTAAGATTCTTCTTAACTACCGACAGAGTTCATCGCTGAAGTATTAGGCCCTCATTGTTGGAGCAGACTAGGCGACCTATCGACGGATATCTTCGCGCTGGGTCTTCACCGAGACGCGAAGACCGATCAACTCCCAGAGTTTCTTTTTGAAGCGCGACGCAGGCAATTCGCAGCGGCATATCAACTTGATAAAAGTATTGCGACGTTTCTTGGGCGACCGCCCAGGATACCTTTGCGCTATTGTGATTGCAGAATGCCCCTCGACATCAGCGATGATGCGCTTGCACCCGAAGATACAAACCTCCAGTATTCGGGTACTGACCTTGATGCTAATAATTGGAATGTTCATGGTGTGTTTCAACGCTCTTCTTGGATGAGAGTACGGTTCATTATCTGTATGTTCCGTGACGAGATATTGGAGGTGTCCTTACAAAAGGTCACGTCCCAAACAGCTCATCTGCTACAGTGAGTAGGTCCAACTCCCAAGCTGTGAGACCAAGCTAATCTAGTCTAGCGACATCTCTCACCGCTGCCATTTAGCTTGGGAGTCGTTGCCAGTCCATCTGCGATATACACCACACTGCTGGGGGAACCAATGCCCAGTGGCAGTGTCTTTGCTTCTGATTGTTTCGTATCTGGCATATTTGTATAATGATTTCTTAATTCAAAGATTGCTGGCAGGCAAGAAAAATCCAAGAGGCAGCACCGCTTTGCTCTCGGTAAGCGCAGAGATATTATCCTCCGTCCTGACTATTGGAGCGCAGAGGGAACAGATGGTTGATATTCGACCCGACTTTACCTGGACGGTAAGTCATCTATAGCCCTACTTCCATGCCGAGACAACTAATAATTTTGACCTGAACGAAGATTCTACTTTACGGTTTTCCAAGCGCCAGTCTCCTTATCAAAGCCCTTCAGCACCAAAAACGAACTGGCCAACCATTTCTTTACGAAGGATCTCGATCAGCCCTACTTCGCAATCTAAGCGTCTTCATATCCCACCTCGAGACCATCGTCCGACCTGATAACTCGAACTATGCACTCTTTCAAAGAGCAAGCCAAGTGTTCTCGAAGATTATTGACGAAGTCCTCGAGCCTCAAGATACTATTGCGGATACCGACATAAGCGATGCATCCCTCTTTGACTTTGATCAAATGATACCCGTGGATGGCCTGGACTTGTTCAATACTATGGACTTTGGGGTAGCATTTAACCAATGGCTATTTTAAACATTATGAGGTTTCTCATAGATATGGATTATATACGTGTACTAGCTGTCATAAAATTGAATGAGACAATATGGAAAGTCGTGAATATGGAAAGTCGTGAACATGGAAGATCGTGTAAAATCCTCATCCAAAACACACTTCACGAGGCAGATTAGGGGGACAATTGAATCAATGAAACACCTAATGCAACTCATGACTCCTCTCGGTCTCATTGACAGAGACTGTCTTAGGCTGAGACTCGGCATTGAGCTCCGTAGCCCGATCTGTCTGAGGCATGACATGCACCGGCGGAGTGGAATATTCCTGACGAGAGGGGTAACTCTGCTCAGACGGAGGATAGGCGGCCATGGGTGGCACACCTGGAGCACCTGGAGGGGGTGAGCCCGTAGGAGGATAATAAGGACCTTGGGGATACTGAGCCTGAGTCTGAGGAGGAGGCACAGATCCAGTGAAACCCAGAACCTCAGCAGCAGGATCCCGACGACTAAAGAACTTCTTCAACCACAGGCCCACCTTCGCGCCCCCAGACATAGACTTCCAACGCCCCGCAAGCCATGTCTGCTGATCAGGCGTCTTGGGATCGTACCTCTTCACCGTGAAAAGAAGGAAACAGGACAGAATCGGACACAGGAATGCAAAGGCATACGGCAGTCCGCGTCGAACCTTTTGTCCTAGCATGGCCCGGCGGAAAATAAACCAGCTTTCAAATAGACCGAGGATGAGGAAGAGGCCGAACCATGAGAAGAAGATTGCTAGGAACAGGCCAACGGGCGAGATACCCCAGGTATAATGGCACCCATTAGAACAACAATAGCCACCTGAAAAGGCCGAGCCCCCGATATACCAGGTAAATTTGTCACAGCCAGCATAGCTTCCACTGCTACTGCTGCCACCACTCGAGGATCCACTACCGGAAGAGCCACCGCTGTAGTAGTTATGGACGCAGGAGGTGAATCGCGAAGGCTTGTACAAAGAGCTAACAGAAGCCAGGACGCTGCTCGGGATGTCGCTAGGGTTCAGCATCGCCTGGGTGTAGGTGAACTGATTGGTGATGTACTGATATGTCTGCGTGCTAGTGACAACAGTCGTTGGACGGACCAATCTTTCCGCGTCATAAGGCATGTTCACAGGGATAGCCGTCGTGATCGTCGCGCTGGTCGTATAGGAGCATGATGCCGGCGCCGTATAGGCTACCTCAACGTAGTATTGGTAGAAGGTGTTACTGGTAATGGCGACGCCTGCCGTGGGGGCGACCACGAGGTTGATAGCTGTCACATCGGAACTGTAGCCCTCGATGGTTGTGAATGTGCTGACGACAGAAGGGTTGGTTCCTGTCGGGCTGATAGGGATGATGGAGGTCTCGACTATGGGTTTCTCTGTGAGATAGGAAGCGGTAAATCCGTCGAGGACAGTAGTTTCCAAGATCTCAACGTATTGAGTTCCTATCCACGGCGAAGCATTGGCCCCCGCGAATAGTAGCGAGACCAATAGGCCAAGCTCTGTACCTGAGAACAGCCTCATCCTCATCGAGTCAAAAATCAGTCGAGGCAGGTGTTTGTCTTCGGAAATCAAAGCGGGAAATAGACTCAAGAGAAAAGCAGACCGGCAAGGTTTGACAGTGGATTTACTCTCGTACATAAGTCTCCTCGTCTAGAGCCTCTAGCGACGCCATGCCTGATTGAGCTTCATCATCAGAGTATAAGGGTCTGATCAGGAGAAGCAAAGTATAAAGTGGCGGGACCGGGAAATTAGGTCTGAGCCCAAATCCTTAGAAAAGAGTCCTCTAATGACTATGTCGGTTCTGATTGGCATACTTTGAAATAGACGCTATCCACTTCATGTTAGGGGTCTCGTATTTGATCTGGGTGACCCAGTAGTTATTGGTCCAGGTGCGGGTGAATACGAACCGGCCAAGACACTAAGAACTTAGAAGCCACTAAAATGTTATCGTCGATGTAATGCGAGTTTTCAAGCCAAGAGGCCCTTCGCTTGGGGACTATAATTAGTTTCTCCTGGACCCTGTGCTACTACGGTCACTAGCGAATTTTGCTCCTCTCGAATGAGTAGACAATGAAAGCAGGCGGCAGGTGCCACAGCGCAAACAATAATGATCAGCCACTGTATTGATAAATGCATGCGACTGTTGTTTTGCTCGACTGGCTGAGTGTCGAGGGATGATTCTCTGCAATTCTGCATCATCAAATGAATGCCAGATTAAGATCATGTATAATTACAACGTGCTATTCCGTCCTACGAAAGGAATAGAGAGATGCTCTAAAAGGAGTAAATGCGACCCGCTCATCTCTTAGCAATCGGGCACTTGAAACAATTCCGAGTGTTCAAGGCGGAAGCAGATTTCGCAAGGTTCTGTATCACCCTTTCTCACTAGTGTTACTTCGCAGAATGTCTTCTTAAGTCAAGGTCGGCCCTGACAGGATAGGCATTCCCGCCAGTGTTTTGAGTCGACATGCTTTAGACGACGGGGTTTGATGCACACTTTGATGCTATAGTTTGATGGGTTCTAGTTTTGTGATCTGGCATGCAGCTATGGTCAGAATCGAGCACTCATTTTCGGTATGCTATGATCCATTGGAACACACTTGCCGAGAGTCATGGAGGTCTTTCAATGCCAGGACTGTATCGAAATCTTGAGTTCTTTGTTCAAGCGCTTCTTGTGAAATCCAAGATGTACGGCATGTCCGATCCCAACGTCATGCCCTCATGCTTATTACCAAATGAAATAAATTTCACAGGTGCAGCTGTGTCGAATCAAGATAGGTTCAGGGTAGCCTTGGTCAAGTGACATTTGTGTGGGGAGGCTAACTGTTGATCAACCCACAACTAGATACTTCGTCCACCACAGCCTCAATAAGGATCGTGTGCGAGACCAATTTGCAAAGAAAGGTGGCCAAAAAAGAGAAAAAAAAAGGCGTCTGGGAGGCTGAAAACTAAATTCATTGTTTGGTATCTATTATCTCTGCTCCAAGAAAGCCCCAGATCATAAGCATAAAGCAGGGGAGGCGAAAAAAAAAAGAGAATTCGTTAGTCTTTCGTTTATGTTCTAAGCCAGGCAGTCCATCAAGGGGCACGACCATCGTCCGTAGCTAGATCATGGGGAGCTTCCCTGTTGGCGTAACTCCACATGCTTCGTCAAGTCTCACTGGGGCTTGGCGAATTGGGCCTGGGCACGCGAATTTTTAATCGTTCTCTTGATCATCCGCTCGACCTCATCCCAGTCGCTGGTGTCGATGCGGTCAATTTGGCAGCTGAAGTGCTGCTGGATCTGGCGAAGCATATCCCACTCCTCCCGGTTGGAGACAAAGGAGATGGCTACGCCGATGCGGCCAAATCGACCGGTACGACCAATACGGTGCAGGTAGGTCTGGTAATCGGGCTCGCGCTTGCGGTTAGGGCCCATGATCTCAGGAATATCGTAGTTGACAACAAGGGATACGGTGGATACATCGATTCCACGGGCGAGAACATTGGTCGTGATGAGAACCTTGGCCTCGCCATTGCGGAAGGCATCAATGACGGCATCACGCTGGGATCCCTCGATACCACCGGTAAGGGAAGCGACAGTGTGTCCCTCAGCGGTCATGCGCTTCTCAATCTCAACAGCAGAGGCACGAGTCTAGTGGGCATTTTTGTTAGTAAAATTTACAAAGACATTGTCCGGGTGCAAAGCACAAACCTTGACGAAAATGATCGACGAGCCAACAGTCAGCAAACCATAGAGCTGGACAAGGTTGGAGTATTTCTCCTCGTCACTGTTGCAGTCCATGTACAGCTGCTTGATACCCTCGACAGTCAACTCCTCGTGATGAAGAGTGATCTCGTTCGCATCCGGAGCAAACTTGGCAGCGTACCGGTGAACGTGGGCCGGGAAAGTGGCAGAGAAGAGCACAACTTGGATAGTGCGAGGGAGCATTGCCTTGACTCGAATACACTGGTCCCCAAGACCCTGCTGGTCAAGCATGTTGTCGGCTTCATCTAGAACCAGGACCTTGAGACGAGTGGGATTGAGGATACGTCTCTTGACCATGTCCTGGACAGTACCGGGAGTTCCAACCACAACAGCGGCAGTCATGCGAGTCGGCCGAGCGGAAGCATCGGCGGGGACAGCAGTTCCAATGCTAAGACCGTCGAGGAATTGTCCCATCGACTGAATAACACCGACAATCTGACGAGCAAGCTCACGGGTGGGGGCCAGGATCAGGGCCTGAGGAGTGGCCTGCATTTCCTCAGTGGAAAGGTCGACACGGCTCAGGACATTCAGGACGAAGGCGGCAGTCTTGCCAGTTCCGGACTGGGATTGTCCAACAAGGTTCCTTGGGGGATTTTGCATCAACAGAGGGAGTGCGCGCTCTTGCACTTTGGAGGGTTTGCGGAAGCTCATGGCTGAGAGGCCCTTGAGGATACGTGGGTCACTGCCATCAATCAAATTGTTAGATTTGTATCTGTACATGAGCTCGTTCAATAACTTACAGCCCAAGATCTTCGAAGCTCTTGACAGAGTACAGGGGGTTGTTAGGGTCCGCCTGCAGGTCGCTGAGCTTGACCTCAACCTGGTACTCGGGCTCCTGGAGGGCCGAACCCTGGAGTGCGGTTCCGGCACCATCATCGCTTGACTTTGTAGGAGTGTCTGTGTTATAGCGAGGTAGAACGTATTAGTGTACTGTCCAAAGCCGGGGTCCGAGACGGTCTGTCGCATCGAATCGCAAGTTCTCCCGAGAATTACGCAAGGCGGCCTCCGGCTATCAAACAGCGCGATGCTGCATGATCCATCAAAGGCCCCTTGTTGACATGCTCAAGGGATAATCCTAGCTCAAGGCCGTGTCGCATTTAGTGTGCAGTAACTGGGAAAACGAGCTCGTACCGGTCGTGGTGGTGGCGGGCTCGGAAGCCTCATCAGGTTTGGTGATACGGTCAGCCAAAGAGCCACCGGTCTCGTTGTTCTCAGTGGACATTGTGTAATGTTTAACGAAGGGAATGTTGACTAATTGGAGAGGTGATATCGGGAGGCGGAAGAAGCAAAGCTGGAGGGGTGTCGCGGGGTAATTGAGGAGGAGATGCGATTGAATTCGCAGAAGCGGAAGGAAGGTTAAAAAGAAGAGATGAGTGTAGAAAGATGGAGGCTACAACTCGAGGTGAGAGGCAGCAGTCGAGCACACAATCACCAGAAGGGGAGCTTGTGAAGAGAAGAGTGAAGCTCGAGAGAGATGCGGCCGCAAAAACAGCAGAAATGACGCCGGCGGAGTCAGGCAGATACAGGACTAAGCCCGTTTGGGGAAAGATGGAAAGAGTACGGTATCTGCCCTGGCGGTTTTGCTAGAGAGCCACCCGCCCGCGACGCAACGTGGACGTAAGGTATTGTCACAGGCACCGGCGATGCTCCCCGCCTCCTCCGCCAACTCGTTGCGATCATCATTCTTCTGTCCGAATTGGCTTCGTAGTTGACGAGCCGCGCAATCTGCTTTGCCTTACTTTCACCCAGCGGTCTGCGTGAGTCAGGGTGCCATTTGAAGGCTATTATTCCTATATTCGATCCCCATTGTCAGCTCATGCGTGATCTGATTGCGACCTCAATACGGCCATGGCGGCAGCTGACATTGCTCCCCAGTTTGGAGCGGAGCTAAAGGTAATTCGAAAGCAGAATGCGATTGAAAGGGTCCCTTGTCTGACTTGTCATCTGAAAATAGGACAACTTCAAACCTGTCAACGCCTGGGTACGTTGCCCGCATCCGCTTACTTCCCCGCAAAGGGAGCGTCATCGGACCTCGTGCTCGAGACTCGTGCTAATGCGACCATATCGCACAGGTATCAAACGGTATATCGTGGCTTGACGAGATCCAACAATTCTATCGCGAGCGGAGCGCCATCGAAAAGGAATATGCGGCGAAGTTGGCGGCACTATGCAAGAAATACCACGACCGTAAATCCAAGAAGATCAGCTCTTTGAGTGTCGGCGATACTCCTTCCTTGACTCCCGGATCCCTTGAAAGCGCCTCCTTGACGACGTGGACAACCCAATTGACAGCCGTCGAATCCCATGCTGCCGAGCGAGACAAATATGCGACGGATTTGATCGGATATGTTGCCGAACCGCTGAAAAATGCCGCTGCTCAATTTGAGGAGATTCGCAAGTGTCATGCTGATTATCATACGAAGCTGGAAAAGGAACGTGACGCTTCGTATGGCGAATTGAAAAAGGCCAAGGGGAAGTATGACGGGGCTTGCCAGGAAGTCGAATCTCGACGAAAGAAAACGGAATCATCGTTTGATCATGGCAAAGCTAAGGCTCAGTCCGCCTATCAACAACAGATCCTGGAGATGAACAATTACAAGGTATGAAATTTTCCGGCGGTTGAGAAGGCCGAATGGGATTATTAACCTCTCGTGCAGAATCTCTACCTTATCAGCATCAACGTAACGAATAAGCTCAAAGAGAAATTCTACCATGAATATGTCCCTGAAGTTTTAGATGTAAGTTTGCCCCACGGTATCGCAGGTTTTTCCAGGCTTCTTTGAACATTTTTGACTTGTTCAATAGGGATTACAAGACCTGAACCAGATAAGAGTCAGGAAACTGAATGAATTGTGGTCTCTCGCTGCACAACTCGACAAGTCTTCTTTAACAAACAGCCTCAATCATGCCTCCAATCTTCTTGGCGAGATCCCTCGCAATGATCCTCGACTTGACTCCATGATGTTCCTCCAGCATAATGTGACACAATCACAAGAGCCTGCGAATATGACCTTTGAGCCTAGTCCGGTGTGGCACGACGATGCGACGATCATCACTGATGAAGCAGCCAAGGTATTCTTGCGCAACGTACTTGGAAAGAGCAAAACCCAGGTACGCGAGTTACGGGTGGAGGCGGATAAGAAGAGACGGGAGGTAGAGAACGGCAGGAAGGCTCGCGAGGGCATTCAGCAGGGCAAAGATAATCGCAATGAGGTTGACGTCGTGCGAGGGATTTTCTATCTGCAAGAAGCTCTGCATGAAGTGGAACGGAAGTGGGTCACCGCAGAGGTGGAAACATCCACTATCATATCTGTGGCAGGAGACTTGTCTCTCGGAGCCAAAAATCACAACTTCCGATCGCAAACCTTCAAGATCCCCACGAATTGTGATCTCTGCGGCGAACGTATCTGGGGTCTCTCTGCCAAGGGCTTTGACTGCCGGGACTGTGGTTATACCTGCCACAGCAAATGTCAGATGAAGGTTCCAGCAGAGTGTCCTGGAGAGCAGACAAAGGAAGACAAGAAGAAACTCAAGGCCCAGCGGCAGGAGCAAGCTGAGGCTGTACCTGCCGCTGATGGAGACTCCGCCACAGCATCAACTGCGGCACCATCTCTCACTCGTCAGAACACCATGAATTCACTTAGCTCGGGGTATGCTGCCAGCACCGCGCGATCAGCGTCGGTCACCAACGTCGCGGCCCAACCAACTCCCGAGAGCCCAGCAGAAGCAGCCCCTGCTCCTGTGGCTGACACTAAGCCTGCTGCTGCCAAGCGGCACAGGGTGTTGGCTCCACCTCCGACCACATACGTGAGCCCGCCGCCTGTCACCGAGTCCCTAGCTGCTTCGAAATCCCAGGGGCCACAGGGCAAGATGGTTTACGCATACCAAGCGACTGGGGCCGACGAAGTGACAGTTCAGGAAGGGGATGACGTAGCCATCGTTGAGCCAGATGGTAAGTCACTCCCAACTTTCCATTGCACATACAACGTTGCTAACTCTATTACAGATGGATCGGGCTGGATGCGTGTCCGTGTGGGCTCGCAAGAGGGTCTCGTCCCTTCCTCTTACGTTGAAGCCGCGCCAACACCGTCGCCTGTGCCATCGCCAAGCCCTGGCTTGAATGATCGACCGGGATCGGTGTACTCGAACTCCTCTGCATCACTAGCAGGTAGCGCGGCAGCCAAGCGTGTGGGCCCTACTGTGGCGCCCCGTCGTGGCGCCAAGAAACTGCAATACGTCGAGGCACTGTACGACTACGAGGCGCGCAGTGGTGCAGAGTGGTCGATGGCGGAGGGCGATCGATTCGTCCTAGTGACTCGTGACAGTGGTGATGGGTGGGCCGACGTGGAGCGTGGTGGAGTTACCAAGAGCGTTCCCGCAAACTATATCCAGGAGGTGTAGATCCGATCTCGGGATTTGTATATATTGACCGCAACATAGTACAAAGTATCGTGAGTGCGGGGCGGATGCCAATCATGTTGGGCTTGTTTCATCCTATTTCTGTCGTTCATATGGCGTTCTTGCGAGCCCTCCATCGTGATCTGCATCAGCAACGAGCGATTAAGGGGATGTTAGTGTTTTACAATGCATCTGCGGACATATTTTTTCGAATGATTATGTTTCGAGCGAACTCCAGTCGAGACTGGATTGAAAGTGATTTCCAGAATGAGATGCTATCTGACGCTCGTATGCTGCACAACTAGGCTAATTCTCATCATAGAATGGAAATGGAACAGACATGCCCGGTCATCTCAAGTTTCAACCACTGAAATTTTCACGCTCGCAAGATTCCTCGCAATCAGGTCATCACCGACCCAATGCATTCTCAATCATAATCATCAGTCGTAATATTGACTGCCACACCGGCAGGACAGCAAATGTTATTGGGTCACAGCAGGATAGCCTGTGTCCAAATGCTCGAATCCAGTCTCTGGCGACCACATATACCTGGACCAATCCTCCACATGGAAAACCTCGTCTGTCAATCCCTCGGTCAAATCCATATCATCCAGATATTCCAAACCTCCGTCATCCAGTGTCAGCGCTGGATCCAGTGGGAAATCAAACGGATTAGTACCCTCCAGCGGGCTAATTAACGGGACATTTTGAACCATCCCAGCTGCAGATACGGACGACGAGACCGGGGCGAGGGAGTACATAGGATCGAACATAGTTTCGCACATCACCGGGTCCAGTGTCAGGGTATCTGACCCGGAGCGAGAAATACTCTGGCTAGATCCAGCCCGACTTATATCGGCTGAAACCGAGAGCGCAGCCATCGCAGAAGATGTAGACGGGAGGACATAACTGCCACCGCAGGACTCATTCCCCGAGCCCTCGGAGCCCGACCACTCTCCCACACTACCGCGGATCTTAGTGCGGCGCGAGGAAGATTGCGAACCGCGAAGGGGGGTCTGAGACGACGATACGGAAGCCGCAGAGGTCGACCCCGAGCGCGAGACACGAGTCGACGAAGCGCAAGTCGTGTCTTTGGCGCTGCTTCTACTGCCCGACGGTCGAGGAGCGATGGGGAGGAAGCCGTTCGAGCTGGGATGACGCGGGTATAGTCTGGCGTGGGTTGCTTTCTAAGAACCAAAGAAGGAACATCAGCACCATACCGTCTGCATCTCTTCTTCGCATTTGTCGAAGATCTGCCTTCCGATGGTGGAAACGGCTGGCTTTTTTTGTGTGTAGTTGCGTTACTTTTGATGATGGAGATTTGAGCTCCGCTTCGCGCTTCAGGCGCGCGTGTTCCGTTGGTGCCTCGCAGGGCGTGGCGTTGCAAATTGAGCACGTTGCAAAGGGGCGACCCTTGCGTTTGATGCGGATCAACGGTCGATCTAGTGAATTTGTGATTTAGCAGAGTTTTGAGGATGTGGTATGTCTGGTTGCGGCAGCGCCAAGTATAGGGTGTAGAATTAAGGTGTATAGGAGGGTATAAAGAATCACAAGTTCACAACTCACCATGATGTTTGCAACTAGTCACTCGGTGACCTCGAATGCAAGCTTCGCAAGCCCACTTCTGACCGTCGATGAGCATCCCTCGATAAGATGAAAATAAGCAAGCATAGTAAGGAAGGACTCAGGAGGCTTTATACCTTCGACCGTGCCAATTGATCGGCTAGGCCCGCCATGATTTCTTGGGTTAATTCTTAATATCGGATTTCCGTTTCCCGTTTTTTATTTTAATTTTTTCCTTTCCTTAGATTTTGAAAATTTGGGAGGGGGAGAACGTAGGATTGGAGGGGCGGTATCCTGCGAGTGGGAGCTATGACATACACAACCACACTAAGCACGAAATACGTGGAGGATGTATGTCCCAGCTGGCGGACCTGGCACCGAGTGGTTCGTGCGTGTCTAGAAAAGGTCCATAACGGCTTGAATTGATTTGATTCGAGGTCACAGCCACAGGATCGACCTGAGGTGGGACTGTCTCGTGCATTCGGAGGGTTCCGTACGGTTAAAGTACTGTTTTGGTGGACATTGACCATGGGAGCTTGGACCAGACATAATTTTCAGTGGCTGACATCTGCGGTACTTTTTCGCTCTTCTTATTGGCATGGTTAGAGGCGTGGATCTTTGCCCAGCACGTAGCAGGTAACTCGTGGCTCGTAGAACTTTGACTTCCAGCAGGGCCTTGTTAGAACCCACAACTTCGACTGTGGGATGGTAACCCAAACGACCAGAGAAGATTCTACACTTTAGGCAGGAAGTTTTTTTTTTTTTTTTTTTTTTTTTTTTAGAAAATAAGGGGGACCAGTATTTTGTCTTGATTTGTTTAGTCTTATCCGCACTGGTTGCAACAGCGTGAGGGATTTTTTCTCACGCCTCGGCTGCCGGGAGATTTACCAGTTCGACTGTTCCCGCGCCAACAAACGCAGTTTGATCACGACCAGAGCGGAAATTGAAACCGCTGGGAAAACCCCCCCCGTTCTCCCTAGAGAATATCCTTACCCAGAGTACTAGCGCGATGATAGGGCGCTGCTTATTATTCTTGCATAGTAGACAGGCCACGGTTGGATTTTGCTGACTCCCCCGGGCTGCCAGATCGGTGCTAGATCTTAGTTACAGATAATGCCTCATACATATGCCGTGCAGCGGTTCGGAAGGGCTCATTTCGTTGTACCGAGGCGGGCCTTGCAACTAAGGAGTGGCCCTCCTAGCCTCTACCTCAATCAAAAATATCGTCCGATTGAGTACCTACCGTTGAATTATCTTCTAGAAAAGTTGAGGACTCGCTAACCTTCGTTTGACCACATGATATACACGTTATGAGACTCCGAGTCGACCGACCTAGTGGCCGCTCAATCAACATAGGGCTGTTAGACCAAGTTCAAGACTAGTATTGATACCATCCTATGATATCACCCGTTCAATAGTCTATTGCCAAGACCGTGTATGTACTCCTCGCATGAGCCCTGGTCAGCCATATCGGGCTAAATGCAAATGAAGGTGGCTGTGCCGTCGTAGCTTCGGTTAAGTGGCGTCGCACTGATCCGTCCGAATCGGGATTTTTGTAACAGGCGCAGTAGCCTCAAGATTTCAATTGGGGGTTTGACTTCGTGTTTCACAAGCTAAGATTTCTACCTCGATGACTGTCACTTTTTGCATATGCAAAAGCAATAGTTCCGAATTTACTCGCTTAACTTTCCATGTCCCTGTAGATCAGGTACATAATGATGGTTGAAAAATGGGGGTTGCAGTAAAGTAAAAGATAAGGGAATAATATTTTTCGAGACAAATTAAAGAAAATTAAGCACTGTCACACGGTCCAAAACGCCTTCAAAATCGTTCAAGGTGTACCGGTTGACCTGCCAATGTGTAATTGGGGCGGTCCCCACACGGCTCCAGTATGCGCCATTTTGTATACCTGAGGCATTTTTCTTTTCCAATTGTTGAGGTCGGTTTCCTTCAAATTGAAGAAGATTCTTTCTCACCGTACTTCCTCCGTACCAAAGTATGCGACTGAATCAGCGTGTCTGCTCACTCCACTTACGAAACGACACGAACCAAGCTGAGGATGACCTTGTTTTGGCGAGGGGAGAGAAGGAGAGGGGGCAAACAGGCAGCTAAACCGGAATGTGGACTCCCTCCTACCGCGCCAATCTTGCTATGATAGCCATCGTACCTCTGAGATCGATGTGATAGATGGGGGTAGTCTGAGAGCCCCCGAAAAACTTTCTTCTTTTCCATTCAGATTTCCCGCCTGTCGCGCCTCCGGTCCAAGGGCAACCTGCGCCTGGAAAGGCATCGTTCCTGAAAGGCTGAAACCATGGGCCGAAGAAAATGATTGTTGAAAATTTGACACGCGGCTGGCCTTATCTTCTCATCGCCTGGCGAGGCTCGTCATATTGATATCAGTGTTCCAGAGTATGTCCCAAGATGCCCACGAGAACTATGCGACAAAATCAATATTACAAGAAAATGATCTCGCAATTTTTCCAATCGGCGATCAACAAAAACAAGTGCGCTACCAACAAGATGCCGAACGAAGTTGAATACCATGGGCAACAAACTGTAATCATGATCGAACAGAGATATTTTGCTTCGTTCCTTGTCGTCGATTTTGATCTCGGTTCTGGTCATAAAGAGCGACAGGAGGGCGCACCGGGCCGAATTTATCGTTCTCGAATTCGGCCCATGGCCTCCGAGCACAGGCACGATTTTGTTCGCGCAGATATATTGCGCAACGTCTCAGACCCTACTATCGAGTGCGACTTGCCAAATGGATGGCTGCCAATATTCCCGCGCCTTGTTTGTGGCTGACCGCTACGGCAGGGTTCTGTTCAAGGGCCGAAGTGTCCCGCAAGCGGCATGGATGACATTTGCATATCTTTCCCAGCTTGGGAAAAAAGCTGAGTTTTGCTTGAGACAATTGAGAGCCAAATTCCAACTACGGGTGTGTGTGTGTGTGTGTGTGTGTGTGTGTGTTAACACGCGACTTGGCCCAGAATTTCTTTTGAACACATAGCCCTCAAATACTCGGGCCATCGTTGATCATGGTCGACCATCCCTGATCTGAGCCGGGTCTCAATCTGTGTCTAGGAACCTTTGAACACAACTCATAATCTTTGATTTGCTGCGGCTAGCATCAGTGAGTCATGTTATTATCTGAACGGAGACGTTGCGTCCGACTATGCTCGATACAAGAGCGGCGATAACTTGGTCAATTGTTGCCATGGTCCAGCAGTCTGCCTGAACAATAGAATGTATCTCATGCAGGTAGACATGGGGTTCGGTCTTGGTTGTGGTTCCTGCAATGGCTCAAGTTGGAGCCCAGCACGTTATGCGTCATGTCGTATTAACCAGTCCGAAATCCCCAACCTCCATGCGGCAAAATCTAAAATCCTTCCGAGTCGATTTAGAAAACAACCACCTGCGATAATTCAAATCACTCTACCGCTAGCAAACTCTCCGTGTCCGAGACGTTGCCATTGGCGTTGGCATTGGGGCACCCGCTTGGAGTGATAGCACTTCTCCTCCTTGTGTGAGCATTATGGCAACACCGCGAGATGTCATAGATGAAAGCTTCTATGCCCAGGGAAGAGTTACATTAACACCTATCGCGCAGCACAGTCTCCGATTGAGTCAAGTACGACAGGGTCTGGCGCTGCGGAAATGGATACTCAAAGTGAGGAGTTACTTGGCTGACGCTCCACTTGTAGCACTCTCTCCTCGATCAGGAGTAATTGGGTCCGCATGGATCTTTGGCCCCCAACTTCCACTAACACTTTACAGCCACATTGATCCTTTGGCCTAGTTGTCCGAGGATTCAAAGCTTAGTAGCACAGATACTAATATTGAATAAATTCCCCATGTCGCATTCAATGATATTGAATTTGTTTTCAATAGTACATTGCCGTATTGCCGCGAGGTATATCATCACTTCTCCTAACTGGACCTATAGACTAGGTGCATCCACGGGTGATTGAATCCACTGCTTGGTCCTAGGATCAAGCGACTTCTCTTCCGCCTCCTTCCACTCTCGAGTAACCATCTCTGCACGTTCCTTAGATCTCGGGGTGATACGAGCAGGAAACTCCTCCGGCATACACACAAAGCCCTGTGTCAATCGGTCCGGGTCCGGGATAATTGGCTTTCCTTGATCATCCAGTGCAGGCTCAATCTTGAACGCCCACAAGATACGTGAAATGCCAAGGAAAAGGCTTCGCTCAGCAACGTGAATACCGGGGCAAATACGACGACCCGCTCCAAATGTGAATGTGTCTCGCTTTGAGGGATCGGGGTTTGCTGCGGCGTCTCCTAGACTCTGACGGTCATTTTCATATCGCTCGGGATTGAAGATGCGTGGACTCTCGTGTCGATTCGGGTCCATATGAATACTCCACACGTTGTTCATGACTCCCGCCCCCTTGGGGATGAAGTAGCCCTTGTATTCATCGTCTTGTGTCACGGCATGCGGGACAGCGCCCAAGATGGTAGTTGGCATCCACCGCAGAGACTCTTTCATGCAGCCCCGGACGTACTGTAGATCGGCCAAGTCTTCCATGACAGGCAGACGATCTGGCCCGATGACTCTATCGATCTCGGCCTGAGCTTTCCGCTGGGCGTCGGGGAATAGCAGCATAGCCTGCATGAATGCATAAAGTGTGCTCGAAGTAGTATCAGAGCCAGCCTCCAATAGCGTCCCGGAAATATAGGCTGCTTGATCATCGCTGAACCCATCGCGCTTCTGTGCCTCGTACATTCCTGCACAGAAGCAGGGATTGATGGTGTTCTCCTGTGTTTGCTTCTTTGCCTTGAGCCAGTGGCCTCGATAGAGAGCTTTTTCGTGCTTGTGAAGCTCTTTGGCTTTTTTCTGGGTCGGCAACAGGAAATCAGGCAACTGACGCAAGAAGGGGAAGAAATCAATGAGAGCAGCTGCGCCGGTTTGGTTGATAGTGGCAAACTCGGAAAAGCCGTCGAATAGTTGCATCATCTTCTCGTCCTCGTAAGTGGGTGTTCTCCATCCAAATACCATGGTCGTCGTAAGTGCATTTGAATAACGACGGATGTGCTTGAGAAAGTCTTGAGGCTGGATCAGGAACTCATAGAGCATTTGTTTATTTTCCAGCATCTGGTAAGTCACGTATTTCTTTGAAGTCGTGACGTTGAGTAGGCTGTGTACCATCTTGCGGAACTTTCAATCTGTTAGTTATAGTCATAAGTGACATCACTCAGTTGCAGTACTTACGGCACGCCAGGTCGGGCCATATCCCTGTGGTTAATGCAAAGTTAGTAAAAATGCAAATTTATCATCTTGCCCATGATAGGACGCACCATCATCAACAATCGAAGGTCACCACTGCACAATGTCTGACCAATGTACATCTCCTGTCTATGGGAGTAGATATTACTGCGTTTGTCTAGCAGCTCCTTCACGGCCTCGTCGCTTGACAGCACGATAAGACACTTTGTACCCAGCATCAGACTGTAGATGGGGCCATATTCACGAGCCCATTTCTCAAACTGGAGGTGGACATCCTGAGAAGGCATCTTCGAACTTGACTTTAGTTTCTTCCCAGGTCGGTTCAAAATGACTCCGACGGGAACTCACCTGATGGATGTTACCTAGAATTGGAAGAGTAGGAGGCCCTGGAGGATAGTTCTTAGGTCGCCGACCAATCGAAAGAATGCGCGATAATATCACGACAGCAATAGCTGCGCCGACGATTGTGGTGATGGCCAGCATGTTGAAAGTTTTCTGGTTGGCTGTAACTATTCAAGTTTAGAGAGGCGCATATATATATATATATAGACGCAGAAATATATTTCACCTGGAGAGAACGCGTTGCTTGACAACGTTGATGTGGGCAATAGCCGTACTTTATAGGAAGCAGTGAAATAGGGCGGACTGTATTTTCACCAGGCGATATAATCAGGCTTGTACACATGTCAATGCTCTTGCGTCGGAGCCGATGCGGGAGAGAGTTCCAACTGCGGGTGTGGAGGTGGGCAAAGGTGGGATGGCGGATCTGTGGGGTAGGGACTAAACCCACGCTCTTCAGGCAGGGCCAGGATTATTGACCGCCTCTAAGTGCATTGATTACGCATCGAATGATAATACGTAAGGAAGAGATCATTGTTCCTAGTACCGATGACCCTTTCCGCATGAAAAGTTGCAACGACAGACGGGCCTTGCACAGGTTCACCGATACATGTCTACCGAAGATAAAATATGATCGCACTGAGCATGAATACGAGGTCACTTTTAAAGTTTAAGATACTCTTAAGCTACCAGAAACCGCAAGGAATAATCAGTATGCCATTATATATAGTTCGTTGTAGCGTCAAGGTTTTTAATGTCAGAGAGAAAGTAGGTGTAGACGCAAAAATGAATTTTTGTCATGGATTTGACTTTCATTGCGCTGGCTCACAGCTGGAATGTTTGAAACCCGACGATCAGATTGTTGACCTGCCGCATACTAGTCTGATCATACTTGTTCAAAATTGGATCCAATGCACTCTGGTCCAGAGGAGCCAGATCGCTCCCTTCTGGTAAATCTCCCAATAACGCGAGACGCTCTGTCATCAAGCTTCCTAATAGCCAAAATTCAGGGCAGTACCGGCAAAACCCAATTCTCTTCCACATATCTTGGGGCGAAATATTGGTATCATCGATTGTAATGTGTGGAGGTAAGCCCGTTGATGATGTCGAGGCAAAAAGTTGCCAAGAATCGCACCAGTGCTGGAGAGTGTTCTGTATCGGTGTCAGGTTCTGGGAGCTGCTGATAGAGCTGCGGTACTGAAAGACTTGTGAATGAATTGCTAAATGGACTTGGTATCAGTATGTATGAACATCAACGGAATTCTTGTCTCGCCCAGAAGCCTACCGGATGCAAGTGCGAACAGATTCAAGGGCCCCGATGCGGCTATGATCTGACGCATGCCTGGCAAAAATGTGTCCTTTGCAAGTGCCTCATATGCACCGCGGACAGAGAGATTCCAATAGGCGTTTCCACTTGGAAGGTGTGTTTCAATTTCCCGATGGCATTCATCCGCAGTCAGTGCTTGGAAGCAGCTCTCAGGCGTCGCGAGGTGCATCTTCATTTCCTTGATAACCATGCGTGGGGGTAGGTTGTTAAAAATGACAAAGGCCGTATCAAGGAGGAATATCCATATGAAAACCCTGGGCATCTTAGTTTCAAAGATCCATGTTAATTAGACCGGTGGGCGAACCTGATCAGTTCTTCCCGAGTGGCATATTCCTTCCACTCAAACTCATGCCGACCCAACTCAGAATAGTTCAAATGCGTTGCTGTTGTAATTCCAATGTCTCGTGCCGTCTTTCAAAAGGTCAGGGTCAGTTTTTTAATGATGGAGATGCGTCAGTAACTTACGGATACCAAGGTCGCAAACCTGTTCCGCCGAATTCGACTTTTGCTCGAGTCTGTGCCTTCCCAGTTCTGATAAAGGCAAACAATATATGCGGCTTGCAAAACTTGGACCTTTCGTCGATGAATAAACATATTGTTCGAAGCAGAGTAGATTGTGTCACTGTTGAAGTCATCATCTATGAAGACCATCTCTTCAACGCAGTTGTACCATGTCCTAGCATCCTCGTTATCCGGCATGTCTGGAGAGACACACGCGCCTTGATCACAGTTAGCATTTGATCTTGGCAAGTAAGATGCGTTTCCATACCAATAGTGGCCATTGCAGCTACAAGGCAAGGCTTCGCTGATATCGGATCAAAGCTGGGCCGATGAATATAGTTGACGTTTGGATGCCAGATCGCCCAGTAGAAGCCAAGGAACCGTCGCAGATTCGCTGGTGAAAAGAATTGTAGACACGCATTTTTGAGAGCCGATGACCAATCGAGTGTCACCGCACTATTTCTCGGTTTAATTGTAACGACCTCTTCAATGAGCAGAAGAATTTCATGCGTTTTCAAAGAAAGTGGGTCACAAAGCCAGTTGATTGGGATGCAGTCAACGGTACTAGCATCGCTCAGGTTGTCCAGTAGCGGAGGTGAGTCCACAACAGCTTGTAAGCCTAGTGATGTTGAGTTGCTTGGCGCATACGTTTGCCCAATTCCTTGATGACTCTCAACCTCTAGTTGAACAGCAACATTCTCACGTTGCTCTTGAGTCCCACAGTCAAAGCTCAAGATCAGACCAGTATTGCTGGTAAACCGGTCCAGAAACTGCAACGACTGGCTTCTGCTCGTATCCAAGAGAGGGTTATCCCTCAGAACTTGGCTTTCTGACGCTAGGAGAAGATAGTCTTGCCAGGTCGGGCTAGAGGCCTCCAGGAAAGACCGACTGAAGAGATTATCGAGCGGGGCTGTCCCGAGAACTCCACTGTTCTGTTGCGCCCAGGATAACTGAATCGGTGAATTTGACTGAATGGCGGGATCCATTAACATGGGAGAGCCTCTGTTCTGTCCCGCTGCATCTCCGATGGAACCATCACCATTATGGGAGATAGCTTGACCCAGATTTTCTCCCGACTCTGGGGCATTTGAATAGAAACATGCAAGACCCTTTCTTGAACAATTGTGACATGGCTGATTGGAACTACATGCTTTCTTCTGTTTGCAACAGCGATCGCAAGCCTTTCGACGGCCTCCCGACCTTGAGCCCCCGCCATCACATGTTCGAAGATGTCGTTTCAGAACATCTGCGCGTTGGAACGCACCATCACATGAGTCGCAACGGTACGGGCGCTCCGATGTATGGGAGCTGGTATGCCGAAAGAGATGTTCACGGCGCTTGTATCGTTTCAAACAGACAGGACATTGATATCTCGCCGTCACCGAGGTTGTATCTTGCTCCGACCGCAGTGAAGAGGATAGAACCTCTGACGCCATTGTCCTTGCTCTGTTGATCGAAGTTCGGACGAAGGTTGGAGAAGACTCCGGGGCCCCGGGGTTTCGAAGAGTCGGTGCAATGCGGGGGCCGACAAATAGAGTTCGCCAGATCGGTCCCGTTTCGGACAGACGGAAGCAGGCATCGGCACTTGCCGGTTCTACGAGAGTAGCCGCCCGAGACGTGATTCGCACGGCTAGTGAAGGCCGTTGAGCTTGCCAGAATGAGAACAACAGCGACCATAAGAGATTCTCTCAATTGCCGTCTAGGAAAATTTTAAATTAAATACAGTCCTCCAAAAACTTGTTCATTGCTCATCGCTTTCTTTTATGCTGAGAAAGGATCGATGTAATGCATCCAAACAATCCATGCCCGCGACAATCTAGGGCAAAATTTAAAGATCGTGTATATTATTATACGAGGATTCCAAGAGGAGTAGCCAGCCAGAACAAGCACCTCACATGATCAAAGTAGGAGCTAGCTTGGCTAGATTTTGAGTCCAGCGACCTGAAGCTCGTTGTGACCAGATCGCTGGCAGGGATTGCATTCCTGCTGAAATGTTATGGAATTTTGTCTTCATAAAGACCTGGTTCATTCGATCGACGAAGAACCGGCGATGTTCGGGATCAGTGCTATCAGCAGCAGCAATGAAGCAGACCCAGACGAGAGCATGGGATCCCAGTTGCTCAGGGTGTATTTGAGAGACCAGTCGTTTCAGGTCTTCTATGAGGTCCCACTGGTCTCGAGTTGAAGTCACTCGCCCGAGATATATTTGCGAAGCTTTGATGAAAGCCAACCTGGATATGTGAAGGAGTTTGTGATGTTCAGAATCTGACGGTAGATCATAATATGTCCAATCTAGGTAGTGGTCCAGCGGTAGGCGTAGGGCCTGAACGCCATGAGCCTCTCCTAGTAGGGGCTGCCCCAGAAATTCAAACCTGGCATACGAGGGTTAGAAAGATACAAACACAAACTCGACAAAATTGACTCACATATGACTTTGTTGATTGAGAAAATCTCGTGCTGCAGATGGAGCAATCTGTCCAATATTTTGAATAAGACACATCAAAATCTGTAGAAGATGGCTATACTCAGAGCTTCCCGTGATAGTCTCTCCAACTAGCAGAACAATCAAGGTAGCCCACGTAGATACGTTGAATACCAGATCGGGTGATGCATGTAAGGAGTCTCGGCGCAGCCGGGAAATGATGACCGCGCGACCCTCGTCGGCCGCACTTTGGAAGCTAGGGTTGTACAAAGCCAGATGTTGACTTGCTACAACACCAATTGCTGTCCTCAACAATTCATCCTCACAGGCAAGGGGTAGTAGGATATCGCGGTACCCATTCGAGACGTTGTCCAATACAACCATGACAGGTGCGACTTGATCGGCAACTGACTCAAGTTAACAAATGAACATCACACAGTTGGAGCAAATGGATAGTTACAGTGTGACATCAACATTCGAGCTTGCGGTGATAGCGGCGCGATCCAAGGTTGGATTGAACCAGGTGAAGTAGGAACGGGCGCCAGGGCTAGAGCCAAATCCTCTGACTGATCGATAGCTTCATCAGGATTAAGATATTTCCTTGGATAGCCAAGTACAATTTGGGCCCCGTCAAGTGCGGAAGAGCTAGTGGTACCTGCTTGTATCGCAGGATCATTGTCAGACTGTGTGGCGCGTGTCTCCGTGTCTCCTTCACGTGCCCTCGCGCGTCGTTTCGCGCTCTTGCGCTTTAAATTTCCCGATTGGTTGGCTTTCCATCTTATATTGCGCGGAACTGCAGCTGCCGCTTGACTTTGCGTCTCAAACGCCGATTCGGGCGAGACATCGGCCACGGGGATGGGGCATCCCTTCAACTTTCCTCGTCGCGCCACTCCATCCGAGAACCGAATCCGCCCTAATCCCGAGCACTCGATCCCTTTCTTCAGGCACTTGTTACAGGCAGGCTCGGTATTATCGCAGATAATTCGGCGCTTAGAACATTGGAAGCAGCCTGTATGGCAGGGTCAGAGACAAAGAGTTCAGCCGGCCTTGTCGTGCGACTTGGACGCAGGAACCGACGCAACTCACCCTTTTTCCTGTCAGGAGGAGCTGACATGGACAGCAAAACAATTATTCGGTCGTTTCTACTCGTTGCAGAGCTATCATAGGCTGATCCGCCGCCGTAAAAGTGTTGGTAGACGAGTTGGAAGGCGGAGGAAGGTCGAAACCTACGAGCGGGGCTAAGCGGCTTATCGCAGACTCGCCGCCGGGGCACCGGACCGATACAGTGGAATTCAATGACGAAACCCGGCCAGGCTTTAAACTCATCTCATCAGTCATGGTGCATCAAGAGATAATCCCTGGCTATCGGAAAGCCAATCCAAAATATATTACGAATGATCGCAGGCTCAGGCATCTCTGACTAGGCCATGTCTTCTATCTCTTGTTTCCGAAGTTTGGACTGCCACGGTACGAATTACAACTGTGTATGCGAAGTGTATAGAAGAAAATTGACATTAAAGCTCCTGGAATATAAGTTTTTCTTTGAAATAGAATACGTCCCTTGATTATTCTACCCGCGAAAGACTAAATCAGCCGTGGGCCATCATATTTCTTTCGTGCATAGATCGCCCAGTTGATGCCGCCAAATATCGCCATAACACCAAGTACTGCTGAAGTATAGTCTGCGAATAGCCTCATATTAGCTTCGTTTGTCGGTAGGTGCTCATAGTTTCACTTACTCATACTACTTCCCGTCACTGGAAGAACAGTAGGAAAGTCATAGAAAATTAGAACCAGCAAGGCAAATCCGACAGTGATGGCATTCACCATCCAGCCCACCAAGCTCGGCAATCGGAAAGATCGCGACGCAGGAAGCCACTCTTTGGATCTCCCTCGGTACATCAGCAGTGCGGCGGGAAATGCGTACGAGATATGCTGCAGAACGAGGCCGGAACCAATGAATGCATTAAAGGCCGACGAAGAGCCTAGATAAATGCAGCCAATGATGAACATGACCACAAAATTGAAGAATAGACTCCACACGGGTACTTCAAGCATGGGATGTATTTCACTCAGCCACTGACTCCCGATGATAGCTCGGTCTCGAGCCAGCGACCAAGTAAGCCGAGACGCAGTTTGCTGAGCGCCGATGAGTGCGAAAACAGCAGCGCAGCAAAGCAATAGGACGAAGACTGTAGCAGCCGTCTGAGACTTTGTCGCTTGATACCACATCTCATAGATCGGGACCCTAAACTATTGTTAGCAATAATCCGTGAGGGAGACATAGAAAGTTTCCATACCCGGTGTTGGAGGTTGCGATCGTAGCCAAATCACTAGTACAGTAAAGCATAGCAATGACGAATACGAATGATGTGACGAATCCAATAATCAAAGTGCTCATCAGAGCTCGAGGCACCACCGTGCTCGCATTTTTGCATTCTTCAGCCAAGTGCAAGGCTCCATCGATGCCAGCGTACATGTAGTTCGGTGTGACAAGACCAGTGAGAAAGGCGACGCCACCGGAACTCCAGCCGCTGTCATTGATGAAGGTTGCCCAAACACTTGTTGAGGACTCATAGTGGGAAGATGAGCGGGCGACACAAGTAATGGTTATGACAAGGAAGGTTGCGATAGTAATGAAGACTGTCGGGTAGGTGTCAGCAAAGAGACTGTTGGCGGCTCTCAGAATGTACTGCGTGCTTACAAGAGAGATCATGGATCCAGAGCGACCGTTTCAATAGCGTGATATTGTATAGTAGGACAGACCCGTTGATGGCTTGGTATATGAGGAAATAATGCCACGGCTGTGGCGTATAGTTTGGATTGTAGAACAGGGCGATTCCAACGATCAGCTGTGCGGGAATGATGGCGATTCCGGTGCATATAGAAATCCAGGAAAACACGTTTGTCATACCACAACAATAGCTCTTGAGAATGTTCAGTAAGGATCTGACGGTTATAGGGAATAGTGGACATACTAGGGATCTGTTGATACCCTTTGGGGCGAGGATCGACGTCCAATGATACTGCCCACCAGCAGTCGGATACACGCTCGCCAGCTCGGCTAATGTGAGAGCACAAGCACCCACGAAGAGGAACATCAAAATTGGTCCATAAACGAGGGTTACTGGCCCGCCCTGGGAGATAGCTAGCGCGATAGTTCCAGCCACGCCAGCCCAGCTATCACAAATGACCCAGCTGGCAGAGATGGTTTGCAACTTTGTCATTTGCCGTCCTCCTTCGGCTTGTAAGTTCAGTCCCTTGAGCTGCATGTGGCCAATAAGACCCCCATTATGGACAGACTCTAAATCCTAGTAAGCAATCTGGTGGTGTGAGTCGTTACGTATGAGAGAACTCACGCTGTTCTACATCGAGGGACGCTGCGGCAATCTGTCAATGATAAGTTCGAAGTAGGTGCATGAATTGAGTGCTATTTCTTACCATGTTTCTCTTTTGTTTCATTCAACTCCATGGTGGATCTTGGAGTAGGCTATTATCGAGGATTTGGGATGAAACTGATAATCAAAACTGCAAGAGCGAACTCTCGAGGGCCTTTAAGTATACGAGCCGCCTCCAAAATGGTGGCCGGCCATTTGGATCAACTCGAGAAGAATACGCTTTGATAGAGTCAGTATTACAGCGATAACGAGTGTTGTGCGGGGAAGGTTTGCAATATTACCCAAAAGGGTAAATAGGGAGAGAAAGGGCTGGATTCAGACCGTAATTTCTCAGTGGCAGCGGTCCGCGAAGATAACAGTTCCCCGGATTTTCAAGTGAAACCCCGACAATGGCGCAAGAGTCACCAGTTATCTTACTTCGATTACGTTTGGTCAAGATAACTTATCATTTGTCCTGGATCAATTAATTGGAAAGAAATTGACGCAAGACAAGAATTTCTTTTGGGCTTGATCTACTCCACTTAGCTCAAATCCGCAGCAACTCTTCACATTATTTCTTATGTATCAATTTTTGCGGTATCCGAATTGGTAGGATATTAGCCAAATTTTGGATTTATCTTAGAGCTAAAAACATCATAATATCTATCGTCTCAGGTCACATCTATAGCCGAAGCCGTGGGGAGGGGTTAGATTGTAGCTCCTCCTTTACAGTCATCGCTGCACGTGTGCCCTCTTCAATGGCCCCATCAATAAAGCTACGCCAACCAACAGCCCAGTCCGAGTTGGCGAAAACAACATTTCCATGACGTCTACGCAGTGCATCGAGTGAGGTTGACAGCAGCCCAGGTGGAGAGAAGAACCAAGCACCCTTTGCATATTCATCCTTACTCCAGTTATGGAAGACCTGAGAGAAAGTTAGCATCGCGTCAGATCTCTCGACCAACGGAACTCACTAGTCGCTTGATATCCATGTTTCCAGGCGCCATATTCTCAACGGCCTTCCTAGTCTCCCGCACGTCCTCTTCAGGGTGAATATGGTTATTGAATCCGCCAAAGCAGACAATGTGAGTGTTTCCAGCTGGGGTAGTCCCATCACCAATTGCATACATGAGCTTGTTGAACGGATATGAAATTCCCGTCCATGAGCGCATATCTTTGTTGGAGATCTCAGCATGCACCTTGACACATTGGTTGACATGCCCCTGGTTTGCAGCAGCCATGCGCTGTGTGTCCAGAGGAGGATAGAAGGAGATGGAGTTCAGAACATTCAATGGAATAGTAGAAACGAGACGAGCGCCCGAGTATTGGCGACCATCACGAGTAGTGAGCGTGACTTTGCTCCCCTCATCCTTGATGGCTTCGACTGGGCTGTTGAAGGCATAAGAAAGCCTGCCTGTTGAGAGTGCCTCTTCGAAGAATCGAATGGCAAATGAAGACTGGCCTCCCTTGAATTTATAGGAAATCAGAGAATCCATGCATCCCTGGTACGTATAGCCACATAGCGCCCACCAGTGAAGGAATTCGAAGAAGCTAGTAGTCTCCAAGGTTCCACAGCTACAGAGCAATACGAAGCTCTCCAGTGCAGCACGTTCGTTCGGAGTGAGGGACGGTGCGATGACATCCAACCGGTCCTTCGCGGACATGCTATCATATTGGCGCGCCTCGGGCACATGGAAGGAATCGTGTGCGAAAGGTATAATTTTCCGACCGAGGCTACCGTCGACGTTGACAAACTTCTGCAGTGCAGTTGCCAGCAACGTATCCTGATTTCATAGTCAGTATTTACGCGATTTGATATACACCACGTCACGCTACTAACCTCGTCTTCGTGGCTCATGATACTCGTTCCATCGTTGGTTCGCAGTTGAAAGTGGTTGACCCCTCGAGAAAAGTCAAATGAGGGTTCCATATCGGTGCGCATTTGGTATCTAGAGATCTCTCGCCACACGTGTGGCTGTCCCCAGTGAACCCATGTTCCTCCCATCTCGAAAGGGTAACCTCCAATGTTGGAAGACCATGATCGTCCACCGATGCGGTCGCGTGCTTCGACAAGAAGAACTCGAAGGCCTGTTGTCCATTAATGAGGAGTTTGTTGCTAAAGTAGTTTCCAGAATGTCTCATACCAGCTACGCACAAGTCACGAGCCGCTGTCAGTCCAGAGTATCCGCCACCGACAACAATAACATCCCATGGCTTAGACCCCGACAAAATGTTAGTGGGAGGTGAAATCACTCCGATTGAAGGTATTCCCTGTGCAAGTCCCTCCTCCGGAGTCCACTGAAAACCGTCGCGAGAGGTCATGTTGATGAAATTTCAACTATCAGCAGAAGGCTGTGGCAGGAAAGGTAGAGAGAGCTCAAAAGTAAAATCGGAGCCGAAAGGAATGGTTTTTATTTTATAGGAGGCCAGTTCTGTGCTCCACGTCCCTTGTTCTTTTTTTTTATTCTCAACTCTGGCATAGCTTTTCATAATCGCAGGTTATCTAGCAGCTATCCACTAGCCAAGGACCACTAGAATCGAGGGGCTCGATAAGGGTGGATTGGATACCAAAAAAGGTCAAAAACAAGAGATTTAAGGCTCTTAATTTGGCTCACTTGCATGGAGAGCCATTGGCTATGTTGCGCGGCATTGAGAACTCCGTTGAGTGGGTTCCGGGTGGCGAGATTGAAAAATTACCCAATTCGGCTAGTAATGCGAGAGAGCTATTCAAATCTACCGCAGGCGCTCCATTTGCCGCTGGAATCTTTCTCGAGAGAAATCGGAGGTAGAACTAGGCTCATTATGGACAAGGAACCGCTGTGCAACTGATAGAAAATGCAATTGGAAACGGCCAATCAGGGTTGGGTGAATGGCAATTCGAGTATGAGGCCCAATCTCCCCACTATGCGTATGATTTAGCAGCCCATCAAAACCAGCTTATATCAAAACGAAGACTTGGCAAGTTATGATCTGCATTTCAGTTCTGCATCTGGCAAAACTCTGAAATTGTCCTCATCCCAAACTAGGCACTACTCTGGGCAAAACTTACTGGGCAACTACCTGTGGCCAGCCCGGGCCTTCCGCAAAAACACGGGGTCCGGGGAAAATGCCGCCTGGGGAAGCTTCCTGGGCAAAGACCTCCTCTCTTCCCCGCCTCCCTCTTCTCCAGTCAACATTGCGCTCCACCGTGGAAAACTCGGCACTCTTAGATCTTTGCGATTTCCCCTCAGTCGCAAGTGAGGGGTATATTCCGTAATGGACATGAGCGCTGACTCCCTACATACAGGCGGCATTAGGCGTATACGACAGGCATGTGCCAATTGCAGGTGCGTTTTAGATGGGAATCGACCCCCTCCCAAGCGAGAGTGTTGGCCAACCCTTCTCTGACAATTGAATACAGACGCAAAAAGACTAAGTGCACAGGGGAGCGCCCTATCTGTTTTCACTGTCGCCGTAATCGGCTTGCTTGTGTGTATGAGCCATATGCTGCGACCGTGAACGATGGCGTTCGGCCAGCCCCTCTGTCCACCCTGGCCAGCAATCTCAATAACGTGAGTCGACACACAACAAATATATTCAAGCAAAAAAACTCACGTTTGTTCTCCAGGTCGAACTTCTACAACGACTTAGCACTATAGAATCTCGTCTTGCCGAGCTCAGTGGACAACCCAATCAAAATGAGTGCGCAGCTATCAAAAGATATCTAATTCCGCCCCAGCAGCCCACTAACTTTTCAAGATCTAATAACGATATCCCCAATTTTTCGTTTAGCGAGGAGCCCAGCTCACCACTGCACGATACGGTCGCCTTACAATCGTTCCCCTCGATGCGAAACTCTCCCATCGAGAATTCGTATGTCGCAGACGTCTTGCTCATCCTCTTCCGTAACTGCTCTGACCACTTTTATTGGCTAGCACTTTTCCTCCAGCTCCCGTTCTACGATCGGTGATCGATACGTACTTCGAGCATGTCCACAACCAGCCGTATTCCTATTTTCAAGAGATATCCTTCCGTCAGAAACTGGATTCAAACGCTCTGCCTCGTTGTTTGATCTTAGCCGTACTCTCTTCTGCCGTGCGATTTTCTGTTCATGAATATTATGCAGGAAATACACGGGAGGCATCTGAAAAATATGCGAGAGAGTCATGGCTATCGGTGCTCGCGGACCATCTCACTGTAGAAGACAATTTGAACGTACATGTCGTGCAGACGGTGAATTTGCTGGCTGTTGTGGACTACACTGGTAAGTTCCGTGTTGCTGTGTGCTGTTATCAATTCAATTCAAAACAACTACTGACACCCTATCCTCCAATGCAGCTGGTCGTGTGAGCTCAGGATGGCTAAAGATTGGCCTTGCCGCTCGCATCTCCCAAGACCTTCATCTTATGACAGAGCCCGAGGCATGGTTACCTTACTCCGAACAAGAAGAGCGACGGCGCGCATTCTGGTCTGCCTACCTGATTGACAAATTGATTTCCTGCGGTAAATCAAGACCTCTTGTTATCCTCGATCAGGACTGCAATGTGCAGCTTCCGTGTGACGAGGAAACGTTCAACAGGGGAGAATGGAAGAAAACTAACACGCTTGATCAACTCCTCAACTGGAACACCCAAATTACTGACAATCCCAGCGGATTTGGCCTGGTTATCCTGATGGCTTCTATCTTTGGGCGTTGCACAAGATATGTCCATCAGAATCGCAAGTCTGATGAGATACCACCCTGGGATACGAAATCAGACTTTGCCGGAATCAACTCATCTTTGTTGCTCCTGGAGTCCTATTCCAGGTTGGGCACCCAGAAGATCTCTGAAATTGTTCAGCAGAGTCACCACGGTAACAGTGATATCGACCGACAGCAGATTGGACATCTTATATTCGCGCACACCTTGTACCATCTTTGCCATTGTCTTTTGAATCACCCTTTTCTCATGCGCCTGCGTCTCAAGCCGTTTGGTTCCAAGGTCCCTGCCAGTTTCTCTGCACGGGCCCTTCAAGCTGGCAGCGAGCATGCGAAGCAGCTGATGGATCTCATCCGGGATGCAACGGAAAGTGGATGTCGGATAGAGTCCTCCTTCTATGCTTACTGCATTGCCGTAGCCGGCGGTATTCACTCTCTCGCATCACATCTTGAGCACCAGAGTACAGCGCGTCGCCAGTCGGATATTCTGCATTACTTCAATGAGAGTGTCGAATCCCTGGAAAGATTGGCAAAACTCTGGGTACATGCATCGAATATGGTATGTTGCATTTATTTCAGTTCCATGCCGCATTTTCTAACATTTGATTACTGCTAGGCTTTACGCCTGCGTGAGTTCCATACTATATCTCACCGCTTTGCCAGTCTGTTGGATCCAAAGTGTTTGACGGAAGAGCTTGATCCATCCTGTGAGGAGGTCTGCTGGTCAATGATAGACTACGGCATTCTGGGCGCAGATCCACAAAAGAAGCCTCTCATTTCAAAGACCGGGTTCTCAAATCTGCCGTCCCCAAGTCAATGGGCACTCGGAACTGAACCTCTCGATGGGGATACACCACGATTTGGTGGTCTTAGTACGGATATTTTCAGCGGAATCACACCGAATATGCGATTGAATGATGTCGATTATCTCTTGAATTGTAGTCCCGGAACCAATGATATGGTCTGAAGGCAAGTTGTCAGCCCGTCAATTTGAGATTCGGTCCGCTCGGTCCGATGCTTCTTCCTCTGTTTACCCGAAATGGACACAAAGGATAAAGACATCCCGAGTACCAGCTATTATGCGATCTGTAACTAATTTTCACTGTAACAGATTTGAGATCATGGTTCCGAAGAATCAATTGTCGCCCTGGAAGGGTGTTGTGTCTGGAACAACTGCCGCTATTCTTGCCAATGTCCTTGTATACCCGTTGGATGTGTATGTGACGCTTTCGAAAATAATTGTGTAATCGAAGAGAAAGTAGAATGCTGACTATATCTTGCAGAGTCAAAACACGACTACAGGTTCAAGTTCACCAGCACCGAACCAAGCATGGAGACGAGGCAGCCGATCACAGTAGAATGCAAGACGCGCAGTATACGGGTGCAGTCGATGCGGTCCGGAAGATATTGCAACAAGATGGTATTTCTGGCTTATACAGTGGACTTGAGAGCTCCATTGCTGGCACGGCTTCCATGAACTTCGCATACTTCTACTGGTCTGCCGCCGCTCGAACTGTGTATCAACATGCCCTTCGATATCACGGCATCGAGGACTTCAATAGCATCATCAAAGAGTTTGGCCTTGGGGCCGTCGGTGGAGCTCTGGCGCAATTATGCACGACTCCCATTTCAGTGATAGCTACGAGGCAACAAACACGCAAGGCATGTGATGGGCAACAGTCCATGTGGGAGACTATGATGGAGATTGTCTCCAGCGAGGATGGGTGGACCGGCTTATGGAGAGGATTAAAGGTCAACCTCATACTTGTGATCAATCCCATGATCACTTATGGCGTTTACCAGTGGTTGAGGGGTGGTCTTGTCGGCTTAAAGAAGCATGTTGGATCTCTAGATGCTTTCTGTTCGTATCTCACTTCTCTCCACGAATGTCTCTTTCACGAAGCTTACTGTCTTCGACCAATTCTAGTGCTCGGTGCCCTTTCAAAAGTTCTGGCAACCATTGCCACGCATCCTCTCATCGTAGCGAAGACTATGTTGCAATCAAAACCCCCACCGCAGCGCCGTGGTAGACCATTTCGGGGCTTCACCGAAGTCCTGGTCTATATTGTGAAGCATGAGGGAGTCCTCCGGCTATATAAAGGTCTAATCCCACAGATAGTCAAGGGATTCGTTGTCCAAGGTCTTATGATGATGTTGAAAGAAAGGTCAGTCTTTTCATTCCGTATCTCTATATCATGCTCTATTGACGCACAGAGGCAGGACCGAAACCCTTATGCTGATGCTACTTTCGCTTCATCAACAGCATTTGTACCGGAAATTGGCTCTTAAGGGACTGCGTAGGTAGACTTTGTAAACCACTTCCTGAAATTGGCAGGAAGTCCTGCAGGGAATTATATCTTTTGAGATAAATAAAATGTTAAACCCGACCGAGTGTTTAAAATGCTAGGTATCATAGAATATTGCCAAAAAAGCGCCACAAAGTTACCGTACAGTAGAGCTTCTATGAGTAGTTTCGTGTAGCCAATATCTTACTCGGATGACAATTGTTCACCAAGACCAACAATCCTGAGTTCCCGTTGTCTTCTAGTATATGCACCTATTCGGCCTTTACTTTGACAAGAATGACCGAGGCACGCGGCCCCTTACCGGGCTATCTGCAAACCTTATCTCCAACAAAACTTCAATCTCCTATCTAACATCATGAATTCGACAACTTCGGTATGGACGTCTCTCCCATCCTCGCTCAAGGAAATGAAGTGGGTCTGGGGAAAGGATTGAGCCAATTAACGAAGGGAAGCTATCGGTCCTGACGGTCCGAGCCGCCACCGCGTGTCTTCCTTTCAGCTCGGTCCGGCCATAGTTAGCGCAAACCGGTCCTAATTGTTTAGCGGAGACCCCGGGATCGGGGAGGCATCTATCGACACGTGAATCAATATGGCAAGTTCACAAAGCTCGTAGTTAATTGCGCTAAAATAGACTTCTTCACCCAACGAGAAGTATCGAGATTTGATCATATTCACATTGTCCGATCGTGCATTCATTCATCAAACTATGTCGTCGTCTGTCTCAACGGTCCCCTTTGCGGATCCCCTTTGGCTTAATCGCTATTATACTCCGTATTATAACCAGTCACATCGCCGGCTGCAGAAGGAAGTCCGCGAGTATGTTGATACTCACATTGCCCCATTTTGCGAGGAATGGGAGAAGCAGGGATTTGTCCCCCCGGAGGTGAGAAATTCTGTTCACATACATGAAAACAAATTCGATGCAATATTAGCCGGAGAAATCGCTGGGGACATTTTACTTACTTTACTGTCTGTGCAGGTTCAGAGGCGACACGCCGAGCTAGGATACACTGCCGTGTCATCCTTCCCATTGGCGGCGGATTACTTGAACGGCCAGCGGCTCCCAGGCGACGTCAACCCCCGAGAATGGGACGGGTTTCATGACCTTGTCGTCATTGATGAGTTGGCTCGTTGTGGATACTTGGGAATTATCTGGGCACTTGGATGTGGAAACTCGATCGGAGGGCCGCCCGTGATCAATTTTGGCAACGCAGAGCAGAAACAGCGATTCCTACCTGATATGTTGAGCGGGAAAATCAGGTTCTGCTTGGGAGTGACTGAGCCAGATGGTAAGAAGCTCAACCCATACATCAATATTTTAATCTGCGACTGCTAAGTGGAGGTCTTAATTTCGCAGCTGGATCTGATGTCGCTGGCATTACCACGACTGCTGAGAGAAAGGGCGATGTGTATATCGTCAATGGTACCAAGAAGTGGATCACAAATGGCATCTTCGCAGACTACTGTACTGCAGCTGTGCGTACTGGCGGAGAAGGGACACAGGGTATCTCAGCGTTGATCATTCCAATGAAAGGTCCGGGTGTGACATGCAGGAAAATCGAAAACTCGGGTGTGCATGCAAGTGGTAAGTGGAAATGTTTAGCTATCGCACTCGTAGCATCTTATACTGATCTGTCTATGAAAGGGTCGACTTACATCGAATTTGACCAAGTCGAGGTTCCAGTGTCCAACTTGCTTGGTGTCGAGAACAAAGGTTTCCCAGTTATCATGAATAGTGAGTCTAATTTTGGATCCCCATCTACGAGAAGGCTTCAGACATATTAACTCAAAGCCAGACTTCAACCACGAGCGCCTTTGGCTAGCATGCACGTCTCTTCGCATGGCTCGTGTCTGCGCGGAAGATTCTTACAAGCACGCCATTTCGCGTGAAACATTTGGCAAAAAGCTCATTGAGAACCAGGTCATTAGATCGAAATTTAGTGCCATGGCGCGCAGTCTGGATTCTACTTATGCGTGGATGGAACAGCTCGTCTATATATCTGAGGAGGCAAAGCGGAACGGCAGTGACGCTGGAATGGGAGGATTGTTCGCCAACCTCAAAGTACTTGCGGGTCAGACCTTGGAAAAGGTCAACCGGGAGGCACAGCAAGTTATGGGTGGCCTTGGATACTCAAAGAATGGGCGCGGTGCAAGAATCGAGCAAATCAGCCGTGACGTTCGCGTTATGGTTGTGGGTGGCGGTAGCGAAGAGATCCTTTCTGAGCTAGCGGTCAACCAGGAGACCAAGGTGATGAAGAAGCTGCAAAGCAAGCTGTAGATTCTTGGGTGGAAAAGGATTTTTATTTGTCAAATAACTTAACATGGACTATAAACATATCCGATACTTTGAAACCTGACTTTGTCGTCCATCCATCTTTTCGTTTCAGATGCTCGCTACAATTTTAGGCCGTGACATGCCACACAAATGGAGTTTTTTCAAGGAAAAGTGGATATATATGAGTCTATTCCACATATTTTCCAGTAAGACGAGTCCAAGCCGACCAGTGAAATTACTCAAAATGAGCACCACAGGTGATGACACCATGTCTAGTATACCGATGTCCACAAATACTCGTGGTCACACTAAGGTAGGACGTGGTAGGGGAACTGGGGATGGGGCTTCTTGCTTGCTTTGACTTCTTTTGATTTCGATGATCCACTTTGCGGTGGACTATTTCAAACGATCAAGATCAAATAATTAATTAGCTCTTCCTGGTTCTTAATTTTGAAGGTGTTGATATGAAGATACATTGTATGCGAGTATTGCTGTCTACAATTCAAACAACCGAACACAAAACTCTCCCCTCCTCTACGGCATCTCCCGTTTTCCATTCTGATTCGAACTTGCCCGATGCCCCCACGGCAATACTAACCTCCATCTTCATGCTTTCAATCACCATGACCGTCTCTCCAGACTTGACCTCCTCGCCATTCTTCTTGAGGACGGATAATACTTTGCAAGGCATCGGGGCTGTGACTGTCTTTTCCTCAGGCCCATCCTTTTCCTTGACTACCGCACGAATACTTTCGGCAAACGACAACAAAGTATCACGCTTGAACTCCACATGGGTTCCAAGTGCGGGAAGGTGACAGAAGACTCTCTGGCTGCGGTCTGTTTGACCTGCCAAGGCATGAGGCTGAACTGAGGGTAGAGCCACATGTGCGAGGACTTTTGAGCCGTCTATTGAGACTTCCAATGTGGATGTGAGCCATGATTGAGTCAAGGCAGGATTCCCTTGGGCAGGGCGCCAGGACTCAATCTTGACCACATGAGGGGTGGTAGACAAGGCTTCTCCGGTTCTCAGTGATTGACTGATACTGTTGTATTGAGCAGATACCTTCATTGCTGCTGACTTGGCCTTTTCATGATTCTCGGCTGCGTCAGATACAGAAAATAGATATACTTCTTCACTCCCAGAAGCCGAAGCAGAGCTTCGTGCCTTCCACACACACATGGTTCTTGATTGAATGCCTTCGCTATTTGACGAAGTTCGAGGCCAGTTGATCTTGGTCAAGATATCGCAGTGAACGTTCACAGGATCATATCGTTGATTGCGGAATTGCTTGCGAATATTCCCAAATGGCTTGCGGTGTGAAGTAGATGGGATGTAGTCGGGCAATTTCCGGGCGATCAAACTGGGAATGACTGAGAGAACTTTTTCAGCCTCGGGAGGATTCAAGCTCCAAGGCGACTGAAGAAGCCGATCCAGGTGGGTTGGAATGAACGAGGTAGTATAGGCAGGATCACGGAAACCCTTGTTTAGTAGACAAGCCTGCATGAACAGCTGGTTCGTCTTGACGCCGACGCAAGCTGTGTGTGCGAGGACCTTGGCCATTTTCTCGACAGCTAGTGCCCTTGATGGCGCCCACACAACAAGCTTGGCAATCATGGAATCGAAATAAATGGATACAGATGAGCCAGACTCGATGGCAGTCTCGTATCGAACATCCCGACCGGGTGCCAACTCTCCAGATCCAGGAAGCCACAAATGAACTTTGCCATGCTCGGGGAAGAAGTTCTTCTCGGGGTCCTCAGCACACAAGCGGCATTCAATTGCGTGTCCGACTTGGGTCACATTCTGAACGGCAGGCAAACTCTGAAGCCGTCCACCCGCCGCGACGAAAAGCTGCAAAGACACAAGATCCACCCCAGTCACCTCCTCCGTGATGGGATGCTCCACTTGCAGTCGCGCGTTGACCTCGAGGAAGTAGAAGTGGCCGGTCTTCACATCGACGACAAATTCGACGGTACCGGCATTCTCATATCCGATGAGTTTTGCGATGCGTACGGCAGTCGCGCTCATCTTTTGGCGTGTTTCTTCCGTCAAGAATGGACACGGGGTTTCTTCAATAACTTTCTGATGACGCCTCTGGACAGAGCAGTCACGATCGAAAAAGGAAACGACTTCACCATGTGAGTCACCGAGGATCTGGATTTCCACATGTTTGCTGCTTTCAATGTATTTTTCCAGGATACAGTCACTCGATCCGAACGAGCGCTGTGCTTCTGACTGTGCTCGCTCAAGTTCGTCCTTTAGTTGGCTCGATTCGCGCACGATGCGCATGCCCTTTCCGCCACCCCCAGCAGAGGCCTTGAGCATGACTGGAAACCCGATCTCTTCTGCGACTCGCTTCAATGCTTCAGCGTCTTGGCTCGATCCGGCAAAGCCGGGGATTAGGGGAACGTCCGGTGCATGTTCCCCTAGATATGCTTTTGAAGATCGCTTGTCGCCCAATGTCGACATAGCACTAGCACTTGGTCCGATGAAAATCAGTCCAGCTTCGCGGACGCTGTTGGCGAAATCGGCATTTTCACTGAGATACCCATATCCCGGATGGATGGCATTGGCACCGACGTTCACAGCCGTCCGCACTAGGAGCTCGATATTGAGAAAGGGGTTGCGGTCGCTCCGGTCAATACTGCCAATATTGATAGCTTCGTCTGCGTCGCGAACGTGCCGTGAGGATGAATCCCTGTTCGTGTCAAATTTTAGTATTCATTTGAGGCAACTCTTCATGATTTGCACGTACTCGTCAACATAGACCGCAACAGACAATATGTTCAGTTTCCGGCACGTCTGAATTATGCGACAAGCAATTTCACCGCGATTGGCGATAAGAACTTTCTGAATTATCGGTCGGCCATTTTCTCCCAGTGGAGGTTCAGCAACAAACAATGGCTTGCGAAATGGGGAGCTGGTGCTTCCATTTGCACCTTGCTTTGGGGCGCTTGTAATTCCAGGCATCTTTGCAGAGACAAGGAAGCTTTTACTTCTTGAGATGGAAAAACTGATTATCCCAACGGGGATTCATGAAATGTAAATCCATCTCATAGTAGATACCCATTTCCTTTCCCCGGTGGGTCCTCCGTACTCCAGGAACCTTCTTGTCCGGGGTCCACGCCATGCGTTCGGTCCGGCCTCCGTCACTAGGACTAGTGGGGCACGCCGGTCCGCAAGAATAGGACAAGCCGAGGTTTCGCGGGGAAGCAGGCTATCCATCAAGAGGATCGCTCAATTCCGGGGAAGATTTTGAAGATCATGCTGAAGCTATCGATCGTCCCATATTCATGAACAGCGATAGTCCCATAATCAGTGTTTAGGCGAGCAAATTGTCATGCAGAGATCAATAGACCAGATTGTACACAGGTTAAATTCAAAGTTATCTATCTCAGAGAAAAAATAGGTACACAAGCTCGATCAAATCCGCGCAAGCAAATTATGCGATTCCGTACCCTTCACACCTTGCAAAGTGACCGTCTCCAAGCACATTCCCAAAACGTCACGCGTATCCCGTGGATCAATAATTCCATCATCGATCAGCATCGAGCTAGTTGAATAGCATTCCGCATCCCGCTCAACCCGATCCCGGAATCCTTTGACCTGCTTCTGCAACTTTTCTGGAGACAGCGTCTGGCCCTTAGATTTGGCACTGGCTATCTGCACATTCTCCATGACTCCGGACAACTGATCAGGGCCCATCACGCTGCATCGACCAGTCGGCCACGTGAATAAGAAACGGGGCTTGTAAGATCGGCCGCACATGGCGTAGTTGCCAGCTCCATAAGACGCCCCGAGGATGATGGAGATGTGAGGAACTGTAGAACAGCTCACAGCGGATACTAGTTGGGCGCCCATCTTGATGATTCCTGCGTGCTCGGCCTTGGCGCCGACCATAAACCCGGTGACATTGTGTAGGAAGATGATAGGCGTGTTCCTATAAAATGTCGGTCAGTATTGAGGCGCTTCAGGCTGAGAATGTACACTTACTGTTGATTACACATTCGGATGAATTGGGCAGCCTTTCCCGCTTCATTGGGGTTGATGACCGAGATCTGATTGGCCACGATACCAACGGGGAATCCTATGTCGTTGATTAGCTCGAAACTTGAGAATGAAAGCCGGTGTGTAAGTCAATACCCATGATGTGAGCCCATGCGGTGATAATGTTAGGACCATATTTCGGCTTGAAGACTGAGAGCCGAGAGTCATCCACGAGACGCAAAAGAACCTCATTCATATCGAACGGCTTGCGAACATCGGGGTTCACAAGCGATAATAGGTCTTCAATCGGATATCGAGGTGCAGCCGGCTCGATCATTTCCAGTCTCGCAGGAGCTCGCATCTGCAGCGAGGCTACCCATTCCCGAGCCTTTTGGATGGCATCGAATCTGTTACCTGTCAGTTGAGAAGCTCAATGGCATATTGACTCATTCTTCATACTCGTCCGTTGCAATCTGGTCTGCAAGACCTGTAGTCACAGCGTGTACTTTGGCACCTCCCAATTCCTCGGCTTCAATGACTTCGCCCGTGGCCATCTTGACGAGTGGCGGGCCGCCGAGGAATGCTTGAGCTTGGTTTTCAACAAAGATAGTATAGTCAGACAAAGCTGGGTGATAGGCTCCTCCTGCCGTGGAAGATCCGAACACAATAGCGCAGGAAGGCTTGCCATGCCGCGTTCGCACCGCAAGATCGTGGAATAGCTGCCCACCCTTGTGAAAAACGCGGAATTGTTGGGGCAAAAAGACACCGGCCTAGAAAGAGAAACAATTAGAGGGCAATGAATGAGACTACTCTCGATTATATGCAGCGCTTACCGATTGAACTAGAGAGATTAATGGAAGGTCATTTTCGAATGCAATCTCCATCATACGGTTCACTTTCAGGACTGAAAGATTGTCAGCAGAATGAAACAGAAGAGAAGATCCATAAATTGATTTACCAGTCATCTCATTCCACGCGCCACCACTTTGCGTCGGAATATGGGACATGAGCAAGCAAGGCCGTCCACTTCAACAGTCAGAATGCAATATTTTCAGGTTATCCTTTGATTCAACGAACCAGACATTACCGATTCCAGAAATCAAGTTCGCGCAAGGTGTCGAGTCCTCATTCCTAAAGCCAGCAAACGCACCCAATTCGAGAAAAGGCGAATCCTGATCCAACAGTAATGCGACGCGATCTCTTGCTGTTCAATGCGTTAAACTTGGCACTTGGAACGCTTCATTCCAGGTTTGAACATACGCAGCAGCTGGCCTCGAGTTTGGTGTCTACGCAAAGATACATCATTTCCTTCGGCAGACACTTGCTTCAAGGCATCTTCGAATTTCTCCAGTACAGGAACCCAGCTATCTTTATTAGCTCGGAATTGTTCGCCCCGGAGATCGAGCTTGGCGCTTAGAGTTGGGTAGGAGGATTCAGTAGCCATGATGTGCCAAATGCAAATTTTGATGCCACGAAAAATTGAGCTCCGCGATACTGCACGTCGAGCTTCAGAATTGATTACTATAAGGGTCCAAGTTGACTAGTTTTTGGATAAATGGACACGAAGTGGGTAAGGCATGATCGGTCCGAAGCCCGGGGGCCACCCGGATAGGCCGTCCATCCCCAGCGGGGACCCGCCCCCATAGTACACGGTGGAATATGGACGAGACCAATAAATATGCTGTTCGGCAAGATAGAAAGTAGGGAACTTCAATCACTTATAGATTTCGGGGAAATCTGCTATCACTTTGCGCCAAAGCCATTATGGACCCCAAACTAGCCATAGTCCATGGCCCCAAAGAGCCTGCCTTATGGTCAAAAACACTCGGCAATTTTATCGACGAGCAAGCTACTTCATTTGGCGAGCAACCATGTGTCATTTTTCCATGGCAATCTGTCCGGCTTTCATACAGCCAGCTAGCCGACCACAGCAAGGTGCTTGCCAAAGCCATGCTTGAAATGGGTCTTCGGCATGGAGACTGTATCGGCATCATGGCTGGTAATTGCTACCAATACATCGAGGTATTCCTGGGCGGTGCCCGAATTGGGTGCCCCGTTGTGGTTTTGAATAATACATACACACATAGTGAGCTGCAGAATGCAGTGCGCAGAAGTGGTGAGTTCGATCCAGCTCGTTTGAATGCTTACTTGGGTTTAGCTGATGGCTGTCTAGCGTGCAAGCTTGTCTTTATAGCCTCTTCTATTGGCACTCGGGATTTATCTGGCCATATCAAAGCTCTGAGAGGAGATTCCTCTTTGAACTCGGCGCTACCAGAACTACGGCGAGTAGTGTACCTTGGAAATGGCGCCCCCGAACAAGGTGGTGTTGAGATACAGTCCTATAATACTTTCACATCCAACGGGCATTCGGTGTTTATGAATGATCACGTCCTTAAACGAGCGGAGATTCGAGTCGTCCCTGAGGATGTGCTCAACTTACAATTCACTTCTGGTAAAAATCATTAGCACTGAGTCTCACTGATACCACCATGCTAAAATGACACGCCAGGCACAACCGGTTCCCCTAAAGCAGCCATGTTGACACACAAGTATGTCCCCGCAATTCATTCCACGGCCATATCTTCTCTAACACTTTCTAGCAACCTCATCAACGATGCCCGCTTCGTTGGCGACGCCATGGCACTCACCTCCGAGGATGTGATATGCTGCCCACCCCCTCTCTTCCACTGTTTCGGCCTGGTACTTGGCTTCCTGGCATCCTTCACCCACGGCAGCTCCATCGTCTTCCCATCCGACTTCTTCGACGCAAGACTCGTCGTCGACGCCATGGTCAAAGAAGACGCCACGGTCCTCCTGGGCGTTCCAACAATGTACGTCTCGGAACTAGAAGTCATCGCGAAAACGGGCCAACGACCCCGCCGACTACGCACCGGTCTAGCATCCGGATCAGCCGTATCGCAGGGGCTGATGAATCAACTGCGTGCAAAAATGGGCGTTGAGAAAATGCTTATCGCGTATGGAATGACCGAAACGAGTCCTGTGACGTTTATCACTGCGCTGAGTGATTCGGATGAGAAGGGGACTATGACTGTGGGGCGGGTTGTGCCGCATACGGCGGCGAAAGTTATTGGGAAGGATGGGAAGATTTTGAGGAGGGGGGAGAGGGGGGAGCTATGTACTAGTGGATTTGCGTTACAGAAGGGGTACTTGGGGAACGAGGAGAAGACTAGGGAGGTTATGAGGAGGGGTGAGGACGGTGTGTTGTGGATGCATACTGGGGATGAAGCGTTATTGGATGAGGATGGGTATGCGCAAATTACGGGGCGGCTCAAGGATATGATTATTCGAGGTAAGACTCATCTTTTTTTCTTTCATTTACTGAGTGGGATTGGGTGACTGACTTTTGTGTATAGGGGGAGAGAACATCTTTCCAAGGGAAATTGAGGAGCGCATCATGGTGCATGCAGCCATTAGCGAAGCGAGTGTCGTGGGCATCAGAGATGAGCGCTACGGTGAAGTGGTCGGATGCTTCCTCAAAGGAGTGGAAGGATCTCCTAGGATCTCTGACTTGGAGGTGAAGCAATGGGTCGGGCAACAGATGGGTCGGCACAAGACGCCGCAGCATATATTTTGGATCGGTGCTACAGGGGTGGGCGATGATTTCCCAAAGACGGGAAGTGGAAAGCACCAGAAGCATATTCTTCGGGATATTGGAAATAGGCTGGTTGGTCAAAAGACAGTCAAGGCTAAGCTATAGATCTGATTGAATGCCATGTGGTTTCGGCTGTGAACTTGAATAACCGCGACTACTATCTTTCTAAGAAGTCCGTACATCCAATGATAGTCCGAAAATTCGGGACTAAAGATGGGAGAAAGGTCTAGCCCCCACGCTTCAACCTCCCTGTTTCTGAAAGATCTTTCGGAATGTGGCTGAGTCATCTCTCCGAGTAGTCCGGACACTATCCCTTGATTATGTCTCAAAGTACGACTCAGCGATGATCTTGAAGTTTGGTCGAGATTTCAGGTTTAGAAACTACGTCGTATTGTAGGCCAAGGCAATAATGAGTAAAAGGTATCATCTACTGTATTTTGACAAGTCAGGTGTTGCGGAAACCGGATCCATTACGGACTAAGTCATACACCAACCACTGCTAGAAATGTATAGTTCCATTTGGCTTCTCGCCGATGCAACCCCTTTCCAGATTAACCGGGGGTCTAATCGGCACTAAACGTCATGGAAGCGCCGACTAAGCACCGGACCGCTATCCGAGCGCCCCGGTAGCTTGCTGAAGATTGGGGCGGCTTATTCATGCACGGGCCCCCACCCGTTCGGTCCGGCGTGCGGATTCCAGGGAAGCCGCTCATCGATATAGTTGCCGAGGCTTAGAATAGCCGAGTAAATGGAGGGAAATGGTGAAGACTCGGCCATTATCTGTCGCAAATACACGATTATAATCTGCTACTGCAGCTAGAGGTGTTACTTCAGCTTCAATAGCACCGCCATCATCACCATGACAATTGAAACACCCCAAGTTCGAATCGTGGAAGTAGGACCCCGCGATGGCCTCCAGAATATCCGCGCAAAAGTGCCCACGTCAACGAAATTGGACCTGATTCACCGTCTCCGGGATACCGGACTTCGTACGATCGAACTCACGTCTGTCGTGTCGCCGCGTGCGATACCACAACTTGCGGATTGTCGTGAGATCTTGGGACATGCCTCTGTGAAATCCCTTCTCCAGAATAACCAGGCTGGTCTGCGATTTCCGGTTTTAGTCCCCAATGTCAAAGGATTAGATATTGCTGTACAGCATAGGGTGAAAGAAGTCGCTGTTTTTATCAGTGCGACAGAGGGATTTAGCAAAGCGAACATCAATTGCTCGGTCGAGCAAGGGATCGCGAGGGCTACGGGAGTGGCCGGTTTGGCAACCAAGGCGGGCGTTACTGTGAGAGGGTAAGTACTCATAATGTCTCTATCAGGGAGTTCCAGTCTTTCTGACCAGCACAGATATGTGTCCTGCATCTTCGCGGATCCATACGATGGTCCCACTCCCAAAGCTGCGGTTTTGCACTGCGTCAAATCTCTGCTGGATGCAGGCTGCTACGAGATCAGTCTCGGGGATACCCTAGGCGTGGGTTCACCGTCAGATGTAAGCGCCCTGCTTAAATATCTGGCTAGCCACGGAATTCCGTTCACAAAATTGGCTGGTCACTTCCATGACACATACGGTCAAGCCGTCGCCAATGTCTGGGAGGCATATACCTGTGGCTTGCGGGTATTTGACAGCAGCGTCGGCGGGTTGGGAGGATGCCCCTTCGCGCCAGGTGCAAAGGGTAACGTTGCCACCGAAGACCTTGTATACATGTTCCACAGCGCGGGTATCAATACGGACGTGGATCTGGCCAAGTTAGTCGAAACGGGTGAATGGATCTCGCAACAGCTTTCCCTGTCCAATTCCAGTCGAGCCGGGAAAGCCCTATCCATCAAGACGAGGCCGCAGATCTCAGCACCCAAACCCTCCGTTTCCGATCCCGAACAAACAACACCCTTAACATGGACACTCGTCTCCTCGCCCGAGGGCCTGCTGATCCACCGCAATGGCCCAACCCTCAAAATAACCCTTAACCGGCCCAAAAATGGCAACGCCTTAACATCCCCCATGCTCTCCACCCTAACGTCAACAATCCAATCCGCCAACACCGATCTCCATACAACCCGCATAATCATCACCGCAGTGGGCCGCTTCTTCTGCACCGGAATGGATCTTGGCCGGGGCAGCTCCTCCGTTGCCCAAGGTACATCCGCGTCCGACGCACAGTTCGCTCGTCTCACAGCGCTGTACGAGGCCCTCGATACATCGCCCAAGGTTACCATCGCGGCATTGAATGGGCCCGCATTCGGTGGGGGCGTGGGTCTTGCATTCGCGTGTGATATACGGCTTTGTGTCTCTGGTCCGGCTTGTACGCTCAGTGAAGTGAAGTTAGGGCTTGCGGCGGCGACTATCTCAAGATACGTTGTGAGAGAATGGGGGGTCCCGTTTGCAAGGGAGGCGATGCTGACGGCGAGGAGTGTGAGTGCGGAGGAGCTTTTAGCGAGGGGGTTGATCTCTGGCGTTGCCGGGACCGCGGCGGAGTTGGAAGGGCAGTTGGATGCATTGTTGGTGAAGTTGAAGTTGTGCTCACCTGGCGGATCGAGGATGTCAAAGGAGTTGATTCGATTAGCATGGGTGCATGGAGGGAAGGAGGACCAGGCGAAGGGCATCAAGGAGGTGTTTGATGAGATGATGAGGGCGGATGGTGAAGGGGCTGTTGGGTTAAGGGAGTTTCAGATGAAGAGAAAGATGGATTGGGATAAGTTTGTAGTTGAGTCTAAGCCAAAGTTGTAGATACCTAATGCCTCTTGGAAGACATATTTTAATAAAGTGATTATTTACTATTGAATTAGAGCTTGGAGATGACAGACACCATATAGCATGCAGATTTACACGGGACGCACACTGGACATCAAGTCCTTTGCGGTGTGTAGACACTGCATTGCAGCGAGGTACGGGCTTGTCTTAGGTATAGCGATAACATTGTAGGTCCTGCTGGTCGTATATATAAAGGGTGACATTAACGACACGACAGAAAAGTTCATGGCACGACGAGGCTAGTCTTAATGAGGAAACCCTCCCTTTTAATACAGAATGCTACATTCGAAATTCACAAAATACCTCTTGAGTCTTTATGTATAATTGATATTGATACTTCTGGTTAGTATCTTTAACGACTGTATTTATCCCTATAATAGACTAAGTTATTTCTCTACTCCCCCTCCTACTATCACCCTTTTTTACGGTCCTTTCTAATATCTTTTCTACGGTCTTTTCAAAAGATTCTTTAATGGATTTTTTTAATGGTCTTTTCTACAGTCATTTCTACAGTCATTTCTACAGTCATTTCTACAGTCATTTCTACAGTCATTTCAACGGTTTTCTCAACGGTCATTTCAACGGTCTTTTCAACGGTCTTTTCAACGGTCTTTTCAATGGTTCCTTTATTGATTTTTTAAATGGTTTTTTTAGTGGTTTTTTCAATGGTCTTGTTAATGGTCTTGTTAATGGTCTTTTCTATGGTCTTTTCTATGGTCTTTTCTAAGATACAGGCTTATACATACAGACGGACTCTACTGACATTTTGTAAATCTCCAATGTAGCATTTCGAATTGAAGGGGTAGCGCTCCTCATTAGGACTAGCCTCGTCGTGCCATGAACTTTTCTGTCGTGTCGTTAATGCCATCCTATATAAACAACTGATCTATGTTGAAGATATACTTGTGCAGTATCCTAGGGCGGGATTGCACTTCTGGTTCAGTAGCTGTCGAGTTCGAATTGATCGAACACATTACTGTAGAGGGTTAAGGTTCTATAACTGACTATGCTTTCCAAAACACACGTAATCTAGATAGTCACGTCTCCGAAGTAGCAAGTGTCCATACATCCTCTGTATTACATGTCCTGATCTCTTTCGGCACTGAATAGAGCAGTCGAGTCTCGAGAGGAAGACCAGTCAATGTTGCTTGGTAAATGGTGAGCTCCATTTCCGTTGGGAAAGGAGACATTCAGGTCCGTCTGCTGGATGCCGGTAATGTGATAAGATTAGATTAGGAGGTCTAGCCGAAGTTGCAGGAAAGACAACTCACGGTGGCATGGAACATAACTAGTACAGTATGCGTGGTCCAGAGCTGAGAGCTTTTAGCATAGACTGCACTCAGCATGCCCTACAAAGAGATCGCTTGGAATTTTAAACGCATCATATTCCATGAGCGACCCAAATAAAGGCAAGAGCATCAATTATGGCCTACTGTACACTTTGAAGCCACACCATAGGATATCCCAGAACAAAAAGACCACAGACGAGCTAGCTTTGTCTAGCTACAAGTCCCAACAGCGTAAAAGAAGCATTGCGTATCAAGAAGAAAACCACGCCAGGGAAAAACAAATCTGACGAGGTAGGTAATAATGACAAACAAGAAATATTGTTAATGAAAGAACACCATCCAGCAAGTTTTACAGGAAGATGAGGGAAGCACCGAACAGCGAGGAGACGATGGTCACCAGGCTGACGGCGATGGGAGCCATGCTGATGGTGAAGGGCTTGACCAGACCAGCAGCGGCACCGGAGGAAGTAGCACCCGAGGTGCCAGAAGAGCTCGAGCCGCCGGAGCCGGAGCCGGAAGAGGCAGTAGAGGTGGACTGGGTACCGGCGTTCTGCGAACCCTTGCCGTCGAAGCCTTCACCCTTACCAGCACCGTTCTTCAGATATTTCTTTGCAGGTTCAGGAATAGCAGGTAGCGAATCACTGGCATCAACATCCCAGTTAGGGGCATTCTTAACCGGGCAAGGGTTGGCGCCACCGGTCTTGTTGTAGTTACCGTCACCCTTGGGGTTGGAGGTCTTCTCAAAGGCGGTTTTCAGGGCATCATAATCCTTCAAAGTGCTGACATCGTTGCCGCTGATCTCAACCAGGCCGTAATTGGAGTCTTCGTTTGAAAATTCGTACACTAATCCACCCGAGTAGACGCCAGTCATCTTAGTATCGTAAAGAGCACTGACTTCCTCGAACTTGCGGGTGTTGGTGTTGCAGCCGTACTCGGAGAGGAACAGAGGAAGACCATAACCAGTGAAATTCTTCACCTTCTGGTCCCAGCCAGATGTAGTAAAGGAGGAGGGATCGCACCAGGAGTAGTCGTTAAAGGCGAAGAAGTCGGAACGCTCGTCGTCGGTACCACAGTTCATGTACTCGGCCATCTCGAGACGGTTGGTGTTAATGTCAGCAGCAGAGTAACCAACGGGAACCTGGCGAAGCTTCTGCTCGCTGAGGTAAGAGCGGATATCACGAGTGACGGCCTTGACGTAGGGGGCCGCCTTGGAAGACGGGCCATCGTTAATAACCTCGTTTCCAGAGAAGAAGGCCAGGGTGTTGTCGTAGCGAGCGAACTTGTCGACAGTCGCGAAGATGTACTGAAGGTAGACATCGTTGTAGGAGGGAGCGGGGTCAGCCCGGTTGAGAGAGTACTTGGGGGTGTTGACGTCCAGGACCAGGTAGATGCCGGCCTCGGCGAGGGCGTTCATGCACTCATCATGGTCGGCGGAGTTGTCCACAGAGTAGACACGGATGGTGTTGAGACCGAGGTCCTTGAACTTCTCAATATCACGCTTGCAGGTCTCGGCATTGCCAATGGGGTCGGCCAGCTTGGAAGAGCCACCGGGCTGGTAGTCGACACCACGGATGTAGAAACGGCTATCGCCCTGGAAGAAGGCATTGCCCTTGACGGTGATGGGAGTGACGCTGCCGCTGGTCGCACGCTTAGCGGCAGTTGTGGTGGATGAAGGAGCAGCCAGGACGGACTGAGCTCCGAGGGTGAGGGCAGCAGCCAAAGAAGCGACGGTCGCCTTCATTGTGATGGTCGTGATCAAAGGGCAGCAATATGGAAACCGGGAAGGAATTTATCGGTTGAGGTGGTTGAATGATAATTGGAATTGTTGATGATGGTTGATAAAAGCTGCAAACGAGTGTCTAAAAGAGGGACAGGAACAAAAAGATTGAAAGCGAAGGTCTAAGTAAAAAAGAGAGAGCGAGTGTGAGGAAAGAAGGCTGGTTGAGGAACGTAGGGATGGGAAGGAAGGGAGGGGGGAGGAGGAGGAGGACAGTCCAGCCAGCTTATACTCCATCCACACACACCCGCCACCCACATCGATTCAAGTCCCTGAATCCCTGAAATCCCTGGACTGATAATCCCTGGCGAATCCGTGTGCTGAATGACCGTCTCCACAGGCCCTGATCGGCCGGTGGCGTTAGGTGGAGCTCCTTTCAGAACGGCAAGGATGGACCAGGGAGTATTGATTGAACGATGATGATTGGCAGTACGGAGAGACCAGAACTTGTAACGCGATGAGGTGCTTGCGAGCATCTGAACATTTTGCTCCGCATGTCCTGGACGACTGCATCTGCCTGGATTCTGGCGGTAAGGAGGTCCGAAATGGCTTGGAGAGACGCTCTGGCTGGATCCACGAAAGCCCGAGTGGACCCCCGTAAGTGGGTTGGTATAGCCGGTGGAGAGTGCGGTTTGACCCTGAAATCCAGCACTGGCCAATCCAAACAAACCTAAACGGAGGTCTCGGAGACCATCTCCAAGACCTGCCAATGCTTCCAAGGCCCTTGGCCGTTGACTCTTTGGGTCGAGTCTTCTGGTGTTTCTAGTATTTATAGCTCGTCCACTCCAAGGTTGCGTGTCACCAGCGGTGTGCTCTCTACTTTCTGGGCACCATTGGCGGCTTGTGATCGTGCCCAGCCGGTTATGAACCTTCCTATTATTATTATACTCTTGACTATTTGGTCTGGGATCTCCGCACGGCCAATAGATCCCCTATAGGCCCGAGCCCGACCCCCTGAGAACTTGCAGTCAAGTCTTTGCCATTACAATGCACATCATAATAGAAGATCCATCTCAAAATCAACCGTTCCCTTCAAACCCTTCCTGCAATCTACAGTCCCACAATTCATATAAAACAGTTATAGGCACATCGGTCCCACAAGGGGAACATCATAATACTTGTGTGTCGACTTGGCGATGACGCATTCTCTCCTTCGACAGTGGAGCATAGACTCCCTGCCCGGCTCGCCAAATTTCGTGACATAGGAATTGTGAATGGGACGACTCGCTACATTTAAATATCACTCAACGATCTCGAGGCTATGAGGCTGCCAGGCGCCCAAAATATGGCATCTCTTCTCCGTGTCAACTTCGTATCGTACCAAGAGGTACCTGTACTCCGTCCTCCGTACAGTGACAAGTGATACACACCACTTGGCGCCCAGGTCTTCATCTACCTCAAGTCACACCCGTCCAATCCCGTTTCCCCATCTCCTCGCTTCAATTCCACTGGACCCGCGTCGCTCTCGACTTGGTTCTCGATGCGTCCATGACCCCTGCTCCACCACCGATACAACCGCCTAGTCTCGCCTCCATTGCTGCACTCATCAGGGTACAATGAAGATATACTTATTTGACTTCCACGTCCTCGGTCCTAAAATATTGCTGAGCACCTCCCTTTCCCCGTGGAAACACCGCAACCCGTCTGGTTCGCCTATTGGCCCGCTGTTCGCTATTCTTAGGAAATTTAATTGATCCACTGAGCGCGGCATTCCCAGGCAGCACCTTAATTTCAGAATCAATATACTCCGTACAGGAGACTGGATTGCCAATCAGTGCGGTCGCAAAACCCGAGCTTCTCATACAATTGACAATTGACAACCCATAACGTGATATCAGAACCTGCAGCCCGGAAAACCTGCCGCAACAGGGGATTCGACGGAGTAAAACTTCATGCCGCGTTGCGAATCACGGCCGCTGTCTTCTTGCGACGGCCCAGCACAGCCTTCACATCGCCCCACAGACCGCCCACAGTGCTCCGCAATGCCCCCCCCCCCCCCATACTTTCCACCTGGAATGGGAGTTAGCGTCATGATTGGCGTGCTCTGAGGCTGGAAGAGAGGGAACTTGGAGCGCGATGGTCTCCTCTGCTCATTACCACGGGGTAGATCAAACCCTTCCAGATTCAGATAAACGATACTAGCATCCAGCCATTGAAGAAGGGCTTGCTGTATACGTAGCTGGTGCCGAATAATGTGAGGAGTACTAGGACGACTGTATCGAAAAAGAAGATTGTGTTGGCGACTATCGCGATTTGTATGCCTTCTCGCGCGTGCTCGAAATCCATGTGCTCGATGGTGCGCGACTCCAGGTAGTTGATGAACTCATTTCTCCAAGTCGTGACCGGTTGCGATTGCATTATCTCGTCGGAGACAGACTCCGGGGTTGACGTCTGCTTTTCCTCGGTCAGAGGCATCTGGGCTCGGGTGCGCATGGGAGACTCGGGGCTTGCTGTGATACTAGTGATCGCATCCATATCGGGAGATGTATGCTGCTTGTGGAATGCATAGCCCATCACGATAACCATGATGAGTCCGACTTCAACGAGGCGGTATTTCCAGCGAGAGTATCGCTCGATTCTCTAGTACTGGTAACGGTAATCGCTTTTTTACGCGTCTATGCTGTGACAAAGCAGACGACGACACCGCATAGGAAGCCGATCCACGGCGCGCCAATGGCTGCCACGGTTGACATGGGCCTCCACGAGAAAATGCCTCCCGACGGGCAGAGCGAGACCGCCCACGACCACGCCTAGCACTATCAACACCCAGGTCAAGTACCTACCGAGTCATTATGTATAATTCATACTGATACTTCTCCTTAATATCTTTAGCAACTATATACGCGACCTCTATCTATTTATTCCTATAGTGAACTAAGTTATTATTCAACTCCCCCTCCTAATATCACCCTTCTTTACGGTCATTTCTACAGTCATTTCTACAGTCTTTTCTACAGTCTTTTCAACAGTCTTTTCAACAGTCTTTTCTAAGGGGTTTTCAAGGTCTTTTCTAAGATAGGCTTATACGTCCCTAAGGACTCTACTATTATTTTATAGACCTCGAATATAGCATTCAATATTACAGTGGGGGCGCTCCTCGTCAGGACTAGCCTTGTCGTGCCATGAACTTTTCTGTCGTGTCGTTAATGCCATCCTTTCAGAAATCCCATCATATTGGAGAGAATGCCGGTCTTTTGAGCAAGTGGCCCAACATCCCGAGGCTGTCTTCGTTTCTCAAACAACATTTGTGATTAAAATCGTAATCCCGAGGGTGTATATGGTAGAAACCAGATTTTTTCCAGTATCTTATAGGTGGACTTGACCGGGTTAGATCATGATATTCTTCCGAGGACCGGCATTTCCTCAGAAGTATATTGGGACTGAATCAATATGATCAAATCCTGGAATAGTGCTGTGCTGCGAATGTTTGCGGTGATAGATACATTCATGGATTATCACCAACTTCCAGTTCATCTAATCACTCTGCCCCCTCATATGGCCTAGTTGGACATACCTTCAGTGGATGGACCGTTTGGGTGTGCTCCATGAGGGGAAATCACAGAACCGGTCTCCCGTGTCGAGCATGATCTCCACGGGTTACCGGGCACATCCCTAGGCGGGGAGAGTGGGTGGGTGGGATGCGAGTGAGGTGGTTCACCTCGCTCGTGGTACTTCTTCTTTTAGCTTCCTTTCTTATTAAATAAACTGATCTAATCTTTTCATATCTCATATCACAATTCTGTCGTATTTTTCTAAAAATTAGTACTATAAGGAGGTATTGTGGAATACTGCTCATCGGGTGTGGTCCCGGGCTAGCCTCCATAGTACGTACTGCGCCATCGTGGGATGGCGATGGAGCATCGCCATGAAGTACATAGGGAATCAGAGGTCAAGGGTTCGATTCACGGGAAAGTAGACTGTTAACATTTCGAACAGGCCGCACTTATAATGATGTGCACCGCATGTCCAGCCTCGTACTTCACCATCAGATCAACATCAGCATGCCGCAGATTATCGCTTTCTAGATTCTTCTTGTCCAACCTCGCAGTATAGCCATGTTTTCATGGATTGAAACTCCAGGAACCCTCGTGCCGTTTAAAACTTCCCTTATTCAAGCCTTAAGGCTAGCTTTCTATCGTAATCGCCGGTAAAGTCGGGATGTGACTGTCTCTGGAGCTAGGTCGACCATACCGTGCAACAATCGGTATCTAGTGACTATTTGTGCAAAAGATCCCGATCAAAGTCACCTGGAGTTGGGCTAGGATGGTATGGTCCAGGCTGGGAGAGCTCGCTCGTATAATTTGTTCTACTGGGTGCAAATCCAGACTGAGTCGATCACTCGCCGCCGCCCGATTGATTCCAAGGTGGAAATAAGACCAACACACGCAAAGCCTCCAAATTGCAAAAACGCCCAAGACCCGATCGCTGTGTTCGCATGATTATTCGGAGTGTCGCTTCCCCAACGTATTCGTTCCATGTACCCAATCAAGGAATCCAATTGACCCGTAATTGAGGTTGAACTTCTCGTGGTGCAGGTCGTGCATTTTCGCCTTGTTCCCAAAGAAATCGTACCCACTATGGACAGTTGCCGTATTGAACAGTTCCCAGGCAAGGTAAGCCCAGAAAGTCAGCACGTGGCTATGCAATAGCTGCGGTGGCAGCGAGATCGGCAGTGCATTCGCGAAGATTTGCTCGATCGGATGCGCGAACTGAGCTGCTAGCGCAATGGGAGCCGTGAATTTGTGATGCTTTTTGTGGATGCGTCGGTACAGATAGGGGATGTGAAGAAGTCGATGGCTGTAGTAGAACATCGCTTCGCGGAGGACCAGACTGATTGCAAAGTCACGAACAAATTCAAATGCCGAGGGCAGGGTTGTGGTGACACGATAGGATGACCCAGATCCAGCTTTGCTGCTAATGTATATCAGGCTCAGGTGTAGCACGGACGAGAGGATCTGGTTCTGAGTAACGACGACGAAACAGCGCACGATGTCACTGCGGGTGGGCTGTTTTGGGGCCGGCTGAATTTTGTGCCTCTGACTGAATTTGGGCGCAATCACATCGAGGAAAAGGTAGACGATCGAGGGCAACCAGAATGTGAGGACTTGAACAAGCAATGTGCCCACAAACTCGATTCTTTGGGCGGAGTAAGTGTCCACAATGTTAGCCCAGAAAGCCGAGGCCTGTGCAAGCATCGGGGTGACATAGTCACTGATGGCTTCCATGGCTATGAACAAAAGAAGTCAATTCAAGCTGCCAGCCACGAAGCAGCAAATTTGCGGCTGTCGAAGTGAAAAGGTGGACAGGCACGCGTTCTTCAGGGTCTGGAAATCTCTCAGGGTTCGACGTGAAACCTCGGTCGGTTCACCCCACAATATGTCCCCGCAATTCGATCAACCGCCGCTAGCCATCACCAATGATCGGTGGATATCGGCTAGGGTCTGCCATGTGACGGTCATTTAGAGTTCGTCGTGTTGACAGCCATCGCAAGAGGTATAATCAGAGCCCTAAATCGCCTTTCTTGAGAATTTTGGTATAGATGTCCGGTGTTCGCCGTCGAACGAGCTAAACGGCACAGTCAGCCTCCCATCGTGGAAGAAAACTAACCCACCACAAACCAAGTTGACCTTGGCTAGGCCAGCCCGGCACATCAGCAACACTGACAATGGATACCGTATGTCAATCGGCTCGTCCCTGGAGTCCGATGTAGGTTTCAAAAAACGAAAGAAACGAATCAAATGATAGCATGGAGATAAAGAGAGTGGAAGCTGGACTTGCTTGAGAGAGCCGTAAACGGCCCGGAAGCGGCCCGGCCAGGCGGGCCAACCACAAAATGACGACGACCTCATCAGACGAACTTTCCTCGACAGTTACCGCTGAAGAGGTTCTCACTCCTTGATCACATTCATCATCGCTGAGTACGACTCAAGGTATATGCCGTCAGCCGTCTTCGTGCAACTTCACCCATCTGCTCTAGAACCCCACTAACGAGGCCAAGATGAACTACATCGAATACGGAATCAGCCGCATCTTCGCAAGCGCCAAAGGCCGCGATGCGCGCCTTTTCACCAAGGGACCTGCCTTTACCCAGATCCCCGGCCCAACTTTCAGCCTCAAGTGTACCGAGGTTGGTCCCTCCGGATCAAGAATGCCCATCGACCTCTCCGCCGAAGGCCTCGGCCGCTTCCCGACTCTGAGCTGGTCTGCCGCAACACCTGATATCAAGGAATACTTACTCGTCAGTGAGGACCCGGATGCTCCTCTGCCGTCTCCAATCATCCATGGCATTTATTACGGTATCCCGGCCAGCAAGATGGGTGTGAGCGATGTGGACTTTGAGGTTGCAGAAGGCGAGTACATGCTCAAGGGCGGGTTCAAGTACGGCAAGAATCGTCGGGGAACTGTTTATATCCCGCCGCGTCCGCTGTTGGGCCATGGTCCACATCGGTACTTTTTCACCCTTGTTGCTCTCAGTCAGCCTGTCGATACGTCTAAGATGAGTCCCCTGCCGACTATCGAGGAAATGGCAAAGGAGATTGAGGGGAAGGTCATGGGCTGGGGTGAATGGGTTGGTTCGTATGAGAGGAAGTGGGAGTGAAGGCGCACTGCTATGAGGGTCACTCAGATGGTCAACGCGCGTTAGGCCAGGGCAGGCGGTTGAAAATTCTTCGTTACGAACCCATTGTTACACGTTCTCTTTATGATAATACTCAAGTTTAATAGACGTGCAATAGCATTTGCACATATTTCTTCGCCCCATTGAATTAAAATCCTGGTTTTTGCTTGCTGTTTGAACTGTTCAACAGCGATCATGGGAGTTACCTGGTCTATGGACTCTGCAGTGGAGAATTTCATGTGAAAAGGACTCAGTGGGCTGTTATGAGTATCCATTTCGAATCTAGGGTGCGGGCACAGTGTATACTCCTGGCAACTTCCGGATTACGTGCCACGGTTCGAGTAGCTGTAAGAGGTAGGGAAGCCATATGGAGTAGCGTATGTCCCAAAGCTGTGGCTTCCGCAACTTTGTACCCACCTGGAATAAGGGCCGCGAGCCACGAGAGGAGATCTGGGTCGTGGTGTGCAGTTGCGAAGTGAAGAGGTGGGATGTCGAGAATGGGTGCTCGCAGATTTGGATCTAACTTAAGCTGAGACAGGAGAGCCACTAGACATCTCTGTACGCCAGAGTCACTCAGATTGCATCGAGCGATACCCCAGGATAGTGGCGGGAGAGCGACGGTCAGAGCAGCATACGGGCGGTAATTAGGCGAATACCCACAAGTCGACAACAAATGACGAAGCATAGATTGCTGACCTACGGCGATAGCCTCATGGATAGGCGAAGGCGTCGAAAGAAAGGAACAGACCACTCCCCATCGTCGATTTGAAATTGCTTCTCGTCCAGTGATACTTCCCTTGCCCGCGCAGACTCATCCGCTCCAGCGGCACGTAACATATCAAAGCTCTTCACGTCACCTATCTCAGCAGCAACTTCCAGCCCGGTAAAGGCCTTCTCCATCTGCAGTCTTTGTCCAGGGACATTAGGCTCTTCCCAAAACTGGGGAAATCCATGGCACCGCTCATCAAGCTCTGCCTGAGTCAACGAGCAGAATTGATTGCTAATACCATTTCATTGAGCATTTGCAAGAACCATAACACAAGGCTTACATGAAGACAAACTCGTTACGTCATCTTGAAAATGGCGACCACGAATTCATCGGACAGAAAAGTCCGTCAAACAGGCCCGATATATGCCATCCGGGTTGGCCCCTGCATCCAGAAGTAGACGAACGTTGTGTGGCAGATGAGCGCGGACAGCAAATTTGAGAGGCGACCGAAAGATATTGCATGCTGTTCCACCCACGGTGGCGCTCGGACCTAGGTGTTCTAATTGTAAGAGCCCCCGTTCGGTTAGATCTTCCTTTGTCATGGTCTTTGCGTGGTGGGCGAGAAGGGCTTCTAATATCGCGGGGTCGGACTTGGTTGCAGCACGGATTATAGGAGTGTCATCATCTCAGTAATCATCAAGGCTCGTTGTTTTCTTTTTCATCATACTAGGTAGAATATGGACCAATTTGGGTTGCTCTGTTCCACGAAAATAGCACCTATTCCTCGGAAATCTGGGAATGGCGATAGGTAGTGATAATCATCTATACTATAACCTCAAATCATCAGCTATTCTACACAGAGCTGCAGAATATTGTCACGACTTCGGGGTTGTTGAACTCGGTCCATTTGGATTCTCAATCGGGCCCGAAGAGTGGGATTCGCCTAGTCTCCCTATCATATTCCAACATAGGGGACAGGCAGACCCTGGGATGTATCCTATAGTTGTGATAACAGTATGCTTACGGCGGTCAAAAATCATATATATTGCTCATTGTGGAGAGAAATGGTGTATTCTCTTTGCGAGAACAGCAATGGCAAAGGCACGGTGCTAGGAACGTTGAAAGAGCCATGTATTTCTTCAAATGTACCGTGTCGTGGCTATCGCTGGCAAGCATTGCCCTCTCGATTCCACTTGTGTCTAAACAGCAACAATGCGGGCTCCACAACATCGCTATTCGACGGGAATGGTAGGCTAACTTCTCATCATCGTATTCAAATTTGAATATCTCGACATGATTCTTACCGTTGACGAATCTCAAGGGGCGAGATGTTACCCGCAGAGCGAATTGGGTATACCAACGCCGTCCTATGTCTCATGCATGCACCGCCTCGGCTTCCAACTGCAAAGTATCCTGGCGTGCGAAACCGATTGGATGATTTTATCGCGTAAGATTCCAACCAAATATGAATGTCAAATCCAATAGCGACTTCATAGTGATGATCCAGGTAGAACCCATATCAACTATACCCTCAACAGTCACTACAGTGGGTTGTTTTTACCGTGGCATCGGCAGTTCCTCTGGTTATTTGAGAGAGCTCTTCGGGATGAGTGCGAGTACAAGGGGTATCTTGCGTATGTCTTTACTCATGAAATTCTATAAATATACAAACACCCTCTCATCGATCCGGCCAGCTACTGGAACTGGCCACTTTGGTCAAGTAACCTCCACGAAAGTCCCCTCTTCGACGGCACTGAGACCTCTCTTTCCGGCGATGGTATATATAATCCGAGTGAGCAAAGTTTATCAAGTGGCGCTGTGGCTATAATCCGCGGTTCCGGCGGAGGCTGTGTCCGGCGCGGACCATTCAAGGACATCACCATCCATCTTGGACCCTTCCCGCACACTCTCTCCTCTTCAATAGATATCCCCGATCCGGGGTTCGATTATAATCCCCGCTGTCTAAATCGGAGCCTCAATAACTTTGTTTCTTCGCATTTCACCAGCCAGACACAAGTCACTCGCCTCTTATCTTCGACGAATATCGCGGACTTTCAAATAGTCATGGATCATTGGCCTGCCGCACCAGAGGGGGTTTTGGGGCTTCATGGTGGAGGCCATTTCAGTATTGGATCTACGATGCAGGATTTATTTTCTTCGCCGCAGGATCCAGCATTTATGCTTCATCATGCCATGATTGATCGGTTGTGGGCAATTTGGCAGGCGGCGGATGAAAGCAAGAGGCGGTTTGCAGTCAATGGGACGAATCGGATTTTGAATCCACCGTGGGCAGACCTTGTTACTTTGGATATGGAGATGGAGTTTGGGGTTCTGGATAGGAATCGGTGCGTTGGTGAGGTCATGAGTCCGGTGAAGGAAGGGTTGTGTTACACCTACACTTGACCCCTTTAATAGAATTGTCGTGTGACAATAATAGCTAGCCGTATTTTTTGAATCTAGAGAGACATATCCGATTGGAACGAATACTCTCCATGTAGCCTCGCGAGGTACCCGGTTAATATTTAGGTGATATTAACGACACGACAGAAAATTTTATAGCACGACAAGGCTAGTCTTAATGAGGAACGCCTCCTTCAATACAACATGCTACATTCAAGTTCTACAAAGTGCCTGCCGAGTCCTTATGTACTATAACAATGTTTTACGCCAGTTTTATAAGATAGAGTTTTGATACGGCCGAATCTAATATGAATTGGGGAGTAAATGTAAACATGATCTCGGGTACTTTTCTGAAGTAGATCGTTTCTGGACCATGGATGCATCAGTAACTCAGGACTAATGATTGGGTAAGGTATGACATTGTGTTCGCGATTGCTCCCCATGGGTTACCATGATTGGTGATGGGACCTCGGCAACAAGCGCCCGTTGGGGTGTTGTGAGACACGAGGATTTCTGGTGACGCTTCCATTGGGTTTGATACATTCGTTGGAGGCCTGGTGCGTTGGCCAGTAAATACGAATGACTGCATGAGGGGGGAAATGATGCAAGGCCGTGGCCATGCATCTGGAGGGAAATGCTACCGCAATACTAGTCACTAGTTACTAGTTACAATTCCCCTTAGAGTAAATAAATAAACATCCCACGAGAGACATGACCACTATGTAGATGATCGTGGGAAGGATATCCATGGATCAACTAGGAACCCGTTTTATGTCTGCTCGCATTTGCCTAGTGGGGAAACGTATGACAGCATGACTCCGAGTAACCGAACTTGAGGCCGAGTCGGAGTGGACCTGCCTATTTTCAGCCCCCGAGGGCGTGAGACCCGACTGATGGGTGGGGCTGCACTGCCTGCTCGGAGGCGTCGTGACTGGCGTTGGCGTCCGTTCGAATGGAGAAAGATGATGGAGGCGTTGATTGGGTCGGTGTGGGAGAGGTTAGCGTCACGGAATCGTCGGGTTCTCACGTTAGTCGATAAGTGCGTACGTATTCGAGCGATGGCCTGAGAGAGATCAAAAGGGATTGAATCGTTGGGTGTGCGAGTTGTACAAACAGGGGTTTGGTGGGCGGAATACTCCCGATCGGAAGGTGTCCAGGATGATGATGTTGCAAAAATACTTCTCCTGTCCATCAAAGACCAAGCTATCGGTCCGATCGCCGATCCCCAAAGACTTTTTTTGAATCCGGTCAGCCACACCCAGGACCCGTTCAACGAACGGTCACTCAATATAATCCGAGGATCCATTTCAGCCTCGAAAACCTATCTGAGCTCGCCGAGCCTCGTCGAACCAGTTTCCTCACGGCTATGCCAGAACCATGCAATCTATTGTCCAATGCTAATTTTGTTCCCCCCGCGGTTGATCCAAGCTTCCAAACTATCGAGTTTTCGGGATCGCGTCCACTAGTGTCTTCCTTCAACTGGGCATAGTTGGTTTAAAACCGGGAAGCTGTCTGAGCTCATTGCGTTGCCTCATCGTGGTCTCCATAACAGATTTTTTTTTCTTTCTTTCTTCTTCTCTTATCTTGTCATGTACCTTTGACCTGCATAATACCCCATCGTCTCTTATTTCCATCTCTCCCCCTCTCCTTTTTCTTATTTCTTCGCCTCCGCTTCTACCTCCTCCCCCCCCTTCAATCTCCAACTCCAAAACTCGCCTCCCGCATCCGGCTTGGAATTGAATTTGGTGTCCCTCTCACGTCCAACCACACGCCCTCACCAAATCAAAATTGAAATCGCCGCCCACAATGCTGCGAATCAATTTCCTCCAGCTGGTCTTCGTATCACTCATGCTCCTGTCTCTCGCCTTTGCGACGGAGCCTCCAGTGATCAACCACGCCGTGCATCGTGAGTCCCAGTCTCTCCAGGAGGTCCTGGCCGGTATCAACGTGAACTCCATTCACGAAGCCCTGCATGCCCTCTCTCGCAAATTCAAAGACGGCATTTTCCCGACTGACATGAGTGCCGCCGAGGCCCTGCAAGGTGATGACGAGACGATCGCGAGCCTGGTGAGAATCGCCAAGCGGCAGACCAATGCCACGGCTTCTTCTGAGCCGACTACTTCGGTGGATTCTACCACCACCACCACTTCGGTGCCCGTCATCACTACGACCTCCAGCAGTGAGGCCGTTACTACTACTGCGGTGCAAACTACAACTTCCAAGTCTACCACGGAGCCTTCGACGACCTCGACGACTAGCTCGTCCTCGAGGTCAAGCTCAACGACGACCACGGTGCCGTCTACTACTAGCACAACGAGCTCGTCTTCATCGTCTTCGAGTGTCCCCAGCTCGACCTCAACGACCTCAACTACCTCGACTACCTCGACGCAGTCTACTCTCACCACTATCACGAGCCAGTCGTCTTCTTCTTCTTCTTCTTCTTCTTCGACGACCTCGGCCCCTACCACGGACAGCTCTTTTACTTCCACATATAAGAGCACTACGACCTTGCCCGATGGCAGCCTGAGCACCATCACCTCGACAACTATCGTGCACGTCCACGCAACGGGCTCCTCCGGTAGCTCGACGACGACCGGCTCTTCTCCGGGCCTACAAACCGGTGCGGCCGCTCTGACTACTGCTGGTCTTACCCGGGAGGTTGTCGCCATGGTCGGTGGCGCCGTCATGGTCGCCATGGCACTGTGAGAAAACTCTCCAACCTCCATCAAAACCTCGCCGATGCTTCATCTTTACGGTTGATAGCATTTCTGTTTATTATTTCCAACTTTATTTCGCATCCATCAGCACGCAATCCATCTTGCATTCATCTATTCCAGCGTTATCGATGGCAATTCCCGTCATCACCTCACGATCCTTACGAGCTTTCACACTCATGCCTCTCCTTTCTCAAACATTGGCTCTCTCCGGCGTTTTATCATATCTGGACTTGGAATGTTCATCTGGGGCTCTCTTGTTTCTGGCTCCAATTGTTTTCACACGAGCAGCATTTAGCGCACTCTATCAAATTTGTGGTTTAGTTAGAGGGTTGGGATTTCTCATCTACGAAAGACAAAAATGCAGTGGATCTTTCTAGTCTCGGCCTCGGCGGTCGACGAAAGATCCTTTCTTTCTTCCATTGAATTCAAATGCATGTCAATGCTATCAAAATGTAGACGTAAAATCATTGTGTATAGTCACTCGCAATATATAGAGCATCAGAATGTGCAGTGGGGGGTATGTATGCGCCACCAAGCGCGGCCGAAATTGCTGTCCACCAAAAGAACCAATCACCTCATGGACCATCATTTCCTCGTAGATCCAACCACTCCGAGTCTGCTCCTCAACCCCTCACCACATCCCATGTATCAAGCGTATATCTGTCATTTATCAGGTTGGATCTCGACATCACCGTCCCTGCGCCACACCACCCTGCCACCGCTCCTCCCCCGTCCAGTACCGCACCACACTCTCCCACGCCGGCAAATCGCCATCTCGAAGAAGCGCCGCAACGTCCACGTTCAGTGGAGAATCGGGCTGCGGATCCGTCAGGAGCTGGTGGATAGCGGTGAGCGTAGAGGAAAGCGTGTAGACGGGACTCCAGTGTTCCGTCGTAAGGAGGGTAAGACAAATCTCGCCGGTCGCGAAGGAGATGTTCGGGTGAGATATGCGAGTTGTGAAGTGGATTGTCGGGGGTGCAAGGGGATAGTTTGGCGGGATTGCGATTCGGAGGTGCCAAAGGCCGCCTGGGGAGGGGGGTCCGTTTGTTAGTTGTTATGTCCGCCGTGAGTTGTGTGGTGATGGCGCATTACCTTCATAGGGTGTCCCGTTTACGCCCTTGAGGACGGCTTCCCAGCGGAGGAGGTCTTCGTCATCGACTGGGCCCAGGTGGAGGAGGACTTCATTGGGTGATTTGGCGTAGTCTTTTAGCTCGCGCAGCAATCGTTGCGTGGTATTGGTTGATGGTCCGGCCATTTTCCGTGGAATGTGTAGGAGAGCCCAGGTAGAGGGGGTGAGGAATGTAGTGCAATAGGCTCTGGTAGTGTCGCAGGTAGGAGGGTGTGAGAGCACGAGGCGTAGTGGTGTAGAATGCGAAAGCAGACCCTCGGCCGGCAGGGAAGGTTGGAGAAGAGAAGCACTGGGGGCGGCTGGGATCGTCACCGAGGCTGGGGGATCGCGGGAATCGGCACTTTGCCCCAGACCGCATCCACGGGAATCCACATGTAAAATTTCCCGGCCCCATCACCTTCTCTTCTACAGTCGTTCTCCGGCCATTCTCGAATCCGTGATTCGCGATGCGCACTTCTCGGGCATCCAAGGAGACTGCCAAGGTGATCCAGGCGTTGTCGCCTCCTGCGCGACGCCAAACTCGCAGTGCAGCCCTCGGCTCTGGCGCGCTCAGGGGTTTCGCCTATAATGCGGACTCGGCCGTGAAGAGCGAGTCGCTGATCCCGACGATTGCTGCGATTCCTGCTACTCGAAGCGACGATCAGTCGTCTCTTTCGTCTGCCGATACTGCCGACATCGAAGACCTCGTCGATGACTTCGAACCTCCCTCCAAGCGTCGGAAACGCAATGTCAGTCCCAAGATCCTATCAGCTTCCAACCGCACCCCTCGCAAGCCCCTCGTGAAGAAAGAGGACGAGCTCGATGAGAAAGCAACCCCGCCAGCCAAGAACCGGCGCATGCCTGCTCGTAAAACCCGCGATGCCAATGGGGCAACCGTCGTCGAACCACCGTCCAACTGGGAGACCATGTATAATATTGTGAAGAAGATGCGCGCGGACAATCCAACCGCGCCGGTGGATACAATGGGCTGTTCAGATCTATACTGGCGGGGATCTTCCCCTCGAGATCGCCGGTTCCAAACTCTCATCGCGTTGATGCTTTCGTCTCAAACCAAAGACACCGTCACAGCCGTTGCGATGCAACGACTACACACCGAGCTCGTCGAAGAACAACCAGACCAGGTCAGCACCATTAAGAAAGAAGACCCCTTCACCGCCGACGAACCCAAAATCAAACCGGACCCCGACGACGAACCCTCGCCCACGCTCTCTCTCCCAGCCAAAGATAGCACGCTGAATCTAGAAAACATCCTCGCCGTCTCACCCACGCACCTCAACTCCCTAATCGAAAAAGTCGGCTTCCACAACAACAAAACGAAATACATCAAAGCCGCCGCCCTCATCCTCCGCGACGAATACGCAGGCGACATCCCCTCCACACCAGAAGGCCTGATGAGTCTGCCCGGCGTGGGTCCGAAGATGGCGTATCTATGCATGAGCGCCGCTTGGGGTAAACACGAGGGAATCGGAGTTGACGTGCACGTCCACCGCATCACTAATTTGTGGGGGTGGCATAAGACCAAGACGCCGGAGGAGACCAGATTGGCGTTGCAGTCATGGTTGCCGAGGGATAAATGGCATGAGATTAATAAGTTGTTGGTTGGGTTGGGACAGACGGCTTGTCAGCCGGTGAAGAGGCGTTGTGGGGAGTGTTATCTGGCTGGGACGAAGCTTTGTAAGAGTGAGATTAAGGGGTTGAGTCCGGTTAAAAGGGAGGTGGATGTTAAGAGGAGTCCTGGGCTTGATGAACCCAAGATTAAGATTGAGGCAGTTTGAGGGATGGGTGATTAAGAGTTGAGTTTTTGGAAGTCAACTCCTATTGTATAGTAAGCTATGGCCGGTGTACTGGGTGGCTATTTCATTTCGCCAAACCTCGAATAGAAATATATGACTGTCGAGGGGGAAAAAAAATGACAATTTCTACGGGATATCATGTGGCTTAGAGCTCTCCTAGGATTAGCTTATATGTCGTGGGTTATTGGACTTGTACTGGGACGGTAGATGTCCAAGGTATCGTTGTTGATGTCATTGGCAGCACAAAATGAACGACGAAGGTATAGTAGATATATCTCCAGCTAGGGAGGAATTTCATCTTTAATTGTCGATTCTGGTACACCAGGGAGCTTTTTTTGATACATCCGATCAATCTGAATGGTTAAATTATGGACCTCTCATAGATCCCCGACGTGGTTCCTGAATGGTCGAGCCCATCGATAGCCCCGCGTGGGGCGGACATAGCTCCAGCTTCCAACTTTTATCCCCGATAGCTTCACACCGCACATACCACAGTCTACGAAGCACCCCAACACAGCAATTACCTTGGAATCTCACCTACCCACACTCTGCGCGTAGGCTCTCACATATACCCAACACCCTCTTCCACTTTGCCGGCCACCATGGCCCCACCAACCCCGATCTTCATCCCCGCCTTCGCCGAAACACAGCTCCAGCTGCTCCTGCACGAACACGAGGCCGAAGTCGCCTCCTCCTCCCTCGCATCAACCGCCGCATCCGTGTCCCCGTCGACAAGACGAACCCTCCAAGCAACCGGCTACGCCCTCACGGGCCTAGTTCTCTCGCAATGCCGCACCGGTCTGGGCGGGCGCGTGGTGGGCGAGTTCACACCCGATCCGGCCATCGCGTCAACGGGGTCTAAATCCCAGGATGGAGGGGACTCGCAGACGTCGGATGGACAGCCGAGATTGGGATCGCATGGGATGCGGGTTGGGGATGTGGTTCGTGTGAATGATGTGTCTGCGGGGTCGGCGAAGAAAGCGGGGAAGGATAAGGATAAGGGGAAGGATGGTGGGAAGGATGGTGCTAGGGGCGGTCCGGAGGGTGTCGTTACGAGGGTCAACGACAAGGCTATCTGGATTGCTTTTGGGCAGCAGGGCGGCGGTGGGCGGTCGAAGGAGGATGACGAGGCGATTGAGGAGTTGTGGGGGAAAAAGCTTTGGGCGTAAGTGGGATTGGGAAGGCGATGAATGTGGTTTAGATGCCTTGCTGATTGTCAATTGCAGGATTAAACTTGCGAATGATGTTACATATAGAAGGTACGTGTTCGAGAGCCCATCGGTTGTGGGTAGTAGCAAAGCTGACGTTCTCCAAGAATGAGGCAGACGATGGAGAAGATGGCGAAAATGACCGATGGAGACCACTCGCATTTTATGCGCGTTGCCTTCGGTCATACTACTCCGTTGCAGCCGGACTACGAAGGAACTGGGGATGTACAGTTTATCGATCCTACGCTGAATGACTCGCAGAAAGACGCCATTCGATTCGCATTGGCCGCGAAAGATATTGCTCTCATTCACGGTCCCCCGGGCACGGGCAAAACCCATACCCTCATTGAATTGATCATGCAGCTGATCCAACGAAAGAAGCGGATCCTCGTCTGTGGGCCGTCAAACATCTCCGTCGACAACATTGTCGAGCGCCTTGCTCCGAACAAGGTGCCCGTGGTGCGAATCGGACATCCGGCCCGTTTACTGCCTTCGGTCATGGAACATTCCCTCGAAGTCCTTACGCAGACATCCGATGCGGCGAGCATCGTGAAAGACGTTCGTAAAGAGATGGACGAGAAGCAAGCTAGTATTCGCAAGACGAGGACTGGCCGTGAACGAAGGGCTATCTATGACGATCTCAAATTACTACGAAAGGAGTTTCGGGAACGCGAGTCCAAGTGCGTCGATAATCTGGTTACCGAGAGCAGCGTGGTTCTAGCAACCCTTCACGGTGCGGGGGGTCATCAATTGAAGAAGCAAAAGTTTGATGTCGTGATCATCGACGAGGCTAGTCAAGCTCTCGAGGCACAGTGCTGGATTTCACTTTTGTCGGCTGAAAAGGTGGTGTTAGCCGGTGATCACTTGCAACTACCGCCCACTGTTAAATCAGCGAACCTCAAAACCAAAGAGAAGAACGACACAGATTCCGAAAAGAGGGATGAGAGTGACGCCGCCAAGAAGGAGATACTCAAGGGTGTTTCACTCGAGCGGACCCTGTTCGATCGTCTATTGGCGCTGCACGGGCCAGGGATCAAACGCATGTTGACGACCCAGTATCGGATGCACGAGAAAATCATGCGATTCCCCTCGGACGAGCTCTACGAGTCCAGACTGATCGCCGCCGATTCGGTCAAAGATCGACTGCTTGCCGACCTGCCCTACGAGGTCGAGGGCACGGACGATACCCAGGAACCTCTCGTTTTCTGGGATACGCAAGGCGGTGACTTTCCCGAGAAGATCGAGGACGATGATATTGGCAAGAAGGAAGCTCTTCTCGGAGAGAGCAAGAGTAACGAAATGGAGGCCCTGGTGGTCGCCCGACACGTTGACAGCCTGATCGCAGCCGGGGTACGTCCCGAGAGCATTGCGGTGATCACCCCTTACAATGGTCAGTTAGCTCTTCTGTCTCAGATGCTCCGTGAGAAGTACCCCGGTCTAGAACTAGGCAGCGTCGACGGCTTCCAAGGTCGCGAAAAAGAGGCCGTAGTGGTAAGTCTGGTACGAAGCAATGCGGAGCACGAAGTGGGGTTCCTCGGGGAGAAACGACGATTGAACGGTACGTCTTTTTGGTTTCTTTTATTTTCTTCCGTTCGAGCCACTTTTTGGGTCTTTTTCCCTCCCGTATGAAACAGATGGGCGCGGCTAACGGTGGCTATCTTGGGGGCGGGACACTAGTGGCCATGACACGCCCCAGACGGCATCTTTGCATCTGTGGGGACTCGGATACTATCAGTCGGTAAGTCAATTTTGGTCCGTGCGTTTGCAATGAAAGCTTGAGGTTAATTGGAACGGGAATTTGTGCGTGATAGGGGAAGTAGTTTTCTTAAACATTGGATGGATTATCTGGAGGAGCATGCCGATTTGCGGTACCCCGACGCGGGCGATCTCCTTTGACAGGATACAGGTTTGTTCGTGAAGGAATGATTGTTTGGTGGTGACAACTCCTAGAGGAAGGGCTTCGGCCTTCTTCAGGCTGGGCCGATCTCGACATCTTCACCAATTGCACGATAACGTGTCGGTCCCGAGTCTGGTACGCAGGGTAGAGCAGCAGGGCCAAGACATGTCCCGTTTCCCAATTCCCGCTCCCCAAACCCACCCGTCCCGTAGCCTGCACTAGTATACGGAGGACAGGGGTCCAGACCATGAAACTCCCGTCGTACCTGTAGAAGTACATATCATGCAAACTCGCTCATCAATGGGAGCTGAGGCCCGAGACTGGGCGGTGACGAGCCGTGTTGAAGTGACACCGGCGGTGAGAATTACGAGAGGCGGCCACCACTTCCAGGAACCTCTCCAGTTGTTTCAAGTCACTGGGGACGATCGCCCGGCAGCGTCGGAGCTACGTTGCTTGAATTGGGCATGCCGTGAGGCGGGTCGTCCAACTCACCCGCCGTGAGCTGGTGAGCTCCATCGTTCTTTTGGGTGAACCGGGCAAATGCCAATAGCCAATCGCGGTTATCGTGGTCACCAACCTGAGGATGGACAGCTGTACGATATGAAATCCACCACTGTCGAAGAGCCCAACGCCACGGCCAACCCCAACACCCGCGCCCGATATTAGGCACAAGAGTGTTCTCCTCTTCCAGAGTCACGCTGCGTTATCGGATTAGCCTTTGGTACGAGACTCGGGTCTGCACGGCAGATTTGGAAAAAAAAAAAACTAAGAAGTTGCTGTACATCATCCCGTTGGTGCCATGTGGTGTTTCAGAGCAGAGAGGCACGATGCGATGCAACATCTCAGCCGAAGAAAAGGGAGAGAACGATCGATGATAAGACTATGCTCGGACGGTCCAGGTCCAGATCTGGCTTCGCCGTTTCTTCCATCTCCGTAAGCGGGGTCATTAGGGGGTAAATAGAAGGTTTGAGGGGAGTTTCGGGGCCATTTCTGGATGGAGCTGGAAGCAATTCAAAACGGCCGGGCAATTCTACGGGGCTCCACTTCGTCCCGGCTCGTGGATCCAGCACGGCAATCATTGGGAAATGAAGAGTCATTCGTTGGCTCATCTGGACTTGGACCTCCCCCCTCCCCTTGGATTGGTTCGCCCGTTGAGTTCGCTTTGTGCAGGATGGTTTGGTTCGGACAAGCAATGACCGATGACCTCCTCGGGTGGCCCTTATGCCCAATCGAGGCCGTAGGGCGGGTTAATCAATTGCGGCATCTACGGTGGAAGATCCGTCGTTGTGGTTAATAATACTTGACAAACAACCCAGCTAGACATGAATTGAGTTAGTCTACTTTTCCCGCTCTACCTCCATACGGGACTGGGCCTAACTACGTTTTGCGCTCGGGCGTTCTCTCCAGAAAGAGTATCGGGTCGAGCTTGCAGGAGTTATTAGCATCGCATGCTGCTCGGTATCGATCCTGGATGCTTTTCCATTATTGATCGTCATTCTATCTCTTCTTACTCAAATTGTTTCTCCCGATCGGACTGTTCCTGGAAATCTTTTCGGTTGTGGCGCGCAAAGGAGACCCGACCGTCAACCAGAGTGGAGATTTCGATTTCGATTCCAAATTCCAGATTTCATAGTTCCCGGTGCAGCCTAGGGTAATTGTGGTTTAGCTCGGGGTCTTTGAGCTTTGGGATGTTTCTTAGCTGGGATTAGCCCGAGTCTGCAGTGCTACACTGGTTTGAGTCTAGTCGACCTCCTAAATCTCCGCCCTCGAGCTGCTCGAGCTCCCCTCTTCATCTTCCCCCCCGACCGTCGACTCCCTTTTCTATTCTCTCTTCTCAGCCTCGTTTTAGTTTTGGCTACTTGCCCACACTCGTTGTATTCACTCGTTTCTTCTGCATTTTTTTTTGGAATTTTCTGCTGTGTTATCACTCTCGTTCGTGGTCGTGACCTTGTTTGAGATACCCCCGAGACTGGCAAACGCGGTTCCGCCCCTTCAAAGAGCTTCATTGGCAACTATGATGGTCCTGATCATTTGGTTCTCAGTCAGTCATTTCAGCGGCATTTGTACGACCCCCCGAAACTGACCCCGTTTGGCAGCCCTTTTCATGACACCCGCGACTCGACTAAACGTCCGCCTTCTTCTGGCCCTTCTGGCCTCGATTCGAACCCTTCCGCTGGGCGGTCCTGACTATTTCCCATACGCTATACCCCTCATCCTTTTACTGCTCCTCTCAATTTATCTATTCTCGACATTCGTTTTGCTCGCTTTCGCTTTTTCCGACTTGCTTTCGAACCATTTTGTTTGGACATCTTTTTGCGACGACATATGCCCCACCCAACGTGCTGCGACGAAATATCTCTTGTTATGAGCATCGACAATTTGCACACAGTCTCCGCCAGTGTTCGCCATTCGAACACGACTTTGAAATTTCGACATTGATATACTTTTTTGTTCTACAACCAACATGTCGCGGACAACCACACGGTCTATCACCAGTGCCGGCAGTGAGTCGGCACCCAGTCCCAGACTGCGCTCAACATCCGCGCGTGGAGAACGCCCGGCATCAAATCCAGCTTCTCTCTCCTTGGATGCAAACCACTATGATACGGCCCTCCCACCGATCAACTTTCACCAACCACCCATTACACATCGCCGGACAGGGAGTACCTTGAAAACGGTCATGCGCAAGATCTTCAACCGGAAGAGACAAAGCCAGACCGATGGGGTGGAGGAAAGTCCCCACGAGAGCTATTACAACTCGCCAGCGAGGTCATCGGGCCCTATCGCGGGCAAGTCTTTCTTATCGGTCCCCACTTCGACAGAGTCCAAACGGAGTAGTCCTTTGTCGGCGGAGAACTTGCAATTAGCAGAGACCCATTTGTCTCCCACCAGTGCCACCGGCGGTTCATTACCCTCGCCGGGAATGGGCCCGCGCCGACGACGTGCGACCTTGCCCAGTGTGATCTTCTCCGACGACGAATCCAGATATGCAGTGGCATCGGCAGTCTCTGATCCTCAGGAGGATCGACCATTTATCCCGGACCAAGAGCGCCAGCGAAGTATGCTTCAAGCTCGGCGCAGATCGAGGAGTATCGGCACATTACAAGACCTGGTCAACCAGCGGCCCATGACTCCCCGGGAGTGGCCAACACATACCACCTCGGTTCCCAACTCGGTTGCAGACTCCAAGTCACCCCCTCTGGAAGGAGGCAGCTCTGTGAGCGACCATTCCGGTAGACCGTCGACCGGCACGACGGTGACCAGCGTGACGAGAGCATCGGCAGCACCCTCCATCCAAGAATCAGACCCGCACGCAGACCAAATCAGCCTTCCACCAAATGTGGGCAATCTAGTGCGCACAATGCAACAAGACGACGGTCTCACAATCGAGCAACGCCTCAACACGATCGAAGTCAAAATGATAGACCTCGAATTCGCAATCGCCCGCATGCAATCCAATTCCGCGGCCGACAACCTCCAAGACCGGGATAGATCCTCATCCCGCAGAAAAGAAGATTCCTTCCCACAAGTCCGCAGCAAACCCTCATACCTCAGCTCAAACGACTGCGACGAATCTCCAACAACAGTATCAATTCTCCCCACCACCCGCCCAACGAGTACAAGCACCATCCGCGCCGACACGTTAAACGCCCGCACCCTCCGCGCCGCGCCATCCGCAACCTCTCTCTCCGATTTCAGCGGAATCTCCATCGAGCAGTACAGCGCCTTGGTCACACTCCTCCGGCGCGAACAAACTGCCCGCCGAAACCTGGAGAGTCAAGTCTCCAGTTTGAAGGATGATATCCGACATATTCAACGGGCAGCGCTGCATTCGATGGAAATGGGTGGCACGATGTATCCCATCCATAGTGTAGATTCGCAGGAGTTTTTAAGGTTTAGGCGGGCACTGGACGAATCTGATAGCTCGCCGGTGAGGCCGGATGAAAAGGGTAATGGGGCTTTTGAGACGGAGTCTGATTATGATCCGTTCGGGCCCCCTAAATGGGAGAGGGAGAGGGATAGGGAAAGGCAGCGAGAGCGTGAGCGAGAGCGTGAGCCTGGGTATGGCGGTAGGAGGGTTGTTACAGCGCCAATGATCTAAGGATGCGCTTTGCTGGTGGTGATGTCTTTTTCCACCCCCGGCCAGTGTCCACCCGGGAACTCCTTTTTAGGCTCTCGCGCATGCATCATGCATGTTTGATGTGAAGCATTATGCCTATCGACGGGCCATTCATTATTCCGGCTTAGAATGTCCATCGAGTGATGTTCGTTGCTCCTCTAATTGTGAGCAAGATAATCCAGAGTTTACTCGGTTTTCTGCGCTCTTCACGCGACGGGTTCGCGGCTTTGTATTCCTTGGTGGAATTTCAGAATCTACGATTAGTGTCATAGACGACACTTTACTGCAAATAAGTTATTTTTTCGATTGAGTTTCATCGCATTATCTTGCCAAAGGGGGTACATCCTCGAGGGTGTCCGAGTTAAAGTCCAACTTCTAGAATGTTGGCTTGGCCTCTCAAACTCCGTGTCAAGGCAAGTGTTATATAGTAAAATTAGACAATAAGCTCGTAGCCCGGTGGGACTAGGTTGTTTAGAACATCATCTACTCTATACATCCACGTGCGGCTTGGAGCAGATCGTGCGGCTTGGAGCAGATCGTGCTCCATCTGACAGACTGCAAGCAAAATGCAGCAATCGTCGTCTTTAATGATTAAATTAAGATCGACCTGCCATCCCCGCGCTTCTCTACGATCTTCACCTGTCAACGTCGTATTTTCCCCACGCGGTGGGCCTGATAAGCAAAAGAACCCCGCTAATAAACTATCAAACCCATCCCCTGATCTACTAAACACTCCTGGACCTTCTCGACAATCCGAATCCCAGCATCACTCTGCAGTGTTCACTCTGCAGTCAAAGAAGCCAATATGGGGAGCACAACCACAGCCCCATTCAAAGACTTCACCGTCACCATCGTCGGTGGTGGAATCGGAGGTCTCACCCTGGCCGCAGGGCTTCTACGCCGCAACGTCCCCGTCCAAATCTACGAAGCCGCGCCCGCATTCGCAGAGATCGGCCTCGGCCTGTCCATAGGGCCAGCCGCACACCGCGCCATGCCACTCATCGACCCGCAGATTCGGGACATCTACGATTCCCTGGTCACCACGCATGCGGATAGCCCCGGGTACGAGAGCTACCGGCAAACCTGGTTCGAGATTATCTGGGCGTCGGGCCAGAAAGAGGGGAAGTTGTTGATGGATCTAAAGGCATTACCGTCCGGACAGACGACGTTGAGACGGGCGGATTTTCTGGAGGCGCTCGTTGGCTTGATTCCACCCGAGATCGTGCATTTTGGGAAACGGCTGGACAAAGTCACTGAGGATGCGGACGGGGTGGAATTGGTGTTTGAGGACGGGTCGTCCGTGGTGGCTGATGTGGTTGTTGGGTGTGATGGGATCAAGTCCCGGGTGAAGGAGTCGATGTTTCCGGGGACCTCGGAGGACACGCTGCCGCGGTATAGTGGGATGTATGGGTATCGGGCCGTGTTGGATATGGAGGATATGATTGAGGCGGTTGGGGAGCAGCGGGCGCGGGTTTCGACGATGTATATCGGCGACGGGGCATATGGGATATCGTATCCGATTATGCGTGCGAAGAAGGTCAATGTGGGACTTTATATTCTCAGTGAGAAGTGGGATTGTGAGACATGGGTGAGACCGGCGAAGAGGGAGGATATGCAGCTTGATGCGAGCAATATGGGTCGATATGTGCAGTCACTCATCGAGGTATGGCCGCATAGATGTGTGTTCCACAGTTAAAATTCCGGATCGTTGCTAACCGTGGAATACCCCAGCATATGCCCGATCCCTCTCAATGGGCCATCTTCGAACACCCTCCAATCTCCGCGTTCTGTCGCTCCCGAGTGGCTATTCTGGGAGATGCCGCCCACGCGTCGACGCCGCATCAGGGCGCAGGTGCCGGACAGGCGATCGAGGATTCCCACGTGCTGGCTGAATTACTCGGTGACTCCCGTGTAAGAACAGCACGGGATGTGGTGGCCGCTTTCAAGGCATATGATGAGATTCGGCGCCCTCGGAGCCAGAGAGTTGTCACGAGTAGCAAGGAGAATGCCTATCTTCTTTGTCTGTGTTTGGATGGGGTTGAGGATGATGAAACGAAGCTCAAGCAAACGTTTCAGTCTCGGCTGCATTGGCTTTGGGATTTGGATGTTCAGGGACAGGCTGAGCAGGCGAGAGAGAGGATGCTCAAGTTCCTGGGATCCAGAGAGGACGAGGGGATTCCAATTGGGTAAATTATAAGTGTGGGTATAACGCAGCCTGTTGGTGACCAAATTCTACCAAACTAGTCGAATCTTGACACTGGTATGATGAAATGAGCCTATACACAAGTTCCTGCTTTATTCTCCACGGTAGTATTCGACTACGCTCTCGGGGGATCGTTGCAATCTTTTTATCCAGTCGCTAGCTTTAGATTTCTAGACACTGGGGATACCAATCGAAGAAAGCCTGTTATACTGCAAATAATAAGACACGTTCTCTGACCCGCTCAACCCGCTCAGAGTAATACAATGAAATACCATATCTTATGCACTTATCACCCGATGCGGTCTTTTTCTCACTATAACCCCTGTCGGGCTTTCGTAAACCTGCTCGATCACGATTCGCCCACGATGCTGTCACATCGCAAGGTGGCTTCGGTAACCCCTCTCGAGAGCTAAGCCCCACTCCAGTGAAAGTGCGGAGCAATTCATCTCTTTGAATGAAAAGGAGAAGGTAAGCACAGTCCCATTGAAGAATACCTCGGCTTCTTATAGTTATTACCGGCTCATATTCAATTCCGGGTCTCCCGCCAGAACTTGGAAATATCGAATTTCACCCTTTGTCGCGACTACATTGAACAAATAAATCGAAATGGCACAGGTTACAGTCTCCGACGATATTCTGGCGAATATCAAAGACCGGGTTGTCTTGATTACTGGTAAGCATATGTATCCCTTTATGCTGTAACGCATGCTCACAGTTCAAGGTGGGTCGTCTGGGATTGGCAGAGCGACCGCGCAACTATGCCTGGATCTGGGCGCCAGAGTCGTGATTGGAGATCTGAATCCTCCCAATCCCGAGTTCAAAGACACCGATGAAGCCCATTACCTGGAGGTGAACGTGACCTCCTGGGAAAGCCTTCGAAACATGTTCGATCAAGCCGACAAGTTATTCGGTGGCATCGATCACGTCTTCGCCAATGCTGGTGTCGGTCCGACTACGGACTTCTTGGATATCAATTTCAATGAAGCCGGAGAACTCGAGCCACCGAGTCTCCGGACGATCAATGTCAATCTCCTCGGCCCTCTGTACACAATTAATATGGCACAGGCATACATGAAGCAACTTGCAAGCCGTCGTCCCATGAAAACCGGTAGCATCGTCCTCACAGCCTCAGCGTCCTCATTCCAGAACTTCAGTGCTGGCGACTACACGATCGCTAAACACGGTGTTTTAGGTATGGTCCGCGGTCTAGTACACAAACTGGAGACAGAAGGTATTATCCGGCTGAACGCAGTCGCACCCTCGTGGACTCAGACGGGAATGATCCCCGCTGATTACATTCGGTCCATGGGTGTTCCAGTTCAGTCACCCGAAGCCGTTGCTCGGAGCGTGGTGCTTCTGTTTGCCGATGAGACTCGGCATGGAGAAGTCATTTACAGCTCAGAGGGAAATTTCTGGGAGGTTAATAAATCCGAAGGGGGCCTTTTACATATGACGAAGACGTTGCTCTTTGATGATGATATTCTGGAGGGTGTGATGCGAAATATGAACGAGCAGGCGGCTCAGTCATAACCGTGTAAAGGGCAGAGGATGGCTCCCTTTAGGTGCTGCCTCAAATCTTGTTATTATATTCGACTAAGGCGCTTCAATTTGTTGCTGAATTTCCTGGCATGTAACTAATTGATATTATTTTCGAGATTTGTTTGATTATTGGAATGCTTGCAAGTTAGTACAAAGCTACGCCCCTGCCCTCGTAGTACGCATTGAGCTCGGTTGAATATATATGCTCCGTGGTAACCCATAGAGTTCACCATTGTTGGTATCCGTATAATCGGCTTCGCCTACAATTTCTCTAATTAACTGAAGAGATGTCAGCTCGCTGCACTAGTTGCTAGGCATTATCATTACCTCGTCCCGGATTCGGCTATACAATTTGGTCATTGTGCATAAAATTTCTCGGCTTCCCCTCATTCTCCGCATTTTCCATATGAAATGACACACGTTACATGACTCGCGTGGTGTCGCCTCATCGTAAATAGACTCGAAGTTCGCTCAGAATGTGTCCTTTTCAACCACTCTCTGAGCCAACTTCTCTGAAAATAAACATTTGTTAGTCTCCAACTAAAATCACCATGGTCGGCTTCCCACTTCAACACCCCAAGACCCGCGAATTGACAGGCGGTGACCTTTTGGCACAATCCTTGAAAACCCTTGGTGTAGAGGTTGCATTCGGGCTCCATGGCGGTCACTTGGATGCATTTTTAATGGGATGCGAGGATATAGGAATTCGTTTGGTGGACACTCGACACGAAACGGTTGCCGTGCAAGCAGCCGAGGGTTATTGCCGAATCAGTACCAAGCCTGGAGTATGCTTTGTCACGGCAAACAGTGGGTGAGCTTCTAGCCGGTATCTTCAGTGTATCTTGCTCTTTGATTCTGAACTGCACAGGTTCTCGAATGGGCTCCCTGGCTTGGCCACTGCCTATGCCGACCGCAGTCCGATCCTCTGTATAACTTCCTCGCCACCGCTACGGGATACCGAGAACAATTCACTTCAGGGGTCGATAGATCAGGTAGTGGCTGCGAGACCAATTACCAAGTTTGCTCATCGACTTGTCACGCCGGAGGAATGTCCAAGGATAGTGTCTCATGCGCTCCGAGTTGCTCAATCTGGGCCTCCTGGTACGTGGGCATCGCCTGTCTGATATTTCTGGCAACGACCACTTATATATATACCTTTAGGGCCCGTCCTCCTTGATTTCCCAATTGACGTTCTGTTCTCCCCGATTCATACAAGTCTTATTTCTTGGGGATCAATCAATTCACCTCCCTCGTTCCCTCCAGCCCCCCACACCGCAGCCGTTGAAGCGGCCGTCAAGTTGTTGGGGGCTGCCCAGAGACCAGTCATAATCACAGGAACTGGGGCAAGGGGTCAACAGGTAGACCCCCAATTGAAATTCACTCCCCCTTGATGACAGGCTGATAATTGTCCAGGCACGCCGTCAACTTTTCAAACTAGCCGAGGACTGCAGCATTCCAGTGTTCAACACGTCAAAATATGCCTCTTTCACTCCATCATCGCCGATGCTCTCCCAAGCCACAGCAGGAACTCTAGCAACACTTCCCTCGGTAAATCTAGCACGCCCTGATTTGGTCGTTCTCTTAGGCGCGCGAACAGGGATGTTTCTAGGTGGGCGATCGGGCGCTATCATTCCGGACAAAGAGTGTAAACTCATTCAAGTCGACTGTGATGGGAGTGAAATCGGCCGCTCTCTTCCGGTCGACCTTGGCATTGTCTCGGATGTTGAAGCTTTTATCTCAGCAGTGAACGCAGCTTTGGCTTCGACTGACGCTACGATTAACGATCAATCGTGGGTACAATCAATTCTTGGATTAGCGTCAATGGAGTCACCATACGAAAGGGAGCCACAGGTGACAGCTTCCGGACGCCTCCATCCATACCATGCTGTGAAGAATCTCGTCTCTGGAATAGAGCCCGGTAGTATCATCGTCTTAGATGGTGGTGAAGCTTCAGCTTGGGTCGGTGATCTTGCCTCACGCTGTCAACCGCATACAGTCATGACTGCCACCGGTTATTTAGGCTTCTTGGGAAATGGATTTGGATACACGCTGGGTTGTGCCATTGCAGCCCCGGATCGCAAAATTGTCAACATTCAGGGCGATGGCTCCGCTGGATTTCACTTGATGGAGCTCGATACTTACAAGCGATTCGGATTAAACATCATGACTGTCGTTGTGAACAACTCGAGCTGGGGCATGAGTTCCAATGGACAGGATCTCGTCTACGGAACTGATCATCCCGCGCGACCTATTAGCGCTCTAAGCTCGGCGACTGAATACGATGTTGTCGCCACGGGCTTGCAAGTTGCTGCTGCGAAGATCTCTCGCATTGCAGATATCCAGAGTACGGTCACCAAGTTCCAGGAACAATCGGGTCCAAGCTGCATTAACCTCATTGTGGACCGAAAGCCAGTTCATCCTATCACAACCGCTATGATTGGGCTCACTGATGACCCTAATTTGGTGGTGGTGCCTTACTACGACAATATTCCTCGAACGTTTTATAGGTTGTAACGACTGAATTTTCTACGAACCGGATTTCCTATGCCATATCCTGGCTTCCCTTTTCCGTTTTAGTGCTCAGCCCCTCGCCGCTCCTTCTCACTGATCTTATTATCTTATTCCTCCGAAGCTGGGCTTCGTACTCTCTTATCTACTCTACCTACTCTATAAGAGTTAATAGTGATCTCTTCCTAGCCGATGGCTCTCTAAGCGCTATTAGGGTGACTGATCCTACGTTTAGCTTTGGTTCTATTAGATCGGGGTAGCCTACGGAAGGTCCGCATTAAGGTTCTCGGATTCACTATATACTTAGGGTTCCTACGTATGACTAGCCTCTAGTTAGCTTTCTCCTATAAGGGGCCCCTACGGTATTCGCGAATTACTATAAGTAATACGAGACATCGGGAGTAGGGGTTTCCAACGGTCCAACTCGAAAGATTTAAAGCAGTTAGAATATTAGGACCTTACCCTCGCTGGGTCTATGGAGTTGTTAAATGAATTAGAGTCAAGGAAACCGATTAATTTGATTATATGGGTAAACTGATCGCTAAGGTTCTAATACCATGCGCGGTGTGTGTGTGTTATCCCCTACGCTTGCTTAGAGGTACGTGCGCTACAGAGACTATATAGGCAGTCCTTTCGAGGGTTGGCCCAAGAGGGTCGTAACACTAGACATACATTCTGCTAGAGTTTTGGAGCGGTAAACTAAACAGACTAGGGCCACTTGGATATATTTCGGAGAATGAAGTCACATTAGCGTTAAGGTTTACTGATTCAGAAACTAGTGCAATTGGCGGAGCATAGTCATAGGTCTGAAAAGCTATTAATCAATTTGCTGTATGCTTTAATCATAGTCGATGGAAGGAGTGCTCTTGTTCACCAATTTGTCTGTCCTTTGAAAATTGTATCTTACAATGGGATCGCAATGTCACCGCACCTACTTTCCGTTGGCCTTACGCCGCTTGCTACCAGTCCTGATCTTGAACTCCTGGGCATAAACCTTGAAGAAATCATTAGGTTCTTGAGGATGGGTACCAGTGATGTCGTGGAAGGCAGTTGTCGAGATGTAGTTCGTTTTGCCTTCCCGAACCAGCGAGTAATATTCAAGTAAATACTGCAGCTCGGATGTATCACTAGTTGATTGAGAGCGAAGAACCCTCTTGGCTTCTGCTCTGCAATAATGACTCAGTAATAATAAGCTGTCCTTCCAGGCTAGAATACTCACTGGGATATGTCTTCAAATTCCATCTCTTGTCCTAGCGCCTGGCTCGCGGCCGTGGCGAGCTCATCGCCACTTGCGAGCATTGGCCCTAGTTCTGTAAGTGATGTATGCTCGAATTTATTAGGAAGATTAAAGGCACATACCTGTCAAGACAATCAGTTGACCGCGGTGTTTATCACTAAAGCCATGCTTCCCCTTGCCGGTTAGGACGTATGCGGCAACTTGAGATACATCCTAAACAGCGTCAGATTAAAGGTAATTCAAAATGGCACTTGCAATAAATTACTCCAAGGGCAATTGGTGCAAACTTATGATCCTTTCCAATTGGCAATGAAAGAACCCCCTCGGCCTGCGCCTGATCGGAATACAGAAGAAGATTCTCGGCATAAAATCCAGCTCTAGCCAGCAAGTCAATTCCAGAAATTTGAATGCAGGGACGGAGTCCTACCGAATAACAACTGGAGAATGGCCTGTAGCCGTCATCGGATTTCCCTTACAGGAGAGGACGCGAGTTTCTAGATCAATGAACTCTCGTAGCCTTGGCTGACGTTCCCGTTCGGCGAGGTCACAGCCTGCGGAGCTGATAAAGCAAACATTAGGCACACTGGCCTTCTTAGCAGCCTCAATCAGCTCCGTTGTTAAGTCGAATTTGTGTTCGTGTGCTGGCGGTATAAGGCACAACGTGTCTGCACCAGAATCCCGCAGGGTTTTTGCCATGTCTTTCACTCGGCCGGGCTTGTGTGGAACGATTTTCGCCCCGAGCCCCATTAGCTCTTTGGCAAACTCGGAATGAGGGTGCAGTGTCAATCCGATAAGTGAGTCAATTTCTTTCTTGAAGTCATCATTTTTCAGTATGAGCTCGGCAATAGTGAAGCCAGTGTGGCCGTCTACTGCAGTGATACAGAGATTGCGAGACATTGTTTGACCTCAGTGGGAAGAATGCAGAACAGAATCAGACACTAATGATTATAAACAGTGCAAGAATACCTGCGCGTGCAGATTATTTAGCTAACCAGTGGACGCTGTGCGTCATCTAAAATCCTGTTCTAGGGCTTATCTTAGGCTAGTCTCTTGGGTCGTTCACTTGTCTTGTAAACTTTGTCCCAGGTTTCTTGCCGTAGACATGGTAGTGCTTAACTTCAAGTAACAATGACAGTGCATGACGTCAGGCCTTGTGATGGGTAGTCAAAAACACTTGCTTGCAAGTCAATGTTTCCTGTTTATTTTTATAGGATGTTGCGCCTAGAATATCGACGAGGCACCAATTATCGAGCGGCTGTTGTCACAAAAGAGGCCGGGCGTCCGATTAGGTAGTGGCTAAGAGTACCAGATCTCTATAATATGCATAAGCTCCAACCAGAGTTGAGCTCGTATGTAAGAATATTGAACGATAATTAATTCGTAAGATGGGCTCGCTCAAGTGGCTGGTATACGTACCATAACACCTGTTGTGGGAGTTATTCTACTTCTTGGCTTCCGCAGCTTACATGAGATTATCGCAAGCTTTGACGAAGTTTTTCTTGTACTCATCAGTGTTGAAAACCGATGACATTGCCACCAAGGGTACCTCGAAGCAATTCCTCCTGGACCGGGAGTCCTCGCCAGAAATCGTCCACGGGAAATGGAGTGTGAAGTGGAAAATCTATCGGGCAACATTTCCTCTGTACATGCAAGCGGTCTCGCAGCATCTGTGGTAGGAGAAACAGATACCTTAGATCACCATCTCTGGCTTCCTGAGTGACTCTGTCCGCGAATGTTTCATTCACGCGCTTATACGCGTCCCACGCGTTCGGGTTAATCACTACCCCGGATTGATAGTGTAGAATAGGCCACAAAATAGCGTCTGGGTATCATTTTGCTAGCGTTACTACAATCTACGCAATAGAGGCCCACTTACTGGAAAATCCGTTGTAGTGATCCTTAGCCAGGTTCTCGTCGAGGTATATAGCTGCGGCATTTTCTTTGGCTAATTCAGTGTCGACAATTTCCTGTCGCTTTCGTTGACTGCCACTCCAGGCCACCCTAGCCACACGTAATCGGCAGCATTGAGACCTCTCAAGGCACTCACCCGGCCGCCGCTCGATTGGGTGACTTCAAAAATGTTAATCTTCTGTTCGATCGAGAGCGGGGGTCGGTTAGATACAATGACGAGTGTCAGCTTGCTCGAAGAGTCGGACCCTATTTCAATCACGAAGATGAGTCTTCTGTCTTCTGGTCCATTGTACAAACAAATGGAACAATAGAGCATTCGGCAGCAACAAATCTTGAATCACTTTTGGATTGTAATATTTCTGGGGCTTGGTATGCGTCGTGTTTTGAAATCATCGACAATAATGCACGACTTTACGCGTCCGTATTCCCGACCAGGGTCTAGACAAAGACTTGCAGTCTAAACCTTGCTTCGTAATCATTATCTGCCAATAAGATTTCATCTTTTTTCAGGTTTGGAAAAAAGCTATGATTCAGAAAGATTGATTAACTATTCGTTAGCAATAACTAGAACCAATGTGGATGCAAAGGTACCCTTTCCGATGACAGAATGCCGACATCATTGGCTTGATAACCAAGTTGCGGGACTTCTTAAACCAGGGAATTTACCGAAAGCCCGCAGCACCTTAAAGTTAGGAGGCTGAACATAGAGAAACACAAAATCGGACAGAAGACAGTATCAGGTCACCTTGTTTTAACGTGTCCATGTATTTTATAAGTCGAAGGCCGAAGTTAAGACGTCAACGGCTCATCCCTAAGCGTATCACTCCTCGGCGATCAAGTGTCTCACGTAATCGAGATATTGTGTTTCGTTGAGGCCGTTATCTCAATACGAGATACGAATTTATTTATTAAAGCAAGCGAACGACTAGTGTTGCAGGACATATTTCTCATCTAATGAAAAGCTCACAGTGGGCAGTACGAGGGGCAATAAAACTTCATCATAAAAGTAAACCATATCACTACAAACGGAGAAATACCTATGTACTGGTTTATAATGATAAATTTCGGAAAGCCAATGAGATATGCAATTTTGTAGAGCCTTCTTGCTTTAGCCCGATGAATTATCCCAAATTTTTATGTAGCTATTGTATATGCTTCGTGTAGAGACCTCTTTTTTGATAACGCTGGATTCAGCAAATTTGAACACTGTCATCTGGCCTGGCCGTTACCGTTTCTGGTCTCTTGGTTTCTATGGGGCTCTGGTAAATATCTCGCGGCGATTGATAGACCAGAAGCAAGTACCAAGAGAAGTATCCAGATAGCATATCCTCCCGCCAATTGTGTCCTTGCCCCTAGTGCGAAGAGACTGGTGAATAAGGCGGGGCAGAAAGCTCTCAAGCTGCTGACACCGGTCAACGCCAACGCATTCAATGTGCCGAGAAGTCTCGGTGAGGGCGATATGTCGTTCAAAGAAAGCTGGATTGCAGTGAAGCTCATGCTGACTCCACAGCCAACGGCTAGCATTATCGGCGCAAAGACCCAGAAGGCGTTGATGGACGCTTCGGATCCCGCTCGAAGAAGCACATTGCCAACGGGGCAGCCCAGGAAGAATACTGGATAGGCAAGAGCACACAATCGGATCACGCCTTTCGTCCCAATTCTATGCTGCAACGGGGGGAAAACCAAAAGCAGCCAGATTGCTTGGGCAGCACCGTTCAATCCCATCATCAGTGAGATCTGGAGGGGGGTGAAGCCCCAGCCACCAAGGGGCACCGGAGTGAACCAGAAGACGGGAATAATGGCAGTATAAGCAAATGCGAGTGTCATAATATGTGCGTATACGTATAGGACCACTCCCACCCCTGGTGATCCCAAAAGCTGCCGTGTCGAGAGGGTGTCACGGCGACGAGATGCCAGCTCCTCGCCATTGCACTCAGTTGCAGCTGGCTCTTTCTTCAGGGTCTCTTGAACAAAACAGGCACTAGTTATAGCAGCCGTTACTCCTAGTGATCCCACCACTAAGGTTGACAGAGCATATGGGTAGTCCTCGAAAAATCTAATCCCTCCGAAGACACCGGGGTACTGGGTTGCAGGGGCGGCTAGAGCACCTCCCATTAAAGGCCCGAGAAAGAGTCCCAGGTTTCCACTGAAAGCAAACCAACTGAATGCTCGTGCTTGAGTCTTTGGCGTGCTATGTTCCGCAACCATAGTACGAAGGGTGACGATGGTCCCAGCGAAGATACCAGCAATGCATCTGAACAGGATCATCTGTGATATTGATGTGGCAAAGCCAAAGAGACCTGTGGCCAGTGCCATACCAAACAATGAAAAGACTAGGACAGGTTTGCGTCCAATACGATCAGCAGCTCGCCCCCAGAATATCATGACGATAGCCTGCGTCAGAGAAAACAAGGACTCGATGAGACCGCTATAGAAGCCCACATCCGTGTCTTCCAAGCCTCCTAGATCTTGAATCATCTGGTTCACGTAGGGAAAGATCGAAAAAAATGCAAGAGGCTCCATCACCCGAGCATAGCAAAGTAGTAGGACTTGAGTCTTGTGGAGTGGCTTTTCCTCGCCGGCGCCATTGGTCACTGGATCACCATTCTGATTTTCTGAAAAAGTCGTTTCTCCATAATTCACTTTGGATGGGCCCAGAAGAGCCGTCGTCTCGTCTACGACATTGCTTTCATCGCCAAGCTCGTCCTCCGATCTTGGCCCGACAGGAGCCGCCACATTCGGACCGGGTTGCTGTCTGTCGGTCCCCCGAGTGTTGACGACCATGTCGGAAACTCAAGTTCGCTGAAATTTGTCCGTTGTCGGGAGCGAAAGCACGTTGCATGTCTGTCTTGAACTGCACACGAGAAAACATGAAAATGTTTCAGCAAGTTAGGGGCAGAATAAAGTCGAGTAAGCGGGAGAGGTCAGAATTCGGATTTAAGTAATTCCCGGCCGTTTTCCCGATACGATGCATAGGTGATGTGCAAAGCACGCCATAAAAACGCGTCACTGGAAGTAAATGATTTGATTACATACTAAAATCTTTGGTCAGCTTTTCTTCGGTTCGTGTATATGGCGGGCATTCAGGCACGGAGGTAATTATTTGCCAAAAGATTTCATACTCGTACAGTGAGCCTTTTGTCCATACGCCCGGGAGATTTGCTACGAGGCAATTGTACAGAGGCAGACAGAAATTTTTCAGATGAAAGGACAACTACGATGAACTGGAAGTTTGATCCAGCTTGCATTGCTTTATTGTATCATAAGCTTTAGAACATCTTCTGGCAGGTATGACAGTCATCCCAAGTGGAACACAAGAATCTTGAGACAAAGGAAAAAGTATATCAACGAAGAATCCAAATTCACGACACAAGTCTATGGTCCCCAAAGAGCCGTCATATGTACGATTGAAGTCGTCAGTCAGCTTGACTGGGTTTAAACCTTTAATTGAACATTCGTCGAGCCACTTTCCTTCTTGAACTTGGGCGTGAAGAATACACTCTCTTGTTTTCGAGTGTGTTGCGGTATAAGCTCCTCGCCATTCCGTGTGCGGAAAAAGCGACCAATTCCAATGCAGCTATTATTGATCATTCAGTATTGATTTTTGGTACTAGAGGCTATTATGCATATACCTGATGAGACTTTGGCTGAAACTCCGAGAGTTCCCTTGGTGTTGGTCTTTATCAAACTTTCGCTCCCTTTTCCCGGCTGGCTTTCCATATCCAAGGATTTACCTCGGGAATTTCCTCAAGCTTGCTTGTCCGTCACTCTTAGTTTTTACTGCTATCGCTCTTTCCGAAAATCTTCTATTATCGAAGGTCTTTCTGAAAGTCTTTTCGAAGGTCTTCTCGATGGTCATTTCGAAGGTCGTTTCGATGGTTTTTCTCATGGTCGTTTCATTGGTAGTGGAAGGTCCGTACGATTTATACAAGATGATCATATATATAAGAAGCGTATATTTATAGAAAGAGAAGGGATGAAGAGAGACTAGATATGAGAAGATAAGAATGGCTTATTAGATAGAAGATTCCGTTCCTCCTTCACACCGTGCCTCATAAATTCGATAACTACTGTGACTACTATAACCCTTTTATTGTTTCGCCTCCACCACCCACAGAGAGCTTGGCGTTGGGGGCCGAAGTAGATCGATGAAACCCTGAGAGGTTTCGCTAGTTCTTCATCTATTCCATCAGGCCTCCACCACAGTCATCGCCTGATAGGAAAATAATCGAATAATATTGTCTGCAATATGGCCAACTTCAACCTCTACGATCTGCCCATGCGGAAAACGAATCATGAGGATCGCTTGCAAGCAATCCGAGGCCAGAAGACTCCCAAGGCCTTCGGTGCCAAAGTCACCTAAAGATGCGTGATCCGTGGCATACGGTATCATCCCGGTTTTGGGGTTAAGCTTCGTGGCCTTCTTCCAGAATTTACTCGCGCACTCAATGCCCGAAGCATCATGAGCAACCAGATTCCGGGCATGGATGGTGACCATCTCGAAGTAAAGGCATGAGTGATCGGCGAAAGTGTCTGGGGCTGTAAGTGTCCCTTCTGTGACTGTAGAGACAGGCGTAACAATTCGTGTTTATACATGGTTGAAAGGGCCTCCATTTCTACCAAACTCGGGCGATCCCCATGTCTCTCTTTCAACTACACCCGAGTTTTGCTTCTCTAATATGCCGGCACACAACTAATCATCGCCTTCGCCAATTCAAAAACAGTACCCTGAATTTTGAGCTTTTCAAAACCTGCAGTTCCTGACTTCCCATGATCTTGGTCCCAATTTCTATGGTATCACATCAGTGTTTTTTTGAAGTTAGAAACTGGATAACCTATGATTTGCGATCAATAAGTAGTTCAGGTAAACTGAGCCAGTTGTATGTCTCCTTTTTCTTCATTCATTAGTAGCCACGAAGAGAAGTGAACCTCGTTACTCAATTCCCGAAAGCTAACCCACAGGCAAATCTTATCATGCTTCCCTACAACAGATAACTAAGCCGATTATTGAATTAAAAGTGGTATACGCTTCCAATGGCGGTGATCATGCCCAAAGGGAATCCGCTGACTGGGCATATCTTGGCGCGGGGCTTGGCGTTGGATCTATGAGCATACGCGGCCCGCCAGTGGAGACCTGACGCCAGCCATAGACCGGGTGGAGTTGAGAATGCACGACAGTTGTCCTGACCCTCCTGCAACCTTACTAGCATAATTGGATTGTCCATATCACCGCAGACCTCCTCATGGATTCCGCTACTGCCGCCCCTCGTGGCGCCAAAATAAGGAGTGCCTGCGATTTGTGTCGCGTTCGAAAGGTAATGGATGCAACACAACACTCGATCCTCGGTCAATTGACCCCCAACAGCTACTGATTCTGGTATTCTGCATGTTTGGCTTTACAGATCCGCTGCGATAAAGCCCAACCCGCGTGTGAGAACTGTCACCTTGCAGGACTCCCTTGTACATTCACCCCACAGGCCCCTCAACAGCGGAAAAGTCTTCGCCAGTAAGAACGAGATTCTTGTCCAATTCTTATTCGGAACTTTGCTGATTGGTGAATAGAGAGCTTGCCGAAGCTCAGGCTCGCGTACAGGAGCTAGAACGAGCGCTAGATGCAGGCTTAACCCCCACACACCTTCGTGTCCAGGATGACCAGTCAAAACCATCTACTCCCGGGCATTCGAGCATCTCATCCGCGTCACCTCAGAGTCAACCACCGTCCTTGACTAATTTGGACGCTAACTATATCCCCGATACTCGCTCTCTAGATGCTGCTTTAGCATCCTTTCAATCCCACCTCGCATGGTGCGGGCTTGGAAGTCGCCTTTCAGCGGCCCGAGCAAATTTCTGCGCAACTATCTACCAGCAAAGTGGTCATACCTTTGACTTGGACGAGTTCTTGATTGAAGCCGCAGCATCTTTCGAGAAACAGGGCTTTTTATCCAAAAAGAAAACTACAACCTCGAAATGGCCATCACCCTCTCTAGTCCAGCGATGTGTGGAATACTATGCACGATGCGGACTCTATTCCATGTTCCCTTTTGCGGATGCCGAGGCGCTGCAAATGCTTGTCAATGCCGACGTCTTGAATCACCCAAACACGACTCGCGCTGCTAATCGTGCCTGCTTAGCTGCGTTCACGGCGAATATCACTATAATGCACCGTCATGATCCTGCCTTTTGCGACGCTGATCCTGACGCCTATGCCCAAGCAGCACTTTCACTCGTACCCCAGATACTCATGGAAGCCCCGGACTTGAGAACGCTTGAAGCCATTATGATGTTGGTAAGCCAGCTATTGAACTCCACCTTCATGCAACAATCGAGATACTAAATACACACAGCTAGTCTACATTTCTCCCCTCGGACAGCCCGTGTCCGCAGAGCTACTCCTAGGCATTGCAATACAAGTCTTGTACAACCTCGGGGGCCACAAAATCCGACCGACACCCGAAATCCCCGGTCGATCCCACCAAAGCCAGCATCTCCGTGCACTCTTCTGGCTCTGTTACGGCATTGACAGCGAGTTTTCCATTCGAAAAGGCCAACCTCCAATGCTCAGTGAGGTACACTGTGATCTAGACTTACCAGTCAACTACACGTTGAAATCATCAGAGCACCACTTCTATTGGAAGCCACTATCCTCGAAAGAACTCCTCTATCCGTCCGATCTTCGGCTGAACTTGATCAAATCAAAGATCTACAAGCTCCTCTACTCCGAGAAAAATGCGTCTCACTCTGAAGCGGCAAGAATCCAACTCATCCGTGAATTGGACTATGACTTGAGTACGCTTAGGTCTGAGTTTCCCGTTGACTGTCGACCAGATCTGTTCGCGACTGAAAACGCCCCGGATTATCTATTCCACGATCTGAGCATACGGGGCGTCAGTATCCATCTGGAATATTATTATTGTCTGGGGAAAATCCACGGGGCAAATAATTCCTACAATATTCCCGCGCAGGCTTCCTGGTCCCCGCTGTCATCCAGTGCCGATATTTGTTACGAAGCAGCCCGCTCGACATTGATATACGTCGGTCGAATTCAACATATTATCAATTATCACACATTTTGGTATGTCCAGCGACAGTCCCCCCTAATACTAGACCGCATGTCCTTATCATTCATTGAAAATCACAGGATCCACGCCCAATTCGTGCTCACGGCTGTCCTCACACTTTTCCGTTTCCTCATCACGGCCCCCTCTGCCCCGAACTTCGCCCGTGATCTCAAGATACTGGACGACACGGCCAATCTCTTCGCTGAATTTACGCAGTCGGATGATCCAGAGAGAAACTGTTTTCCACCTTTCTACCTCGCTCACGCTTTAATCAAAAAGTTGGTGTTCCTGGCTGGGGAGTCACATATTCAGTCTATAGCCAGATAGACCCTGCAAATCGGGATCGGAAATACAAAGAGGCGCAAGGAGGGTTATGCGGTGGTGGGAGTACGGTAATTTCACTGCAAAACGCAAAATGGTATACAACAATCCAAAAAATATCAAGCACAAATCCATCACATCGGCCAAGAAATACTATCTGCATCAGCCATCCTTCCTTCACCAGCTGTACGAATCACCATAACCCCTCCACTCAAAGCTTAATTCCAATCTCGGCCAAAGCCTTGGTCACGTTCAAGTTGACGGTGAGGTTATTCGCAGCTAGCGCCTGCGTGAAATAAGGCAGTTGCTTGCCATCGTACACGCTCGAGTTACCTGAGATGGTGAATGGGACCATGCCGTCCTTGTATGGGTTCGAGCTCGAAGTGACTAGGCTGATGATGGCGGATTGGTTGACATTGGAGGTCATTGGGATGGTGTTGTTGCCAGGCTTTAGGACGAGGTCATCGAGGTACGAGTAGCCCATTGGTTGGCCGGCGACGGAGAGGTCGAGAGTTACGTTGCCCTGTGACAAGAGTTAGACGGAGATTTCTCTTGAATGGAATAGATCTGGTTATTGGGAGGGATTGGGTACCATGGTGATTGTCATCACGGAGGGGTTGGGAATGTAAACGGTGCCGTTCATGTTACGACCGTTTTCCGGCGTCAGCATGATGTGGAACTCAGTGACGTCGAAGCCTGTGAGCTTGTTCAACCCTATATTTTCATGTTAGTACTTTCCCAGTAAAAACGGAAGGGGAAAGATTTACCCTTCATAGTAACAGTCTTGTTATACGTAACCGTAGACTTAGGCAAAGAGCCCTCCTGCAACTTCGGTTTACCATAAATATTCAACTTGACCTCCTCGTTCAGCATAACAGCTTGCGCAAAGTCACCGAATGCATCCGCATTGCTCAGATCAACAACTTGGTCCACATTCACCTCGGCGCCGTCCTTGGACTTCACTTCCGGCACTTGCACGGAGGTAAAGGCGTGCGCGGAGCCGAGCAGGGAGACTGAGGCGAGGAAGGAGTAGATCTTGGGGTGGTAGGAGCTCTTGGAGCCGATGACTTGGGTTTGGGTCAGGTGGAATGATTCTGGGGTTGGGTCGGCGATGACCATGCTGGTTATGTTGAGGGTGGAGTCGTTGACTTGGTCCTGGGCGATTTTGGGGTATGCCACGTAGACTCTGTTATATTGTCAGAGAAGGGAGTAACCGATGCTGGTTCGTGCAGATTGTACAGGAGTGATGCAGGATCGCAATAATGTCGGGGTCTCAAGAAGAACTTACACGGGCAACAAGATGATAAGAAAGACCGCGATGAAGATGATCAAGTGCACCCACCACCACTTCTTGAAATGCGCCCCCAAGCGTGCACCAAAGCCACGCTTTGCCGGCGGCAAGGCAGTGGTAGTCTCCAACTCGGTCACTCCTGTCTTGGACATCTTGTCTTGCAGTGATGTATCACGAGTCTAAAGAATACAACAAACGAGTGGTCGTCAGTATAGATTCAAGTTTCATTTTCCCATCCAATAGACAACTCCATTGAGCCTCAAGCCACAATTTCAGATTCGCCCAACATGGACATACCTTCAATAAATTTGATTTGACACGAGGCTAGTCGCGTGTAGTCGAGATCGAAAGACCAGACTAGACAAACGGCAATGAAGTACCGAAAGCCTCGGGCGCGAAGAGCAACGGGTCGAAACGAGCGACAAGAAAGAGAGAAGAAGGAAGAAGAAAGGGAAGAATTGAGGGAGGTCAATAAGGTATAATAATAGGAAATACAATGCCCACAGCTCCTAGTACGACCGGTGCATCCGGGGCCAACGAGGGTAGCATTTTACTTTATAATTAAATTCGGTGTCGGATTACTTCCAGTCTTGGCTGGGCCACCAGATTAGAGATTGACTAATGATTTAGAAGGAAATCAGAACATCCTCGGCGAGCATCACATGTCATGCAAGATACACGGTGCAGCTTCGTCCAAAGGGGTATGGGAAAGATGAGAAATTTCAATGAACCAGGCAAGATCCAGTCTAGTACGGCGCCGCGAGTGGGGCACAGGCGGAGGTAGGACCAGGTTTGAAGGCGAGTGCATTCTTTTCTCGTCGGTTTACTTTCTTGTTCGTTTCCGCTGTTGGGTTAGCGTGTCCCTTTGTGTCTGGGCGTGTACTGTGGGCGAGGTTTGTTAGTGGCGAGAACGATAGGCCGGTGGACTTCTTGACCTGGGGAAAGTTCGGAGGCCTCGGGGTTGCGGGGACGTGTTCCTGGATTGAGTTTTCCAAGGTGCTGGACTGATCGACTATAGCGACACATCGATAGTAGCACTCTGTGAAGGTTTTGGATGTTTCTGTTATTGCTGGGTGATGTGCAGTGTCGATCGGTTGATCTCTCGATCTCGGTTCCATCAGGGCATGCTGATTGATGAGCTAGGACGTTTCGGATTGAGTTTGTAAGCCGTAGTGAGTTCTGGCAGGCAAAATAGCACGCTGCACGATACGAGCAACAGCAACACACGAGGGGCTGGTTTTCGCCTCCCGCATCGAACTTGATAACGCAGCGTCCCTGGTTCGCGGGAGAGCGCATATGCAATTTTTGCCTCGGGGTGCCGCGAGCTAAGGAGATTGATCAGCTGCAGAAGCATGTGCAAATGCAATATGCAATCAAAGAATGCGCCACGGGGACCGGGCGCCGCCGTTATCCTCCTCCAGGATCAGGCTCATCTTGGATGTCTAGTCCGCGCCTCCAGTGAGTCCGAGTCAACGACTCATGATACAGGCCCCCCGGCGCTGTGCGACGAGACCCTGGACCTCTGGTTGGTGGGGCACCCCCCCTTCTACCGTTGCACCGACCATCCGGGGTCGGCCCAGGAGATGGTTGGCCATTGGCTGTCCATAGAACTAGCTGCAGCGGGGGCGGTCGCCAAGGCGCTGTGAACGACGAGTCGGCTGGGGAAGATGGGGCGGTGTCATATTAGCCTCCGGATCCATGGATGTCCGGTGTTTTTGGGAGGGTCTAGTGTCGCGTATTGCCTTGTTGTGGGAGTGGAATTGGGTAGGGTCCTAGTGGCGTGCCTGGCCGTCGACAGTAGGCGAGGGGTTCGTGCCGAAAGTGTCTTGGAGGTCCTGTGGCTCTAGAGCGCGTTGGGTCAAAGGTCCGGGGGACGAGAGTCACGGGGTAATTCCCCACTTCCTGGGGAAATTGGGGCCAAGAATATAAAAAGTTGAAAAGCACGGCAATAAGACGGGTGTCTGAGATAAGAAAATAGACTGGTAAACTGATATACAGTGACTAGTGCTACTACTAGTATTCCCGTAATCGGCATTTGCCAATGACTACGGCATTTAATTGAAGGGATACACGAAAAGATGTTGCACGGATACGAGCGGCTTGAACCCGGCCGATCCGATCAATTTCTGGATCAGATAGAGCATCAGCCCTTCATAGATGGCTACAAAATGAATCCAATAAAAAAAACAATCCAACCGGACCTAAACGGGTCCAAGACGATCTCGATGGTCGACGGCTCTTCGGGTAACTAGTAGATAATGACACTAAGCAAGAAATGATGTCAACGCAAGATACACGGCCTGGATTACAAGTCATGACACGAGCTCGTGGCTTCCTGCACGATACACAAAAAAGTCTGCCAGAATGGAATGCACATAATGGAGAAAATTTAAGTATGATGGGAAAAACAATGTCCAAAAATAGAAAAAAAAAAAAAAAAAGAGGGAGAGATCAATCCCACAAAAAGATATGGTCAAGAAAGGAAAATGGTGGTGTTAATGAAGGCAATCAGAAAAGAGTTCGGCCTTGAGGTCCGAGGATAGAAGAAGAGGATAAAATAAGAAGAGCAAATCGAAGGGTATCCACGGAGAATTGAAAAATTATGCCCGCGAGGCAGGTGAAAGGAATCAACGATTCATCCACCATGCTCGAGAAAAGCTGCCCAGGCGGCTGAGGTAAAAAAAGTTTGGGGATATAACAGAAAAGAATAGGGGGAAGAAATGGCTAGTAGATGGCAAGAAATGAAGAAAGGAAAAAGAAGGATCTGAAGGAGTGTAAAGTAATCAAACAAATGACTCAAAACGGCATCTCAAAAGAAAGGGTTTGAAGCAAACCAAGTGTTTCAGCTCAGAACGCTCCACAAACGCATTGTTTCGAAATGCAAGATGAATGAGGGACAGTGCCTTGAGGGGCAATATGCAAGTCACACATGTCAAAAGACAAGGATAGATGAGATAAGGCGGGGGGAGACCTCTTATGTATCAGAGGCAATCTATGCCTCGGGAACAGACTTCTTCCGCTGGAAGAGACTGCGAGTGCGCGATTTGCTACGCGGCTTCTTGTCACTGCTGACAGTCCGTCCGCGCGAGCGTCCACCGCGGCGTTCATCGTCGGGCATGTATTTGTCTTTGTAAATCCTGTGGATGCGTTAGCAAGCTTGCAATAATCAAGCAGGGTTGTGTGTGGATACGTACCAGCTGTTTCCAACCATGCTCATACCCTTGGACTCAGCCTCACGATAGAAACGCGCAGCCTTCTTCATATCCTTCTTACAACCCACACCCTCGGCGTAGCAGAATCCAGCCTCCGCCATGGCATCCACATCGCCCCATTGACCGGCAATCTCAAAGCATCGCAGAGCCAAGGACTTGTCCTGCTCAATACCCCAGCCATTGAGATGACTGACACCCAGCTCGTAGATACTAAGTGCGAACTGGGCCCGATAAGCCTTTTGCAACTCCTTGGCCTTGGAAGCACCTGGAGCGTCGGGGTTCTCGAGCATTTCCAAGCCAACCGAGTCAACTGCCTTGCGTAACCATCGCACACCTTCTTGCTGATTAGGTCGCATGCCCCAACCATGGCGGCAGGCAAGCGCATAAAGCAGCATACCGGTGGGATGGTTCTGCTTAGCAGCAATGCGCAGGTGGTAAGTTGACTCATTCAGTGAGCCTGCCTCGTGCAGCTCAATACCCTTGGTGACATGATCGTCGGGTGTGACGGCGGTTGGCGGTGTCTGGGTGGCCTGGGTGGTCGCCGTCTGTGGGCGAAGAGTACTGGCCGAGTCTGCAGAGGAGATAGTCTCATCCTTGTCACTAGTCCTCGGGCGAGTGGACTCGGTAGATGGTCGGGGAGGAGTGACCACAGGGGGAGCCGGAGCATGTCTGGGTGGTGAAATGGGTGCTGGAGGTGCAAGCTTGGTTTCGGGGACAGCGGGTCTGGGCGGTGAAATGGGTGTTGGAGGTGCAATCTTGGTCTCGGGGACCGGGGCCGGGGTCGGGGTCGGAGCGGAAACCTCATACATGGAATGAGGCTTGGGAGAGTCCTCCATGCGGGGATGCGAGGGAGGTGGAGTTCGAGCCGAGCGTGGCGGCTCTTCGGAATGCCGGGGTGGAGAATTCTCAAACAATGGCTCTTGCCATTCGAAATGAGGCGTTTGTAGGCCAGCGAAAACGACCGAGTCTCGTGAGACCATGCGGCCACGCGGCAGTGCATATTTGGCATACACATACGAGGATACTGCAGACGAAGGCTCTCCTTCCTCTGCGTGAGTAGCAGCAGCCTCCTCGGTCGCCAATGGGACCAGGATTGGCGTCGGTTTGCTCGGCCGGTGCATATGATGTGACTGTCGGTTCCACCGATGCTGCTGCTGAGGAGTAGTGGCGACCGGTGTTGGGTTCGATTCGGAGGTTACAGACGGGCCTGGGGCGGACAGACTGGTGCTCGACCGGCTCAATGGTCGAGAGAAGTTGAACGAGGGTCGGGGAAGGTGCCCAGTGGCCGAGGTTTCCGAGCTCAGCGACGGTGAACGAGGGTGCATCCGAGTGGGATATGTAGACATAGGTGAGTATGGTAAAGACACGGCACTGCCCGAAGACAATTTGCGCGGTTTAGAGAACGTCGAGCCAGCGTTCGAGCTGCTATAGTCATCATCCGAGCTCTCCGGTTGCATCACTCTAGTGCTACTTGACGAGCGGGAATGCGGCGACACCGGCGGCGCCAGGGTGCGCGGAATTTGTAGCTGCGATACTGAGTCGGTGGACGACTCGCGCGAGGGGCCGACCATGGCGTTGCCCGCCGAACCGCCCTCGGCGCCTCTCGCTAGGGACGGGTCATTTTCAGGAGATTCCGCACGGGGTATATCGTAGATACTCGAGCTGGGTCGCACCATGGTCGTCCGTGGGGTGGACTCATCATCGTACGTGTCGGCATTGCTGCTGGCATGCGAGACGGAGCTGAAGCGGGGGTGCTCTGAGACGGGTCGATACTTGGGTTCTTCGAAATCCGGGTGTGCTCTCAACGTCGGCTTTCGTGTAAGACTATCGGCCTGAGACTCATTCGATGTGGCGCGAAAATAGCCAGGACGGGGAGTAGAGAGCGATCGGGCGACGCTAGAGGGGGGAAGTCGACTCATGCGCCGGTCTCGTCGTCGGGATTCATCCAACTGTTTAGCGAGAAAACGGCCTTGGGCAGCGAATGCATCCAGGGGCGACAGCGCCGGAGGGACTTCGCCGTCGTAGTGTTCGATGCGCGGAGAAGGAATGCCGCTTCGCAAGGTGTCGTGGGAGACCGAGCGACAATCGCTCAAATTCCCGCGAAAGGCCATCGTAGGAAGAGGGGGGGTGGTTCAAAACTTCGGTAAGGGCTCTGATCGGATCTTTGCGTTGGTCGTCGTCCGGTCTGTCGTTCTCAATGAGTTGACAAGTGCTAGGGAGGCGCCTCAAGTTCGAGTTGGGTCGAAACGGTCAGATCATCCAGACTCTAGATCAGTCAATCCATACCCAGCGCGCATCGGAGACGAAAGGTTTCAAGTTGAAATAACCCGTCAAACAGGCTGAAACTTGAGCGCAGTTCACAGACTCGGGCGGAGGGAGAAGGAGGAGGGGCTAGGTGGAATTCTTTGGGCGGGGGGCGCGACGAGGCCAAAGGAATGACAGCCCTGAAAGGATTGGGGGGGAGGAACAAGGTCAAGAGTTCCGAGAGGCCAGATGAGACATGGAGGAGAACAACAAAAATGGAAACGGCAACAATGGGGTGCGTCACAGGAGAAAGGAGGGAGGAAACGGGCGAGGCCCTGACGATCACAATTGCAACTGGAGGCGTGCAGTCGTGGTCAAGAAGGGCGCCCGTGCACGAGAGTGGACAAATAATGGGCTCCACTGCTTCTTCCTCGTCGAAGATTTAATTGTCAGATCTCGAGTAATAATAGTACTCAGAGGCCAAGAGGAATGGTCAAGAGGACAGAGGACAGGAGAAGTCGTCCGTTCGTTCATTGCGAGCTGGAATCTTGATTGCAAGGGCCAAGCAGGTGACCGGACCTGCATGAAGCAAAAGGTGAGGTCGCTCAGGGGGTCGCCAAGAATCAAACCACTTCCAGGCCGGACTGGACGGACTGGACGGACTACAATCGTCGCCTCTATTGACGCCATCACCCACAAGTTCCTGACTCTTATAGGTCTGGCAGTTCTTGGGGGTCTTGAAGTTATGAGCAGGTCCAGGGACTGCGATAGGCTCATGGTCGATATGATCGATCTTATTGTCCGGATCTAACTCCGTCCCAAGCTGAAACAATGCCAAATGAACAATAACAACAACCACGACGGGCATCCATGATCAGCAAGCCTTCTAGAATCTCTCGTCCCGTCTCCTATTGACCGATGGAGTTCCCAAATGATATTCGTGGCCCCGACTCCATCATTAACCTAGTCTGTCTTCTTCGAGCCAACGACGGAACCCCATCGTCTCCCCACACGGGCAGTTTCAGGATGGTCTCCTCAAGGCGAGTAGCCCAAACTCTCGGGCCCACGCTTCCCATGGCCAACGCCAATCGGGCGTGCCCTGGTGGAGGCCCCGTTCTTTATTTGGCTCACGTTCTGCAGTTTCCGAACGAGTTTCTAACTTTCTCCTCCGTACGGAGTAGAGGTTGAGGTGTTTCCCTTGGTCTAAGCCAGAGTGGTTCGCCGTCTTGTCTTTCGATCGATGTGATATATCCGCAAGAAACCGTTTTAGTTTACTCTGGCTGGTTTCGATGACAAGGATAATAATTCAGCCTCGTCAAATAAAGTTCCTACCTTCTTATAGGGCCGCACATTGTGCTTACTCCAAGCTGGATGCAAACCAGTTGGTCGCTTTACTACAGCACTACGTATCCTCGAGACTCGATCATTTAAACCTCCTTATCGCACTTCGTCTATGCCTGACGAAGAGTTTTGCTCTCTCTCTCTCTCTCTCCCGATCCGGCCCCCTTCGACCGGAGACAATTCCCATTTTAGGCGCTTCCAGCCGGCCCCAGAAGCCAATCCGAAGCTCCATGGTTCTGGCCTTCGTGGAGGGAACGTCGCCCTAGAGAACGATACTAAACTCTTTCCAGTACGTGGTGGTTAAGCTAAATACAAGCTACGGTCGCTAGAGTAGTAATTAAGTGAATTAAATTGTGTAGGAGTCTCGTGGTGGGTGTGTGTCGAGCCAACGTAAGCCACGTCCCAAAGCGACCGCAGCTGAGCTTCAATCGACGCTTTTATACGCCAGCAGAAAAAACTCTTTTACCTCCAATTCTGTCCGCGCCTCCATCTGCAGTCTGTCTGGAGGAGGACACTGCCTCGGTGAATTAATCTTCATATACAACACAATCGCCTCGTCGAACTCACCACCCAGCTCCTCCACTACCACCGAAACCCAACTCCCCCCCACCGACAGACGAGGACGCATTCAACCTCAATCGCAGAAATTTTTCTCGATCATGCGCCGCCCCTCCTGCCTCTCGCTCTTTGGAGCAGAACCCAATACCGATACCCTCCACCGCTTCGAAACTTCCTGGCTCCTATCCCCGACCATCCTCGCCGGTCTCCGCGGCCTCATCGCCCTGTACATCTTCACCACGATCATCGTCATTTGGGCCTGGTACGGTACCCACGATGACCGCACCGCCATCGGTCAGTCCTTCAGCTACTTCACCTGGTTAACATACTGGGGTCTGGGCTTTTATCATCTCTTCGCTGCGATTCACACGGCCTGCTATGCGCGAACGGGCCGCTCCGTACTATTCGATCGTTGGCCCCGCGCCTGTCGCGTGCTCCATGGCTTGTTGTATGCGACGATCACCACCTTCCCATTCCTGGTGACGATCGTCTTCTGGGCAATTCTGTTCACACCACCTTTTTATAAGGAGACGTTCCCTGGCTGGTCTAATGTAAGTGTTCTGGTTGTTTCGTGTGTCTGCGCTGCGGCAGTCTTCAAATCTTCAGCCCTATCGCGAGGAACCCCGTTTCCGGCTTCCGTGCGAGTCTACATGTTCCCCCCCCCCCCCTTCCCCCCTTGCATTCATTCCTCGAATCACGATTTCTCCCATGGAACATATCAAAAGCTAACGGACAATTTCATGTAGATCTCCCAGCATGGCCTCAACTCGCTGTACGCTCTGCTGGAAATTATCCTCCCAACCACGGCGCCACACCCCTGGATGGCTATCCCCGTTCTCATTCTGCTGCTAGCACTTTACCTGTGTGTCGCATACATTACCGTCCACACCGAGGGCTTCTACACATATTCCTTCCTCGACCCGGGCTCCCACGGCCAAAAAAGCGGTCTCGTCGCGGGCTACTGCTTCGGAATCCTCGCTGCGATTATCATCATCTTCTTGATTTCTTGGTCGCTGATCCGTCTACGTGTCTATCTGGCCGCTGGGAGGATTAAGCGGGCTGCGCGGGATCCGTTGCGCGGTCAAGATGCACTCGGTGATGTCGCGACGGAGATGCGTGACTCGTCGATGGAGGTGAAGCCCACGCCGGTCTAATTTGGGAGAGCAGGCGACGGGGTCATGATTTGAGATGAGGATGGTGATTATTACATAGCTTACCATTGACGCCGATATAATCGTCGATGTTCTAATCTGTATATGGACTAATGTTAATAGGAAGAACCAATTCAATTGGCGCTATTAAGAGAGAAGAGTTATGTCGGTGGTATGTACAGAGTAGCGTAGCTCGGCCATGCTTTCCAGGTATTAGGGTAAGGGGAGTGAGTCACTTTTGCTGTCTGAACAGACAGACGAAGAAATAGTCGACTTGGCAAATCAGACAGATGGGAGCTAGGCAATTAAACCCGCTCCCAGCTATTCTCACTGCCGCTGCTGGGGCTGCCTGCTCCCACGGTCTGTCCGCTGCGGTAGCCCATCATCAATCCCACCAACCCGCTGGGCATCCAGTCACCGATCAGGCTGTACGACCGCGCACCTCGGCCTACATACATGATAGGCTTTTTATGCGCACGAAGTCCGAAGACATTGCGGGACACCGGTTGCAAGGCATCCAGCACGGCGTGATGAAGAACTCGCGCAGGTGATCCACGAATCGCAGCAGGTCCCGCGGAAGCAACTGGTCGCTGCTCAACGCTATTCAAATACTGAGAGCCGTACAAAGCCCGCTGCTGCACACTCCACGCGAGAACTTCCGTTCCGGCAATATGGTTCTGCGCATTTCGGTAAGACGGGCCCAGATCAATATTTCCAAGCCGGAGCTCGACGACATCGACATTCCCGTTCTCGAGAAGACGGAGTTCCTGGCGGAGGGAGGTCGCGAAACCTGAAATCGCCCGTGTCGTTGTGACTTCGGGCCCGGCAAAGGGTGCGGAAAGAGATGATGAGATGGATGGGTAAGCGAAGATGAGAGCGCTGCTGTTGCTGCGGAGGGTCAAAAGAGGCAGGAAGACCTGCGCGGTGAGAATGGGGGAGAGAAGACGGGTGTTGACGGTGTCGGCCCATGATGAGGCTGGGATGGTAGCGACGGGGCCGGCAGCGAAGTTTGGCGACGGGACGATGATGACACCGCTGAGTTGGCAAGTATGCGGGGGCATCCCCGGGAGGGGATACTGAGGCTGTGTGATCAGTGCGCGAAGCTCATGGAGCGAAGGGTGAAGTTCGGATTTATTCGAAGAGGTCTGGATTGACGTTAGAATCAATATCTTCGTGATAACGCTTTCAGCGAAGACAAACCGTTGTCAGATCCAGCCACAGGGCTTTGATATCCGCCCGGTGCTCGGACTGAACTATGTGTTCCTCCTCCGCAGACGATACCGTCACGTATACAATGTATCCCCGGCGCTCCAGGTCGGCAGCAATAGCTCGTGTCATCGGTTCATGCGGCGATCCGGCAACCACTAGTATCGTTCATTAGCATCCCAATCTCTATAGCAAACTACCTGGCCGTAAGGCGTCCTTGCAACGTACCAACGATCTCTTTCCGTGACCCATTACCCGCCTTTTTAGCCTTCCTTCGCTTGCTATTCAACTTTTTGTTTCCATACAGCAAAACGCATCCAGTGCCAACGAACGCAACGATAGCCGCAGTCAGCGCACGATTCCGAGTCATCCAATCCTGGGCCCGATCAGTCAACCCATGCGGTGGCGAGCGCAGATCCCGGGTGCGCAACGACGGTCGAACAGATGACGGCAGCCATGATTGCTGTGCAATGGTTTCTCGGATTGTGGCTGCTGCCCAGTCGACCTGGCGATCGATGGAGTCGGCGACCTGCAACGAGTATCGCCTTACGTCATGCGGTATGGACGCAAGCTGTAAAGACACGACCTGTCAGCACTAAAAAAAAAGATATCTTGATGATACTAGTGTCACCGTCACTCACGTAGTCAAAGAAGAACTGGTCGTCGCTCGTCATGGTGGCCTTTTGAGTAAATCTTTGAAGTGAAAATGAAGGGCGATAAGATCGACGCGGCCGATAAGTCGAAGGCATCTCCACTTCGTCTGAAGGTCACGTGCTGATGTACGTACAGATCTGATGCGCTGTATACAACGTACATAGTGTTACGGTTTCTAGGATAGTGGTTGTAGGCCTAGATAGATAGTAAATTTTGAGAGCCTTTGGTATCCATAAAGCTGACTGGATACTCGTGCTTCAGGGAAGGACTTCGCATGCCCTCAAAATTGGTTGTAAACATATATATTTTCAGACGGGATTGATCAATTTAGTACGTCGTTATGAAGTGCTCTAGGTAGCAGTTCCAAGGCAATATGACTATAGAAATTTCTAGGGACAGGTAGCCTTTTATTCCAGAGATGTGAAAATCATCTCGTTACATTTACCATGATCACAAAGTTGGTCAAATGCCTGAGTAAGTATTGCTTGAATATCCACGTGACCTCGAAGGCCTGAGAGTCAAGGCCAATATAAGGCCATCAACGGGGTTGATTATCAATTGCAGGTGCCACTGGTTCGCAGCAGCCTGTTTTCAACAACGCCCTTACCCCTGTTCTCTGTCATTCCTCGGAATATTCCAAATGTGTATTTGTTGAATATCTACACCTTGGACCGTCGGAGAATGATATTCTCTGGGAGGCCTCAGCCTCAGTATCCCTTGACCTGACTCAAGCCTCTCGTTTATAGTCACAGCCAGACTTCATCCATTTGCTTTAAAAATGAGAGAACTAGACGCGCTCATCTCAGAGTATCGCCATGAAAAGAAACGCCCACGTGAGGAGGAGGCGCTTTTCATCTTGCGCAAAGTTGCCTCCTTGGTCAAACCCATAATGCGCCAACGCGCGTGGAGAGTTGGCGCATTATGCGAGTTCTATCCCACGCAGAAAAATCTCTTGGGTTTGAATGTCAACCATGGTCAGAAGATATGTCTGAGATTACGATACGCTTCAGATCAGCGGCAATTTCTGCCTATCGAACAGGTCGTGGATACGATGCTGCACGAGTAAGTCTTCTTGATATGTACGCTGGCAAAACATTTTTGACAAGGACTTAGACTGTGTCACATTGTGCATGGACCACATGACCGACAGTTTCATGCCCTTTGGAACCAGCTTCGAGATGAGCATGAGGAGCTCGTCATGAAAGGCTACACTGGCGAAGGCTTCCTATCCCAAGGAAAGCGCCTCGGCGGGAGCAGAATACCACTCGACGAAGCCCGCCGCCGGGCTCGCGCGGCTGCTGAACAGCGAAAGACCTTGGCCAAGAACTCCGGCAAACGACTCGGCGGTGCTCCCGTTCTTCGCGGTACAGACATGCGCAGGCTTCGCGCAGATGCTGCTCAACGCCGTATCGAGGTTACCAGTGGATGTGCCTCGGGGACCGCTCATAGCGCAGGACTTGCAGAGGAAGCGTCTAGGAATGGATTCAGAACGAAGGCGGAAGAGGAGGATGCTAATGAACAGGCTATCCTGCAGGCCTTCATTGAATTGATCCAAGAGGAGGAAAGAGAAAAATACGGAGAGTCGTATATCCCTCCGAGTCAAGAGAATCCTGCTGGCCCAAGAACGGGCGAACGGCCAGATATTGACTTCAGTGGGCCGGTGGAAAACTTACAACCGGGCCTACCCCCAGAGCAGATGCCCGAAACGTCAAGTTCCGCTGCAGACAACAGCTCGTACGATTCGTCATGGACATGTACGACTTGTACCCTCGAAAACCCACCCAATTTCCTATGCTGCGACGTATGTGCGGCTGAACGGCCTGTCCCGTCAGTTGAAAAGCCTACTATCACGTCACGACAGCACACCCCAGCTGTCCCTTCAAGACCAGAGCCTGAAAGATCGAGAAAACGAGTTTTGCAAGTCGACGAAGCCGAAGAAAGGGATGAAGCTCCGCCCAGGGGTGGCTTCGCTTTCAAAAACCGAACCCGTGCTTTGGATTCGCTTGCTTCAATTCACCGAGATACTAGTAAACGACCATTGGGCTGGCTTTGTGATCAGTGTGGGAGTTTTATGGAGAGCCAGTGGTGGACTTGTTCTTGTTGTGGAAAAATGAAGCTGTCATCTTGACCCAGCCACGCTTGCACTTTTTTAAAGGGTAATAGAAGTTTTCATGAGAACCACGACGTTCATGATCTGAAAAATGATTAGCCTATCCTTTGTTATACTAACTATACAATGTTCTATTGCATTTGACATATTTGTACCTTGATGCGTTAAATATCACGTGAGAAAGACTAGATGACTAATCACTAGCTCCACCACCCGATTATTTTTTGCGGACTCTCGGTTCCCTCAATTCCTCTTTCCTGCATACGCGAGCTCCGCGATTTACAACCGAATCTTCCAAGCATGGAAAGAGACTAGTAATGTTCTAGATCCTCAATCCATGCTGGAAGCTCCCATCTATCGGTATGTTCATCCACAATTCATTTTCTTCGAACGAAGCGAGGGACGAGGGACAGCAAAAGAACAACGCAAGCCGAGAAGCTTCAAATGATGAGACCTTATCAATGAACCGAATTTTTAGGAAGAGCCGGAAGAGGTATGGCAAATAGGGCCCAAAGAGGATTCCGTTTGTCGTCGATGCTTATAATGGTTCTGCTGAAGGAGTCTTTTGAGGCTTGCTATTGCTGTTCTCTTGTCTACTCGTTGTCGTGTGGATGAGGATGATCTATTGTGAGATTTGTTGCTAATACTATCTCTCTATAGGAGTTTGATCGTGAAGAGATTGACTACACTGGTTTACGGAGAGGATTAGCGAAATTAGACGGGGTAGACTAGTACGGGAGAGGAATGAGTTGGTCACACGAAATAGAATTACCAAGTGAATCAGAGCTATATTCAGAAACTATTCTAGTATGATACATCCCTTGATCTTCCTCTAAACTCCCAAGGATATAGAACTTTTTGTAGAAAAACCTAAACATGCAAGAATTTCCAGAAAAAAACAAGAGGTCAATTATTGACCCACAACGCCCATTGACATGCTCGGAACGATCCTCTAATCACCCCCACTAGGCAATGTTCCTGAATTGACGCTTCTTGCCAGTCCCCTTGGTCGCTTCTGCTGATGCGAAAGCTTCCTCATCAATATAATCCTTGGTGCTATGCTCGCGAATCTGGTTGCCGATGATCTGCAGAGCAGACAGGTTGAAACCCATCTCGTCCTTTTGGCGAGCCAGGACACGGCGGAGCGAGGACCGGATGCTATCCAGCATTGGGCGCATCATCTTGCTGGTCACGATCTGGCGATGGTGCGTCTTCAGCATGAAGAACAGCACGCGACAAGTAAGAGGCACGTTCCACTCGCGCTCGGCCCAGATGTTGAGGAAGGTGAAGAGCGAGGGAAGCTTGGAGAAGGGTAAAACCAGGAGGGCATCTTGAAGGGCAGCAGCGGGGATCTTTTGCACGGTGTTCAGAACGTGCTGCTCAGCAGAGATGTTGCCCAGGGCGATGTACGTAGGATTGCGATCCGGAGGCGCAGCACCTGCTTTGGCGTTTCTGGCCTGCACTTTGCGCCATTCACGCATAACCTCCAGGTCCTCCATGCCGAGATCCAGCGCTTCCATGATCTTCTCACCAGCCATTAGGGTGGTGGTAGTCTGCTTGCCGGCATCGACAGCCTCTGCCTTCTCGCCATCTTCATTATCTTCCTCTCGCTCGAGAGAGGCTGTCAGAGTGCTGTCATAAGCCTCTTCCATCTCCTTCTCACGCTCTTCCTCCAGGAAAAGCTCCTCATCGGTCTGCTTCCACACGCGAATGCTCTTGTCGTGGCTAGCACTGACGATGAACTCACCATCGTGGCTGATTGCCAGGGCCCAGATTTCTCCGTGATGACCGCTGAGTTTTTGGATTTGCTCGAACTTGTCTCCATCCCAGTACTTGATCACGCGATCCTTACTGGCACTGAAGAAGTTGTGACCGTTCTGTTCCCTGTTGGTGGGAACGAACGCTACCGCCATGACACTGTCCTCGTGGGCCAGCAAAGCCTTGTGGCAGTCACCAAAGTCCAAGCCCCAGAGACGAACGGTCTTATCGGCAGAGCAGGTGACAATCATTTTACTGTCATAAGAAATGTCCATGCTCAGGACCGGAAGCTTGTGACCGTAGAGATTGAGGAAGAGTTTCAATGAGTCAACGAAGAAGACTTTGACGGTGTTGTCCAGCAAAGACACCGCCAAAAGGCGTGCATCAGGAGAGAACCGAAGACTGAGGATATCGTCGTTGACCTTGAGCATTCTTGTGTGTACCAACTTGAGACGCGGTGTCGTGCGCTTAGTACCAGGAATCTCCTCTTGCACAACCTTGAACTCCCAGAACTTGGCTGTTTTGTCCGCACTTCCACTAACCATGGACTTGCCATCAGGGTGCACGTGAAGAGACCAAACAGGTCCATCATGAGCCTTAATTGTGTCGAGCAGGGTCGAAGACGCAATGTCAAACACTTCCAACTCGCCGTTCTTGTTGCCAACGACCACAATCTTGTCACCGGGAAGGAAGGCAGAGCAAAGAGCATAGCCGCATTCGAGGGTACGCAGACAGGTGCCCGTGCGAACGTTCCAAATTTTGAGACTTCCATTTGATGCGGAAGCAAGCATCCGATCTTCGGAACTCAGTGCAATTGACCGAATATCTGCGCGGTGACCGGGAAGATCAACGGCGAGACTCCTGGTGTAGTCGGAATCCTCCTCATCCTTGTTCTTTTTGTTCGCCGTAACAACGCTGTAAGACTCCAGCTGGTTATTCGTCGTCGCGGCAAGAAGGCTAAGACCACCACTGGACTTGGTAGCCATCCAGTCAAAAGAGCGAACCTTTCCGCCGGTTCGCACAATGACGTGGGGAATAAAAACCTCAGTGACCGGAGCGGACGAAGGATCCTCGGTTTGCTCCTTCTCGGCTTCCAAGCCATCTTCCTTGCCCTCTCTCTTCGCCTCCTTCTCCTTTCTCCTCTTCAGCTTGCGAGCCATGGCCTTCTGGACTTCTGTCTGCGAACGAATGCGCCAAACCTCAACCGATCTCTCTGAACCGTGGAAACCCACGTAGTCCGCACGAGGATGGAATCGAATGCCAGTTGTGCGATCCTTGCCGTTTCTGTAGAAGGTACCACGGTCTGTGAGAATCCTCTGACCCTCTGCGGCAACCTTCTCCCTCGAGATCTCAAGCATGACGCTCTCGTTAATCGACCAGACCTTCAGCTCGCCATCATTGCCGGCCGTAATGCAACCACCCTGGTCAGGCGACAGACCCAGGCTCCAGCACTCGCCATTTGTTTGCGCCACGTGCGTCTCAATGCAGTGTTGCGATGCCAAATCCCAAACCTTGATCAGCGAGTCTTTGCCGGTAGTCAAGAGGAAGCCGGCATGTTCGCTGAGCCCGGAGGCATTGAGGAGTTCGGTCGAGGGGAATAGGAAGTTCAGGGAGGTAATTTGGTCGGTATGTCCGCGAAGTCTGAAAATTCCTACCTCAGCGATCAGGTCCCAGAGAATGATATCGGTATCCTTCGAGCCACTGGCGAGGCGCACACCAGCATTGTCGAAGGCTAATTGGGTAACTGCAGATTTGTGACCGTTGAAAGAAATGATGATTGTGCTGGTCCTGGAGTCCCAAATACGGATACTACCATCTTCATAACTAGATAAAAGCAAAGCATAGTCAGTAGATGGACCGAGTCGGTTTTGCGCTGGGGTATTTACCCAACGGCGAAGATATCTTCATCTGTCTGGCTCTGCGTGACCACTGTCACTTGTGCCCTGCAGGCAGAATCGCGCCAGCGGCCCAGCAATTCACCCTTCTTGACATCCCAGCACAAGACCTCTTCACTCGCGCCCACAATTGCACGACCGGCGCCCGTCTGGCGAGCAGCACCGGGGGTCTGCTCATCCTTGGCCCAGATCGCATTGGACGACGCCGAGGCGATTAGCCCGAACGTCTCGGAATGCTCAAATTTTCTAAGAGAAAACAACGTCAGCTTTTGTATAACCACAATCCCAGTGAGGAGTACGTACAAGTACGATTTCACCATCGTCGCGGCGTTGATGGGAAAATTTTTGGAGACTCCGATCTGCTATCGATAGCACAAAAATTAATACGGGCGGCGAGAGCGACCTGTCCGGCTCCCCCACCGCCCATGACGATCGCATAAGTGCCTCCCCCAACTACCAACCTCGTGTCATTCCACTCCATTGTGTCGCCCACCATGCTTCTCTTGGACTATCAGAACGCTTTGATTCAATCGCTCCTCACGGAACGGTTCTCTGGGTATAACTCCCCTTGCCTAATGCCCGCCTCCTCACATAACCCCTCAATGTATACACGTCAACCCCCCCAAGGCCCCCGAGCTAACGATTGCCCGCAGTGGTGCCCCAGTTTCGATTGACCAAGTGGTCTCCGACTTCGATGGCGTGACCTTCCACCTTTCGACCCCCGAATCCAAGACCAAGATCCTCATCTCCATCAATGTGAAGTGTTTCAAGGAGCTCGTTCAGTATGGGGCCCAGGAGGTGCTGGAGCGCGAGTATGGATCGTACATTGTCTCGCCGGAACCGGGCTATGATTTCTCAGTACAAATCGACCTCGAGAATCTCCCCGCAGAACAAGAAGCCAAGGACGAACTGATTATGAAGCTCGCCCTACTGAAGCGGAACGCCATGGCAGCTCCGTTCGAACGGGCTTTCGATGAGTTCGCCAAGCTTGCGGAGGAGGCTTCACGGTACACATCCGAGTCGGCACCGCAAGGTGTGAAGGAGGGGGGAGAGGTGATGGCTATTCATTACCGCGAAGAGGAAGCTATTTACATCAAAGCAAGCTACGACCGTGTGACCGTGATCTTCAGCACTGTGTTCCGGGAGGAGACGGATCGCATCTTCGGCAAGGTCTTCCTGCAGGTTAGTGGCATAATTGCGATTGGAGACGCTACATGCTTGAACTCGGTGCTGAAGTACCATAGGAATTCGTCGACGCCCGCCGCCGTGTGGTGACCCTACAGAATGCGCCCCAAGTGCTCTTCCGCAGTGACCCTCCTCTCGAGCTCGAGGGTGTTCCTGGACTTAAGAACGTGGGCGAGGGCGAAATAAGCTACGTCACCTTCGGTGAGTGACGAGGAGGCCTTGAGATGTACAAGCCAAATGTACGGTGCCACTAACTATCGCCGTCTAGTGCTGTTCCCCCGACACTTGACCCCCCAGCGCCGCTACGAAAATATCTCCCACATCCAGACTTTCCGTGACTACTTCCACTACCATATCAAGGCCTCTAAGGTATGGAAAGCTTTTTCGATGATGTGTAATTTTCCAATTTCCTTGACTTACCGTGCATGATAGGCATACATCCACACACGAATGAGGAAGCGCACGGCGGACTTCCTCCAAGGTACGTATACCGCATTGACCTATTTTGTCATGTTGCTAATATTCCATAGTCCTCAACCGTGCCAGGCCCGAGAACGAAGAGCGCGAGCGTAAGACGGCGAGCGGCCGCACATTCCGTGTGCAGAGCTAGATTTCTTTTGGCTTTATGTTGATATCACCTGGAGGCGAGCGTTTACGAACCTGCAAAGCATTTTGATTATCCCATCGTGCCTTTTTCCTTCGGTAGTATTTCAAGCAGAATTGTATATTTGATCGATCACTTCCTTGGGCAGACCGAGATGAGATCTCAATGGTATGTGAGGGTTTCCCTGGTAGGCCACTCTGAGATGGGCAGGCGATCAAGTGCCACTTCCTTCCTTTTCTGTCGCTGCTGGTGCCTCACTTATACACTGGCCAGCGAGACCCTAACCTTCCTTCCCTTTCCTCTCTTCTCTTCTCGACTACCTTTCTCCTCTGCAACTCTACTCTTTCACCTGAGACTTCCCCTCCCCTGCTGTCCTGAAAGTGTAGTCTGACTGCACTTTCATTTACGATCAAGTTAGAGAATCAAATATCTCGATCTGTGGACGATGAATCCACAGAGTAAGGGCCGGTTCTGGAGTGTGTCGGCGTGGAAAGCTCGTCTGAAGCGTGGTGACAGTGCCGAATCAACCACCAGCACCGTTGACGAGTTCCTCTCCGCACACTCCTCCATGGCCACCAAGCAGACGGGCCAGACCAACGTGGGGGAGGACCTGGCCGACGAGCAGACCGAACGGTACTCGTCCTCGGTCTACTCAAAGGACGAGGACGGTTGCTCCGTGGTCCTCCCCCCCTTCGACAACAAGAGAGAGGGCAAGGAGGAACACCACCTCGTGAGTTTAGCTTATCCACCCCTCTCACTTATCTCTCATCTGCACAAAGTATATTTTCGAAGTCCGCGTGGAAGCTAACTGACGCGAAGCAGATGTCGCCAAATCGACGCCACTCTCGCCCGTACGCGGTGAGCAGTGGTGAGTGGGTGTTCGTGTCGGCGTCCGACTCTTCTCTGGGTTCGGTAGGGAGGGTCCTGTCGCTGGACGACCTGAATGAGGTGCAGCTCGCGTACTCCTTCGAGGGGGTACTCAAGGTCTTCATCAAGGTCTATGCGATGGCCAAAGTTATGCAGGTCATCTTCTTGAACTTTGGAGCCGAGGTTCGTAAACCTACTGTTCCCCTCAGTATTAGGGTAAAAAAATGTGTATATGTGCATACATCCGCTAACGTTTCATGTTCTTGATCAGCTTGACGATACAGTGACGGGCCTGACCTACTGGATCAATCGTGCGGAGACAGAGGTCCGATCTGGGGAGCTTGCCGTTCTGATTGAGATTGTGGAGAACCTCTTCTACGCGCTCTATTCTCGAATGATCATCGAAATGGCCGGCATCGAGCTCTGTGCTCTCTTCAAGATTGAATTGCGAGCCGCGAATGGCTCTCGAAAATTCCACCTTCCCGACCCAAACCATATGTACCGAATCTTTCTCGCCTGCAAGGACAACCTCGACAATTACAACATCTGCGAGTCGCTCCAGGAAGGGATCGTTCATAAGTGGCAGGACGCTTTTGTTCGCCGCCTCGCGGCAAAGGAGGCTGAGAAAGGGTTCAGCCCCGATGATATGCTCGGGTATCGTCGGTTCGCTCAAAGCGTGGTCTCGGATCATCGCTCTGCATACGTGAGCAAATGGCGCTCCCTGGTCCCATTCTTCCCTTCCATCCCGAATGAGATCCTGATCATCATGTCTGAGAAATGGTTCACCATTGTGCCAAAGGCCACACCTCCTGACGATGTCCCCGCCTCCCAACTTCCTTTTATGGACCTCAAACTGGTCAATCCCGCGCAATGGGAGAAAGAACTCATCTTGGACCACCGGTTAGCAAGCCTGGGCAAACTGGAAGGCAGGTCAGTCGGAGATGAACGTCGCGACGACCCCAAGATCCGACTTTTGTACTTGGCCAAGTGTCACAAGTGCATCTGTACATCGACCTGTCTGTGTTCCAAGGAGTGTACTAATTACGTGGAGAGCACCTGCCCGTGCTCCGAACGATATGTACGCCTCATGACGGCTCGTCTTAGCAAAGAGCCAGGCCCCTTTGACTTTTCTGCTCGTGCGAACACGGCTGCTCGTGCGTGTTGGGAGGGGCTCGCAATGCTTCGACGAGACGTTTCAGACGAGGCATTCCTCCTCGAATGGAGCGAGGCTTTTGCGGTGTTTGAGTTGGAGATTCAGAAGGAGCGTTGGAGTAAGCAGGCCCGAGGGGAGTGAGTTGTTTTTTCTTGCGGTTGTCTGCGGAGAACGAAATTATGAGACATGATGTTTACGGCAATTCACGAACAAACCAGAGGGATTATGAAAGGACAGGATGGCGCCGATGGAGCCCTGGTGGTCAATATGCAGTGATCACCCAATTAGCTTACTTGAATTCCAGCATCTACCGTTTTTTTCCCCCTACGGTTACCTACATGACCGCTGTTCATAGATCCTGGCAGAGCTGCTGAAGTACGGGCACTCGAGCCTTTGACTACGTCGAAAGAAACGTGCGGCCGCATCGTCCAAGCACGAGAGCATAGCTCAATGACTCTTTTGAGAGCCTCACCCGCAGCCCTCTCGACCTCAATCAAAGGGCTTCTGGTATGTAAGATCACCTCCTTTTACGAGATTTTGCCTCTTCTCGACGCTGCTGTGTAAACATCTCCAGTATTTGGATCATGATGACTAGCGCGGAACCAAGGTTCCAGGCCCATGGCTGTTAATGATGGCTACCTCGCAGATCTCGGAAGGATATGAAACCAAGCGGTCAAATTGAAATGATCTCCTGCATTCGAGAGGCTGGACCATTGTTGGAGTGGACCTTCCCCAACGACAGTCGTTGAGGACTCCACCATTGCTAGGGGCGTCACTAGATCTTTGCGGTTGCGGGGTTGTAGATAAGATACCAGATGGCGGTAAGCAGCTAAATCTGTTCGCAAAATCATCCGAAGTCCTACAAATAACATTCGACCAAAGTATAAAAGCGAGACCTCGGCGAAGAGTGGCGTGGTTGTCAGGTACGATGCGGCGTTTGTGTATACTTCGTTTCGTGAATGTAGTGAATGTAGTGGCCGGACTCGGCTTCGTGTGCCTCGGTCATTGTCGGAGCTGCAAGTATTGACAATAGTATATCCCAAGTATTTACTAGAGGACAATAGCCATTCCAGGGTGATCCAAAGCTGTAGGAATATCGGGGAATGACCCTGAAGGAGTCATCGCACGGAGGTGGCCGCATCTTCATATGACACGCGGTACTGTGTAGAGCAGAGCACAGGCGTCGGCGCTGTAGGCCAGTGAAACTTCGCAATGCCTCGATCGGCCCCGGTGAACAACGGCCCTGGCATTTTTTTTCTCCTCTGGCAGAGTCATCGGTCATCTCTCTCATCTTCCGTCATCGATCATCCATCTCCGACTTTCAATATTCAATCCTCTTATTCCCTGCCGGAGGCCATGACTTAACGGCCCCCTCCAGAGAACCCACCTTCCCTCATCCCCTCTGGCCTTTGGTGCGCGGAGAGGCGCCCAGTCAGGGATGGTCACCACGGCAAGGGTTCCACCTACACTCCTCTCATCATCGCTATGGCCGGTCAAACGGTGGACCGCAGGAAGAGCAGCCGGAGCTGGCGTGGGAGCGTCTCTACTTTTAAGTCGCAGAGGCACTTTAACCACCCCGGTTCATTCGGTTCAGGGTCTGGCCCACCGACCGACGGCACGGCGATTCCACGCGGCAGTGTGGCCCTCATACGGCATCACTACACCCGTCCCTGAGCGCCAGCTTCTCGGCCTTGCGCAATCTCCTTTTCGCTTCGATACGGGCTATGCACTCTGCGCCAAACGACCTCCGCGCCCGTTTCCTCCACCTTTCTTGTCGCCGCCGTCCTCGTCCTTTTCTGATCCTTTGACGACTCATACGCTCAGCCAGGATAAGAGATTATCCGTACGGGGCGAGCCCGTTCGCGGCTTAAACAATGGAGATGATGCCATCATCGTCGCGGAGAACTTTCTGGGTGTAGACGACGGGGTAGGCGCCTGGGCGACAAAGCCTCATGGCCATGCTGCGTGAGTTGCCCCCGTTGCATCAACGCTTTCTATATCCTTTTGTATATGCTAACCAGTAGCCTTTTTTGGCTCCTTCTGCAGGTTATGGTCCCGTCTCCTCTTACACTTTTGGGCTCTCGAGATTGAGCGCCGAGTCTCTGCAAATGCGACCACCCTCGACCCTATCGAGTATCTCCAGAGCGCATACGAGGAAACAGTCCGTGCAACTACCACGCCGACACAGTGGCTCGGCACGACGACCTCGGCCACCGCCCTCCTACACTGGACCCGCGAGAGTGACGGCACACAGAAACCTCTCCTCTATGTGACCAATCTGGGCGACTGCAAGGTGCTCGTCATCCGGCCGAGCGAAAACAAGGTTCTTTTCCGGACAACAGAGCAATGGCACTGGTTCGATTGCCCGATGCAACTGGGCACGAATAGCGTTGACACCCCGCGCAAGGATGCGGTACTGTCCAAGGTCGCGATACAGGAAAACGACATTGTGCTTGCGGTGTCGGACGGCGTGATGGATAACTTGTGGGAACACGAGGTGCAGAAGATCGTCCAGGACAGCTTGAAGAAATGGGATGACGGACACGTCCAAACCAATGTCCAGGCCCCTTCCCCTGAGTTGACCGACGATCGCATGGTCTTCGTGGCGAGAGAGCTGCTGAATGCCGCTCTCAACGTTGCTCGAGATCCTTTTGCGGAGAGTCCGTATATGGAGAAGGCGATAGATGAGGGTATTGCCATCGAAGGTGGTGAGTTGTATACTTGATAGTTCATATCCTTTGAGGGTTGTATACTGATTGTGCACAGGCAAAATGGACGATATCTCCGTTGTGATTGCGTCTTGTCAGAAGCGCGCTGGATGATCAGCAGTTTGACATCCATCAATCGAAAACCATATAATCCCACTGCAGGCCTGGAAAGTCAGAACATGGCCAGCGGGCACAGAAAGATACCCAAACGCGTGATCGGGACATTTGAGCTGTATTTGGCGGTTCAGTTCCCACCCACTCAAAAGCCGGGTGTCAGTTCCATTGCACGCCCAAACTTCAGAATCGGAAATAGGGCTGTATTGACATTCTAAGCCTGCCAAACTGGGCTCGTCTGATCCCCGATTAGAATTTGGCTCCAACCTTCCCTCACCGGAGGAACGTGGCCACGGGCAGATTGTCCACAGACGGACACGACATATGTCTTTTGAAGGGGCATACGCACAAAGCTTGTATTCTCAAGCTTACGACTCTACGAATCATTAATCTTTTTAATCGCGAGTGGGCAGTGTTGACAGAACTGCGGAGGCTTTTCTTGGTTTGCATAGAACAAGGTGTACCTCGGGTTTCGGACTTGTTTCATTTCTCAATTATGCTCTAGAAATTCACAGCTGAATATTTCAATGATTTTATAAAGGGAATGACGCCCAAGATCTGCATTATAGAAGAACTAGAGTTCTGTAGAACTATGTCAAGGTGTCTCGGTGCATTGCAACTTCTTATGGTCCTCCGCACGGGCCACATCACCGCCTCAGCCGCCGCCCGGCAAAATGAAAAAAGTTTCGTCGTTACCGCAGCGCAGCAACGTTCGAGATTTATCGACCTCAACATTCAATTTCTTGACCCCCACCTTGCACCATGAGGGCCAAACGTTCAAAGAAGTATCGCAAGCTTATGCACCAGTATGAGCTCACATTCGGTTTCCGTGCGCCTTATCAAGTGCTCCGTACGACCTGTCTTCCAATGCTGCCGACGGAATCAGTATGCTAACGTGCAGTTGAATAGTGGACTCGAATTTCCTGCAGCAGGTGCACAATTTCAAGATGGACTTGATACCTGCCCTGGAGCGGACAGTGCAAGGCAATGTTAAGCCACGTGAGTGCCGCTCCTCAAGCTTGATCTTGCGACCATCTCTTCAAGGTCGTCAATTTGCGGACGCATTCAACTAATAAAACTTCTATAGTTCTGACCAAATGCTCCCTCGCTGCCATTACCGCCGCGCAGCCTATCAACCCCAAGACCGGCAAACCTTTCCGACCCTATCATCTTCCCCCGCCAACGGTCCTGCCCCTCCGCCACTGCTCGCACAACCCCAACTCAGAGCCCATCGACGAGATCGACTGCCTTCTCTCTCTGCTCTCGCCGAACGCAGAAGCCAAGAAGAACAAGGAGCATTACATTCTTGCAACCGCAGACCCGGCCGTCAAGAAGTCGGACAACAACAATGATAACCAGCAGCGCAAGCGCAAGCGCGACGAGGAGCGTGAGGAGGAACAAGCTTTGCGTCGTGCCCGCAACCTGCGCGTTCGTGCGCGTTCCATCCCCGGTGTGCCTATCATCTACGTGAAGCGTTCCGTCATGGTCCTGGAGCCGTTGAGTACTCCCTCTGAGAATGTGCGCGAGGGCGTGGAGATGGACAAGTTCCGCGTGGGCCTGCCCGAGCCTCAACCAAAGACGGACGAAGCTGCGGAAGGCGCAGCAAAGAAGAAGATCCCCGGGTTGAAGAAGGCCAGGGGGCCGAACCCGCTCAGCGTCAAGAAACCGAAGAAGCGCGCGGCGGAGTCGGGTCCGGCAAAGACGCCTAGGAAGAATGATGGTACGGGTGCGTCAAATGAGAATGGAGCAGGTGACGGGCCTGATGGCGAGGAGGCTGGTGCTCCTAAGACCAAGAGGAGACGGCGACACCACAAGAGTGGTTTTCGGGAGGAGAATGAGGATGGTGCGCCTTCAACGCAGGCTGATCAAGCTATGGGTGTTGACGCATGATCCTTTTCCTCTTGGCGGTTGTTGCATTGGCTCTCATTCTTTCATCCACGGCATGGCGTTTAGGCAGGGTATCTATAAAAGTTCAATATCAACATCTGTATCTAGTCTTATGTGAGGTGTGTTCTATGTAGACCGAGTCTCAGGCTTATTTACATCTATATCGATCTTACATTTGGCTTGAAATCCGGCTCAAAATTGAGCGGGGGAACCTACTGGTGTCCAAGCTAAAGTATGATCTCACCAGAGAGACAGGGTTCGATAGCCCATAGTATATACATTCAATCCATAAATATCGTACAAGGTTCTCTTTGCGCAGAATTGCCGCACATCAGCAGTGTGAGAAGAGAGGATGAATAGGCTGTTATTATAGCCAAGAAGAAATGCCAGCACACCGAACTCCAGTCCAAGGTCAAAGGTAATCGTCACACACCGCGATGCCAGATCACTGCTTAGCAGCGCCCGAGTTCTCCGCACTGTTACTCTGAGCAGGTTGATCCAAAGCCCGCTCTTTAGCCCAGATCTCCTCGATGCGCCGTCGGTTGCTGCGCGCATTATCGCGGTTGTTCTTCGCCCGGTCGTACCGTTCCACGGAGAGACATTTGTTCACTTCGCGCTTGATATCGTTGCAGTTGCCGAGGGCTTTGTAAATAAATCCTCGGGCATGACATTCGTCGAGGGCAGTCATGATCTCCTCGCAATCTATATAGCGTTTGTAATTAGCATGGATCGTAAGAGGCCGGCATCCTGCGGGGCCTTAATTATGGCCCGGGATCGATGGTTTGGCATACTGATATTGTATGGGGTGTGAAGATGAGAATGCATATTGACGGTTTGTCAAGTATGTGACCGAGTACAAACAGCTTTGAAAGTCTGGAATCGCAATGGCAAGTCTTCAAGAATCAAGTCTCCAGTGCATTATCGGACCACCACAAAATCACCGGGCGGTGTGTCGATCCCACAATTCTGCCGGGCGGAACGCCCCTCCCAGCACACCGATAAAAAAAAATATCTCCGATAAAAAAAAAAGTACGGTGATGCTTTGGTGATTGTCATTCACAATGTCTTCGATGATCACGACTACGGCCTGGGTGCGGCGAGGTGTCGCTGCCCAGTTCCCTACTAAATATGAGATTGACGAGGAGGAGATGAACCGGATATCCAAGCTTGCCCGCATGCAGCTTGAGGAGGCCCAGGATGATCTGAGTGCCGCCAAGGCGGGCAAGGTGGATGATGGCGAGGATGATGCTGCTATGGATGAGGACTCGAAGGAGGCCGATGCTATGGTGGAGGAGAGTGAGAAGAAAACTTCCAAGGACGGCAACGAGACCAAGTCCACAGAGTATGTGTTTGGATGATAAGATGAGAGCGAGGACACTTTGGGCTAATTTGCTGGTACAGTGACGATGATGTTCTGAAGGAGTTCGATATGGATCACTACGACAGCGATGACGTTGACGAGGAGGGCGAGAAGATCACCAGATTTGGCAATGTCCAGTCTCTGGCTTACCACCAGCCCAACGAGGCCGATCCGTACCTTGTCATTCCCGAGGACGAAGAGGATGAGGACCGCGAAGAACTCCAGATTCTGCCTACGGATAACTTGCTTCTTGCCGGAAAGGTCGAGGATGAGGTTGCTCATCTCGAGGTCTATGTCTACGAGGACCATGCCGACAACCTCTACGTTCACCACGATATCATGCTTCCCGGCATTCCTCTCTGCGTAGAGTGGCTGGATATCCCCGTTGGCAAGGGCAGCGAGGGCCGGGAATCTGGAAACTTCGTTGCCGTCGGTACAATGGAGCCCGACATTGAGATCTGGGATCTGGATGTCGTGGACAGCATGTACCCCAACGCTATCCTGGGACAGGGCGGTCAAGATGCCAGCAATGCTGCCCCCTCTAAGAAGAAGTCGAAGAAGAAGTCCAAGGCGAACGACGAGTACCACATTGATTCAGTGCTGGCACTGGCCGCCAACCGTCAGCACCGTAACTTGCTTGCTTCCGCTTCTGCTGACCGCACCGTCAAGCTGTGGGATCTGTCCACCACCACCTGCGCCAAGTCCTACTCGCACCACACCGACAAGGTCTGCTCCCTCGACTGGCACCCCAAGGAGTCTACCATCCTTCTCAGCGGTTCCTATGATCGCACCGTCGTGGCGGCGGATATGCGTGCCCCCGACTCTACTGCCCGCTGGGGTGTTGACACCGACGTTGAGAATGTGCGATGGGACCCGCATGACCCCAACTACTTCTACGTTACTACCGACGGCGGTATGGTCTACCGTTATGATGTTCGCAATGTCCCCGCCACACCGGCCGAGTCCAAGCCCGTCTGGTCGCTCCAGGCTCACGACTCTTCCGTTTCGTCCTTCGATATCAACCGCACCATTCCCGGCTTCCTGGTCACCGGTTCCACGGACAAGGAGGTCAAGCTGTGGAACGTTGAGAACGACAAGCCCAGTCTTGTTGTCTCTCGCAAGCTCGACGTCGGCAAGGTCTTCTCGACTGGTTTCGCTCCCGATGCCGAGGTTAGCTTCCGCCTGGCCGTTGCTGGTAGCAAGGGTACCGTGCAGATCTGGGATACGTCTACCAACGGAGCTGTCCGCCGCACTTTTGTCTCTCGCATGCCTGATCTGGCTGGTGAAGTGCCCGAGCGCATTACCGGTATCGGTGCTGACAATGACGAGTCGGATGATGAGGGAGCTGTGGAGGGTGGGGATGCTGCCCCGGCTGATGGCCCTGATGGCTGGGAGTCTATGGATGAGGATTAAATGATCCCAATGAGGATGACAGATACCCGTGGATTCATGTCTTGATGTACGAAAAAAATAGATTTCTTATGTCACTTACCTATTTTTACCTTTACCACATATTCATTCTTATGATGTTCCGAATCGCGAGAGTGCATCCCCTGGCCGGCCTCAAATGGAAGACTCAATTCCAGAAGAAAATAAAAGTAAAATTCTAATCGAATCTAGATCTAACACCGAATCTATGCTCTTGAAATCCCATAACTCCAGAAACCCAAATATTAATATGATCACGCAGCCTCCTGGGCATGGACCAAAGTCGTCAAATCAAGCAGGCGGTTCGAGTATCCCCATTCGTTATCGTACCAGGCCATAATTTTGAAGAACTATAAACAACTGTATCAGCATACTGTTATCATTAAGAAGCAAAGATAATTTTTACCTGGGGGTTCAACTCTGCACACGCGGGAGCGTCGATGACTGCGCTGTAGGGGCTACCATTGTAGTCGGCGCTGACGAGCTCTTCGTCGGTCACTCGGATGATGCCAGCCATGTGGGACTTGGCGGCAACGCGGAATGCAGAGATGATTTCTGAAAGTGAGGTGGGCTTTTCGGTGCTGATAGTGAGGTCGATCATAGAGACATTGGGTCTGCAACGAGTTAAGTCTGTTAGACTTGAGATGATGAGAGAGGTTAAGTAAATGCTTACGTTGGGACACGGATGGAAACACCAGTCACCTTGCCCTTCAGGTCGGGCAGAACGGCAGCAACTGCCTTGGCAGCACCAGTAGTAGTAGGAATGATGTTGTTGAAGACGCCACGGCCTGTGGAGTGTTACTGTTAGTTGCTGTGGTGATCACCCGATATAGTAATAAGGTTCATACCGAGACGGCGGTTCTTCTTGCTATATCCATCCAACACTTGCTGGGAGCGAGTGGCCGCATGGATAGTAGTCAAGAAACCCTGGGAGATACCGAAGGTCTCGTGCAGAACCTTCAAGACAGGAGTGACACAGTTAGTTGTGCAGCTAGCGTTGGATACGACACGGCACTCCTCGCCAGACGTATACAGGTCCGAGTTAACACCGTAGACAAAAGTAGGCGAGTCCGAGCTAGGTGCAGAGATGAGCACACGCTTAGCGGAGCCATAAGTGATGTGATCCATGGCGAGGTCGCGCTTGGTGAATTTGCCAGTGCACTCGAGGACATAGTCGACGCCCAGGGCAGCCCAGTTGAGCTTCTTCAAGTCACGCTCGGAAGTGAGTGCGATTCTTCGGCCGTCGATGGTGATAAGGCTATCGGAGACGATCTGGATATCGGTGCGCTCATCGAGATCACCCATTGAGGAATCATAACGAATCAGGTAGACGAGGTCTTCGACGGTAACACAGGTGTGGTTGATGGCAACGACTTGGATGTCAGAGCGGACTAGGGCAGCACGGAGGACATTGCGACCTAAGCAAGTGAAATTTGCGTGAGTATGAGTGTGACTGAAAGACTGGCAGCTATGCAGGTCACCGACCAATACGACCGAAGCCATTGATGCCGACTTGACAGGCCGAGACCGAGACAGGCTGGCTGATGGAGACGTCGTTGATAGAGGGAGCCATGTCAGGTTTATGTTTTTATCTGGAATAGAGATGGTGCAGATAGAAGGTTGAAGAATTGATTATATTCCACTTGATAACATACTAAAATCTAAATAGAGACTTCGACAAACAATGCGGGATATCAGGATCTATAAGTATACCTTGTATTGCCCTGCTTCATTGCCGCGCGTGCCATGTAGAACTATCGGCAGCGAGATAACCCGATACTTCCCGCATCCATTACGGATCTTACATCGGCTCGTATCAAGTCAGAGTGCAATAATATACGCAACTCCATCGAAGCTGCCCACTCTGGAGACCATACCATCAACCGAAGCAACCGAAGCACCCACTCGGCGGTACACACACGGATACCCAAGGCTCGCCTCCGACCAATAACAGTCTCCGTTCCCGCCGAAAGTCCCGCGCCCACGACCCGATTCCAGCGGAGGAGACCACCTCCGCCGAAGTCTTCATGACGCAAAAGCTCTGTGTGGTGGGCTATGTTTCTTGGTTTCCACTGGGGCTGGGCTTGACTCCGGGGTAGAAGTACCGATAAACGGAGGAATCCAGGAGGGCGGACGCTGCGCAGTGCCATTGGCTCCAGTCTCCGGGGGTTTGATAACTGTTACTCAATCGCGCTAGGGTCCACGGCTCGCGTTCACGGCAGGTTTTAGTCGCGGCGTAAGTGGCCTATACCTGTGTTGTGATTTGTGGAATACTCTCTACTCCCGGGCTTCTCTTCCTCCGCATCGGCGTGCCGACGTGGCTTCGGCCCCCCTGCCAAGGTGCCGATTTCCGCCGATCGCTGGGAGGTTGATAGATCTAGAATTTGCCGGTACAAGAGGGGGTCGGGCTTGGGCATTGTTTGACGATGGAGGCAGGGCTATACTAAGACCCGGGGCAACTACTAGGGTAAGACAGATGGATAGGTTGAGGGCAAAGTATGCTCAATTTGAAAATGGTCTCGGGTTAGTTAGGCTGATTCTTCATCTCCAAGCAAGTTCGGTAAATGTCACCAATGTCCGAGCCTTTTCAATCACGATAATTTGTTGATCTCTAGCCTAGGCATCGAGAGCTTGAAGCTAAGTTATCCCTCCCGGTCATGTACTGATTGGAGCCCAACGCCGTTCTGGTGCCCCGTGTGTCTATCAATAAGGCAGAGTTTGCACGGGTCCCACTTGATCGAGTTCCAAAAAGTGCCAATTATGAGACTCCAGGCCTTTGTGGCTTGCTCTTTAACCATCTTTACGGCCACTTGTCCCCATAACTTCATTTTTTCTGACATCTGAACGAAAATATTCAGGAAGAAAAATCTATCTCGCAGCTGATCCGTCAGAGTCAGCTCAATTGATTGGACAATTTGATTTTTTTGATAACCGAAAGACTATCTGCTAATGCCTCATATTGACTAACATGCACGAGAACTCGCCGGGGAAATTGAGATACTCAGAAACCGTATCTGAAGAGTGTGACATGACAGAAGCTCGGCAAAGAAGCCCGTGGCTTTGCCAGGTCTATCTATGTAATACAAAGGGCTATCAACTGTCGACTGCTAACGTGTTTCAAGCATGCTCCTTCATCTCAACCGAAGTACCATCGCTCTTCTCGTTTTCAGCCATAAAGTCCGCCTCGGTCACCTCGCCTTGCGGCAAATGGCGCGCCATGGAGACAATCTCCCAGGGCGACGATGCGTCGCGGAAGACATGATTGAGCAACTCAAGATTCCGGTTCATCGTCTCCGGATAGAAGAAGTACACGAGGACCGGGATACATGCTGACAGAATCGCATACATGATATAGTACCGGAATCCAATTGTATCTAAAGCAACGGGGGTAACCATCACGACGACAAAGTTCCACAACCAGTGATTTGCTGTGGAGATTGATGCCATGGCTACTCGTAGGCGCACCGGCGCAACCTCGGTGCAGTATAGGAAGTTTCCACCAAGGAAGCCGATAGGATAGAATAGGTTGAAGAGGAAGATAAAAGTCGCTGATGCAATTGAGGCATGCTTGTTATCAGATGGGAAGCTGGTTGTGACGGCCATTGCCGCCATACATACAGCCATGCCAGTGCCACTAATCATAAACAGCGCACGTCGGCCCAGACGATCAATTGCAAAAAAGGAAATAAAGCAGCAGAGGAATTTCCAGGTGAGGGCACAAGCGGCGAGGATCTTGGAAAGACTGTTGCTCATATGCAGATTCGATTCGAAAATGGTTGATGCGTAGACCGAGATGAGATTGCCTCCACACATTTGCTGGAAGAATTGGAGGACAATGCACAAGCCAAATCGATAAAGGAGGCGCTCATCATCGTCCTTGGAGAACATCTCTCGGATAACACCCTTCGATTGAGCGGTGGCCTCGAGGGATAACTCAATGCCGGCAATTTCAGACTTGATTGCTTCATCGTCGAGGGGCAATCCCTTGTATGCGGCTAGACTGGCAGACGCTTCGTCTACTCTATTGACTCGGACTAGCCAGCGAGGTGATTCTGGCATGAAGAAGACCGAAGACAGGATCACTAAGGATGGGAAAAAAGAGATAGCAAGAGGGCCCCGCCATTGTCCAGTTGTCTGATGTGGAAGCCTGCTGAACCCAAAGTCGATCCAATTGCAGAGGGCATATCCCAAGCACATGAAGATGCCGTCGGCAATAACGTGCTGGCCACGATTTTTGGCAGCAGAGCACTCCGATTGCCAGACGGGTACTGCCACGCTGAATTGCCCGACACCCATACCAAGAATGATTCGTCCAATAGTAAATTGGATCAAGGAGTAGGCAGACACCTGCAGCAATTGACCGATAGTGGTGAATATCGCTCCAAAGAAAATAGTCTTACGACGACCAAGCCGTTCAGAGATAACAGTGCAGGAGAGAGCGCCCATAAGCGCTCCAATCTGGAAGGCAGCGATGACCGCGCCCTTGCCAGTGGAATTCTTCGCTTTAACATCACCATGCGTATTGACGGTATCAATCTGAGGGAAGACCTTTACCCAACTCTGAAGAGTGGCAAGAGGACCGGCACCAGCCTGATTGTAACCGAAGATAATAAAAGCCGGGGCAACAACGAGGATGACCTGCGCCATGCGCAATGCCCGCCCAGATAGACCGGAACTTTGTTTGGCCATGGTGATAGAATGAGAGTCCACCTCTTTTAGAAATTATGAGACTGAAGTTGAAGCTGATGAATTCAAGATTGAACAGGCTCGCTGATTATATAGACCACTAGGACAATTGCACCATCCCGAAATTGTCGCAGGTCCCTCTGTCGGCACTTGGGGTTGGCCTGGGGACCCCATAAAACCGGGGAAACCGGACGTATTCATCCCCGCAATATATGGGGATGAAACGAGTAGAGGAGTCAAATGATTCCATTCCCCAGCTAGTAGCGGATTGTGAGTTCGGTTGGTGATATCTGGGGTGCCCCGTGGAGCCGTGGTCTAATCCCTTCGGAGAAGGCAATGTCCGGGGGCTTTCTCCATTAGGGGGAAGACAACACGTCCACGGTATAGCATGAGGGTATAGAATTAATGACGTTTACCCTTTGTACGACCTAAATCTCCATGCTGCGTGTCTAGCTTGTTCATTGCATGATATACGCGGCGAGGACAAGCGTTATCATGGACTAGCCGCAGTGTATGGAATGAGACAGAGATCCAGTACCGCTTAATCGACTCTTCCAGAGTCTAAAATTAAGGCTTTATTCACAAAAAAAGCTTGCTTATTCCGACTCGTGAGAGTCATCAATTACCAGAAATGTTTATTTCGTTCAAAGTTAATACATGCATATTCTAAAATTATGATAAATCACAAATGTCCTACCCACCGAGCTTTTTCTATTTAGATCCAAGCTTCTTGATCTCAGCAACAACAGCATCGGTAACCTCCTTGGTAGTGGCCTGGCCACCGAGGTCACGGGTAAGCACACCCTGCTCGCAGACGTTCTCGACACAGTCGAGCAGCTTCTTGGAGGCATCCTCCTCGCCCAACCATGCGAGCATCTCAGCGGCCGTCCAGAAAGTAGCAACGGGGTTGGAGATACCCATGCCAGTGATGTCAAAGGCAGAGCCGTGGATAGGCTCAAACATACTGGGGTACTCGCGAGTAGGGTCGAGATTGGAGGTAGGGGCAATACCGATGGATCCGGCCAGGGCAGCGGCCAAATCGGACAGAATATCAGCGTGCTAGCGTAGAGGGTTAGCTTATTGGATCCAGCATACAGCATTAATATGCACTTACCAGGTTCGTGGCCACGATGGTATCCAGAGACTCGGGCTTCAGAACCATACGGGTGGTCATAGCATCGACCAACATCTTGTCAACGGTAACATCGGGGAAATCCTCAGCAACTGCCTTGGCAACTTCATCCCAGAGAACCATTCCATTACGCTGGGCATTGCTCTTGGTGACAACGGTCAAAAGCTTGCGAGGACGCTTCTGCGCAGTCTCAAAGGCGAAGCGCATGATTCGCTCAACACCGTGACGAGAGAAGATGGAGACCTCGGTCGCAACCTCCCAAGGCTTGCCGGCGTGAGATCGGCCACCCTGGCCGGCGTATTCACCCTCGCTGTTCTCACGAATGATGACCCAGTCAAGGTCACCGTTCTTGCACTTGCGCAGTGGCGACTCGGTGCCGCGGAACACGCGGGTAGGGCGCACGTTGGCATATTGCTGGAAGGGCTGGCAAATCGCGAGACGGAGGCCCCACAGAGAAATGTGATCCGGGACATCTAGTACGAAGTGTTAGAGGAGCTTTGAAGATCTGGATATTTCGTGGGACTTACCAGGAGCGCCCACAGCACCGAAGAAGATAGCGTCGTGCTTCTTCAACTCCTCGAGACCGCCATCGGGAATGTATTTGCCGGTCTTCTTGTAGGTCTCAGAGCTCCAGTCATAGTTCTTGAATTCGAGCTTGAAAGTTTTGAGGGTATCGGTCAGAGCGTTCAAGGCCGTGATACCAGCCTCGATAACCTCGGGGCCAATTCCATCGGCAGGGATGGCAGCAATGCTATAGGTCTTGTTGGAAACAACGGAGGGAGACATTGTGAAGTATTCGTGCAGGGTGATATCTTGTTGGACAAGGATGAATTTTGTTTGGAGGAGGGGTAAGGATTAAGTATATGCGGGGAATTCTTAGGTCGCTTTCGCCAACACACTGAATCAGGCTTAATTTGGTGCATTGATGGAGAATTGGAGATCGAGGCCCCTCATCGCGAATGTTTTTGACCAATAAGCCTTGTCAAACAGCTTCTCGGAAGTTTCAATGTCCGGAAAGTTGGATGGTTCGTAGTGACGTGTTCGGGATTCTCAATGTCCGGGTGCTACGGCGGACTATAGGGGGGAGAAGGCCGTAACCCTGAATTTCTTCGAAGACCTTTCACCGCTTTCTTCCGCCCTTAGTTAGTATATTTTATGCTTACTACATCACGAGGAGATTAACGTAGAGATTAACTAAGAAACTATCTAGGAAGCTGTTTTGGAAACTGTCTGGGAAACTATCTAGAAAAGTATCTAGGAAACTATCTAGAAAAGTATCTAGGAAACTATCTGGGAAACTACCCCTCTGTCTTAGTTACGATCGTAATACTTAATAGGATTAGGTAAAAAAGTTCAGCCGTAAGAGGATTCAACATCAGATTTCGGATTATATCTACATTTTAGTTCCAGTAATCTCAATAGTTATTTAATCCGAATATTTCGGTGTAGGAAATCGTACTTAACAAAGGGGATATAACTAGGTTATGCGTAGATTATCTAAGGAAAGGGATGCCTGAAAATGGAATTCTGCCAATTCTTGAACTACGAACAAAGGGTTATGGTCTTCTCCCTATAGTCCGCCGTACCGGTGCCCACTCGGAGAAAGACATGTCCGACCGAAGAACGATGCATGAGATTCAACCGGAATAGGAGTATAGGGCGTGAACCAGTTCTGTGAACGGAAAGAAGCAGCATATATCTTGCACAGTTGCAAAATCTCTTTAAACAAGTTGAACATTGCGTGTGCCTGCTATTCTAGCCAGTCCAAGTTCAGCATCTCGTCTCAAACATTCGACAAGCTCGTCCTTCATACAATCACCAAATTACCCGACCCTGGTCCTCGTCGTAATGACACCCTCAAAAATTCACGAAAGAGATATCGAAAGAGTTTTGTCCTATGTTCATCCCTTCATCAGCCAACACTTCGATGCGCAATCCTCTATATCAACAAGACGCCCCTTCGTTCTTGGCCTAACCGGCCTCCAAGGAAGCGGCAAGTCTACCTGGACCGAGGCACTTGTGACGACTCTGCAGCGAATATTCAATTATAACACTATCAGTCTCTCTCTCGATGATCTGTATCTTGATCATGACGAACTTGTCAAGCTTCGCACCAATAATCCATTCAATCAACTTCTTCAAGCACGAGGACAGCCAGGGACACATGATATAGCCCTCTCACTTGGCTTTTTTGAGAGTTTGAAGATTTCCACTGGGGATATTTTGATTCCATCCTTTGATAAGAGCATGTTTAATGGAGAAGGTGGCAGAGCGCCGCAAGAGTCTTGGCGACGTGTTCCTGCAGGCACGAGGGTTGATGTCGTCATTTTTGAAGGGTGGTGTATCGGTTTTCAACCATTGACAGACGATTTTGTGCAAGAGCGCTGGGATAAAGAGTTGGAAACTCGGACGAGGACTAAGTATCCGACTCGGACATTGAAGGACCATGCAATCGACCATTTGTTGAATGTGAACAACAGCCTACGACGATATTGTGAGTTGTTCATGGGCCCACAACACCTTGACTATCTCATTCATCTTGATACGGATGATTTGGTGAATGTGTACGAGTGGCGTATCCAACAGGAGCGTGCGCTTTGGCAGGCGAAGAATCAGGGTATGACGGATGATGAGGTTGTCACCTTCGTCAAGGGCTATATGCCTGCGTATGAGCTGTATCTTGGTCAATTGCGAAGCGGCTTCTTCAGGCCCCATGAAAGTTGCAAGGGAAAAGGACAATTGAGTGTGATTCTAGACAAGGAGAGAATGATTGTGAAGATGGCAGAAGTCCCATGACGAGATGGAATCTGCATTCATGGCTGGGAAATTACACAGATGTTACTAGAGATAACAGACTGAAGATCAATTTACAAAAAGTTACCATGAATCATCCATGGGCCATCAGCCACACTCCATAGGTCGTTCATGAACAGCGAAGACGGGTCTGAAAAAGGCAACGGGTCCTGGCCCGCGATCCCCGGATAAAAAGGTGCGCTGCTGTTGACCGGGTGACCGAAGATAAGATTGGCTGAGTTTTGCGCATTCAGTATTTGGTCATCGTTTGCAGGATTCCCGGGTGTGGAAAAGATTGCTGAATCATAATGGGCCCGAGACTGGATTCTCTGCACAGCAGATGTGCCGGGTTCGGATCCCTGTGTGATTCCCGAAGATGAGCCTGCATGATATTCGCCCACTCCACGATGGTCATACGGGACCGACGTAAGGTTTACTCGACTCGAAAGACGCCTCTGGTTTTGACCAAAGAGGTCACTTTCTGCATTTTGAGTATCTCTAACTTGAGAAGCATGATTGTTATTTGCTCCTCCTGCCGAACTCAATGGGCCAGCAATTGCCTGTTTATGGCTTCCGGGCAGATCCATTGAAAGAGCCGACTCCATGCTTTTGATCGCTTCGATACATGTGTCTGGCCAGCTACTACCACGCAATGCAAGATTTTCCAAAACATGGACCGCCATTTTGGCATATTTCAATGCCGTAGCGACGGGTAATTCACCCTCCCACGAGGCGTACATCAAGATGAGACAAGCCATCCATGTCGTCCAGGTGAACGATGGCCAGGTGAGTGGTGCATGGGAGTCGGAAGACATATACCTCTTCAATGCAGCCAGCAATGATCGAGACGAAGCAATACATGTTTGCAGAGCATGTTTGTAATCAGGGTTGGGCTTCTCTGCAGCAAGCAGGGGACGGTTCATTGCAATGATTGCCTCGTGTCTCAGGATCATCAGCAGCAACCGATGATAGGGCGTGAGCGTGGCGCTTACTTCCGATTCGGGATCTGCAGAATCCTCGATCGCATTGGCATCGTCGTAGACTTCGTTCCACCACTGGGAGATTTCGCCATTAACATGGGAGGCTTCCAGGGCGCCGGCATGGCTATGCAGTATAGATTTGTTGCGAAGCTCCAGTATCAGACCTCGTATCCTGGCAAACTTGGCAAGATGGCATAGCAGACGCAGGCGTGGATCATTAGGTGTTGTAGGGGTTTGAGTGACATGTCTCTCAGCGTCTGGATAGCACACATCGATATCATCGTCTCGTATGCCGAGAGGAATCCCGAGGGCCTGGGAGAGGTACCGTTCCAATGAATAGATAGACCAGAATAGGCGCCTTCGCATGCCAATCTCCTCATTGCTAAAACAAGAAAATCGACCAGGGCAACGGTGCAAGCCCAGATGAAAAGCCGTGCGAGTAATGACACCTCCTACACGAGAGGCTGCATTGAGACGCAAGAGTGAAGTGAGAGCCAATTGGGCCGTAAACGCTGCCTGAAGTAGCGGAAGCGTTGTAGGCTCTGCAAGCAGGCTTTGAATTTCTTGCATAACATGCTGAACATTCTGAAAGACGAGTATTGCAGGTATTGACTCTTTCTCCGATGCAGTAGATTTGGCTTGGCGTTCATCCCCAAGTGAAATCGAGATAAGAGAACGGACGATGATCAGATCCAAGCGGCTGATAGTCTGGGGCCCTTGGCGGGCAAGTCTCTCCATGGCCTGCAAAACAGTCGGCGCATGAAGACATGGAAAACAAGGATGCCAATTCTCAAAATACCGGCGCGTCCAATTGACAAGGTCCTCGAATGTGAACACGGCAGTTGGAGCAAAGTTCAATTCCTCTGGTAACCAAAACGCGTCGACCTCGTGACCACTTTCGCCTCCTCGCCGTAACCGGTCATCTTCGCCGGGGACTGAGCTCTTTTCGCGAGTTCGATTTTGCTGCAAGTCCGCCGATCGGCGAGCAAAGGCGTTGTAGACGTGTCGGATGAAGTGTATTCCACTGGAGCTGCCAAGAAAGCTGGCGGAGCCTTCACTCTGAGGCTCTCTCATGAATCCAAGTTCCCGGGGTGAGGGTCTTGAGGCGCCTGCTGTAGAAGCCCTTCTTCGACGCTTCGCTGAGCGAGGTTCATACTGCCAGTCCGACTCGTTTTCCTCAAGACGAGTACTAACTGAAGATGGGGATGCCATGGTAGGTGGATGTATATCACTACATTCTTATCCACTTTCCATTGAGAGCAAAATTGGCACCTTGGTTCATAAGGTATCTGGCAGCTTCATGCAAGATCATGTCGATCATGCTCGCCAATCCAACAAGAAAATGCCAGCGACTCTGGAAAGACCTCTCGAAAGACTTTTAGAAAGACGGTTGGAAAGACCTTTGGAAAGACCTTTGGAAAGACCTCTGGAAAGACCTCTGGAAAGACCTCTGGAAAGACCTCTGGAAAGCCCTTTGGAAAGACCTTCAGAGGACGGAGAGATAAGGGAGGGAGCATTTGATGGGGTAAACCGGCAGAAATTAGCGTACCGGTAACTATCTCGGTACTCCCTGATTGGTCCATACAGGCAGAACAGCGTCCCGTTGGGTAAAACGTACTGGAGCTGGCAAAGTATCTTGCAGCCAACCAATCTCGAGCTCCGGGTTCATCTCGGCATGTCACCACTACACCACGTGACCTTCATTAACTTATATTCCGGAGGTTTCTTTCTCCGGTGACAATTCCCAAGTTATCCCACGTCTCGTATCGACGACGATGGGAGGAATAGTGCGGCTGATACCAGATTTGTGCTCACTATAAAAAAAATTATACTACAGCATTTCTTTAATTCACCCCGGTTTGATACAGTAATCTGGAGGATATGCGATCCAAGCGGACTCGCGCATCGGATGCAAGCATGCCCGGTAACCACGAGGCCCAGTCTTCCAAACAACCCCCAGTCTTCCAAACAACCACTTACAAGGTAGATCCGCTAATCCGTGATATATCCCAGTCAATGAGAATTTGAGCTCCATTTCATGTGAACCATGTAGGCAGCGAAAATGCAAGGTTGGTTTGTAAACTATCTTGGGTATGGATATGGATATATCGCTAACCTCGGGCATAGTGTGATCGGAAACTGTATGGACTACATGGTTGTTTCATGGGTGAATGTGGTGACAAGTGAATTGACCGGAGTCCGTTTCACAGCCCATTCTGCGCGCAGTGCTCCAGTGAGCCATCAAAATGCATATATCCTGAAAGTGGCAAGAGGTACCTATATTGATTGAATCTACGAGATGGTCTGAACGGACGGCGACTAATCTACGCAGGGGTTTGCCTCTTGGATACTTGAATCAACTCGAACAAAGACTGTCCGAGACCGAGGCAGCCCTCTACAGTGCCCTCGTTACCTTACGCGCGATGCGACCGACGACCATGGCACACGCATCGGCAAATCCGGACTCGGCACATAAACAAAAAGCTGCACGAATGGATGAATGGAACCAGCTACCACTCCGGGGATGGTCAGATATGGAGCACTGGCTCGCGGGCATGTCGCACCAGTTCACGCTCGAGCAACCGAAAACTCCGAATGCACCTTTCACAGAAGAACCCTCGGATGGCGGTTTTGAAATCCCACAGTCGCCAAATCACCCAAGTCACGGTAGCATCCATGGTCCCGGTGTGATTATGGAGGCTGGGAAGCCATCGACTTCATATGCGTGGCCCCCGCGAGGAGATAGCTCTATGGGAAGCCCATACGAGACCCATCTCCGCCCGCCGAGGGTGATGTCCTCGCCTGTCTATTCGCAGAGTCAAGCTACCGGAGGATCCGACGGGGTGGCGTCACCGGCTGGAGGGGTGCAGGAGTACACCAACGTCGCAATGTCCAGTGAAGGCGAACCGATAAGACCAGTCGAGAGGGCGCCGGCCACCAGAGCGGAAGAGCTGTCAAAAAATAGACCTAGCATATATTTCTGATCATCAGTCAGTGAAATAGTCGTGGACTGGATGCCCTCGCTTTAAATTAGTCAGATGGTGCCACTTGATGGAGTAGTTGGCAATTTATGTGCAACGGACTAGAACGAAATGTGCTAGTCACGTGATGGGCCACGCTCCAGGAACACAGGGGGCAAGACGGGAGGGGAGAACCAAGATGATCGCAAGTCATGTCACCCAAGCATCGATACGATCATCGAGCATGCGGAGTGACAGTGGTGAGCTGGAAAGATCAAAAATGATAATCATGGTATCCCAAACTTCTCCATGCCACCTGGGGTGTCTTCGATCTGGCGCCCCACTCTCAGCCCACGAGTCCCACGACTCTTTGAGATTGAAGCATGGCCCACTCCGATACGACCAAGACTGACCCAACCCACGAGCGACGCTTGACAGGACAAGCGAGTCGAGCCAAATTGCCAGTAAATGCCATGGATGGTCGGCAACAGCAAATCAGCAGGTAGCGTCCCCGCAGGCCTCCAAGCGCCGGTCGCACCAGGATCACACCTGCAGCGTCGGCCACGTCGGAGGAGATCATGATTGGTGAGAGAATATCATGCCGGCCGCTCCTGGCCCTGTCGATCGGCGCAGTCACCGGGGCACAGACTGCATTTAGCAAGGGACAGGATGGTCGCGGTTTTGTGGTGAAACGAGCTCCGTGCCAGGGCTGGTGTAGCCTCTGCTGAAATTTTGGAGGAGTTGGAATTGTCGATGGGGATACTCGAAACCCGGGCGTTTCATCAAAATTCTAATGTTGGTGGAGCAGCCAGAGCGGAGGCGTCGCGTTGTGTGGAATGGGGCTTCTTTGTTTCGATCATAGTTCACGTGGGGGGCAGGGGTGCGGTTCACCAGATGATCTTCCCTCCTGACAGAATATGCGATGCACACGATGAAGTGTCCTGTAGGAACGTACATCATGGACACGTCGAGTGCCTACAGTATCCCTTGGGTACCAGAGCGTATGACAATAATGGGATGGAAGGAGATCATCCTCCTCCATACCCAGAGTAACGTTGCGCCTCGCCCGGGATATCTGCCCCCCCCCCCAAACCAAGGCACGGACAATGGTCCGGGCTTTGTCATCGGAAGTCTGGCCATGAGAATGGCAAAATATGATCGAACACTTAAAAAGGGTGCTGGGAAATCGAAGCGTCGGGAGTAGAAAAATCTGGATGAACTGTGGCGATAGGTCCACCCTTGATGAGAACATTGGGGCACTGGGCACTGAAACGAACCTCCTCCTCTCTCTGACTGGCAGGACATCCAGTCCCTGGGCTCCAGTTCCTGGAGCGAACCTTGGGCGAAAGAGAATTTTTTACCTTTTGGCCGTGCCGGACGAGTGAGCGTGCAGGAGACCGGACGAAGGAAGGGACGGAGTGGAGCTTGACGAAAGCCAACGGAGCCCAACGGGGGGGTTCCCTTCCAGAGTTTAAGCGCCAGTGCCTCTCCACGGTTCAGCGTGGACAACAGAAAGTCCAGAACTCGAGAGCCGTAAGGGACTTACGATCGCTCCTCCCTTTTCTCTCTTCTTCATACCCTCCTTCATTTTGCTGGGTCCTTCATTCTTTCCATTCCTTTCCCCCAATTCATTTCTCTTCTACAGAGTCCTGGATACGGTCAATCTGTGATCCTAGGCTCCTTTTTTCAGTCTTTGGACTTTAAACCCCCTTTAGGAGTGCTGTCCTGGTTGTACACCTCCATTCCTTCCCTATAGGCCCCGGACTCCCATTATCAAAGAGGCCCCGGTTTCCCTCGTCCCCTTTTGCTGCGCAAAAATCACCGACGAGAACCTTCGACATTCATTTTGAATCTGTGCTAGACACGGCGAACTTGACTGTTCAACCAAGATTTCACCCCAAAACGCCATTTCGTCTGATAGCGGACCTTCCGGGCAGTGATCTCCATTCCTCGCCGTCTCCGCATCCGCGATCATCTCTCCACGCGAGATCAATCATCGGATTAGATCACAAAAAAGTGATAGGAATTCCAGTTTCCTACGAACTAGACATTTGTTCGATACTTGTCTAGAATCACCAAACAACGCCAATTTACCGGCGCACAAACCCCCGAATACGCGTTCTACGACAAAAAAACAATTTACGTAGTCCATCATGTCAACCCTCACCCGCGCATTTACTAAGCGCAATAAGCGGCCGGAAGTGTCGGCGCCCATGCCGTATCGCGGTGAAGGGCATGTGCGATTTAACTCGGGCTCCATCAAACGGAGCAACATCTCGGGGCCCGTTCAGTTGATATCAACCACCAACATGCTCGCCTACAACGCACCCGACATCCACTCCTCCACCTCCTCGTCCGCCTCGTCATTGCGGTCGGGGGATGACTTTGATGCGGTCTCCCCGCACAGTTATTCGTCCTCCATCACTACTCCCGACGTGTCGCCACTTGACTCTATCCCCGTGGATGCGAACGCCGCTTCGTACTTCCCCAAGCGGTCGGTAACGGTGACAAGCCACCCGCGCTCTTCCACTACCTCCTCGTCATCCAATGATGCCCCGCTAGTCCCTCAACGGGCGCTGTCGCACACCAAGCGATCGCACCAAGAGTTGGCCCGGAAGCGCTCCCAACATCGCATGTCGCCACCTCCATTGGCCGCTCCACGCAGCAATCCCACGATCCGTGCCTCTCAGGATATGTTCTTTTCCGAGACTCACCCGTTCAGCAAGGAGCTGGAACAGGTCAATGAGGTGGCGGAGGAGTTTGGTGCTACCCACGTGATGGATGAAGAAGAAATCGTTTTGCACCGCAAGGGCCTGAAGAAGTTTACTGTCGATGATTACCTCACCGAGATCGAGGATCTCTATGGAAGCATCTTTGACGACCGACTGGGGTCCATCAGTATGGGGCCCTGGCTTTGAGCTCATCGATTGAGTTTTCCACCCACCTACTATGTACCTTATTTGAAAGGTGGGCACTTGTTCCGCCCGGTTGATCCGGGGTAATCTGCTCGACGACAACTTATCTTATATGCAAGCTTTGTGAAAGAACTGGATTTCAACTCGCAAAGCTCGCTACGACTAACTCTTATTCCTTCATTGACGACCATCCGATTATTCCCCCGCTTCGCACTATACCATGGGAGGAGCTCTGCAGTTCCTGTGTTCGCTCTATTCTAGTTTCCATGTTGTTCTTCTGTCTTATATTGGATGGCTTCGATTGCCAATTCATGCCATCTAGAAATTGTTTGGACCTGCTTGGATCGACCATTCTGGCTCCTCCATAAGCATGTATGACACTTATCTGCACTAGAATTATCATTGATATGTTTTACACGAATCCGTTCTTGATTGATCAATTCTCAGTATTAGTCAATGCACGCCGAAAAGTTGACCTTTCATAAATCCTTCTTGATCGCCCCACCTTGGGGCTCAAATAATGTAAGCCCCTCAGTGGCCAGGCCCATCTCCAACGGTCAACCGGTGTGCCCCAGGCAGCAGAACGCGACTGGAAAGGAGACCCGGCAGAACGCGAAGATGATGCGATGACATAATCCAATATTACCATAAACGGTTTAGCCTCATCCTCACCGCTCAGTCACGCTCAGTTCTCAGTCACGGGTTCTCCGCAGCCCCACAGGGTACGCAAGGGAAATTTTTTCGCCGGGGTATTCGTCTCGATCAATCTCGTCGAACTTCGACACACCGTTGTCTGCATTCGATTCATTGACTCTTTCAGCCGAGTGAATGCCTTCCATGGGTGCAGACAAATATCTACGGTCTTACCCTTCCAATCTGTAGCACTGTGTTCAAATTTGAATATCCGGACGGTCGTGTGCTGGGTTGCCTTCTAGCTCCACCACTGTCAACACATCGAACTGCTCCTCTGAGGTGCTTCGGAGGTACAGACCGACAAATGTCATTTCGTCTGTGACCTCTTTAGAGTTGATTCAACATATTTTCTCTTTCCTTCATCCATTCGGCCATGGTCTCCGTCGCCACTATTCCACAACCACCGGCGCTTACAGCCACCCCCTCCATGAAGCCATCAAAGATGCTACCATCGTCTCCCGTATCTATCCTCAAAACCTCCAAGCCCACGGGCACGAAACGCAAAATGGCGGACCTCGACCGCAGTCTGTCTCCCGCCTCCTCCGTGTCGGACATCGACGACGCCCCGCCCGCAAAGAAGCGTGCCCGCGTCACGTTCAACGAGAACATCCAGACGCACTCCTGGAATCAAAACGATCCGGCAACTCAAACTGGGATGAGTGTGGCGATGGTTCGGGAGGAGATCCGTCGGGCTATCCACCGCCATGTTTCATCCGGGGAAAGCGAGGCCTATGACCAGATCAAGGAGATCTTCACTGCCGACCCGAAGAAGGCTGCCGACACTGTCTACTCATACGACCTTCCGACACACACCTCGTTGAAGAACCATCTGTTCGGTCTACTTTCTCACATCGCTTCGCTGGACCGTGGCTGTAGCAGCCTTGTCCACGCCGTCCTGGAGAGCGAGTGGCTTGGTCGGGATGAAGCCTACGTGAAGCTCTTCATCAGGTTCCTCGGAAACCTTGCCGCCGCTCAAGGTACCTACCTCGGTGTCATTTTCAAGATGCTCGTCAGTAAGCTCGCTGGCGTCGCTCGTGGTACTGGTAGCCTCCCTGGCTATCCTGTGGTCCCGGTTTCTGAAATTTACGCTCGCATTCACATGGCCTTGCGTCACATTGTCCGTCTGATTCCGGCTGGTAGTGGAACTCTGTCGCCAATTCTATCTCATACATTCCCATACGAAGCGGACCCTCCAAAGTCTTATATCGCCTATACCCGAAACCTCATCCAGATTATCGCATACGCTCCCGAGCTCCAGTCCGATATCCTCGCCTTGATCACCGAAAAGTTGGTCAAGATCGATGTTCAGATCCAGGTTGATTTGGAAGATTTCGAGGATGAGCTAGGCGAGAACCTGCTGCATGGTGTATCGACCGACCCCGACGAAGAACTCGATGACGATGACGATGCCTCAGTTTTGAGTGAAGACGAGACCGACGAGGATCGAAGGGTTACCGAGATCAAGGACAACATACACAAAGTGGATGGCATGATCGACATTCTTTTCGAGTTTTATAACTTGTCATTCACGACGGGCACACTTGCCGACAAGCGAAACAGCCTGGACCTTATTATCAGCCACTTCCAAACCATCATCCTCCCAACTTACAAGTCCCGCCACTCGCAATTCCTTCTCTTCCACTTCTCTCAGTTACACCCGGATCTCCTCAGCAAGATGACTACGTGCTTCTCGGATTTGATCTTCGGCAAAGTCCAGTCTGGAATCATCCGCCAATCCGCAGCCGCCTACCTGGCCAGCTTCATCGCCCGCGGTGCCCATATCCCTAGCAGCCTCGTTCGCAAAACTTTCAACGAAATGAGTGCGCAGCTGGTCGAAATGCACGACAAATATGACGCTACTTGTCGCGGTCCTGACCTCCGCCGTTACGGCTCGTTCTACGCCACCGCCCAGGCCGTGCTGTACATCTTCTGCTTCCGCTGGCGCGATCTGACGACTGCTTCTATCGATGGTGACAGCCCGCAGCAAGTGGACGAGCTGGAGCCCAGCCAAATCGCCTTCCCGCCCAATGTCAAGGATACGCTGAGCAAAGTGATCTATTCGCGCCTGAACCCGCTCAAGATCTGCTCCCCGGGTATCGTCAACGAGTTTGCCCGTATCGCAAATCACTTCCAGTTGCTCTACGTCTACCCTCTGATTGAGAAGAACAAGCGCCTCCGTATCAGTGCATTCCGAAGCATCGCCACTTCCGGACTTGTTCAGATGGAGCGTGAGATTCGCGCTGGTGATCATCTCGGCTATCAGCTCGACGCATACTTTCCCTTCGATCCATACCAGCTCCCGCGCAGCCGTCGCTGGCTGGAAGGTGACTATGTCGAGTGGCGCGGCATTCCTGGTCTTGACAAAGACGACGACTCGGATAGCGATGCTGACGACGAGGGCGACGAAGATGAGGAAGACGCCACAGCTACGGACGAGGAGTAGCGCATTCGTTTTCCGTCTTTCCTTCTCATATTTTCCTATATTGCTTTTCACCCACTGAAGGTAGACATGGCAATGGCCTGATCACGGCCTAATCTACTTGCTATACATATGTTTTTTTTAGCGCGGCGCTCCGGTTTCGATTTCGATTTCGATTTGACATTTATATGTCTCCCCTTCTTTTTCAAAAGTTCGATACCAGTCCTTTCTGTTATGTCCTGATGATATGATATCGTGCTTTTGAGCGTGCATGGCATCTTATTGGAGCATCAATACTTTTGTGTTCCTTCTAGCTTACTTGATGGTTAGTTTATGACCTATCATTGTCATAGCTTGGAAAATGGGAATTATCTTTTCTATGGAATAATTGCGTACGTAGGCTGCTGCTTCTTCGTTGATGAAGCGGAGGGGGGACCGCGAAGACTCTCCTGTATTACATATAATCCATATATTTGAAATGTCGCTTTGTCCGACTTGTTCGAACCTTTCAACCTGGATATCCTGTTGAATCCCTTATGTCTGAGCGGAACACCAGCTGAAACTCGGCCAGAGTGAGGTCTCTGTACGTGCTACCACAAGTCGAAGAGTTCTGGACACGGTTGGACAGTGGTTGTAACAAGCCAAATTCGGCCTGATTCATTCTCGACCGATACCTCGTCGCGACGAACCCTTCCAGTCCGATATATAGGCCCTTGTCTGGAGAGAGCCTGACCAGACAGGTTCACATGGACAGGCATGTAGTTGGAATATCTGACTTCTACTATACCATGACGAACACACCGAATCAACACCGATAGGCGCCATAGTCAAAGACCTGTCTTCAGACCATGTCCAGGGTACATTATCGATATTGTCAGTTCCACCGACGAAAAGTCGGTAGCTCGATGGAATTTCATCTGCAGATTATCCATCAACTCCTGAGACTCTAAGATCCTGGCCGGCAGGTATAAGTCCAAATTAGCTCACCTTCTATACCTCTACCTCCAAACTATATACAATCGCTAGTTAATAGGTAAGTCTTCGTTCATCCATATTCTTTCGTTCCCACTCTGAGCCACTGGACCCGCCATAGGGTGGGATGTACTACATCCGTAATGGAAACAGCCCGGTCCCGACGCATGATATCATTCCTACAACCAAAAGCCATCCCTAGTCATGTTTTTGAGTATACGTAGAATCAAAGCCCCCAAAAAACATCCAGACCTGCCTCAATCAATGTGGACCTCTCTTTCAAGATCCAAAGTAGAGAGGGGAGGGGGAAAACAAGAACGCAATATTGACGAATGTCCACTTGAGGCTACGTTTTAGCCACCTTGTGCCTTGTTTCGTTTTCTCTTGGCATTATTAAAACTCCACTTGCTCCGAACGATGGGGCCTGACCGACCTACCGTAACCGCCTGCCATAGGGACGTATACTACGCGGGGTTTATCAAGGAATTGATCTTTTAAAAAAAACTAAGTTGTGACATCATTCCGTCACAATAAGATTATGTGTCGGACGGTTGCAGCTGTGGGGGTTTGCCAAAACTCCAGGCTCGGAGCAGGTCAAGTGACATGTAGATCTGTCGATCTCGAAGCCAAAGCGTTGTCTTTTGTGGGCTAGTGCTGCCGGGCTTGTAATTTCCGGGTCAAGGGGCCAGCCAATGATTCGGTGGTTGTGACGGGTAGGGCCTACGAGTCTTGCGGGATTGGAGAAGTTTGTTGTGGGGTGCCTGATAGGTTGACGGTGTATGATGACCGGGATATTTATGGCTGGACATGTAGCCCGAACCGCAAAGCAAGGATCTGTTTTTACGGCTCATATAGAATGGCAGCGGTGGTAGGTTGAGCAGTTATTTGATCCTCAAGTCAAGAACGATTCATATAATTGAATCACAACATAAACGTCATGTGATATGTACAAAACACCGTGTATGCTTCAAAAAAACAAACGCCAATGGGAAAAAAGAGATGACCCCACGCAGTGCTACCAAACATGCTTCTATAGAACAAGAGGAACCAGAAAGGACAATACAACCAAATGCGACTCACCGGTCGAAGATCGCCTTCATATCCGCGCAAGCATCGCGGTAGTGGACGTCGACACTGCCTTGGTCGCGGAACGGATTGGCCGACTTGTCCCAGGCATGCTGAGCCTTTTCAATCATCATAGCTCGTACCCGCTTGCCCAGACCTTCGAGGCGACGTACGAATGTTTGACCCTCCTTCATGAGCATATCCCACTCACAGATGAACAGGAAGACATCGCGAGGGAGGGCTTCTTTGAGGATGCGATCGGAGGCGCGCACTGGCGACGCAAAGGCAGAAGAGCGATCGTTCAAGTCGGGGAGATATGCCTCATCAAAGAGACTAGTGAAGAACTTTGGCAATGTCTTGTCCGGCATGGTACTCATCGCCCTGCGATGGTCGCGCGACTCGAGAAAGTCCAGAATGGGATACCAGCAGAACAGCGCTACGATATTGAGATCACCAGTCTGGTTGACCAAGTGCTGTGTCGAGTCCGCTCGACCAAAGGTCTCCTTGACTTCCGACGAGATGCGGCCTCGTAACCTCAATGGCACGGTGACGGCCAGGTTGCCGCCCGCTGAGAACCCGCTCAGTGCCACGCGACTCACATCCAGGGCCAGATCCGCAGCATTTGCCGCCAGGTACAGCAGAGCCTCGACACCATCATCAACTGCCGCGGGGAAGGGATGCTCCGGTGCCCGCCGGTAACTCACGCTGGCAACGACCGCGCCGACCTGCTCGACGACGGCAGCCGCCCAGCGGCCATCGTCGGTGGCGCAACCGAGCGTAAACCCTCCACCGTGGAAGTTGACGGCAACTGGGTAGCGATGACCCAGGCGGCGTTGTTGGTAGTAATCAGGTGGACAGTAGAAATGGATCGTCACGGAATGGCCGTGGGTATCCGATTTAACGGTTCGAGTGAACAATGGTCGGGGCGGACGGGGCGGCGCGATGGTATGCAAGAACATGCCAATGCGCATGAGGAAACGCCAAAATACGGCCTGGACGTAGAGCCACCAGCGTGCGGAGGCCATCTTGAAAGGGACAATCGGCACGGCACGGTCGTGTCGTCCCTGGTGATGATTAGCCGGACGGGTGAATCGTGACTGGTCTGATTGAGGAAAGATGTCGGTCGGTCAGTCGGTGGTCCGGATAGTCGGCGTCCGGGAAAGGCCGGGGGATCAGGCAATAAGATTCAAGGGCCCAGCAATGAAGAAAGAAAAAGGGGGGAGATGAGGAAAGAAGTGGCACAGAAGAGGGGGAATAACGTGGTGAGGGGGGAGAGAAGTCAAACAAACACTCAGACCCTTCGAATTGAACTTAGAGGAGTTGACGGGAGGAGACAGTCTGTTCCAAGTACACCTCGAGAGGGTCGACGGGGCCGAGAGAATCGAGAGTCGTCATACGATCCAAACGGTCGGTTCGTCGGTGCCGGTAGACACCTCAGGCTGTGATATTCTGCCAAGTATCCACCGTAGAACGAGTACGTAGATCTGTACGGCAGATATAAGTATTTACTTAGGAGATATAGTATTGGTGGAATGTTGAAATACAAAGCGACGCCGTACCTCTATGTACAAACTGCTACGTTAGTTTATGCGAGATAAGAGAATACAAGTCCCCAGGAAGAAGTACTGCATGTACCTCGGTCAATGGCATATGGTTAGGTCTAGATTCTACTCTCGAGGTCAGTACGCATAAGCGTCGGGTCAGCCATCATAATTCTTGGTAATATTGATATGCATCATGCCCCTACCACGAAAACAGGGTATGGGACTCGTTGGCAGCATATAGTCATAATAATCTGAATCTGAATTCATTATGATTATTTTAATTAATATTCTAATCCTCACAAACGGTCTTCCACTCAGAATCTGGGAAATCCCAGGGCCCGCCATGATGTCATAACTCGACCCTTTGGGACCAGCCCGCAATCACGAAAGGGTCTAGGTTTGGCATTCTTGATTAGCGCTGACTTGCGGCTTTTCTATAGCTTCATTAACTCTCTCCGGCCCTGTCCGAACTCTTGGACTTGCTTATTTTTTTCTTCCTCAAACACCGAAATTTATTGGAATTCCCCTCGAGCCACTTGAGACCTGGGGCCTTTGTCACGGTGAGTTGCCCCTCCTCGCCGCTTGCAATCCTTCTCCCCATCCCTCTCTTCCCCCCAATTCCGCTCCCATCTGCGATCGTCAGGCCTGTTCAAATCATTCCGAGGCTCCGAACCCGCTTAGGCAACCTAAAGCCCCTTGCCCCTCTTCCCCTACTTTTCCCCCTCCTGCGAACCCTCTTTGCTTATCCCCTTGTCTAATGCTCTAGAAGAAATAGAGGCAATTGCCGACCATGTCGATTAAACGGGCCCTCTCCAAGGCCATTCGGGGCCATGTCGCTGACGATGACTCGTCGGGCTCCCACGTTCGCTCACTCTCTCTCGGGTCCTCCAAACCGCGCATCTCGACATCGCGCGATTCGAACGCCCACAATTCCCCCACCGCATCTCCTCGTCGCAGTATCCTAGGCAACTTCTTCCGTGAGAGGGACTATGTCTCTTCCTCCGAGGACTTCTCGGATGATTCATCATCCACCGGCAACCTGAGTAAGAACCAGCAGAAACGACTCGTGCGACAGCAACGCCGCAATGAACGTTCTCGTCTCAGTGAAGAGCAATTCTCCGAGTCCGACCACAAACGGAAGGAGGAGGAGCTTGCTAAGGCGGCTGCCGAGGAGACCCCAGAGATGAAGGCCCGCTATGGTGAACTGCCCCTAATGCAGTCACAGAGCCGCCCACGCGAGGAGCGAATTTCGCTTGACGCAATCACTCCGGACATGGAGGGGCAGGACGTTTATTTCACGGCACGCTTGCACGTTGTGCGTCGCATGAGTGCGAAGCTGGTCTTCCTCGTGTTCCGCCAGCAGCTGTCCACCTTCCAGGGTGTGCTGCACGAGCGCCCGGGCGTCTCCTCTATCGCCATGGTCTCATGGGCTGAGCATCTACGCGTGGGCTCCTTCTTGCGTGTTCGTGGCAAGATTCAAAAACCCGAAGTGCCGGTTCTGGGCTGCAGCATCCACAACGTCGAGCTGGCTATCGAATCCGTGCATCTGCTCGTCAAGCGCGAAGAACCTGTGCCATTCAGTGTCTACGAGGCTGAAATCCGTACCAATGAGGAGGACAAGGCCGAAGGTCGTCGCAGCCACATCCCGGATCGTACTCGCCTCAGCAATCGCTTGCTGGACCTTCGGACTGCCACTTCTCAATCCATCTTCCGGCTACAGTCGGCAACTTGCAATCTCTTCCGTAGCGCCCTCGATGAACGAGGGTTCATTGAAATCCACACTCCCAAGCTGCAGGGTGCTGCCACCGAGTCTGGTGCCAGTGTCTTTCAGGTTAATTACTTTGGCCGTCCTGCCTTCCTGGCTCAGTCTCCCCAGCTGGCCAAGCAGATGGCCATTGCCGCCGACTTCGGTCGTGTGTATGAGATTGGCGCCGTCTTCCGTGCCGAGAACTCTAATACCCATCGTCACTTGACCGAATATACTGGTCTGGATATCGAAATGGCCATTGAGGAGCACTACCACGAGATGCTCGAGACTCTGGATGCTACCATCAAGAACATTCTGGGTGGTATCTACAGCAAGTACCGGCGAGAAATTGAGGCGGTCAAGCACCAGTTCCCATCAGAAGACGTTGTGTGGTTGGAGAAGACCCCTATCATTCGCTTCACCGATGGTATCCAGATGCTTAATGACTCGGGCTGGCGTAGCGAGGATGGCAACCTTCTTCCTCTGGATGAAGATCTGGCTACTCGTGATGAAATCCGTTTGGGACAACTGGTCAAGGAAAAGTACGGCACCGACTACTACGTCCTCGACAAGTTCCCCCGCGGTGCCCGTCCGTTCTACACCATGCCGGATCCCGAGGATGACAAATTTACAAACTCGTTCGACATGTTCATCCGTGGCCAGGAGATTGTCTCTGGTGGCCAGCGTATCCACGAGCCGCATATGCTCGAGGAGAACATGCGCAAGAACGGCATCAACCCCGACGATATGGAGGAGTACCTCGAGGCATTCCGCTGGGGTGCCCCACCCCATGCCGGTGCCGGTGTTGGCCTCGAACGTCTGCTGATGCTCCTGCTTCAGGTGGGCAACATTCGTCTCACCTCGCTCTTCCACCGAGACCCGAAGAGTTTGCCCGCCAAACCGCCCGTCCAGCAGCTTCGCCATCCCGAGGCTTCCACAATGGAGCCTCCTTGGCACGAACATTCCCAGTTGGCGGCTGATGAGAGCGAGCTGCAGCCGCTGGAGAAGCTGGTTGCAAACTACGGAGACGCCACCTCCACTTCCTGGTTCGATGATCGATTCAAGATCTGGCGTGATATGGCCACCGGCGCTGCCGTGGCTTACGTGCCCAGCAGCAGCAACTATGTCATCATCCCCGGTAACCCCGCCTGTGACTCTTCTCAGTACTCTCGTACCATCACACAGTTCCTGCAGTGGCTACGTCGGGAGACCAAGTACAAGCCCGTCTGGATTCTCTGCTCTCCCGAGGTCGAGACTATTCTAGGCGAGCGCCTAGGTTGGCGCAGCTTGTCCTGCATTGCCGAAGAGCGTGTTGAACCGTCACGCAACCAAGCCGCCTCCGACGGCGAGATTGCCCGCAAACTGCGCCGTGCTGAGAACGAAGGCATCAAGGTTGTCTCTGTCAACCAGGGCGAGTTGCCTCCTGAGGACATCCGCAAGAAGATCGATGAACGCATCGCCGAATGGCTTGCCAACCGCAAGGGTACACAAGTGCATCTGTCCGAGATCCGCCCGTGGATCGACTCCGAGCACCGCTGGTATTTCTACGCCATGGACAAGGAAGGTGTCATCTGCGCCTTTGTCGCGCTGGCGATGATCTCCCCCGCCCATGGTATGCAGGTCAAGTACAGCTTGGACTTCCCCAACTCACCAAACGGTGTCATCGAGTACATCGTCACGCAAGCCATCCAGACTGCTTCCAGGGGTGGTGTCAGTGGCCTGACCTTCGGTGCCGGTGCTACCAGCAGACTTATTCCCGGCCACAATCTGCACGGCGCCAAGATCAAGATGCTGGAGCACACCTACGAGGCGCTTGCCAAGCAGTTCCATCTCGTGCGAAAGAGCGAGTTCCGTGCCAAGCTGGGCGCCACCGAGGAACCGCTGTATATCGCCTATCCAGCTCACGGCCTCGGTTCCAAGGGTATCCGTGCCGTCCTGAACTTCTTCGAAGATTAAACTCGCTGGAATGATTCAGACGGATTTTTTCCGAAGAAGTTACGATCTCATGGCAATTTATGAATTAGCGCAATCTTGGCGAGTACTTGACCGGTTTTCATAGGGATTCCATCATGGAGGATGCCGAGGACACGCTATAGAGTAGAGGGGGACAGGGATTACAAGGAAGTCAATCGTCGGAAAAGAAAGGGGAGGAGAGAAGATTGAGTCTGCCATTTGCCAGATATGTCCACTTGACTTTGGATATTGCACCTTTTGTTGAATTCTTGCTGTGTTTTGTGTGCCTCCCTGATGGTTTATCGTTGCACATTGCTTGCTTGGAACATTTTATTCCCCCTCCTGTATCTGCCCACCGTATGTATCTCCTATTCGCTTACTCGGTGTTATTTAATGTCCACGTTTGATTTCAATTTGTATACATGGCGATTAAACAATACTGGGGTAGTAAACACTGCATTAGTAGATTCAGATAGGCCGATATTGCAACTCCTATGAACGACTCAGGTCCACTTTCTAAATATACACGGTACCCAGTCCTTGAAACACGAATACGCCAACGCCTCTCTGATCATACAGACAATGAGATAACAAAACAAAATACAAAATTACCTCTCCTTCTTCGCCTCCACCTCATCCCTCTCAAACCTCGCATCCTCAATTACCCTCCCCAGCTCACCCACCACCCACCGAGCGACCACTCCCGCCACGATGGCAACGACAACAATCCACCCTGCAGTCGGCACCAATGACCGCGGAAACACATTCCACAAGAACGGATCGAGGATCACATCGACCGCGACGGGGGGTACATCGCGCATCAACGTCTCGTCCTTCGAGAAGTAGTCCGCTGCTGCGCGGACGCGTAGGAAGAGTACCGAGTCACTGGTTGGTGCAGGGTCATTGGCGTGTTTGGTGTTGCGGTTGCGAATGGAGTTTGCTTGGAGGTGAGCATCCAAGTCTGATAGACGGGATGCAGAAAATCTGCTGAGGGAGGTGAGGAGGGTTGAGTCTCCGATTGTTGAAGGTACGGAGTGTGTTGATAGAGTGAAGGATGTTGGTTGCTGGGGTATTGTTAGACTCAGTTTTTTATTTGGAAATTGTAACAATGGGGGCACCATTGAAGGAAGGACCATACCGTGGCTAACCAACAAATGCGGACTTCGTATCGTTTTCCCGGGGTGAGATCCTCCAGGAAGAACCAAGAGTCCGTTCCTTGGGGAGCCTCGGCCGTGGGGAATGACGCATTCAATTGGGTGCGTACGACTGCATTTTGAGGCGAAAGTCGATCCAGACCGAGGTCGTCGAGTTCTGGTGCTTCCGATGGGACCGTTGTAGCTGGAGGACCCAGGAAGATGGTTTTCTCCACGTTGGCGTGAACCAGGCTTGTGAAGAGGGGGAGGAGTATACCGAGGAGAGTGATGAGGGGATGGTGCATGCTTGCTTTTTTGATATATGGGGGGGGGGGGGAGCTCGCTGCTTGGTATATAATGATGGTTTACGTTGGGGGTGGCCTGAGATTAATTGTTGTGCTGGTGTTGATTTGAGGTCATCACGGTGACATTGATTTCATGTATCCGTGCTTGGACGTGATGGGATGGTGGAGATATATTTTGGTCGGGTTGATAGATCCAAGTAGGGCCTGTGGTTTATCAGCAGCGACTTGGCGGTGAGGGATTCGGAGAGCTGGATTTGAAGTCACTGTACTGATATTTGACCGGCAACCTTCCTAAAATGCTGCATATTTATAGTAGTCCATTGCGCCGGGATAATGAAGTTTTCTTGATTAATTGAACACTGTGATATTGTACCCTTTCGAATATTGATCACCTCCATCATGCTCAAGTCACATGTCCGACCCCTCAGGTTTGTTGTTGTTTCCCAGTCACCTGACTGCCAGCAGACTAGCAAAAGGCGGTGACCCGCGGCCAAGTCGCCGTGCCAGCAGCCAATCAGAACGCCCGACGCGACCCAACGAACGGATCAACAACGAACTCCCCCCCTGCGGCAGCACAGACGCCCTCCTCCACAACATTTCTGCTCTTCTTCTTCGACTCGAGCAGAGATTCCATTCCTCCCATTCTTGGTGTGTATCTTCTCCCCCCCCCTCTATTCACCCCCCTACCGTGCAATTCGCCTATCCAGAAAAACCCCTCCCCCTTCCGTGTCAAAATCTCGGTCGGTCCCCAGACGAAGCAACTAACCCCCTGAATCGTGCCCAGGTCCCGTGTTTGTTATTGGGTCCTGCCTTCACCCCTCCTTAATTTTCACACCTTCCAAACCACCCACCCAACACAATGAGAGAGATTATCAGCTTGAACGGTACGTGCCATCTCGACGATACCCGTCATCATCGAATTCGATCCCTTTAATGGAAACTCGGACGCGCTAACGTGTGTTGTGACTACAGTCGGCCAGGCCGGTTGCCAGATTGCCAACTCCTGCTGGGAGGTAAAAAAAATATCATCTATCATCATACCAGCGAAGCGATACGGAAAGACTAATGTGACAATCATTTAGCTGTACTGCCTGGAGCACGGTATCCAGGTACGTTGGAGATTCTAATCTCGTCGTGGCGCCCAATCTCAACTCGGGCAGCGTGACCCCCTTTTTCGTTACCGGGAAGCGAGTACCCGCGACTAACGCTTTTGATAGCCCGATGGACACCTCACCGAGGAGCGCAAGAAGGCCGACCCCGACCACGGCTTCAGCACTTTCTTCTCTGAGACTGGTACGTGCAATCCAACATGATTTCGATTTTCTAAGGGTCCTCCGGCCCGATGGGGTGGTGTATATCTAGCCATCAACGCCCCCTCGTTCCCCTTCGGACCCCTCCCGTCCTCCTTCCCCCCGCCTTCTGAATTGCCCCCAGAGCTTCTGGCATGGTTCTTCTAACATTCTTCTTGTCTCCACTTTGACAGGCTCCGGCCGCTACGTTCCTCGCACCATCTACTGCGATCTCGAGCCCAATGTCGTCGATGAGGTCCGCACTGGTACCTACCGCTCGCTCTTCCACCCCGAGCAGATGATCACTGGCAAGGAGGATGCTTCCAACAACTACGCCCGTGGTCACTACACCGTCGGTAAGGAGATGATTGACCAGGTTCTCGACAAGGTCCGCCGTGTGGCCGACTCCTGTGCCGGTCTCCAAGGCTTCCTGGTCTTCCACTCCTTCGGTGGTGGTACCGGTTCCGGTTTCGGTGCTCTCCTGATGGAGCGTCTGTCCGTCGACTACGGCAAGAAGTCCAAGCTGGAGTTCTGTGTCTACCCAGCTCCCCAGAACGCCACCTCCGTCGTTGAGCCCTACAACTCCATTCTCACCACTCACACCACTCTGGAGCACTCCGACTGCTCGTTCATGGTCGACAACGAGGCCATCTACGACATCTGCCGTCGCAACCTCGGCATTGAGCGCCCCAGCTACGAGAACTTGAACCGCCTGATCGCTCAGGTCGTCTCCTCCATCACTGCCTCGCTCCGCTTCGACGGTTCCCTGAACGTCGACCTGAACGAGTTCCAGACCAACCTGGTCCCTTACCCCCGTATTCACTTCCCTCTGGTCGCTTACTCGCCCGTCATCTCTGCCGACAAGGCCTCCCACGAGGCTAACTCAGTTACCGAGATCACCTCCAACTGCTTCGAGCCCAACAACCAGATGGTCAAGTGTGACCCCCGCAACGGCAAGTACATGGCTACCTGCCTGCTCTACCGTGGTGATGTCGTCCCCAAGGATGCTCACGCTGCCGTGGCTACCCTCAAGACCAAGCGTACCATCCAGTTCGTCGACTGGTGCCCTACTGGCTTCAAGCTCGGTATCTGCTACCAGCCCCCCAAGCAGGTCCCCAACGGCGACCTTGCCAACCTCAGCCGCGCTGTGTAAGTTATTCCCAAACTTTGATTCAAGGGTGTTGCCATCTTGAGATGTCTCTCCATACGACACTTGTGTGGAAAATTCTTGCTAATCCGAATAACCCGTTTAGCTGCATGCTGTCCAACACCACCGCCATCGCCGAGGCCTGGTCCGCTCTCGACCACAAGTTCGACCTCATGTACTCCAAGCGTGCCTTCGTCCACTGGTACGTTGGCGAGGGTATGGAGGAGGGTGAGTTCTCCGAGGCTCGTGAGGATCTCGCTGCTCTGGAGCGCGATTACGAGGAGGTCGCCAGCGACTCCCTGGAGGAGGAGGAGCTGGAGCCCGAGTACTAGATCGGGTATGCTACGTGATTGTTTGTGGAGGAGGGGGTTTGATTTCCGCTGTTTGTTTGGGAGACAAACTCCGACCTTTACAGCTCAGTTTTGCTAGCCTGCCTACATCTATCGGACTCCTTGCAAATAGAGGAACATAGGTCTCCGTCCGACGATGTCTACTGGTTTTGTTGTTCGATATATCTTTAATATCCCTGAAGCAGCGATAAATTTTTCCACTCGTTCCTATCTTATTCTCTCTCTCTCTCCCTTTTTCTCTGTCTCTCCTTTCTTTTCTTCATGATGCGTGTAACTACAAAAGTGAGCCCCTTGTCCTCAGAGCATGGTTGCTCCCTGTCCGTTGAGCCATGAAAAATTTCCGGTCAGCTGCTGTTTAGTTTTGAACTGGTTGTGTTTACATCCTTAAGTCCATGGAGCTAGCTACACTTATTGCTATCCCCTTAGGGCAATCTAAGTAATCCTCGAACCTTCATGTATCATGTACAGCCCAGATTCCGGATTCCGTCGCATGAGCGAGCCCCTTCTCTTTGACTAGTCAATTCAGTATTTACTAAGAGCCTGAATTGACCCCCTACTGTCCTATTATCACAGCACAATAATCATACCCACAATAATCTAATTAGTCGCTGGCGCTAAAAGACGAGTTGACCCTGAATTGGCCGGGTGGAATGGACACTAAACCGACTGACCGCCTTGGGGGGCACCTCTACGACATCGACTCCCTCCAGCCACTCAGTAATCACCCACCGAACATCATTCTACCCCTTCGAACGCTGTCCTCCTTTCCTGCGGCCCGTTGCTTGTCTTCTCTCGGCTGCGTATCCTACATCTCGAAGCTGCGCTTGGTCCAATCCATGCTCGTGGCCCCTTCCGGCTAAGCTTACGGCTTCTCCGTACCTCTCCACCTTCTTCCACCCAGGCTACCAACGATTCGGATCCTATATTGACCTGAGAGGGCATTCGCGCCTCTCAACACACAGCCATGGCTGACACTCGTAAGTAACTCTTTGCTGTTGACCACACTGAAAGCTAGCAATTGCTTTCTGGTAGCTCTGGCGCAGTTCAGGAGGGCCGCCGAGAGCTCCGCTGCCTATACGCTTTCCCCCCTCGTCGCGCCTCTGTCGCCCTTTGGATAATCCACACCTTAGCGACGGAATGGACGGAGACTGACCTTTATGTATCAAATAGCACAACGACACCCGAACTTGAATTTGACCGCGGAGGAAAAGCGCGTGTTCTACCAGCTCTTCCAGGCTGCCGATACTACCAACCTGGGCGTGATCACTGGCGAGATCGCCGTGCCGTTCTTTGAAAAGACACATCTCCCATCTGGTACCCTTGGAGAGGTGCGTGTACTTTGGAAACGTAGATATACCGGGACTGAGCTGACTAACATGACCATCGTGCCTTCCAGATCTGGCAGCTTGCGGATAAAGAGAACAGGGGTCTTTTGACTCCTTCGGGGTTTGGAATCGTGCTTCGATTGATCGGTCATGCACAGGCTGGGCGCACACCGTCCGATGAATTGGCTTTACAGCGTGAGTAGTCCTGAGATCAGCACGGCGAGTGCGCTTACTGCCGAAGACAGGGTTGTCTGGATCCCAATGCTAACTGTAACTCTTTCGACTGTAGCCGGTCCCCTTCCACGATTTGAGGGCATCGTCGTCGACAACACGCCCGCTCCCACCGAGTCTGGCGCCGCAAGTCCCCCACCAGGTGCCGGTCCTCCCATTCGAGTACCGCCGTTGCAGCCTGAAGATGCTCTGAAGTTCCTATCGCTATTCGAGAAGTCAGATATCTCGAATGGCATGATCTCTGGTACGAAGACACCCCTGGAGTTGCTAGTCCATGCATCTCTCTCTAAGGTTCTAACTTAACGGTATGATAGGCGAGATTGCGAAGCAAATATTCGAACGTGCGCGGCTACCCAATGAGGTACTGGGTCGGATATGGAATCTTGCAGACACAAAGCAGCGTGGAGCTCTCGATGCCACCGATTTCATCATTGCCATGCACCTCCTCACATCCTTCAAATCTGGCGCTCTTCGTGGCATCCCTCAGACATTGCCTCCTGGTCTCTATGAGGCCGCAGCTCGACGCGGATCCGGCCGGGGCTCTTTCGGCGCTCGCACAGACGTGCCCCCTGTCCCGTCTATCCCTAAGCAATTCACTGGTCCTCAGCGAACCGGTACTCCAATGAGCCCCAATCACACTGGTCGACCGGCATTCGGTGGTCCGCTCTCCGCACAATCGACAGGAGACTGGCTGATCAGTCCTCAAGAAAAGACGCATTTCGATGCTATCTTTGAGACCGTTGATACCGCCAAGCTCGGACTGATCACTGGCGACCAGGCTGTTGGATTCTTCATGAAGGCTCAGCTGCCCGAGGAAGTCCTCGCGCAGATCTGGGACCTTGCTGATATCGATGCTGATGGTCAGCTTAGCCGCGATGAGTTCGCCGTGGCCATGTACCTTGTGAGGCTCCAGCGCGGTGGAAAGGAGCCTCTCCCCCAAGTGCTTCCTCCGGCCTTGATTCCGCCTTCCATGCGCCGTCAGGCTCCTTTACCTTCTGTTGCGCCTGCACCAGTTCCGGCTCCCGCGCCAGCCCCCATCCCTCGATCCGCCGCGGATGATTTGTTCGGCCTTGATTCTCCCGTACCGCCAGTCGCACAGACTCAATTCCCTCAGTCGACTGGTGGCTCCAATGCTGCATTCCACACGCCAGGATCTCCAGCCTCCCGGGCTACTCCGCCCGTTACATCCACAACATTCAAGCCGTTCATCCCGACCTCGACATTCGGACAGACATTGCAACCCCAAGTAACGGGTGCATCGGCGGGAACTCCAGTCATTCGCTCACCTCCGCCACCATCCGATGATCTCCTGGGAGACAATGACCCCGAGGAGTCCAAGAAGCTCACTCAGGAGACCAGTGATCTTGCCAACCTCTCGAATCAAATCGGTTCTCTGGCGAAGGAGATGCACACCGTGCAAGAGAAGCGTACTTCGGCTGAGCAGAGCATTTCGCAAACTTCTCAGCAGAAGCGTGACTTTGAGGCTCGCCTTGCTCAGGCACGTGCTATGTATGAACAGGAGGTTGCCAATTTCAAAGCCTTGGAGGAGCGCCTTAGAGTTTCCAAAGCCGAGACTACCAAGCTTCAGCAAGAGTATGCTCTGATTGAAGGTGGCCGTCAGGATCTGCAGAACCAGTATACCCAGGTTTCGACCGCCCTGGCTGCCGACCAGCAGGAGAATGCTAGTCTGAAGGAGAAGATTCGCCAGGCCAACGCGGAAGTTGCTCAGCTGAAGCCCGCGCTGGAGAAGGCTCGCTCCAATGCTCGTCAGCAAAAGGGCCTCGTCGCAATCAACAAGAAGCAGCTGGCTACCGTCGAGGGTGAGCGTGATAAGATCCAGGGTGAAATCGATACTCTTGCCCAGGAAACACCGCAGTACACCGAAACTGCCACCCCCGTGAGCTCTGCTGCTGAGGTGGCTAGCCCCGCCGTTTCTACTGCTAGCCAGAACACGAACCCATTCTTCCGTCGGACCGCGACTGGCAGCTCCAGTGAGCGTGCGCTCTCTCCCGATGGCCCTACTGATCAGCAAAAGGCCTTTGATAACCTCTTTGGTCAAACCTTTGCGGCTCCTTCCGCTGCTGGCCCTCCTCCCACCTCATTCCGTGCCGAGTCGCCGCTGGCTAGCTCCAAGTCGCCCGTTACCTCGAATGTCCCAACTCCGTCTGCTTCGCCAGTTCCCGCTGTCTCTGTGCCTGGCGCATTCCCCGGCATTGCGTCTGAGATCCCGCCACTCAGCCAGTCTCGCCAGATGACCCCGAACTTCCTTCCTTTCGGTGATAGCCAGTCGGTGACGTCTTCCACCATGGTTTCGCCACCTGCTAGCCGTTTCGGAGGCCCTGATGCTTCGGACATGGCAACTCCACAGGAAGCTAGTGAGCAAGGTGGTCCACCATCCGTAGCCGCATCCAGCGACTACAGCAAGACTTCTACTCCGGCTTTCGAGGGCACACCTGCTCGTTCGCCATTCGATGAGGTTCCAGCGGCCCCCGAGGCAGCGATAGCCGCTGCTGCTGTCGAGCAGCCCCCATCTGCGATTTCTCCTACCTCCACTGGAAATCAGGAGCCGGCAAAGGACCTGTCTTTCGATGAGCTTTTTGGGAGCAAGGCTCACAAACGATCAGAGTCTCAGAACCAGAATGACTTTGATGAGGCATTTGCTACTATGAAGCAGCAGACGGGCGAGAAGACCAATGGTGCTACTGCGGCGGCCTCTTCCTCGGAGTTCCCTCCTATTCAGGAGTTGCACCATGACGAGGAGGAGGATGAGAGCTCGGATGACGAGGGCCCTTTGGGGTTCGACGATAACTTTACCCCGGTTTCTCCCACGACTGCCAAGAAGGGGAAGCAGGCTGACTCCATCGACGCTGCTCAACTTGCTGCCTTCCCTGCTCCGGGATCGGCTCAGCCGCCATCCGCCGATGCGCAGGCAAGCCCTCCTCAGTATGAGGCCACCACTGCTGGAGATGCTAGCCACATGCCTCCGGAGTTCAATGGTCTGCTACCTGAGCGTGCCGATCCCACCCTTGCCCCGGATGCTCCTCACTCCGTTGAGTCTAGTACTGGCGCACCGGTGATCGCCAACAAGTCCCAGCGAGACCTCGGACCAGAGGCTGCTGCTCCAGTGATGACTGGTGGTGCCAAGACCGGCGGACCTGACTTTGACGCCGCTTTCGCTGGACTCAATCTTGCCCCGGCAAAGGAAGCCGATGATGAGGATGAGGACGACGAGCATGACGAGGGCCACGATAACAAGAACACCACGGACTTTGACTTTTCATTCGATTCGCCGTCCCAGGGCAAGCCCGGTGCTTCTTCCAGCGCCGATGCTGGCCAGGGTGCATCCGCCGATTTCTTCTCCTTTGACAACAATGTGCAAGCTGCGACTGCCCAGCCCACCGCCTCCCCAAACGGAGGTGATTCCAAGGCTGATGATCACGACTGGGACGCTCTCTTCGCAAGTGCTAAGCCCGCCGCAGAGGAGACTGCTCATGGCGCGAGTTCCAAGTCTCCCGGCTGGGCCCTCAACAACGACTCTGGTGAAGATGACCTGATTCTGCAGCGATTAACAGGCATGGGCTTTCCTCGTGACGACTCGCTTGCGGCGTTGGAGAAGTTCGACTACAACCTTGATAAGGTGAGATGATCTATGGCTACTTTGAACGCTCAAGAACGTCGTAACTGACTTCTGCCAGGCTGCGGACTATCTGACCTCAAAGTCTTAAACTTTGAATCAAACATAAACCCATATCCCTCATTCCTCTTCCCCCTCGTGCACATATCATCCACACATAACTCTCTTTTTTCATGATGCCTTTCCTTTATGACTATTTGTCTTTCCTCTCCTATCTTTGACCTCTGACCTATCCCGCCTCATCCTTCCTATCTGTCCCCTCCTCAGCGTTGTGTACATTTTTTTCTTTTCCTTCATCTAGTCCTTCGTCATCATGCTGCGCTTTCAGTGGCCTCATTCGGAATTTCATTCCCCCATGTGAGAGCCTGCGCAGGAATCGATCGACAATTGTCTTTGTCTCAATGTGCTTGTCCTCCCCACTAGTGTAGTGTAGTTTACGATAACTTATAATCGATCTAATTTCATGAATCATGTGCTGGTAATCAGATTGTAAATGTGCTGTTCACACTGAATATAGATAGCTGCGGGTGGACCAAAGCTATGTGATGCCAAGCCTTTTCAGGCGGTCCACCAGTTCTCGTCACCACCATGTCGGTATCCCATCGGTATCCCATTAACGGCCATGCTATGATTAACCCCGAACGACGGCTATAAGAAGAGCCCCCTATCAGCTCCGTAACCCAAAAGTGTACAGCTGACAGATCCTGATTGCTTCAAGTGGTCTCTCTTTGGTTTTTCCAATGATTCTTCCAGCCTGTCTCTTCCAATGACACCATCCCCCTTCGAATGTCCCTTCCCCGGCTGTGGCCTTAGCTACCGACGCAAAGAACACTTGACCCGCCATGCAAAACTCCACTCTAAATCTCAATCGTTCGAATGTCCCTTTTGTGACCGATCCTTTGCTCGAAGCGACACTCTAAGACATCATGTTCGCTCTTATCATCCAGATAAAGAGTTGACATCATCCAGGGCAACGCGGGCCTGTAATTATTGTCGCGCGCGGAGGTCGAAATGTAATGGAAATGATCCATGTAATAGGTGTGTTCGACTGGGGAAGAAGTGCTCTTATTCAGAACGGTCGCAACGGGAATTGCTATTGTCAAGGACGAATTCGAATTCGATTGCTCGATCGGAAGGGCTTGAATCGAGTCCGTGCAGAGTTGCACCCTATGTCCAAGCTTATTTTGATAAATTTCATTCGGAATGGCCTTTTTTGCATCCAGCAACGTTCGATCATACTCGAGAACCGGCTTTTCTGCTTCAATCGGTTACGATGATGGGGATGTGGGTGACCAGGGAGAAAAGTGCGCAGGAGAGGGCGAAGGAATTGCATAAGAAGTTGATTTCCTGCATATATGAGCAGAGGGTAAGTTATCAATCCTTTGCTTTTACGCTGGACAATATTAATGCATCATACTCTAGGATAATTGGGCTGTATCAGAGGATTATGGGACAGCTGGGAAAAGTCCGCACATCCGCGTCTCTGATTCTCCTGCTTGGCCTTTAGCAACATATCAAGGGATCCTGCTACAAATGATTTTCTCCCTCCTCCAAAATCAAGAACCTTCCAATCTGGACTTGGCTTCAAACTTGCCCGAATTACCTTCTCAACTCCTTCGCGCTCTCGTTCGCAGCTGTTGCAAACGAAATATCCTGTTCTACCCCTCAATACTCTCCCAATTCAACAATAGAGAAAACCCCGAAGTATTTGTCTGGCTTGGTATCGAGGAAGTAAAACGTTTTGCCTTATCCTTGTATCGAATATGCCAGCGAGTTCGACTCCATGATCCCAGGGAGCTGGACGAGGTACCTGATTACAGCAGCTGGGCGCTATCATGTCGGTCTGGGAGACATCTGCTGTCTCTGGCTGACTTGCAATTTGCTTTGCCTGATAGTGACGAGCTTTGGCATATGACCTCGGGATTGGCTGCAAAATTGGCTGGGAGATCAGCAGCGTATGCTGATGCTAATACGGAAGAGCATTGGATTTCTCACGCTGTGCGGCTTCTGCAGCCACAGGGTGAACAGTTTGGCTGGATTTGATTCGTGGGAGTTACTTGTGAAAAGCTGTGAAAAAAAGCTTCGACAGCGTCTAGCAGTGATCGGTGATCAGGTAGTTGGGATAACTCCCACTTTTTCTGGAAGGAGTAATCGGAGTCTTCAAAGCTCCCACGGGAGCAATCAAGATATGGTGTCAGTTTTCAGTTGCCGATTTGGACATTATTTGGGAGAAAACTCCTGACTGATATAATGATTTGTTGTGTTAGGCGGAAACCTAACGCTGCCATTGATGGCCGAGTTGAATTTGAGAGGCCATTCGAAGCTCTAGGTATTTAAGAGCCCTGTCTATCACTATCTTAAACGAATCATTGATCATTATACCGACATTACAATGACTTGTAGCTAGAAAAGAATAGGAATGTGCTGGAAAGGGAATGAAATTACATTTTGTCTACACATGGCCTTGATACTTGCGGTGTTGAGCAACTTGGGTAGCTACGGTGCACTCCAAAGCCAATCAAGCGTGGTGACCGCAATTCGCGATACTTCGCGGCCCCGATCTAAGGAAATCCCCGATTCCGACATTAAAGTTAAACACAACGGCTCAAGGAGCCAATTAGTTGCCTCTGCGACTAAAGTTTTGATTATTACATCCCATGTTGCTACCTAGGATTCTCACCGCATCTTGAAATTATCGCAGAGCACAAGGCTCGATGTTGCTTAGAAATACATGATACTTGGTACGAAGAGAATGTGGTGTTCTCACGCAGTAATAGGCATAAATAAAGCCTTTTCTTCACGAATTTAGATTCTATGCCAAATTATATTCCGCCCTTTGAAAAGTCAGGCTATACGCAAAGTAACAGCACTCTTATGGATGTCACCAGTCTCGTGCAAGTGGTAGCCGCAAGAACATGTACGTGGCCAAGGTACAGTACAGTCGATCAGGTACTTCTCGCATGCTACCATCCACCTCGTATTCTGCTGCCTGTTTTCTCTCACTCCGGCACCTCCCTACGTATAACCTTCTACTCGTTCCACTTCCGAAAGCTAATCACATCGCTCACGAGCTCTGAAGGTGATACTGTCTTACACCATCAGCTTCGTGCCCTCGTGCCGTCGTGTCACGGATTGCGGCGTTATCTATCTGCAGGCGCAACCCAGCCCGACGTCCAACCGCTATATGCTCGGGATGGCCTCAGAAATGGAGATTATGATGCAAGATTTGGCTAAAGATGTTGGGAAACTCAAAGATCATACCAACTACACTCGATGGCACAGCCGCCTCCGCCGCGCTCTCAAACAGCGAGACAGTCGCTTCTGGCCTACACTGACGGGCGCGAACAAGCCACCAGTCTTGCACAAGCTTTATCTCCCCGATGACAATGTCGTGCGCGAGGGTCTCGCCGAACAGCACATCGTTCCCCTGGAATCTATCTCTGCGGATCAAATAGTCGACCACATCAACAAAACCGTCCACGAGCCCAATGCCTCTCTTTCGGCTTGGCAAGCCATCGATCAGAAGCTGCTACCTCTTTTTCTGGTCACTCTGGGATCTCATCTCCAGTTCCATGTTAGATTGGCCAAGACGGGCTCCGATGCATACCACATCATTGAGGGTATGTTTCACGGACCAGCCAAACATTACGTGTGGGCCAACTGGATCAACTGCACTTTCAGTACTCAGAAAACGGCTACGGAATTTGTCCATCGATGGCGTCGAGCTTTGGATGAGGTGCTTTATCTTTTCGAGAACGATGCACCCTCGCTCACATGCCAGCTTAGCCAGTTCATGGCTGCTATTGATGGTCATCCCGGTACAATGTCCTGGGCACGGGAGGCTTCTTTTGATATGAGTGATGCTTCTTTGATGGAAAAGGTATTTCGGTCGTTTTTGTCTCGCTTGGCAAAATTTGAGAGAGCGGCCAATGGGCTGAAGGTACATTGGAATATTTGACTCCCAGGAGGAATTGAGGATTAGCTGGACATGGGGTTCTTCTGACTGGGAAGAACTTGAATGTGGATATTGAAGATTTCGAGCCTACATTTACTTTCATTCGTCTATGGAACTTGCAGGTCTAGCATTCCCAATAGACTCGGCGAGAGATCTTGAACATTGCATGTCTGAGTTGACAATGGGACAGGGCTGTGCTTGTTCACAAATCTATGGATATCTCTCGAATTCTTGTTTTCCCACGCCTGTTCTCGTTAAGCTTTGCTTTAATACCGGCTCTACTAGGCGCTCAGGGACCGTACTCCGAGTCACTTCCGGATGGCGGTCAACGTTTATGCCAAAAACGACATTCTTGAGGTTTGAGAATATGCAGAAGAGTGAAAACTTTATAGTCGAATTGATGGCTTTTCATATGTCCACGGAAGGCATTATTGATTGATAGCCAAGATCAGCATCGTGTTGGCTTCGATTCAGATTGATTCTTGGTCTACGTTGCATTGAAATCACGCAAAACGATGCTGATCAGGCACTATGGAGCGCTGCAACACAAACTCGGTGGCCTAGACCTAGACATACCAGATCCAGATTCGAATGAGAAGCAAGAAATATTTAAAAGCTAAGACCAAACAGGGGTTCTGGTGCATGTACAAAATACTCTGACACATCAATGTCTACCGGGCTCTAAATTCTAAAAGGATTGAGAGTATAATGAGCGATCTGATGAGCTAAAGCTGTGATTCATTATTCATCAAGTCATGGAGAAAGGACTTGGAGAATACAAAGAATCTGGTATTGTGTGAAATGGCCCCTTTCAGTCTTTATTCATGCTCTCCAGGGTCCAGGGGGGTTTACCCAGCCGTAATATGATCCATTATAGTTCCAAGACCTGAAGTAAGGTCTTCGGTATGCCTCCGATTCAAGATTGAAACTCCTTCTTTGAAGATCTACGTAATACAAGGATGAGGCTCAAGCTTATCTTAAGTCTCTGTTTGTTCTCTTCGTTCTCTCGGTCAAGCTTACTGGCCTGTGCATCAACCACAGTACTACCGTTCATGCTCGTACAAGGCGTACTCGAAGGCCTGATGAGTTATCCCACATACAATCTGACCTCGACGGCAGTAATTCTGTATTACTTTGAAAGCCTCCAATAAAATTGCGAACCGCATTGAGTGGGTCTGGTCTACTCGCGCCGAAGTGATCTTCCCCCCTTGCCATCAGCCGCATGTTCAATAATAGCCCTGTACAATTGTGTTCAGATAGTCCGAGTGCTTGAAATGCAGACAATATGTAAGTATTGTTGCCTGCATGTCGGCCGTTTCATATACTCCGAAGTGAGTCAGCGGGTCTTTCTCCCACTCGGTTGCTTAGAAGAATCCGTGTACTTTCTCAGGACACTCGAGCAGGCCGTGGTCGTTTAGGCTAGTTTTCTACTCCCCTCCTCCGCACGATACGTGAGATGAATGTCGACATCTTCTGTCCCATGGCCATTCGTATATGCGGGGTTTGCTCTTTTCGCGGCTTCTTGGCGGCTCCTTGGCTGCTCCTTGGCTGACATGATGGGTCATTTAAGCCGGTCGCTAAGCATCAGTCATTAGTAGCATCGTGAACTTTTGCTAGAGACCCGTCAGGCGCTCGGGGCGTTGTCCGTGGTATCTTGCTTGTTTGATTTCCCTTCCGGTGCACATCGACTCGGCTGTTTATGGTCACGCTGGCGATGACTGCGACTATGCCCAAGTAAACTAGGTCCTACTCTCGGCGTATCGAGCCTTGTTGGGCTGATGGGCCGTCAATTACGGGGGCCCTGAATTGCTTATGCGTCGTACCATCTAGCAATCACTCTTGCAGGTATATTATCGAGTCTATTCGAGGCAACACTCATGTTCACAGCAGACTTTTCTCTGAAGTGGACAGAGCGGTTGTATGAGAGTGGAGGTTACCATCTCCAGATTAAAAAGAGTAGAGCATACGAGACACAGAATTGTGCTATGTGCAATCAGACCTCGTCTGTAACTTCCAAGCGATGCAAATGCAATGAGAATAATCAGAATATACTACATCTCCAGACCCGATCAGGAAAGGCAGATCAAGCGCTCACCCAACCATTTCACCACGTTTTCATCGAAGGAAAATCTCCGCTTTGCATTGTAAGCCGTGACTGCAAAATTCTGCAATACTTCGCGAGGAGCTGCGGGTACTGCAGGTTTAGGCAACTTAATTTTACCTTTCCGAGGTTCCAACAAATTAGACGACTCGCTAGTTCCACAGCTTAATCCTAAATAGTACATACGACAAAGACCTAATCGCAAGAATATGCGCCCCCCCCACGCCCAACTCCAAATGTCGTGATCCATGGGAAGATTGCCTTTGGGGAAAAGGTTTGTAAAGGGGGCCGAGCGAACACGGTCCATTGCTTCCTCATCTGTCCTCTTGAGCCCTGAGCGGGACAATGTTCCAATGACCGGAAGCCACAATCAGCCTCTTTTTTCCCCTTAACGGTTAGCCAAATACGCTGTTGCCTATCCTCGTGTCAGATGGGAGGGGGTATGAAACATTCGAGTCCAATAAGACGAATAGGCGACCGAGCGCGTTAACCCATGGACCCTGGACTAGCGTTGCAGGGAGCCTAATCTGCGCCAATCCGCGGGCTCAATTGTTCCCAATAAGCTTCACCTGCCGTCGCTTGAAAGCTTGGCCCCCTGAATCAACCAAAGACATGCTCCCAACGGAAGATCTGAGGGTCGATCGACTTCGCCCTGTACCCTTTCTTCTGTGTTCGGAATTTTGTGTCAATTGTTTTGAAACCATCTATCGGCGTTCTCGAAAACCAGATTGACTCGTGACTTGTTTCCTATCGTACTCTACAGGAAAAGTATAAAACCGCTGAACGGCAGGACGAACTACTTCCACGGGATCGACGAGATCGACTTTCCAGGCTGGCAAACCACTAGTCAACTAGACTGGCTTTTTCTCTCCTAGAATGGTAATGGAGCTTGTGGCCACATGTTATTTAAAACTCACGGAATGTCACCACTGGCCTAACCAATTGGGGTAACCCTATTTGGTTCCTGTCGTGCTCAGGCTGAGAAGGCTGCCTCGGGTGTGGATCATGGCATGGATTTTTCTGGGGCGTAAGATGGGGGGCAAAGGGGGTACAAGTTTAAGCAAATTTTGTCTTTAAGTAGACTGAAGTTCTTCATCGCTCGTGGAGTGTCCGTTCTTGCTATCCTTACTCTTTTTGCCCGACATTCTGTTCATCCTTACGCCGCCATATCTATACACTCCTTCCTAATTGACATGGCGATCTAGACTCTGCCAACCGGAGAGTATCAGATTGACCGTCTGTAACTCTGCTTTTTCTTCTCTTCTTCTACGTTTGTTACTTTGATCCTTGACCTTCCTCCCCTTATCACCCACCTACTTCTTCTTCCTTGCCTTCCCATCGCCTTCCCATCTGCCACCGTCCTGCTTCTATTCATCCTCTTGCGCCGATCTCCACATCTCTCTACATCTGTCCGCTTTGCACATTTACACCGCGCCCATCATGATCGACCTGGCTGCTCGCCATGCTGGCGAGAATTTGAAAAAGAAACCTCTCCAAGAGATCTCCAAGCTCGCCCCATTCTCCGCCCTGATCATCTCTATCATTCTCGTCATCTTCTTCCTTATCCGCTTCTACATCCTCGAGGGCTTCCTGATCAAGTGGCTCTATGGCCCCATCTTCTCCAACATGAATGAGCAGAATCGCCGTGGCTTCGTCAATCATCACATTGCCGGTGTCACCAAGATCATCATCCTTGCTATCGCCGCCTATCCATTCGTGGTCATCACATTTGGCAAGCAAACGTTCAGCACGCCGTTCGCTCCCCACCTAAACTCCGTGGTCACCATGGGAGACATGCTCATCGTCGTTGCTCAGATGCTGATTGCCATGTACATCTTTGAGCTGCTGTATCGGTCTAAGCTGTCTCCGGTTGCGATATTGCATCATATAGGGACCATCATCATTGGACAATCGGCGATTGCGATTAGTTTGAGACTGGCACGTGAGCCAGATGCTGATATTGAGTTTATTCTGTGCACGGTATGGGGTAAGTGATATATACTCCCAAGATCCGCGGTATGTCACGAAATCAAATATTAATACCCCACCGCAGGTGCTTTCGATATAGTGTCCGAATTCTTCCCCCACGTGGCCATCGTTCTCTATCGCATCTGGCCTGATCGTCACAAGTTTCTCAGCATGGTCTTTCTTCTCTCCTGCATTACGACTGCAGTCGGTACCACTTGTGAGACGATTGTGACGATGTGGCTGTTCGGAACTCTCTGGGATCGCTGGCAGATAGCCTTCAAAGTGGCTACACCTCTGCTTCACATTGCATTCTCCGCAGCGCAGATTCACGGCAGCATGGTCTTCTGGCGGATGTACAAGAAGCAGCGAAAGCTTCTCAATGAAGATGAAGAGCGAGCCAATTCCTTTAAGGAAGAGAATATTGGTATCGCGCTGCATTCGTCCGCCGAGTCCGTGGGGCCTCTGGTCCAGCCGCGCGGTCTTTTGCCGGAGAGTCAGTGACAGAGTTCCCGGTACAGGAACAGCTTGTCTTTTGCGAAGCCACAAGCTGCATGTCTGGTTGAAAATGTTTCCTTTTCCTCTTTTTTTTTCTGTCTTTTCCGGGGGCGTTTCTACGGTGCATGGGTGGGTTATTGCATACATCCGGGGCACACAACGGGCGGGCCGGTCTACCTACTTTTTTTTGGCGGTAATGAGAGGAGTATGTTGATCTGTTTCTACCATGCTCGAAATTGACGACACTAGGATTCCTGGATATTTCTTTTTGAGTTCCTCGTAAATGTAGTCATGAAAGAAAGAGGCTACCAATCTGTAGAATCCCAATGTATGAGCCCGCTCCGAGAAATCTCCGGGCCCCTCCCCGTACTCTTTTGGGCCGCTGATCCCCCGCCAGCATCTGCTATCTGACATACCCCAACTTCGAGACAACCCAATCGCTCCAATATCCCATATTCAACTCTAATACTTGGAGAGCATATACAACAAGATCAGCGCTTCTAAAACCGCCCATAATGGCATCCTCGGCGAAACGTCCTGAACTGATAGCGATTGCCCGCGATCTGGCCGGGGTGCCGATGAGTGACGATTATGAGAAGATGATATCGGGCATGCTGTACGTGTTGACACCCGGTGGTCTATCACTTTGATGGCCTAGATGTATCGGAGAGTATTATTTGCTATTCTAAAACGGACTGCCTAACCTGCTACGTTCCCTAGTTACAATCCACTCCTCCCAAGCCTGGAAGAAGCCCGACACCGCTGCCGCATCTTGACCAACGACTACAACAACCTAGACCCACGGACTGTGCCATCCGAACAGATCAGGGACGTCCGCTTTGGACTTCTACAAAAGCTGGTTGGACGGGTGGGCGAGGGGTCGTTTGTCGAGCCGCCATTCCGGCCGGATTACGGGTGCAATGTCGTCATCGGGCGGGATTGCTTTATCAACTGGAAGTAAGTCGGCGGTGCCCTTGTTTTCCCGTTTACCTATTCGTGGCTTTGCGTCCAGATTTCTGCGGTTTCTCGGATTGTGGACATGTTCTTACATGGCAATTACAGCCTAAGTATCCTTGATACGTCTCTGGTAATTCTGGGGGATCGAGTTCAAATGGGCCCGAACGTTGGGATCTACACTGCCGGACATGAGACGAGTGTCTTGTCCCGGCGGAAGTATATCGAGTTTGGACATCCGGTGCGAATTGGTGATGATTGTTGGATTGGTGGTAATGTCGTGATTCTCCCTGGAGTGACGATTGGCGAGGGCTGTACTATTGGAGCAGGCTCTGTGGTCACAAAAGACATTCCGCCCTTCTCGGTGGCTGTAGGAAGTCCATGTAAGGTAATTAAGACTATACAATCCGCCGAGGAAGAGGAACAAGACCCGGAGAATCCCTACCGAGCAATGGAAAGAGAGTTGTAATCAAACAAATTCGATTAATTGGGCCAACCGAAAAAAAGACAGAGCATCTAAATTTACCATAATAGGCCACGAAGAGGCTAATTTCCGTTTCTGTCGTAAAACATACGGAGCTAAGAATGGACTGCCTCGTGGTCAACATATCATGGTGGACAACTCTCGCCCAGACCTTTCACAACAAAATCAAAACTCACACCATTCACCTTCTCTCCATCCTCCGATCCACCCCTTTGATATCTTTGACGAGAGCCCACATTGCATGGGCCTCGCCAGCGAACGCCATCGCCCATCTCCTTGAGAGTGAGAGTCTCTGGGGAGTTTTCCCAGGCTCACTTCTCAAGTCGATCTCTCATGCTGGGCCGAAACCCGCTGCAGAGAGAGCACTGTGACTGGTTAATACAATTCATGTCTCTGAGCTTCGAAAGAACAGGAGGGGTTACTTACAAAAGTCCTCCCAGGACCGCTCTCGAGCCTTGGCTCGCAGGCTCCGACCATGCATGAGGTCGTCGAACCCTGGCGAGTTCTGCAGAAAGTTATACACGATTCCAAGTATAACAACAACGCCGACAGAGAAGATCCAGGTGCGAACTACGGCCACAATGGAGGTGGCCGGATGACCGAACGTGCCGAAAACCACCATCAGCGTCGCGGTGATATCGACGGCCAGAACCGCCACTAGCAGCTGCAACGATGGCAGGTTCTTCCAGAAAGGCCCATCGATATGACGAGTGACGAGGATCAGCCAATTCTGAGTGAGGGTGATCTCAACGAACATCACCGAATCGCGGTTACCGAAGTTTTGTACCAGACCGCCACTCTCCCCATGCAGGAGCATGGTGCCGAATGCAATCCAGGACCCCGCCGCCAAGATGAAGCCCATGATGATGGCGATTCCCCATAGCTTGGGCTGGTTCCATTTGACCGGGGAAATCGAGAATGGCGCATTATCATAGGCAATGGCCAGCGTGGCAATGTCGGCGAAGATAGCCAGCAGGACAATGTAGCGGAGATCCATGACCGAATTCATGGAGATAATCCACAGGCCAAAGAAGATCATCAAGTGCAGTGACAAGGCAATGCGATAAATCACATACGAGTACATGCGGTGGAAAATCTGCCGGGAGAGCTTGATGGCGTCAATAATGGCAGACAAGCCGGGAGCCATGAAAACAATGTCCGCAGCTGAGCGCGCAGCATCGGAAGCACCCTCGACCGCAATACCAGTATCAGCCTTCTTCAGCGACGCAGCATCATTGACACCATCTCCAGTCATGGCCACCAAATGACCTCGCTTTTGGAGAATCTCCACGACGCTGTACTTGTGTTGAGGGAATACCTCCGCAAAGCCATCCGCAGCCTCGACAAAGTCATTGACTTCAGAGCCAGGCATGTCGCCAGCACCAGTCACACCCAGGCGTTCCGCATTGTAGATGTTGGTGCCAAGTCCGAGCTGACGGGCGGTCTCTCGTGCAATGCCCACGGCATCTCCGGTCAGCATCTTGATGGAAAGCCCGAGACGCTGAGCCTCAGCAATAGTCTTCTCGGTATCATGACGAGGAGGGTCCAAGCAAGGTACGATTCCCAGAATCTGCCAAGGCTGGTCACCAACCTTGCGAGCAACACCAAGGGCACGGAATCCGCGGCTGGCAAACTCGGTGACCTTCTCAAGGTATGCAGTTTCAACAAGCTCGTCGATGGGGCGGTCATCCTTGACAGTTCGCAGCACTGGAAGAGGTGCACCCTTGACACAGATGATTCGCTCACCGTCAGGGGACTCAACAACAGCCGTGACCTTCTTGGAAACGGGATCAAATGGGTGGAACTCGATGACCTTGTATGATCCAATCGCTACCTTTACCTCAGGATACGCCCTGAGAGCTTTGAGGAAGACTCTGTCGATGGCATCAATTCCTCTCTTCTTGTGACTTGCTGCCAGGCATGAGGTCAACATGAGGTCGTTCTGGGTGACATTGGGACTTGTGTACGGGTCACCAAGGGCAAGCTTGTTGCGGGTCAAGGTGCCTGTTTTGTCGGAACAGAGAATCTCAACTCCTGCCAGTGACTCAATGGCGGATAGTTTCTGCACAATTGCTTGTCGCTTGGCCAGGTAGGATGCACCGACAGCCATTGTGGTGGTGACAACAGCCGGAAGACCAACTGGTACTCCAACGACAGTGATTGCCAGTGTGAACTGCAAAATGTCTATGATCGGGTTTGAACGGTAGTAGGATCCCACCCAGACCACAAACAAAGACATGATCACGAGGGCCAGAAGAATCATACTGATGCCGTTCAGGACCACAGTGAAATGACCTGTTCCGTTATCCGCAAGATTGACGAGTACCGCAGCCCGTCCAACAAAGGTCTGATCCCCAATTGCAGTTGCAATCATAAGGGAAACTCCTCGCTTGACGGTGGATGAGGCGAAGCAATTGTCATTGTGATGTTTATCAACTGTGAGAGATTCACCGGTGATGGACGACTGGTCGACTTGTAAGTGAGCTCCTTCACTGAGTATGACACCATCGGCTGGAATGATTGTGCCCTGCAAAACAAGTCAATAGGTTGTTGCATTATACTGACGAGGGTTGAGGAAGAACTTACATCTTCAAGGTGAACTACATCACCAGGAACCACTTCCCCTGCATCTATCTCCAGGACATGTCCATTTCGGGTCACAGTAGCCTTGAGTGCCAGTGTCTTCTTAAGGCTATCGACAATATTTCCTGCATGATATTCCTGGGCGAAGCTGACGACTGCATTGAGCATCAGCAGACTGCAGATGACTGCAAAGTCAACCCAATCCTGCATGCCGCTAGCCAAAATCGCGGAGCCCTGTTGAAGTACCTTTGTTAGCTTACGTCCATATGCAGCGCAAAAAGGAAGTATGTGCCTGGGCATGGTAACGTACCAGCATGACCAGCTGCACCGGTCCGACAAAAAGCTTCAAGAACTTCACCATGTTGTTTCGGCGCTCTTCCTTCAGGCAGTTTCTGCCATACTTGCGGCGTGCAGCGATGACCTCTGCATCACTCAAGCCCAGGTTGAGGTCGGTTTCGAGCAGATCAGGCTGATAGCGGAGACCGTTTCCTTCAGCAATGGTGATCGCCTCTGGGTCAGGCTCTTTACCATCTTCCTCCTCAAGCTCAGTGATGAGAAGCTCAATGTCCTTGACAGACTCCTGTTGAGTAGACTCTCGTTGAACAGAACTCTCAAGCCTGAAGCCACCAGAGGTGTCAGAATTAGGACGGTTAGAGGCTGCAGGGGATGCCAAAGCATCCTTGTCCTCCTGGTCACTTGCGTGATCCGGAGGGTGGCTGCTGAATGACATGTTGCGGATATCAAAAGGATCAAAAGTCCTCGGGGATGAAGGCCTGGATACGGCCTTGGGCGGCATCGAAAAGGTGTATCTGATGATGATGAAGAACACTGAAAGGAAGAGGTGTTATGAATGGGTGTGCGGGAGAAGTGATGGGAGGAAGGGCAAGGAGGAAGTTAGTGGGGGGCACAACAGTCTTGAGCATCCTCCCATGAATACGGGCACATCTCTCTACGACAGGAAGAGAAGGTACGACTACTTCTTCGGGCCAGTGCGAAGCGTCTGACTGGAGTTTTCTATGGAAGATCACCAGGGAAGCCTATTATGGCATGGGACGCGTGTCTAGGGTCAATAAGATTCGGCTCGAGTGAGCAAGAGCGAGCCAACGGCCAAGTTGAGGCTGCCAGCAGAGGAAGGGCATGAAGCGCTTGGACGACGGTTGCACCCCGCAACAATTGCCCGAGTATACGAACCTCAAGAGGTGTCGGCTCCATTGGGACTGCTAGTGTCCTTCGGTGCTGTTCCCTCAAGTCTGAGCATGATTCCAAGGCAGTTTCTGGCTCTATATCACTTTGGGCAAGACAAAAACGGAATTTAAAGGTATTAAACCTCAAGTCATGCAGCGATGTCGTTTGCTACTGGGCAAGCTTCCAGGTATATTGTGACCAAGCCAACAACTGGAGGCAGAATATACGATGGTCTCATTTTTCTTCAGAATTTCTTTCTCATTGTTCGTCATGTCCGAGACCTTTCGTCTACCCTGAGTCTCGAACATGCTGATGTGATGGTTCTCGCAGTGAAGCAGCAGTGGTCGCTTCAATTGAATCGCGACGACATTCTGCATGGGGAATAACCACGTCAAAATTCCGATGAAAAGTGAGCCCTGTCAGTTCCTGCCAATTTGGCTGAATTGCATATGAACCTTTCCGGGGAGTGATTCGTATTCGTGAGTGCCGAAGATATACTTCGGGTGATGCGAATGTGGACGCAACCAAGATGGATATGTTTATTGGGATACGAGTCTTCCGAGCCTCGACCATTCTAGGATCAAACTATGCCACGGCCGACGGACGACAATCGTCGCGGCAACCATGTTCAACCGTGGTAACTGGCATAGTCAACGATCTATACAACCATCATCCATGGTTCCCTGGATAGTCGCCTCAGGCACCATATTACGTAATTGCCCGGACGTCACCATCGCCATCGAAGAAAATCGATGCCGCTGAAGCAGCCCGTCAACTGGGCGAAGGTGGAATAAGCTGTACACGCTGATTTCAACAAGAGCTTTTTGTTTACTGATAGTTGACGAGGAATGGTTGTCCACGCCGTTGCCTATCTGACGGCCTCGTGAGCCTGTCTTTTTGAATCTTTCATCAATTCGCCCAACCCAGCGTATACGATTCACCGTATTATGTTTCACGCCCAACCTTAGCAAGTGTTAACGAACCCTTTTTTGTTTCCTCGTTCTCCGGTGTTTCAAATTGCTATATCAAGCTTTCTCTTTATCACCGAGGCCACACCGATCTTGTTCCTCACCACAAAGCTCCGCCAACATGAATCCCGAGATCCCCGGCTTCTATTACGGTCAGTCTTCATGCTATTTACTGCTAATTCACTCTGCACATTTGACGCCGTCGCACAGCCTCATCGTGAACCTGCATGTTCACCAGCACCAAGCTAATACGGTCTTCTTGCAACCAGATCCTGAGAAGAAAAAGTACTTCAAGATCCAGGCCAACCATGCTGCGCCACCGGGTGCTCAGTATTCCCAGGAGTCCGTCAAGCGCAAGCGCAATCAGCAAGAGGTTAGAATTTCTCCCCGTCCCACGGACAATCAAAAATTTTGATGCTGACTTTCTCATAGGAGCAGGAGAAACAGGCGCACGTCAGTCAGCGGATCGCTCGCGAGACCGTCCGCAAGCCAAGCTTCCTCCATCACCCACTCATCGGTGTGGACCGGGAGGTTGGAACCCATGTGTTCTCTGCTCCCGAACTGCAGGATCGGCAGGCTAGCATCTACGTGAGCCAATTGAAGCGCACCAAACTTCATCAGTTCGAGCCGTGGCCGGGCCCTTGTAATATCCGACATGTCCTGCGGCATCCTCGCTCGGGTATTCTGATCACCAGTACGTACTGTACGCCGCCTCATTAATTGGATCATCAACTCAAACGCTTTACTAGGTGGAATTCAGGGCAACGCATCTTCTGTCTCGTCAGTTCATTCTCTACCAAGTTCCGAGGGTAGCGTTCGCTAACACGTAGCAGAATCTGCTTCCCTGATTGTGACGAAGCAAAATGGACATACAATCAGACCATGGAGCGTCTTCTCTTCAGAGAGCCTTACAGAGTATGTCACTTCGTGCCTCAACACGATGCAAGCTGCTGACGATTCATGTGCAGCTATCATCGATCTCCTTGAGCCATACCGGCTACTTATTGTATGACATCTCCAGTATCTTGCACCTCCGTCCAACCGACCGACTAACAATCACAGGGCAACGATGGACAGTGGTCCGGGAGGCGACTCCTTCTTGGCTCCACGGCTACTCCCAAACCCAGACGAGGGTGGTGACTATCGCTGGCCATCCGAATGTAAGAAATACAAATCAAGCAAAACAAATCAGAGAATTCCACTAACCCATCATCTAACAGTCCTCCACCCTATTCGCATCCGCACCACGCAGACCCTCTGGTGCTCGGCAGCCTGTCCAACCGGTGAAAAGGCTCTCTTCGCTGTCGGCACCTCGGACGGGCTGCACACCCTCGAGGGCCAGAGCAGCTACTGGTCGCTCTCGCAGAAGCCCCTGCCTAAAGAGCAGAGCAACCGAGGCCCAGGATTCCGCCGACATGGCAACTCATCGCACGCAAGCGTGCAGGCGGTCGAGTGGCTCTCCTCGGACGTCATCGCCTCGGGCTTGCGCAACTCGTCCGTCTTCCTATACGATGTGCGCTCTGGTGAGAACTCGCTGCGGCTGCAGCATTCGCAGTCGGTCACGAAGATCCGGAAGGTAGATCTGTGGCGGATTGTTGTTGGAGGCTACAACTCGGTAAGCCAACGCATTCTAACATATGCTAATTCCCGTTTATCTCGCTCACGCCAGATCAGGTTGAAATGTACGATATCCGTTTCGCAAGCCAGAACCTCCAACACAAGCCCAAGCCTATGAGCCGCTCTCACATCTCCAGCCGCCCATATCTGTCTTTCCGCGACTTCTCGCCCGAAGAGATCCCCGACTTCGATGTGAGCACCGAGTTGGGTCTGTTGGCATGCGGTAAGATCTCGCCTTCCTCCCCTCTGCCCTTTAAATTGATGTTCGCTTTTTCTCATCGCTCTCACTCTTTAGCATCCGATGATAGGAAAGTTCGTTTCTTCTCTCTGAACACTGGCAAACCTGTCCGCTCCCCCCTTTTGAGATCTCCTTATAGCCGGCCCATCACAGGCTTGTGCTTCGAGGCGACCGGGGAGGTGAGCCCGCTCGGCCCGCAGACACCTAGCTTGCTGGTTTGTTCTCAGGCTGCTGTAGACCAATGGGTCTGGTAAGGGTATGCTTCGTCTCTGTGGGTTCTGTTTATTGTCTGGCGTGACTTTCTGGTTTTCTCGGGGATACCCTATTGTCATCTTGTTGGTGTGTCTTCTGCGATAGTCTTACAGGTCATCATTGTTGATCCTTATTCCTATCTTCCTTTAACCCATCCAGTGACAAATTCTTACAATGTTCTACACATGATGCAGTGGTGAGAATCTAGTCCGTAAAAAAAGGGTATAATTCATTCGCATCCCATAAGGTGATTCGCATGCAACCGATAACCGAATCCAAACTCCAATGCAAATGGCCCAGATCACTGGGCCAATATTTGTACGCCGCGGTAGTGCATAAAATAGAATGTACGACACGATCAATCCAATCCACCTGCAAGCCACTCCCCAACCTCGACACCGATTCCCTTGGCCAACTCCCCAATCCAATCACCGGATACATTCACACACCACTTCTCACCCGCGTCAGAACTGGTATTTCCGCTACCCGTACTGGCAAACCCAACATGACCTGAAGCGGGAACCACGAGACGCAGACGGCGCAACGTCGCCAACTCAGCATAGATCTGGTCTGCAACAGCTGCGGTGTTGATGGGATTCTCTGGTGGGTTTGGATCGACGGCGTGATAAATTGCTAGTAACCGCTCTAGCGGGAACGGACGAGCGGATAGAATGGTCGATGGGCCTGTGATGCCCGCAGCTGCGCTGACGGCGGATGTCGTTGCCGAGGATGTTGCAAATGCGGAGGAGAGTGTGGATTTGGTGATACGGGTTTTGGTCCGCTTGCCCTTTCGAGGGGTAGAGGGGTCGTCTTTGGCAGCAGCCCTGTCTTCTGCCTGTGCCTGTGATAGGACCTTCAGTCGGCGACGATGATGAGCACGCTTGTTACGTGCAGAGAGTGAACTCGACGAGAACTTGGAAAAGAAGATGGTGTCCAGTCGTTGCGGGGTGTGAGATGCCAGGTATGCCGATGTAAGAATCAACGTCGAGAAATAAGGGAGATGAGGTAAGGCGGAGGGTGCCGCTGTGGTTGCCAATGGCTTGCGTAATGTCTTGCTCGGAGCTGAAGTCTCCTCGGGCACAATTCGGTGGATCAGTGCAGATTCGCCTTGGTGCCGGAAAAGGGCTCTGTTCTTCACCAGCAGGCGTGTAAAGTCCCATTCCGTATTCCCGGGAGGGGTTTCGCCTTGAACCACTGGTGCAACGAAGAGTGGCCACAGCTGGTGGCATATAGACCGGAAAGTTGGAATTGATCCTGCTGTCGGACCGACCAGAGTGTCATAAATTGTTGCCACGAAATGTGGATACACCCGCGAGGAAGTCTCGTCAGGCAGATTTTCCACCAAGGGCATCGGGGAGGCTAGTAGAATATCGATGGCCTCTTTCCGTGTGTACGGAGGAAAGCTGACATGGGGAACAGCCGCATTCTGCAAGAAGAGCGGTCGAGGAGTCGAGCTCAGCACGAGAACAACACAGAGAGATGGAATCTGTAGAGCCAGCAAGTCAGTACTTCGCCAGGGGCAGGCAATATCCCGGGGCTTTGACGACTTACAATCTCTCCAAGTCGCGCTAGAGCAGAGAGTAACGTCGGTGGTGCCTCCCGCTGGCGATCAATCTCATCCAGCACCAGCACAAACTTTCCACGCTGTTCCTCCGCCCTGGCCGCGAGACACTCCTCCAGCAGCACTGCAAGAGTACTGACATGCTCGCACCGACCTTTTCCGTACTTCTCCCATTCATCTTTCTGACCCAGAGCCTCAAGGGTATTCCAGAGAATTTTGGTCAGAAGATGCCGTGCCGTGATACATTCCGAGCTGCGGACGAAGGCGTGTCGTACTTCGAGTGTAGACAGGACACCGCGAAGGATTGTAGTTTTGCAAGTGGCAGACACACCGTGCACAACTAACGTGGGCAGACTAGGGGTATTCGGCTATTGTGAAAGTCTAGAGTCAGCGGGCCTGAAAAGCAGAAGTAGTCCGGTCTAATTTCCATAGGTGCGGAGATGCTAGAGACCCCCGAGAGATACTTACATGAAGCAGGCTGCTAAGCTGCCGTGCCTGTGTGTCTCGACAAGGCCATTGTGCGCTCAGCGAGCGAGCAACATTCACAGGCAGCATCAGGTCCCGAATCCCAGCTTCTTTGGCTGCAAAAGGATATTAAAAACAGCAAGAAGCCGCGGCGTGCGGTCTCGACCTACAACTTCCGGTCCGAGTCACCCCTTTGGTCACGTGCTCTGGCGACGCGTCTGAGGAACCAGTGGAAAAGGCGATGACCTAATCGAAGCTTAAATCTACCTTAACAATATAGAGAGCATGTCTACGATCTTAAGAAGATATTTCCGTAGAGATCGAATTTGATTTCAGTGCTAGAGTACAAAAATGCAGAAAGTGTGTGAAAACGAAATGGTAGAACATAAATTTGAGGAAGAAGAGACAGAAGAGACGAGCACGAGCACCAGGCCAGCTCCAAAGGAGCCATCCCAGAAGACGTAGGCGCCCTCTATCAAATCATCTAGTCAATTGGATATGTTCTTGGGACAGAACGACCCACCACAACACAGGTGCAATTCAAAAAGCAAATGAGTGCAGAGTACAGGTGAAAATAAACGTGAAAGGGAAGTAAATTGTTAGGGAAACACAGTGCAGGAAATGGAGATGGTCCGCTGTTAACCATGACTACGAGACCAAATCAATAAACAGCCAATTCTTGCTGACGGGAAGAATCAACGTCGTTCAGAGTCATGTGAGAAGGTCATGTAGATCAAGGGAACAGCAAGGACCATTGGTGGGAAAAGTACAAAAAAAAGGCAGAATGGGGGGAACAAAAGCGAGGGGAGCTCGAAGCTGCACAAGGCTTCCCCAACGCTGACTGCACCATGCGAGTTTCGCTAGATGTATGAGGATGTATGTAGGATGCAACACGTGAATATTTGCCAGATGGTGAAAGAGTCGTGACGCATTGCTTCATGCATGGGAAGAGAAAGCCAAATGCAGGCGAAACAAGATGGAATGGGGGTTGGATGAAATGCTGATGATAGAAAGATCATGGCACATGCAACTAGACCCCAGTATGATGACAGTCTTGAATTGAAATCCGTTAAATCATCAGAAATTCATGGCATCGTGGGAGTCGATATGGGTACAGATTGAAGATGGTATGCACATGGGTGACGGGGAGGAGGAAGTAGGCCTACTTCAATAGTAAGAGGCGTAAACTTGTCCATGGGCGCCAATGTGGCCGTTGACAGCGGGCGGAGGCGGGTTGTAGATCACAGTAGTCTCACTGGCGCTGGGGTTGGGAGGAGAGGCGGCCTCCGACGAGAATCCCTGTCCATTGAAGCCGGTGACGCCATTAGCGGCTGGGAGAGAATTGGTAGCCGGATGGAAAGGAGGGTAAGACTTTGGGACCACATTCTTGGGAAGCTGCGCGCTGTTCGTGGCCTCGTTGGGGGTCACCTGTCCACTGCTCTGGCCACTGGAGCGGCCAGAGCCATCCGCGGCCATGATCTTGCCGGCAATGCGACGGCCATGGGGGGTCTGGCGGATCGATGGCAGGATAGGACGAATGGCGTCGACAATGCGTTGACGGTTCTCTGCATCGGCAAAGTCCATAGCAGTCTGGACAACGTAGTTGGCGAATGAATCACGGAGCATCTTCTCCAACTCGTTGCCAGAGAGAATCTCGTCAATCATTTCATGACGAGCAAAGCCATCCGCAGTGCGCAGACACTTCTCAATCACGTTGGAGCTGAACTTCTGCTTGGACAAAGAAGGAATGTTACCGGCGAAAGTCTTGCACAAAGGATTGGTGAAGCGCGACTCGGCAAGATCCAAAATGTACTGAACAACGTAGTTGCCGAATGGGTCCTGAACAAGAGCGAAAGAGTTCGAGGTAATCTGAGCAATCAATCGAGCCTTCTGAGAACCAGAGGCATGATCAATGCAGCGCTGAAGGACACAGCATCCATGACGGTGAGTACCGACAACTACGCAATGAGCACCCACGGCTTCGTAGATGAACTCAGCTTCCTCCGCATTCAAACGGTTCAAGCACTTCTGAATGACGTGGTTGCCATTCAGGTCCTGAACGAGCTCAACCACATGATGCTTCAGAGCATCAATCACAGTCTGAGTCTGCTGAGGGGTGGAGATGAATTCGATCATCTTCTGAAGAGCTCGGGTACCATGCTGGTTCAGCGCAATCTTCACGAGCTGGGGAGCTGCGTTATCAATGAGGGCAGTACGCTGTTCATCGTTCGAGTACTCGAGAAGTTTCTGGCACAAGTAGTTGCCAAACGGATCTATAAAGACCAAAAGAAAGACAAGATTAGTTTCAAGCTTCGGTGTTGCGATACAAAGGGAAGGGGATGAAAACATACCGGTCATCAGCTCAATCACGTGCATGTAGGTCTCGCTGAAGATCAGTTGCACATGCTCTGGGTCACGGTCCTCCAACTTCCGCTGTAGATATCGGCAACCGTGCTGGTCCTTACAAAGGCTGTACAGGTCACCCTTGTAGTGCTCAATGGGAAAATTGGCATAGCGAGTCGCCTGTCCTGCATCACTTTCAGTCTGGCGGCGCTGAATGACGGTGCCACGAGCAGCAGCGGCATCGTTGAAGCGATAGTTGTTAGCCGCGTAGGCCGGCGCAGGGTAAGCAGCATAGTTATTGGGCTGCCCGAAATTGGCAATCGGGGTGGGTGCCTGAGTTGGCTGTCCACCGTACGGCGGGACTACATAGCCAAACAATGGAGGGAACGGCACACCAGCCGGGGCAGCCGAGTTTGCAATGGCGCTGCTAGAGGCGGCAGAGGTCAATTGAGGACCAAAAGGCGCAGCGCTGGCCTGAAGGATTGTCTGCGGGGAGAGGCGGCTCGGGATAACCTCGGGCTCGGGGGAGCCTTTAACAGCGCGAGGGGTGACTCCTCCAGTGGGGATGCGGCCCAAGCTGGCATTGTGCTGATGCAGGTGCTCAGCGTGGGTCTTGGGCGGGGTGATTGCCGCATCGAAGCCAGTGCCCTTAACAGTTGGCAAGTCATTGGTCGAGTAAGATGTCTGCAGCGAAGTGGGGCGAGAGGAAGTCAGTGGGGTCAGAGCCTCTGGGGTGCGATCAGTCGAGAAACTCAGGCCACCCTCAAGCGAGTGCCGAGGAACATGGCGAGAGTGAGCCACACGCCCACGCTCGTCCTTGGTGGGGCTGGTCAACTGCTCAAAGCGCATCGTACTGATTAGGTTCTGCGGCATGCTCTGGTGGCTGGTGCGATAGCGGCTGTGGAACGCATAGGACTCTGGGCCTGGGGTACGGGCGTTGGCCAGATCATGGGCATCAGGATTGGCCGAGAGCTGCAAGGGTCTGGGTCAGTCTTATGTTTGAGATGGGTCCAAAGGAGCCATGAACTTACGAAGTTGGAACCATCCCGGCGAAGAGTGGGGAACTTGTCATCAGGCTCTGTCATCTTGATGTATCCTTTGATATCTGGGGTTGATAGTCGTTCTTCGTCCCGGAGGTAGTTCATGTTGGACTCGTCGCTGGGGAAAAGGTGTTTGGTGGCAGCGAAGGAGTCAACACCAGGGCCAGATTTATATCCAGGACTGGAGACGTTTGGACGATAGGAGCCGCTGAAGTTGTTGCTAGGTAGCGAGTATCGGTGGAGCCTGGGCGAGGGAAGGTTAGCATGAAGCAAAGGGCAAGTTGAGCGATTGCCTTGGGGGGTCACCAGCAGGTCGATCGGGAGCAAACGCGCAAATGACCAGTTGATATCGCCAGGCAAAAGTGAGATGATTATTATAAGCGTTGACTTACGAAGGCCCCGGCCGGAAGGGTGCGTTTTCCATGGTGAAATCTTCTTTCTCGGAGTTGCGGCGGGATGTAGGCATCGAGTGGCCAGCAAAACGATCGACTGGCTGATGGTTGGCCTGAGATGAATGCGAATGGGAGGGGCCTTGAGGTGAAGTCAACTGCGAGGAAGGGGCAAAGGCAGAGAAGAATCCCGGAGAGGAGGTAACGCTCGAAGTTGAGAATCTGCCGGGGCGAGTCACTGAAGAGACGGTGGGTTCGACATGCTCAGGAGGGGTCGTCGGCTCACTCACTGGCCCCGAGAGGCCAGCCTTGGCCAGGTCGCGAGCAAGCTGATCCATTTCGATCTTTTCCTTCTCGTGCTGCATATCAAGCAGCTTCATGTCTTCTTCGAAACGCCGTTTCTGCTCTCTCATGTATTCGATATGCTGACGCTTCTTCTCAAACTAGTAAAGAGTTAGAATCCAGCCATGTGCAGAGTGAAGTCAACCGAAAAGAGATATGCAAAGGGATATGTGAGAATGAGCCCCAAAGACCGTTCGGATTGCAATCCCCGAAAAGAGCGGTCCCCAGAAAGTACAATTTTCAGTGAAAAGTGCAGTCCTCCAAAAAAAAGTTACGTCGTCGAAAAATGAGCGACCAATTGACGGGTAAGTAACGCCAATTGTTCGAGAGGTCTCCGCAAAAAGCATCACAGGCCCCTCAAAGGCATCTTCAAAACCAAGCCAGATATAGGTACTTGAAAGATACTGCGCAGCCAGCCCAAGACCCCGCCTAAGTCGCACCAGAAGCACTCCAGAGGCAACCCAAACATAGGTCCCTGAAAGGCAGGCCAAAGGCACTCCGAAGTCACACCCAGGTCACGCTCAATGCCCTCCCAAGCAACGTATAGGAGCTGGTACAAAATGAACGCGCCTTCAGAGATGAGATGGACGCGGACAAGGGACCAAATCGACCAGACAGAAAGGTTCGGGTCAAGGTATGTCTTCGAAGTGGCTGAGCACTTGTCGACAGGAATTGGGCAAGAGGAATTTCGGGGGTAAGACAGAAAGATGAGGACAACACGGGGGACATAAAAATGACGAAGGCAGGTTTGGAACCGTGGAAGAGGAAGATTCTGTCAGAATAGGCCGGCGGAGCCAAGCCGCAACGGAAAATTCAACGACAGACACCATCTCGATGCGCCCAATCACATGAGACAGATCTGTGAGAGGTTGCGCCAGGGCCGTGACATCCTCTCTTATTGACAAAGCGTACCAGCCAACTTTATATCTTTCTATCCACGGCACCGGACTGGGTATTTGGGCAGGAAAAGGCAGGGACAATGATATCACAATGTGCAAGATTATAACGAAACATTATACGCACCGAAGAGAGCAGATCAAGAGGGTCTGGGAGTTGCGTGGCCCCCGGATTGAGATAATTCCATGACGAGGAGAGTTTGCTCGAATCGGTGGTGAAACGGCGTTGCAAGTTGGCGCGGACATCGCCCGAGGGCCGTGAGAAACCCGATCCGAAGTTGGAGTGGCCGGGTGAGAGTGATGTATATCCAGGAAAGACCGATTCGGAGGGTGGGGAGCGAGGAGAAGGGAAACGGAGCTCGTCGAGGCGTTCACTCAGCCCATTCTTGAAGGCCATGGTGGGCAAAGCAGCCGATAAGTCCAACTATGGTGAAAACGCAGCATCGATCAGCACAAATTGTCGTTGACCAGGGACCTTCCGGCCTCCAGAGGTTTTAAGGGCCAGGGCAGATCCCGAACCACGTCCAGCACAACGCACGCCTTATCAAGCCACCCAACAAGATACCCCGCAAGCTGCAGTGGTGGCAGGGCAAGGGCTAGGGCTTTGTGTGGGTGTGAGGTGGCGGGCTGGCGGTGTGGTTTTTGACGGAGTTTCTCCCAAGTAAGGGGAGGCCCAAGAGGGGCGGAGGGGTTTCGATGATCGACGCGTGAGAAGGGGGTGGGGGGGAAAACCCGAAGGTAGGGCATGCTCACACAATGAACGCCTCGAAGGGCAGAAGCGACACCAGTTGAATCAAGAACCACACAATGCGACAGTCGAAGAATTCATCGAAGGGGGGGACGGTTGGGCTGCAAAATCGGCCGTGGTGTGTTCCTGACGAAGTGCGGAGATCAGCCGCAGGGAGAGTCCTGCGTGGGATGGAGCACGACCTACCGCTCTGTCTCTGTCTATCGCGCGCTCTCCACTTGGCGAAGGAACACCCAAATGCGATACTCAAACGAGAGTGTCCAGAGCACTACGCATACAATATGCAGAAAAGACCGATAAACAAGCTGTTGTACAGGAGAGGATCAAACAAAGGTATGAACGGGGGAGGAGGAGGAGGAGGAAAGGGGAAGGGGAAGATTGGAAGAGGAAGAATGGCTGGGAGGGGAGCGGGGAGAGAAGACGACCGTCAACCCTATTCGGTAATCTCCGTACGGTCTTGTCTTATTTTTCTACCACTTCCGATCTGATGACCCCCGGCATCACGTTGGATTTACAATGTCTGGTCATTCAGGATGGAAGAATATCTGATCTCAAGATGGCCATGCTGGCAATAACCTTGGATTGTTTGGAATGGCCCATCAAACCAAGGAACCGGCCGTTGTTTCCCAACTATCTCCAGTAAGCCTCCCGAACCGCCACAATGGCCCCCAAAAATTCGCGATCACGACCATCCCAGATTACATAAGGTATAGATCCAATCTGCATACTGAGAAAACAAAAACAGCCATGACGTTTTCCCATTGATGGACAATTCGACGGCCACAGCAGATGACAGATGATCGCTTGACCCGAGCATCGGTCGGGGCCCTCTACGTGTGATTGGGAAGGCTCCGCGAAGTCCGCCTGAACGCGCTGTACACCTAAAAGCATGCAGCTATCGCGCTGAGTAGCACTAGCTGGGGTACTCCATGGCCGACAACTTGCCTGCGAGGCTCGATCCCATCAGCCGTGAAGAATGCCGAATGGTCAATTCCACGTCGGACTGGGACCTCCCTGAAGGAGAGGTGTACGGAGGGACAACGGGAAACATTTTTCTTGTCCCGCGAGTATCGTAGAAGACCCGGGCCTCTCAAACTTGGATTGCCTGGTAGCACGAATGAGGCTATGCACACGGAGCTCGACGATACTTTGATACTCGACGAGGTCTAGGTGTATACCCACGACAACTTTGTCTACTGCTAGATCTAGAAAATCGCGCCGAAATCCATGGAAATTAGAGAAACCTTCTCAGCCATTCCAAGGGCCGAGAAGGAAACCCTGCAATCATCGGGATGCGCTGTTCGTGAGAAAGCGTGGCATCTGCAGCTGCAGGTCGACCACGCCTAAATGGAGCAAATGGAACCGCCACTGTATCATTCCAGCCAAGTGGAGCCCCGCCGAGTGGTGTGCGAGGCCGAAGGACAGGATGTGACAGCAGATCGCCCTCTCCAGTCTCGAAGCTACTAGCGAGCCACCGCACGGGGCATATGGAGGGGAGTGCCTGGATCGAATCTAGCGTGATAAGGATGGGATGATTATGGAGAAAGGCGGCGAATGGCAAGCTGGCGTGGATAAGTGATCATGGATCGCTTTCGAGGACTTGGAACTGGTTTACAAAGTACATGTCGGGCGCTTACATTCTTCGTTGCGCGGATGCTTCACTTTGGATAATCTATGGTTCGCGCCCGCGGGGGGCGTCGTTTCCGCGGTTCGCTTTGTCGCCCACGCGGACATCCAGGGCCATCCATGGGTTTGCCGGAACTCAAAGAAACCCAGGTTGGGACTTTCCTTTTGCTTCTTCTCAGGTTCGATAGTCCCCCGAAGCTAGTGATGTAGGGGACTTATTATTGATTTCGATGATTTCGAGGCTGGGTTTTGTATTGATCACAAGTTTCTACGATCCTGTATACCAGCCTTCTAATAGTAGTCCCGCGAAAAGAACAGCGTCTTCCCCCACCCCTTCTTCTTGCGCTCGTCTTGCTACCGAATAGCGACTGGCCAGACAAGCGGTGAAGACGATACCAGCCATCCGTGCTGATCGTGTCGCTTGGAGCCCCTGATCCACCGAATGACGAGCATACCCTGGTGTGGAGATCCTGCATCACGAACCCCAGTCAACTTTGCTTTTAGAATTTCGACACGGGAGAGCCAATCATCGCTATCCACCTCACTCTTTCCCCCTCATCCATTTCATGTCTTCTTACGGGTATGAGGTCTCTGGTCGCATTTAAACTCCGCTGTCTTGTCCGGAATCTAGATCGGACCCGTTGATAGGCAGTATGCGCTGCAGGAATACCGTACTCGCCCCGGTCGGCGATCTACGTACCCTCTAGGTCCCATGCGGAGAGTACGGTGCAGACACCCATAGGCTCATAGCTACAGAAAGAATAAGTCTCCGCAATACAGGCTATATGTATGTACGATGATCTCAACCCAGGGCAAAATGACACATCCAGAACAGGCCCAAGCACGGGCCCGTTATCCACGCCAAAGGATCCCCGAGTGGGCACCATTGAGTCTGGCGGCGTTCTCTGATTAATATTCGGACGTGGAGGCCGGAAGAGAAGGCCAATAATCAAACAGTTATCTTAGAAGGGGCAAAGTGGGTGAGGGGTTGCGCCTTTCATGCCCAACGCCAAAATTGCCCCTCGGCCAATTCGTAATCAAAAGATTCTCGCCTATCGCGACGAGTCGTGACTCACTGAGGTTGCTCTCATTCTCGGAACACGATACACTCCACTGACTGTGAAACAGCCTTACCTAGAAGAGGCTAATCATAGTCCTGCTTATTTATCCCTACGGAACTTACAAACAGCCTAGAGAGACTAGATCATATATGGTATAGAGCACGGAGTACCTAATCCCAAGACGCAAAGTCTCCCTTCTCACTCTCCTCCATGGAAAATCAATTGTAGTACTCCGATTAAATGTCTCTTTCGTACAGACCCTCGGCGCGTGCTATCATCCGTTCTCTGGAAACCCTAAATAGGAGCCTACTAAAGTATGTATAGACGAGTGCTCCACTTCTCGGCGGCTGCGGAGAGTTATCATTCTATAGTGCTTAATAATATTCATCAGTCCTGCTTTAGAGGGGTCAGCTTTATAGCCGTTGCAAACTGTGTTCAAGAACATGCTATACGTGCTAGCACTGTACAGTAATTTGCTTCCGGCTTAAATTACAAAACCCACCCAGGCCTGTTCCATCCTGGGCCACGTGTATCGGATTCTTTGTCTACAAGGTCCATCGTGGGCGGCCCTAATCTACCGCTTTTTGCTAGTGTCCGTAGGGATTTGGATGGAGTAGACGTTATCGGCTGTGGAGGCCACTTATTTGGAGGGGCTTTGGTGGAAAAAAGAATAAGAACAACCTCACGGCGAGAGCTGCCCACTCCAGTGGGGATGTGTTTGGTTTGAAAAGTTGCGGTCAAGCCGGTATTTGCGACGAGTCTCCCTTTGTTGTGTTGGAACGTGCAATTCTTAAGTCACGGATTTTGGAGACAAGGGTACGCTCAAGGGTTTAAACACTCTGGGGTGCCATGGCAGCAGGTCACTGACCATTGTGTCACCACGCGCGAGGCTATATATACTCTGATTTCATGGTAGCGACAGTCTTATCAATAATACAACCGCGAACATGCCTTAGTATATGTACTTTTTTCCCCATGATTTGCAGGCAAACAAGTCTGGTTTAATTTTCGCTCGACGTTAAGAATTTAATCTTCGTATAGATGTCGCATCTTAAACATGAGTTTGAGTATATACTGAAAGCTTCTTATCATCTTCGCTGGAAAATTCAGGTCAATCATGTACGACAATGTAGACGTGTTGGGTTCGAAATTGGCCGTCCGTGCAGACATCAAAAATGTCAGGAGCGGCCACGCTGCATGTGGGAAGAAATCTCGGGACCCACTGGATACCAACTCGTGATATACACACAGATACAGGAAATCCTGAGAAGACTTTTTACAAATTGTGGTTTCGAGATGGTCGTTGCGGGGTCATTATGCATCTGCATCTCTTCTATCTAATCGAACTGGTGGCGGGGCTGCTTGGTCCGTGTCTGTATCCCCTGGGATATTAGTCTCCCTTGCAAGGCGCGACTTCTACTAGGGATACCGAGAACAGTATTTTCGCTTTTAACTTTGCAATCCTGTTGTGTGCTCTTTCTTTTGTAAAACTCATCCGTTCATGTTTGACTTCTTTCGGTGTAGTCCAGTACAACAAGAGAGAAGAGGTCGATTGTTCCATACTTCGGCATGTATGATGCATAATTCCCACATGATAAAAACGTTCCGACTTTGTTGTTTCATAAAGTAAACAAAAAGGACTGGAGAGAAGTATCAGCTTGACAATGTCACAGAATTCATCGTGATTCCAGAATAAAAAACCAATGGAAGATAGCGTTTAATCATGGAGCAAACGGGTTTGTGCCTCAGGTGTCATCTCAAAAACGCTAACCCGTTTGGGATAGCTGATTGATTTGATAAGCCATCTCCAAATTCTCTCGGCCTTCCCCTCCATCGGCGGAAGGCACTGGCGACGTTGACCAGCAACGTTCATCACCCTGAAAACTGAGTGGCCTGAGATCGCCGAACCACCGTCTCTTCAGAGCACAGAAACTCAGCCACAATGCCGCCGCGCAAGAGGCCGCAGGCCCCTCCTGCAGCTAAACCCCGGCGTCCCTCGGAGGTAATGAAACTTTTTTTTTGTCAACGGCGCGCGAAGCTCTGAGTAGCCATGCTGACTTGAGATTTGATTTCGCGACAGGCTGGCCAAAATGCTGCGACCGAACCGCTCAAGCGAAAACGCTCTTCTATCGTAAATGAATCAGTCATGGAGGCAGTCTCATCGACTGGACAAGCCCAGACTCAGACCGAACGGACCGAAGAACCAGCGTCGAAATACAAGCACAAGGATCCCTTCGATGCGCTTCTGGAACCATTCTACTACAATAAATCCCTCACAGATCCCATCGACACCGCAAGGGACAAGTGGAATCTGCTGCCCGCGTTTCTCAAGGTTAAGGGACTGGTGAAGCAGCACATTGACTCATACAACTACTTTGTCGAAGTGCAGCTGAAGAAGATTGTCGAGTCAAGCTCTACCATTCGCAGTGATGTGGATCATCAATTTTACATCAAATTCACGGATATCTATGTCGGTTCGCCGAGACGTGCGGACGAGACCCAGGATGCTGGAATTGATTTCCAGTCCGACGTGACTCCCCAGGAGTGCAGACTTCGTGATACTACCTACGCTGCACCAATCCTTGTCGACTTCGAGTATGTCCGTGGCCGGCAACGTGTGATTCGTCGAGGTGTCTCGATTGGTCGGATGCCCATCATGTTGCGCAGCTCCAAGTGTGTGCTTGCCAACAAAACGCCAGCGCAGATGACAGTCCTTAACGAGTGTCCCCTGGATCCCGGTGGCTATTTCGTTGTCAACGGAACGGAGAAGGTTATTCTCGTACAGGAGCAACTGAGCAAGAACCGAATTATCGTTGAGACGGACCCCAAGAAAGAGATTGTTCAGGCTTCGGTGACTAGGTATGTTGAAGCTTGGCTTCCACCAGGGACTCTGAGCATATTCACTGACTCGTCGTTACTAGTTCTTCCAACGAGCGCAAATCGAAGAGTTATATCGTGCTTAAGAAGCATAGGCTCTACGTGAAGCACAACGTCCTTAGCGATGACATCCCAATTGTCGTCCTGCTCAAGGCCATGGGCATCCATACCGACAAAGAGATCCTGCAGCTAGTTGCCGGGTCTGACAGCCAATACCAGGACGACTTTGCCATCAACTTTGAAGAAGCCCTCAACCTTGGCATTTACACCCAACAGCAAGCGCTTGACTGGATGGGTTCTCGGATCAAGATCAACCGCAAGACAGGTGCATACCGCCGAACACACGCGCAAGAGGCTGTCGAAGCCATTGCCTCTGTCATCATCTCCCATATTGAGGTTAAGGACATGAACTTCCGGCCAAAGGCTATCTACGTTGCTCACATGGCTCGCCGTGTGTTGATGGCGAAGAATGATTCGGCTCTGGTAGATGACCGTGATTATCTGGGTAACAAACGTCTGGAACTCGCAGGTCAGCTGCTGGCTTTGTTGTTTGAGGATCTTTTCAAGAAGTTCTGCTTTGATATCAAAATGAACATCGACAAGGTACTGAACAAGCGGAATCGGGCCGAGCAATTTGACGCATGGAGTGTCATGAGCATGCACGGCAATCACATCACACAGGGCATGAATCGTGCTATTTCCACGGGTAACTGGAGTCTGAAACGTTTCCGCATGGAACGTGCCGGCGTCACCCACGTCCTCAGTCGGCTGAGTTACATTGCTGCACTCGGCATGATGACCCGTATTAGCAGTCAGTTCGAGAAGACCCGAAAGGTTTCTGGTCCTCGTGCCTTGCAACCGTCGCAGTTCGGCATGTTGTGTCCAGCGGACACGCCCGAAGGTGAAGCCTGTGGTCTGGTCAAGAATTTGGCTCTCATGACACACATTACCACCAACGACGAGGAGGGACCGGTACGGAACTTGATTTTTATGCTGGGTGCCGAAGACATTTCGACCGTCAGTGGAATGCAGCTTTATGCCCCGGGCAGCTACACCATCTCCATCAACGGTACGCCGACTGCGCTGACCCGACGGCCCAAGTATTTCCTTAATGCTTTCCGCCGGCTGCGTCGCATGGGACGTATCTCGGAGTTTGTGAGTATCTACATCAACCATCATCAGCGAGCTGTCCACCTCGCGACTGATGATGGTCGAATTTGCCGACCTCTCATTATCGTTGAAAATGGCAAGTCAAGGGTCCGGAGGAACCACCTGCAAAAACTGCGCGACGGACGAATGCAATTCGACGATTTCCTCGCACAAGGCTTGGTTGAGTACCTGGACGTGAATGAAGAGAATGACTCCTACATTGCGATCTATGAGAAGGACATCAACGAGGCTCACACTCATCTTGAAATTGAGCCTTTCACAGTTCTGGGAGCCGTCGCTGGTCTCATTCCCTACCCTCACCACAATCAGTCTCCCCGTAACACTTACCAATGTGCCATGGGTAAACAAGCCATTGGTGCTATCGCTTCAAACCAGTTCCAGCGCATTGACTCTATCCTCTACCTTATGGTCTATCCTCAGAAGCCAATGGTCAAGTCTCGGACCATTGAGTTGGTCAAATACGACCAGTTGCCTGCTGGTCAAAACGCCACAGTTGCTGTCATGAGTTACTCTGGGTACGATATTGAGGACGCCCTCGTTTTGAACAAGGGATCCGTTGATCGCGGATTTGGTCGATGCCAGGTCTACAAAAAATACGTCACCAATCTCAAGAGTTACCCCAACGGCTTGAAGGACCGGCTCAACCCGCCAGAGTACGAGAACGATGCCCCCATTCGCAAGCACGCCCTGCTTGAGAGCGACGGTCTTGCTGCAGTCGGTGAAGAAGTCAAGAGCGGAGAGGTCTACATCAATAAGGTCATTCCCGACGCGGCGCACACGAATGGTCTCGGTGGTGACTCGAGCAAGCCACTCACCTGGAACGCGGCGCCGATGACATACAAGCTCCCAGACCCCGCCTACATCGACAAGGTCATGGTGTCAGCTACCGAAGGCGAGACCCAACTACTCAAGATTCTTACTCGACAGACCCGCCGTCCCGAAGTCGGTGACAAGTTCTCCTCCCGTCACGGACAGAAGGGTGTCGTTGGTATCATCGCTGACCAGACTGATATGCCTTTTACCGACTCTGGTATCAATCCCGACATTATCATGAACCCCCACGGTTTCCCCTCGCGAATGACGGTCGGCAAGATGTTGGAGCTGGTTGCCGGTAAGGCAGGCGTTCTCTCCGGTCAACATGGCTATGGTACTTGCTTCGGCGGTAGCCCCGTTCAGGAGATGTCTCAGATCCTGATTGACCACGGTTTCAGCTACGGTGGCAAGGATATGCTCACCTCTGGTATCACCGGCGAGCCGCTCCCCTTTTACGTTTTCACTGGTCCTATCTACTATCAGAAGCTCAAGCACATGGTCCAGGATAAGATGCACTCGCGTGCCCGTGGTCCTAAAGCTACGCTTACCCGCCAGCCCACTGAAGGTCGTTCTCGTGACGGTGGTCTTCGTCTCGGTGAGATGGAACGTGATTGTCTGATCGCGTACGGAACTAGTCAGCTCCTGCTTGAGCGTCTCATGATCTCATCTGATATCCATGAAGTTGATATTTGCGAGAAATGTGGTTTCATGGGTTATCTCAACTGGTGCCCCGGCTGCAAGTCATCTCGCTCGGTTGTGAAGATGTCCATTCCATATGCAGCAAAGCTCCTGATCCAGGAGTTGATGAGCATGAACGTTGCTGCTCGTCTGAAGCTGGATGACGAGTTCCCCGAGATGAAGGGCCGTTAAAAGGAAATGTTGCCTGGGCTTAAGAATAGGCTGGTTTGGAACAAAAAATTGGATTTAGGGTGCATGGTTCTCCAGGATGTGTTTAGCTTTTCTACACCAATGGCATAGCGCGGCGATTTGAATATACGAGCCTGGCGAGATTTCATGTAGACCGTGTAGAGCAAATATAAATAAGCAGGTAAGGAGATTGCATTTTGTAAGACAAAGAGTACCCCAAATCAGAACCATTACGAAATCGCAATAGAAAGAACTCAAGCGATTTACTTTCTCCATTCTTTTTTTTTTTTTTTTTTTTCAAAGCATCAAGAGCTGTGAGTCAAAGGCGACATGCTGATACTTAGTAAACTCGATCATATCCTTCAAAAACTTGTCTCTCGCCTGCAGCGCCTCCAGCAACGACATCGCCATTGGACCTTTCCGGTCTTTGTTATCCAAAGCCAGCCTTGCCATGGTAGCCTTCAACTTTTCATCATCCCCGTTTGCATCGAGCGTCCAATCCAACCTCTGTGGTGGGATATTGGCCGTGGAGATGATCCGCAGATTCGGATCGACCAGGAAGAACACAAGGGCACGAGTATGCCCCGGCTTCGACTTGTTTTTCAGCTCGAGATGAGTCACGCGGTGCTGTACGGTACTGGGAAATATCACGGTACGGCCCACTTTGCACTTGATCGAGCCTGGGTGCTGAATAGCCGGCTCTCCGATTGAAAGGCCAAAGACTTGCTTGAGCCAGACGAAGTCATCGGGCTCATGTTCGACTGCAGCAAGGGATCCGGTTTCGACGATGTTGCGGAATTCCATGATCGGGTCCTCCATGTTCTCATTGTCGAACAGGAGGAATGCAGCGGCACAGATGTGTTCGTTCTGTATTCTGGGGATCAGACATGCCCGCTGCACATATTGCAAATGGAACTTACCATTTGACCTTCGACGTGCCAGTCAGATTGGAAATAGGGATCTTCCGGGGTGAGATCGACACCGATAATGCGTGTGATGACCTGAAGACCGCGGTCCTTGTAGTCCCTGTTGAGTGAGACATCTCGTTCGATGCGGACGGGACTAGGCAGGTCCTCGGGGAGCTTGTTCATCAGGGCCGGAGGTACAGCCCAGGGGATGAATACACCAGCATCGGGCTGAATCACTTTGAAGTTCTCATGTCGCCAATCCGAGTATCGCTCTGAAAACTCACTCTGGGCCTCTTTGGCTCCAATTTGCGGCTCCTTGTCGACAACTGCCTGAGGAACAGGATGGTATTCAGCCTTGTGATATGTGATTCGCGCGCGTGAATGCAACATGTCCTTGAGTGGCGTCATCGTCATATTGAACTGAGGGACCATACAGTTGACTATGTCCTCGATCAGTTTGTAGATGTTGCGGTGCTTGACTGGGTGCAGATTGTTGATGTACGACACAAGATGCCAACGGTCATCGTCGCCCAGCTCCAAGTCGGCCGGCAGAAGCTGGAAATTCAGATTATACGGTTTGACCTGGATGTCTGATCGCGACTTTACTCGCCAGGCCATGTCTTCTCGAGTGATGCCCGTCTCTCTGGGCGGGGGGATCACTTCGCCCTGACCGACGGCTCCTAGGGCTTCATCTAACCCGATGACCGTATCCACAAGAATTCGACTTTTGCCGTATACAAGGGGGTATAATGCGATGGCCAGGAGATCTCGCTGTTTTCCCACAGTTCCCGGATGGTGGAATTTCAACTCGGCGTCATCATAATCCAAGACTTTGGTCTCCTTTGCCAGTCTTTCAACGAGTGATCTGGGGATATTTGAATCGGACTTGGTCATGTCCCCGTTGTACAGAGCGACAGCCTGGCTTGTTTCGTAGATCATCGCTTTGAACTTGAGCTCGTCGATGATCCAGTTGGCCATATTGGGGGTGATGTCCTTTTCACCATTCAATGCTGATGCTTTCCATTCTTCATCGATACCGGGATCTTGAACCTGTGGCGTCGGAAATCCAGTTAACCACCTCGGCTTAACAAATCGTGGGTTTCCCTTTTACCTTGATCCACCATTCAGGAATGTCAGTCAACTCTTCCATTACGCGGAGCATTTCGATCTCACGAAGAGACTGGACGGGCAATCTGTTTTTGGGTGATCGAGTCAGCTTCCTTCCATCCCAAGCTTCGCAGATCCATACTCGGTGTATCCATTCTCAATATCTCTGTCATCCAAGGCGGATGGAAACATGCTCCGGCTCTCCACGCCGTAGATGTTCTTCTCCATCGGTGCATAGTCCAATGGTCGGCCATATCCGGGAAGGATGAACCGGGAATCCTTGTTCTTGGAGGCACCGATGAACTCCTCTTCGTTGGCACGATGCTGGAACATTACTGCGAAGGTCACAAAAAATGGCTGGAGAAGACTATAGTTTTGAAAGCGATAATGATAGACCCCGACCAAGCAATGTCAAGATCGGAGAAAGTACCCACAAAAAATGAAGAAAAAGACGAGAAAAAAAGTACTCGAAGCTATGAAGCTACGAAAAAGTACAAGAATGGGCCAGCGCGAGTACCTTAGTGCACAATGATGTACTGCGGTCGTCGTTAACTCCTTAAGTATGGGATAATCTACCAGCGCTATTACGCCCGGCAATGAAAGGCACGGAACTCTATTCCGAAGGTCAATGCCAGACTTCTGGCACTGGAAAGATCAGCATGTCGAATTCAGGCTGGTGGTCATAGTGACCGAATAGCCCGAGTTACCGTGGAAAGGGAGAGGCCAATTGCACACCGAAGAGATCGTTTCTAACAACCCGAAGAAGCATGCCTACGCAACACAAATATTCTTCAACGAAGCAGTCTCTCTACTCTTATTGACACGGTTATTGAGTATCGACGGAGACAATGGTATGTCAAAACTCCTGAAACTAGCCACCCATCGAAAAACCACAGAGTAAACCCCGGAATCACGATGCGGCTTCAGCCGGCTCCAAATACTCCTTGACAATGGACCAGTAGCGCTCCGGTTGCGCTCTCATGTGGCCAACATGCGGCGTTCCTTGAAACTTCTCACGATGCACCACCCAGCCAGATGATTCCGCCTCAGATGCATGCTTCTCCACGTCACGCCAATCAACTAGATCATCTGCATCGGAGTAAATATAACAACGCGTGAGGACCCCCTTAGCATTGGCAGCCTGCATAAGGCTCGTATCATTGACTGCCTTGCGGGCGAGGCTAACCGCATCTGGAGACCGAGTGATTTTCTGGAAGATCTTGATCAGGACGAGCGTGATCCATAAAGCACTCTTCCCAAGCAGGCGGAAAATCCACAGCCTGGGAAGAGCGTAAGAAAAGGCCTTCATTGCGGCAGAGGTACTCGCAGTACCCGGAGCACTATCGATGATCATGGAAGAGATCGGCAATGGGGTCCCCGTCGCCTGGTGGTATGCCTTGAGCAAATGAGTCGTGCCGAAGAGACCGCCGTTCGAGAAGAGGTGCATAAACACGGGAGTCTCAGGGGTCACGGAGGCGCGGAGGGCTGCTACTGCAGGCCGGACTCGGGCCTGTTGCGCACTAGCTGTGGAACGGAAGAAGAAGTCATTCGAGGAGCTGCGAATGAATATGATTCGTGCGGAGGGTACCATGCGTCTGTATTCGACGACATACTTGGCGAGTGCGCGGGGCGGAGCGTTCATCCAGAAGGCGATGAAGATCACCGGTCGACCATCTTGCGTAGTTATGTCCGTTGGGTCTTGTATGTAGACTGACGGTCCCAACTTGGTGAATAATGCCAATGGATTGGGAGGAGAAGTTACAGATTCTGCTGCCATGATGGACGTCGTAATGACTGGTTTGAAGATGCTCGGCTTACATAGACCGAGAGGAAGTCTTCGGCCCCGGCGATCGCCGGGCTACCAAACGGTTCAGGAGGTCAGTGGTCAGTGTATACGATCCGATGCACAGTATTTTTTCCCAATTCCTCTTAATTCAGAGGTAAGGGAACCATCTAACCTGTGAAATTTGCTCCAGAAATGATCGGTACAAACCCCATTGGATATCTTATTAGTCTATACTTCAGTCTTGGTCCAAAGGCCTTCTCCGCGCTTAAGCCGAGGTTCGGATCGTGCTCAGCTTAGAAATTACGAATTTCTACTTCATAGAAGTTGAGACTACAAAATGGATTGATAAAAACGTAAAATAAGTATATAATATCTTGCAGGCTCTGAAATAAGAATAACACCCAAGAACGCCTAATCCTCGCTATGCCAGCGTAACGAAATTCCCCACCATGCGATCTGGAAGCTCTCGTTTCTAGAAATTTTCATGGTATCGTGCAAGATTGATAGTTCATCAAAAGCTGCAGACTGCAAGCAGGTTTACCGCTTGGTGCTCCCAAGAGTACGGCCGCTGGCCTTGCCCTTTTGGCCGTCAGCTTCGCTCCCCGACGTGGGAGTTGCCGATCCACCCGTGTCCATTTTCTTTCCGCGGAGTGTCTGACCGATTCCTTGGAATTTGGGCTGGTCCTCAGGAACCACCTGCCCATTCTCATCACGAGGCTTGGGTGGTTTGATCGCGTATCCGAAGAATAGCTGGTTGGGAGGTAACCGCAGAGGTTGGGGGCCATTGGTCCTACGGACAGGAGGGGGATGTTGAGGGTTTGCAGTGCCGGGTGTGGGTGTGCTCGCCTTCGGCGTAGGAGCTTTGCTGCCCTTTTTCGCGTTAAGACGCTGACCCTCGGACAAGAAGTTGGAGGACACAGCTCGGGCTCCGGCGGCGACGTCGGTGGACTCGGGCGCAATGGCGGCATAGTTGATAGACTGCGCCATACTTCCCTGGGGATGTAGCAGTCCACCCGAGGGAAGCTTGCCTCCACTGATAGCACTCCCAGGTGTGCTGGTGCCACTGGTCCGCTGTGGCTCTTCGTATCCAACTGGCGCGGCAAAGTCAACTTCCAAGTCGGTTTCCAAAACCGAAATCGCATTTTTAGCCCCCGAGGGCTTAGTCTCCAGGACAGCCATCTCGTAGACTTGATCATTGTAGGAAAACGTGAACACATCGCCCTTGGTAAGACAGGAGAAGTTCCGAAACGCGTTTTCGAGAACGGCTTTTGGGTCGCTGATGTCAAGGAACGCCGTGGACTGTGCTTGGAGCTTGATGAACTGGCCAGGGGGAAGATCTGTAGACTTGATCTGGAGGAGATCACCGGGCTCTAAGAGCAACGTTTGCATGAGCTGTCAAACCGAAGCTGTTGTCAGTACGTGCCATAGCCAGCAAATCAGCAAGGAAAGGATACTCACCCAGAATGGTAGGTAGATTTTGCCCTCCTCGGCAATAAACTCAAGGACACCTGCATGTGTCATTCTCTCCTTGGCCCCATTGTGTAGCTCAAACAGCATAGGGTATGTGATGTGAAGGCGTGTAAGCTTGTCCAGAGCACTGGGCGGCATGATAACCTTGCCACCATGATTCACATTCTCACGCTCGGGACCCGGCAGCATAGCGACGGGATAACACCGATAGTATTCATCGAAGCGACGAGGTGCTGCACCTGGCCGCATCATACCGCCACCAAGCACACCTTCCATAGGGTCGTCGGACCAATAGTCGGGTCGAAACTGTAGCTGTCAGAGGGAGCTCCTACAGGGAGACGGAATGGTCCAATGAGACTTGAAGCTTACCATGGTCAAATCAAAGTCCTGAGTTGAAGCAGGGTGGAATTAAAAGCTTGGTAGAGAAAGAAGCTATGTCAAGAGATAAAGGCCACTACTGTGGGGGGAGTTGCGGCGTTGAACATTCCGCCCGGCAGTGACGCAAGGTCGTTTTGCCATGATTTTCCGCTCCGACCCCAGATGCGGCAAGCAAACCAGACAGTGTCGCAAGCTTAACAGCTACAGCTCTATTTTGGCCTATCTTTCCTCCTTGGTTGGCCTTGTTTCGAGGACCATGGCAAGCTCATATCCCATCCCTAAGCGGGCTGGTGAAGATTTCACTCGCACCCACCACGACCAAGATGACCTTGAAGGTCCGGATAGCAAGAAACCCCGATTCGATCTTCGCAACCCCTCCGCGCTCGCGCCCGATACTCTCGATGAAGACCAGTTCCTAGATGCTGACGAGATTGGAAAACGAGGTCAAAAAGTGCGTCGCAAAGCAGTCAACATCGACGGGTACGATTCGGACAGCGAGAATGAGGGGTTCTCAGCTCGCATGGAAGAAAAGTCGAAGCGCAAGCTCGAGAAACATGACGCCGAGGACGACGATATGTTCGCCGAGCTACAGGAGGACTTTGGCGAGGAAGAGATTGACGCCGACGAAGCAATGCGCAAGAACAAGAAAAATGTCCGCTTCTTGCGAGATGATGAGATCGAGGGCCAAGATGCATACTCAAAGGGTGGAAAAGCATTGCATGTGGACTTGAGCAAAGGCGCGGATGAGATAGATACCGAGGAAGATGAAGAAAGTGAAAGCGATGTCGGGGAAGAGGAGCGCGCCAAGATCGACACCGAATTAGACGAGGAGCTCGGTGCAGGTGCAAAGAAAAAGAATGCGCCCCTGCTTGACGCTTTCAACATGAGGGCCGAGCAGGAGGAGGGCCGTTTTGACGACCAGGGCAACTTCGTTCGCAAGGCTGTCGATCCAGATGCTGTCTACGATTCCTGGTTAGAAGGACTATCCAAGAAAGATATCAGAAAGGCAAAAGAAGCCGCAGAGAAGCGCGACGAAGAGAGGAAGGAGCAGGATCGTATCAATGACAGTGTTCTGACAGCGGATGTCTTGACAACTATCATCACACATCTTGAGCGCGGCGAGACGATACTGGAAGCCCTGGCTCGACTAGGAAAAGGCCTCCAGCGAAAGCCCAAATGGCAGAACAAGAAGAAGAATAAGAAGAACAATGCCCCGGAAGACACCGAGATGACAGATGAGAACCCCGACGAAGCCAACAGACGGAAGGCGATCGACTCTCTTACCGGCGCTGCGGATATACTCATGGGTCGAGGACAACCTGAAATCTACGATGCGGAACGCGAGCTCTTGACTCGGCAATACCGCAATGAGACGGGCGAAAATTGGGTCGATCCACCGACCATTTCAGACAACGGCGAGTCAGAGCAAGGACCTACGATGTGGGAGTTCCGATGGGCCGATGCTCGCGATGGCGGCGATGTCCATGGCCCTTACGACAGCGCCATGATGGAATCGTGGAAGGGCGCTGGCTACTTTGGAGAAGGCGTGGAATTCCGCCGAGTTGGGGATACGGGACCATGGAGCCAAGCAGTGAGCTTTGTGTAAGATGTTTATGCCAACAGGGTCTCAATCCATTCCAAACACAAATAAAAAAAGCACGAATGTCACCTCAACAAGCGCCAGTCCTATCATACATCATCTGATGTGGCAGAGAAAAAAACAAGTAAAACACCCTAATCCAGTGTAGTTTTTGTTGGAAGCATCCGCGTTGGTTCATATTAAGCCAGTGAAACATGAGTCACGGAGACAAGCTGGTATCTCCCCATTTATGAAATCTCCATCGCATCACCGTTGGCGGTAGCAGTGAAGTCGACGACTCCTTGGTCACCGATGAATCGTTGCTCATATTGGTTAACAAACTTGACACTTCGACCAGGGTCGTAGAATAGCCGGAAGCTGCGCTGAACGTCGTCGATGCTAACCTCCTTGGCCTTGCGCTTCTGGCTCAAAAGATGCGACGTGGTGATGATGTTGCTCGCGTAGCGAAGATTTGATTCTTGACCGATCTTAGTCAGGAGGGCTAGAGCGTCCGGCGAAACATCAATCTCCTCCTCCTGGGCGCGAATAGCTAGGATTTGGCGAATCTCATCGGCAGAGTATGCCTGGGTGCTTACGATGACTACCCGATCAAGGAAGTCAAGGGGCAGTCCATGAGGAGATGTGTATGAGGTACCGCGAATCTTAGCCTGGCCGCGGTTGCTTGCCATGATGACGATGGGCGCGAGCTCGGCCTCCAGGGCGCGGTTGATGTAGGAGAAGCATTCAATGTCCAGCATGTGGACCTCGTCGATAAAGAGCACACCGGGAATAATCTCTGCCTTGCCCTCCTCCTTCCACTCTGCCACCTTGGTATTGATCTGGTCACGGACCTCGCTGCGGATCTCGCCGGTGTCACCAGAGAACAGAGCCAAGAATCCTTGTGACCGCGAGTTGATGACATCGATCTCATGCAGACTGACGGTGTGGACGATCTCCTTACGAACCTGCAGCTCTCCCTCGGGGCACTGAACAAACTTGGTGTCGGCACCCATCGCGTCGTAGTCGCGCGAGCGAGCGTAGGAGCGGCCGAGCTTGGTGATCTTGCCAGACGACTTATCGATCGAGATGACATCGCCTGCCATCACTCGTTCCTTGGTCATCGAGTCGATCATCTTGGTGCCCATGTCGTAGATTGTTTCCATGTCGGTGGTTTTAATTGTGAGCTTTCCTTGTTTATTGCCCTGTATCTGTCAGTATGCGCCAGTCTATTGATGAGCTCAAACTCGAAGTTCCACGTACCCCAGTGACGCTACGGTCAATCTGAATCTCCACAACTTCACCCTCGATGATCTCGCTCTCCTCCTTTATCCGGACCCCGATTGATTTCCGGAAGGCCTGCGTGAGAGCCTCTGTTTTGGACATCTCCATCGAGAAGATCTCCGACGATGCGAGCATTGTGAAAGGGACATCGGATCCCAGCGACTGAGACATACCCATTGCGATCGCAGTTTTGCCAGTGCTAGGGGGTCCAGCAATCAGCACGGCGCGACCCGCGATCTTGCCCTCCTTGACCATCTGCAGGATCACTGCCGCAGCTTTCCGAGCCTTCTCCTGGCCCACGAGGCCTTGAGAAGTACCCCGGGGTTGTAAAGAGTCTGCATCGACACCCAGGCCTCTAATATGCGAATGAGCGGCGATGAGGTTGAGACCTCGGAGCTCCTTGCTCTCCGCAACGGTGGAAATTGGCTGTCCGGAGCCGACGAGTCAGCGTGAAAACCAAAGGGACAGGAGATATAACTTACAGCAGCCATTGTAATTGAGTCTTGAAATATCTGACTCTGAATTGGGGATGGAAGACCAGGGTCAAAAAGCACCAAAGCTCCTCCGAAGAAACAAAGAGATCGCGGATTGGGAAGCGCACGGTTCCCACCGCCCGGCAGTAAAACGGTCAAAGAACTAGGCTTCACTTCACCAGACAACTTGAAAGTAAAGTATCAGGTCGTCGTTCTCGCTGTGACCCCTTTATGGCGAGTTGTCTCTCTCAGATCATACCCCCCTGAAACTAGCTATAACTTCTCGGTTCCCGCCGAGTCCTCTCGCAAGTCCTCTCGCTAAGTCCTCACCGCATCGCGTCCTCAACACGCGTTTGCGTTGTGCGTTCAGCGCGTTAGCATTTTCCCGATGAATATTGCTAGCTGGCCTAGGATCCCAGAAGTCTGTGGTGTTCACTATCTGTTCAAGCAGGACTTACTACTGGCTGCTATGTAAACATCATGAGGTCCAAGCCTTCGCCTTCATGACCAGTCCAGTATCCAGCATCATGGACATTGCCGCAGGAAACCATTCCCCCTCCACCTTCAACCCCGGACCACAACACCCTTCGGCAGACCCCCGCCTGGGTCGCGTCGCTCAGAGACCTTCCATTACCACCTCATATCCTCCTCCCCCTCAACAGAGGCCGACAATAGCGGAGACTCCAGGTTCCTCTCACATCCCAGAACTTGTCAACCAATCGGTGGATCAAGTATCAAACACGGATGTCTCCGATCGGAGCCGAGACTCTATGTCGCCTGTCGACCACAATGCTCCCTCTGTCGACCTTAGTCACATAGTACCCATTCTCATGAGGTTCTCGGAGCTCGCCGCCATTAAAGGACTCAAGGAGAAGGAGAAGGCTTTATTGCAGAATGAAGGTGCTTCTATCAAGCGACGCCTGGACAAGGCCAGGTCCAAAGACGCGTACCCGGTTGTGATCGAGAATATACAGGCAGAAGAAGAAGTCTCTCAATCCAAAGTACGCAAACTTCAGCATGATATCGACGAGATTGAAAAGACACGCCAACGGATGGCCGAGTCTCTTCGGGGCTTTTTGCGCCAAACGCCGCTCCCCGTTTCATCCTCCTATCGTACGCCGACCTCAGCGCTCGGCGAATCCTCCGACAGCGAGAAGATTGCCGCCCTAGAAGCCGATAACCAGCAGATGAAGGCCGAGCTGCGGGAGCTCAAGGAGCTGATCGTGCAAAAAAGCCCTGAGATTCCCACTGGCATGCAGGCTCAACTTTCTAAGCTTGAGAACTCAGTCAATAGCCAGTCCATGAGTAACCATGGCACTAGCAAGAGAATTCGGAGACTCGAAGAATGGAAAGAGGGGGTGGAGAATGGGATGATCCAACCACATCTACATGCGCCTGAGAGGGTCATGTCTCAGGCTCCAGATCTGGAGCCACTACGGCAAGACATAGAAAAGGCCCATGGGAAAGCCGCTGAAGCGCAGGAAAAGGCTCAGGCAATGGGTGATCGCGTCATGGCCCTCCGGCGAGATTTGCAGTATCTCAGAGACCATTTCGATCGAGACTTATTTGCGCGACAAGAGTTCGAGAAGACGCTCAATGCCGTGAAAGAGTTTATCGAGCAGGGCTCAGATCTCAAGCGCAGACTGGAATCCATCGAGAAGGAACGCCTTGAGCTCAAGGACGCAGTCGCCACCGCCAGAGAGGCCAAATCCAAAGCCGAGGATCTGGACATGCGATATACGACATATACCGATAGAAACAATGGGAGGATAGCCCATCTTGAGTCAACAGTTCGACTATTGGAAGCAAGCGACAAACGTGCCTCAGATGTTGAACCTTCTCGACCCGCAGAGGCTCTTGGGAGTGTCAAGGACAGCATTGAGAAGGTGGAAAGCAGTCAACGCTCACTGTGGAACAATGTCAACAAGCTGATCTTGGACATGCCTCAGGTACTTGAATCTTCTAAGCAAGTACAAAAGTGTCTCTCTGGAAATGAGTCCCTTATGACTGCTGTTCGATCTTTGGAACAACGCTATTCCAACATCAACACCGAATATCTGGTGAAAAACATGGCCGCTGCAATGATGGAGATGTATCCCTCCATGTCGCAGACCATTGAGCAAGTGAATCAGCTCAAAAGCTATTGTACGAAGGAGATTACTGCACTCAAGACAGCAACGCAGAATGTCGACCTCGCATCCTTGGAATCTAAGATGAGCCAGCTCCGCACAGAACTCGCCAACAAGCTGCTTCACCTTCAAAACAGTGTCTCTGACCAGGCCAAGAGTATCAATGAGCAGCTGGAGGAGACTTGGGAGTTGAAAAACAAATTTCAGACCCAGTCTGATGCGTTCTCGGAACTCGGTGAATCTATCCCACAAGCGCTACAACAAGCGGAAAGAGTGACCGAGGTGTCGACCAAGCTGGAAGCGTTGTATGAAGACCTTGCATCGCTGAAAGCTAAATTCGAAGCTCAAGATGTCACGGAAAAGGTGTCTGGGCTCTCAAAACAGCTCGAAGCCTTGTCCAAGAATGTTGATCCCCCGAGCGTGAAGCAAAATGGACCCGAGGTGGTGAACAAAGTCACTGAGATCTCAGAAAGGCTTACGGACCTGACTGCCAATTACCAACTTCTGGAAACGAGGCTGATAACACAAGAGCTGGCCGACTGGAAGGAGGTGGATGAACTCAAATCTGGCCATGGAAATCTCATTGAAGAGCTAAAGGCCGTGAAGACCAGGGTGAAAAGTCAAGATGACACAGAGAAGATGATCGCGGTCTCTGAAAACCTCAAATCTCTTTCCGATGACTTGAAATCTCTGCAAACCAAGTTTGATGAAGAGCTAGGGTCACTGAAATCTCGCGTGGATAATTTGGGACACAACGAGGAGCTGAGTAAGCTTAGGAATGAGCTCCTGACTCGAATTGATAAATTGCAAGCGGCGGCTCAGTCAGGTTCTAATCGCAATGCCACTGGAGACGATGCGAGCGAACGATCAATGCTCAACCATCCGGGTGTCTGCGGCTCCCTTGGGGATCACTATCGAATCCTTGGTAGCGCAACCCGAAACCAGAATGAACATGGACATGTACTAGACATGCCGTCCACCTTACGCCCTGGAGGAGATGGACCAATTACAACGGCTGACTCGTCCGTGCCATACTTTGACGCCGTCTCGGAACATGCGAGGGATAGTTTGGAGGAATCGAGTCCTTGTCATCGAAGTGAACAGTCTGTCTCGGAAGACGAGCTCAGCTTTCGGCCCAATCGGCCAGCTGCAACTACCGATACACCAATGGGGTTACGGATCACGGAGAACGAGAACGGCTATCACGAATCACGATCGTTCAACAAAAGTGTTCGCCAATCGACCCCTTCGGACGTTTCGCATGACCCAGATGATCAGCCCTCTCCTCAACCCGCGACGAGCGAGGTACCCATGGCGTATCGGATCACCGAGAACGAGAGGGGTCAGACCGAGAACGGGATGTCTAGGAAACGTCCCCGTCAAGGAACTGCTTCGGAGGATGAGCGTCGGTCTCGGGCTCGTTTCGCCAATGGTACTGGGGCCCCAGCTCCCCCCATATCGGCATTCGCAAAGAAGGCGAAGAAAAAGCAAGAGAAAAGGGAGAGAAAGGAACAGAGGAAAAAAAACAGACAGAGTTTGCCTCACTGATCTTGCATTCTTCTTCCCAGCTCTGGAGGTCTATCGTTATGATGGCTGCGCACTTAACACCCCCTTACACCTCTTTCATGTTATATTATCTATGAACAAATCACGTTGTAGTGAATCTTCAGCCACTGCTTTCTTTTTCTATAATCTATAGTACATTGTACAGGTAATGCTAGGATGGTCCTAGGAATTTGAGCACCGCTTCAAAGGAATTGTCAGGGTTTTTCTGAAAAAATCGGGGAGGGGAGTCTCAATTACCTTGTCGGAATGCCTCGGGGTTTTCAGAAATAAGCCAATGCCCAGCATCCACATCTGCAATCTGAGCATTCGGGAAGAATTTCTTGATCGCCGGGATGGTCTCGTCGGTGACATATCGGGACTTGGTACCTCGAACAAAGAGCGTAGGCCCTTTGTATTGCTTACCGTCCGCTTCGGAGAAGGGGAAATCTGCCATGTTATCGAGTGAGTCGCCAATGGTAGACAGTGGCACGCGGAACTTTAGCGTATTGTCCTCCTCCGAGCGGACGAGGTTGGTCAAAAGGAATTGTCGGATTGGGAGGGACTAGGTGTCATGTTAGTCAAGAATAATATCCTGGGGATTGGAATATGAATCCTTCTTACCTCTTCGTACTCCTCGAGAATCTTGTTGGCGTCGGATTGCTTGGATACCCTGGCCTCTTCTACGCGTTGCATGCCCCGTACATACTTGGGAAAGTCACTCTTCAGCGCAGCATTGACGGGAGCGTTATCAACGGGGATTAGACCCGAGACGCGCTCTGGAGAGCGAAGTGCCACCGTCATCGCGGCTTTGGCGCCCCTAATTTAAAGTTAGCATCTGGGAACGAGAGGATGCTGTGCGATAAAGATAAAGTGAAGAAGATATTGAGGGCGGACTTACATAGAATGACCAATCAGGACGCATTTGTCTAGCTTCTGCTGCTCGATAAATTCTTGAACATCCTCAGCCATGACGCTGTAGTTGTGTTCCGGCGCATGGAAAGACTGTCCATGATTGCGCAGGTCCTAAAGAAGACGAATCAGCATCGTGAATTCCTGTTGCTATTGTTTTCGGCAAATAACCTGGACGCACCAAATTGTAGATGCGACATTTCAAGTCTCTCGCCAAGGCTCTATCCAAATGTTAGAAGGTATTTCTTTTTAAACTTTGCTGTCACAAACACACTTGCTGATGCTGCGGTTGTTCTGCTTAGACCCGAATAATCCATGCAGGAACAGGATTGGATCCCGAGACCCGGCCTGCTCGTTCTCAGGGCCATAGACCTGATAGGAAAGTTCGGTACGGTAGACTCGCGCCGTTGAGAATACACGAAGCCCGAGTGAGCCTCGCACGGATGCCCGAGCAAATAGCATGATGTGACCGGCGACGTTCAATGTTTATCGGAGAACAGAGAACGGTGGCCGTAGATGTTCTTGCGATCGGGAAACCCGGCGAGGCTGACTAAGTAGTGCTCCGCCCGCGGAATCCATCAATGAAATGAGATGCTGAGGAGCAAGATTTGTGTCTCCAAATCGACTTAGGTCTCTGGAGGTAGTAAATTTAAGACAGACTCCTGTGTCTATTCACTCATTTCAAACCCTATGGTGGCTTCATAAATAAGGACCAGCTAGGAAATTGAGACGTATTCCTGTTAGATCAAATTGTATATATATTCGGGTAAGAAGAGCTTAACATCTGTTGGACATTGGACAATGTGAACTTGGTCCTATCACGTCCAGAATTCCTTATCTTGACAGAATCCATACAATCATTCATCTAAGTATCTATCAGCAGCCAACCTTGATGAACTTGTTAGCCAGATTGGAAATGCCAAGACACGACGGGGAGAAGGACACAGGGATTGGAGGGATGGCGGTCTGTGCATTCGAGGAGAAATGGGGCCGATGTCATCGACGATGACAAATGCTGCTACTGAACTACAAACTTGAGCATTACGTGTCGGAGGCCACTTGGAAACTTAGCAAAATCATCTCTTCACTCAACAATGTCTAATCAGGGGCAACCTTTCACGATCGCAGTTCCCGAGGAAGAATTGCAGGAACTTCAACAACGCCTTCGATTAGCCAAGTTTGCATCTCAGCTCGAATCACCAGAGAATGACCCATGGGATTTCGGCGTACCAGTTAGCGAAGTGCAGCGACTCGTGAAATACTGGAAAGATGGTTTCGATTGGCGGAAAGCAGAATCTCGTCTGAATGAGCTACCGCATTTCCGTACTGAAATTGAAGTCGATGGATTTGGGGTATTGGATATCCATTGTAAGATTTCTCTGGTATATGAATACCTGATGTTTTCCCGCTAATATAACCGTACTGCAGTTGTCCACCAGATCAGTCCTGTCAAGGGCGCTATTCCCCTTCTTTTTAGTCATGGATGTAAGCTAAGTTACGACTCGCTTTGGTTATACAGCTGATACTGATGTGAACACCAGGGCCTGGATCTTTTATCGAGGTGACCAAGCTTTTGGCGAGACTCAAATACGAGAATGGACATCCAGCATTCCACGTCGTGGCTCCATCACTCCCAAACTTTGGATTCTCCTCTGGAGTGAATCGTCGTGGATTCGGCCTTGGGCAATACGCTGAAGCTCTGCATAAACTTATGCTAAAGCTAGGCTATAATCAATACGGTGAGTCCTTAGCTAAATCTTTCAAAGGTCTAGACGGTGCTAGTATTGACTTGTGTTGTAGTCACACAAGGTGGAGACTGGGGGTTTTGGATCACAAGAAGCATCGGCCTTCTATATCCCGAGCACTGCAAGGCCTCACATGTCAACATGATTGTCGCTCAACCTCCTAAGTGGAGTTCTAGCCCTTTCCTCGCTCTGCAACATGCCATCACACCCTATACAATGCGAGAGCGGGATGGACGCAAGAGATCTGAATGGTTCGATCAAGAAGGATACGGGTATAACATGCTTCAAAGCACCAAGCCGCAGACCATCGGTGCTGCGCTTGCAGACAGCCCAGTCGCTTTGTTAACCTGGATCTATGAAAAGCTTCACGACTGGACGGATTCGTACCCCTGGACCGTCGACGAGATTTTGACCTGGGTTTCCATCTACTGGTTCTCCAAAGCGGGACCTGATGCAAGTGTGCGCATCTACTATGAAGCTTTACATGCCGAGTCGGTATCTGGGATCACATACGATCGATTAAGGTCCTATATACCAGATGTGAAGCTCGGTCTTGTTCATCTTCCCCGGGAGATTTCGGTCGTTCCGTCGACATGGGCTGCCGCGTTGGGTCCGGTCGTAAGACAGAGTGAGCATACGCATGGAGGTCATTTTGCGGCATGGGAGGTTCCGGATGCTATCGTTCAAGATCTCTGGGCGATGTTCGGCGAAGGAGGCCCTTGTTATGGGGTCGTTCTTAACAGAAACGGGTACTGAATAACCCGTCGTTCAGACTGTCTAGAACGTAATGTAAGGAAGTCCAAGACCTGAGAGTTTTTATTTTTTTTTCATATGCATTTATTGTGTCAATCCTCTCAACTTCATTTGTCAAGCAAGTTCGTGATCGCAAGTGACAGGGGTGCTACAGTACTCTGAAATTTGTCTTCGCTCTGGAGTCATTGAAGGAAAGAGAGGCGCGACTAGGCATCTGGCTAACCTTATATCGATAGGGGAATAGTATCGTTTCGTTGGGGTTTGCTCCAGAATTCATGATCGAGGATAATCATCTAATCTGTTTTGAGGAGGAATCTCTGCAATTCCAACAAAGCCCTTACATATCCCAGGATCTCTGACATCCTCGAATTAATGCCGTGCCTCCCGAGTCCTGGGGCTGGGATTCGGCATTTGTACTGACGTTGATCACGGCAAAGAGAGAAAAGGGCAAGGGATCTTGCTCTCGAGCCTTCTCTAGGTTGCAGCCAGATATCATCATCCGATCGCCACATTCATATTTTTCTTGTGATTCGAAGCTACGGAATAGCATGGGAGCTGGACTCGCTGGACTCGCTGGACTCGCTGGACTCGCTGGACTCGCTGGACTCGCTGGGCTGTTGGCGACCACACGCAGGCGACGTTAAATAGCGCATTTGATACCAGTCTGTTCAGTATATTCCTGCACGTAGAGAGACATACCCCACTTCCATGACGGGTATCATTGTAGCAAGGTCATGCCAGCGCCTTGTCCAGCTCATAGTTATGGAGAAAAACCGGTCGCACACGTTGACAAAGTCACTCAACCCAAGCAAATAGCGTTCAATTGTGAAGCTGCTACAGCCTTGATGGTGCACTCGTTCGAATAGGAAATTTGGCTGAATTTGATGAGTTACAATGTCGTATCCATTCTCAAAAATCAGGGTTTATGCCCGGAATATGGCCGACTGAAGCCGAGTATAGCGGGGGTAGATCGACACAGCAGAAAGATCTGCAAGATAATAACTCAACAAGGCCGCGAGTGCTCGTAGCTGAATTGCCCTCACCTTGGGCGGAAGACGGGCTCTCTTCCGGACGTGCAACGGCTGCTGTTGGTATCCACTTGCCATGCAATTGATTGCGACCGAGGTGTCATATTTACATTTTCCCCATCGGACTGGTCGTCTTCGGCCGTGCATGGGTGAGCCTGCCGAGCCCCGACGCTATTAGCGTTTTAGTCGACTTGCAGTCAATATCTCGGTAATCTAGAACCTGATTGGTTCCGCTACGCCGGAGAGGCGATGAAGAAACTGCACCGTCGGCATTTGCCTGAGATGTGGATGTGGGGTTTGGACGACCATCGGGCTCATGCGACTTGTCGGTCCTTTCTGGAAGATCTTGTTGTGTACCCAGGAAATGTACATTGTGTTTAGAATTTTCCCTGAGCGGCTCTATTGGCCCCTTGCGGAATCTATTGTTAAGGATCTTCTGGGGACGGGGTCTAACCGTTGGATGAGAATCGCTCCTCGCTTGTTCATTTCTTGGCGATGGATGATGGGATTTCTTGTTTGCTGCCATTCAGGCTCACTATTTACAGCCAGTCTATTCAATACCCACAGGACAGTGGTTGTTCTCTATCAAATTATGCGTTGTTTGCGCGATAAATGTGAGATGGATTGCTGTGCAGCATAATAATTAGGTCTGCGGTGCATGATGTGATACGTCCAAGAGCCGCGGTCACGATCGCCCCCAACCATCCATTGTGACATGAAGATGGTGGCAAGATAAGTAGCCCAAGGCCAAAGCACACAAAAGAGAGTTAAGAAGAGACCCGTGTGGCCTTTATTGATCTTGAACCCTGCTTTGCAAAGTCTATCTCAATCCCCCCCCGGCCTGATCCGCTTGGACGATTGGATGAGCGCCTTTTTCAGTATACTTGAGTATACTCCCGATATGACAGATCTAGAGTAACACCAAAAGTTGTTCTCCCCACTTTTCCCCCTTCAATCCAAGGCGACCTTATTTATACTAAGCTTAAGCGATTCCAAATAACTCGGCTGTTTATTCCAAATCATTTCGGCTGTGTTTTCCCTTGCTCTGCTTCCCCGGCTGCCTGTCATGTCGTCGTCTCAGCAATCTTCCGGCCACACGTGGACTGAGGGTGATTTTGAACATCCAAATGAGAAGATACGCCACTCTTTGATCGTGGCGCTTGTTTTTGCGTTTACTTTGCCTACGGTCGCTGTCGGTTTGCGTCTTTTGGCCAGAAGGATCACTGGAAGTAGGCTGTTTTTGGACGATTATTTGATCCTTGTTGCTTTGGTAAGGCGTTGATTCTGTCTTCTTGCCGAGAATAACCACTGACTTGAGCTGTTCATGATAGCTATTCAAATATGGATGCTCGATTGGCGTGGTCATTTGTGAGTAAAGGAGTTGCTCCGCGGAAATGGTATCAGATACTGACAGAAACATAGTACTTTTCAACGGCTTGGGATCCCATATCGAGACAGTTCCAAAAGAGAATGTCGAGCGCTTCTTCAAGGTAGGTTAAGTCATACCCCGGCTCTACTGGCTACGTGGAAATGGTAAATCTAACTTCCACCAGATTGGCTGGGCAAACCCATTCGTCTACACTGCCAACGTGATGTTCATCAAACTGTCAATCCTCGCTTTATATCGACGCCTATTCTCTACCAAATATATGCTCTTTGGCGTCTACGTCATGGGAATGGTGGTTATTCTGTGGGCTGTGAGCATCTGGGTCGCCGCCACTCTCAATTGCATTCCGGTACCCAAGTTCTGGGACCGATCAATTGAAGGAGCCTGCATCGATCCAGACAAGTTCTATTACGGCACTCAAATCCCCAATATTGTCTCCGATGTGATTCTTTTGCTTATGCCACAGGGAGTTGTCTGGTCTCTCCCCGTCGCCAAGTCCCAGAAGCTCCTGCTGTCCTGCGTGTTCATGATTGGCGGACTGTATGATTCCCCGAGGTTACACTTCACGAAAGAGTTCGCATGCTAATGGTTGTACAGAGCTCTGATCTTTGATATTGTGCGTCTGGTGGCTATGCTTCACCTGACCCAGCAGGGAAATGATATCACCTGTAAGTCTTCTTCTCTTCAAAAACATCAATCTTCGCTTGCGTGCATAGACCTGACGATCCGGTGTAGATTACCAAATGCCCGTCGTCATGTGGACCTGCACCGAGGCGGGTGTAGGCATCATTGCGGCATGCCTGCCAAACCTCCGCCCGCTGTTCAAGACTGGAGGCCGTGGCTTCTGGTCGCAGCTTCGATCTTTCAGCCATGGATCCTCGAAAGCCCATTTGAACAGCGACAACACCGCTACTACGAGCTCGAGTGGGAGCAGAAGTTTGCGAAAGGGACCTGTTGATTCCTGCATCGCCGAGGAGGGGATTGAGATTCATCGTTACAGTACTATTATTGGTGAATCTGAAAAGTGAGATCTCAAATATGGTCCTCATGTCATCATCGATGTGATTGTGATGGAGGGAAATAAAGCAGATGCCATGATCTTCAGGGTCGGAAGAATACTGGCGACGTTTCTGTCATTCTTTTTTTTTTTTTCTGAGATACTCCCTTAAGCAGTACTATTTTAATTACTACGCCAATGGATTTCGTTAGTTAGTGTATGTACAAAAATCATAAAAGATAAGAATAATTTGAGCATTTTTTTCAAATTAGAAATATGACATAGATAAACCAATCATGAAACCATTAATAAGTAACATCAACGCCCATTATTACTCCAGCATTGCTAAGTTACCGTCTGGAACATCAAGGCTAACGAGACACAAACATCGCTCTTGAGTGGCCCGACCCTAGCTTGAAGGTTTGAAGGTGAAGGGCGGATAAAAAATGAACGAAGAGTCCTTCACACCGGCGTCAGGGGAATGCAAAGTCAATAGAATCCAATCTCCGTAGACCCCATAGGACAATACCTAACCCCCTATGTGGCAAAGTATCATTCAAATCATCGGAATAGGAACCAAAGAAAGTCTCTTTGAGGGTCCGGAGGAAGAGTTTATCGATTCCTGGGGCACGGGTGCTCGCTTTCCCTCGCTTCCAAGTGTCGACTCCCATATTCGCAGGCATTGATCGTGCGGGCCAGGTAGGGTAGTTTAATCCCACTTTCATCTCCAAGGAGGGGAAATACGGGATTTCACGCTCTTCTTTGGCAACACAGACCTGATTCGACGCTACCCGGTCCTGGAGAACGTGTGCGACTGTTTGAATCTCCTCTTCCACAACTTCATGCATATCTCTGAGGGGGGGATAGAGCAGACTCTCTTCAATTTCGAATTGACTCCAGTTCCAGCCGCCCCAGAATGATCCATGAGCGGTATTAGATTGCACAGGTTTAGAAGATGATGCGCGATAAAGGTCGGAGAATACCTGTAGACACCAGATCGCGCGGTGGACCCGATAGTCTTCGATCCAGGAAGACTGTGCCAGTCCATGTACCTCCCACCCTGAAGGCAGAAACGAACAAGATCCACTGGCAAGACGCAAGTTATCGAGCATTGTGGAGATGACCGCACAGGCAAGGCGTTGTACCTGGGCAGCTACTTCAATCATTTCTCGTAGGGTGTTCGAATGAGAAAATTGATCGTCCTTCCATGCCTTGGTAAAAGCAAGGGTAGGCTTTATACGCTCATGATACTCCTGGAATGATTTGCATTGAAAGCTTGCGGTACGTATCAAGGCTGACGCGCGGAAGAGCGAGTCGAGTTCCCAAGTATTCGAACACCCTGCTAAAAGGTCGTCGGTGATTCGAAGCGCGTTCGATCCAAAGATTTCTCGGACCCAAGGTGAGGCATGGAGGAGGCTGTCTACTCCGACAAAATCGGCTGTGTGATACAATATTACGAGCACTATCTCGGTCGGTAATTTGTAGAAGATATCCATATTCTGATGACAACTTGGTTGCCAGCGCAAGGAAGCAAGAAAGGAAGGGAATCAGTTCAATTGTGTCTATCTAAAGAACTGTAGGGAAAGAACACAGGGAAGGGCCTATATAGGCCAAACAAAGGACTGGTACTGGAGACAACCGGCATCCTCTGCAAAAGGAGGAAGTTAACAGCCGGTAAAGACCTCGGGGCAATGAGAGGATTACCGGCAGCAGACTCGATACAATACTCGATGCATAGGAGAAGATATATCTAGATATATAGAGGATATCTACAATGTAATATTCCAAGTCAAATTACATCACATCATAAGGCTATACTATATAGCTATATCCCATAGGTTTTACCTATCCAAGCATCTTCCTATTCGTTTACCTCTTGCTCATTGTTTACTGGATCCTCGGTCATATCCAAAAAGAGACGGTGATTCTACGTCAGAATTCTGCGACATAATTGGATGGTATTTTCGCGAAGGGAATCCGTAATGCTGCCACGAGAATGAAATTGGCCTTTTCGGGGATCTACAATAGGGACAGAAAGTTTGAGAACAAGCGGGCTATAATTTAGCGCGTTTTTATACAACTCGTTTGAGCTCCATTCTATTTCTTTCAACCATACTACCGTCGTTCAATGGTTTGGCACCGGAAAATTAGTGTGAATCGAAGACTAAGGATCCAAATATCTACAAAGCAGCGGTCGGCTATTATCCTTTGTTTAGAAGGTGGCGGATCGCCTAGTGCGCTTGCGGCTGAATTCGGATACGCACGCAGCGTAATGTACTCAATGTAGAACGCTTTCAACAGCACTGAACTACTAAATCTTTACCTCGTAGCGGTCGGTCTGAGACTACATACACTGGGTTTGAGGGGTATTTTGTTTATGTTGGGTGTTCATGCTTCCTCAGTGTCACTTGTCCTTCGAGTATCAATAACCCTCCAGACCTCAGAAAGAGCTTAGCCTTTTCGAATCCCTGTATTGATCCTCTCTCCGCTTATCTTGCTTCTCGGCCTTTCTCAAGAGAGCAGATTTCGCTAGACTATCTGCCATTACGTTCCGTTCTCGGGGCACAGCCCAAAATTTGACACAGATATCCTGTTCAAGGATTCCGATCAGCTGCTCAATCTGCTGGAAATAGGCATAATTAACGACTGGAGAGGCCTGGCACTCTTCCAGCCATTTTTCTTCCACTTTGGGAGCCATTCAGTCAGGCCCCGCACCACGTACTCGGAATCAGACTTGATCACAATTGCACTAAGGCGATCAACTGCGACCTCCCACTCTCTTTGGATAACGAGGGCATCAAATAGAGCACTCAAGCAAGCATGTAGCTCAGCTCTCTGGTTTGTGTGACGGCCATAGCTGTCCAAAGTACAGGAGACATTACGGCGGCTATTTTCGCCATGGAATACCCCAATTGGCGGCCGGGAGTCAAGTCGATCTCTAGACGCAGTGGTGAGGATGAGACAGATGAACCGCTGTCTTGGTCGAAGAGACATCCTGGGCCATGAGCAGAGGAGCTATGCATCTCTTCCACATGGCTGGAATCTCGATCGTCCTTTGCGGAGTCAGTATTGAACCAAGCAAAGAGAAACCAACAAAAAAGAAGGGGGTAAGAGCGAGGTGGATGTAGGTTTGAGGCTTGCCCCGAAATCCATCTGTGCCCACCCTTACCTTGCTAGAACTTGGGGTTTTTTCTCCCCTGTATCGTCTTTGCATTCCGTTTGGTCGATGGAGTAGGCACATCGATTTTAAGGGAGTTGCGGCAAAGGGGAAGATTGGAAATGGTCAGGCTGCCTCCCAATTGTCATTATAATGGGCAATCGTGGGAGCAACCCGCCTGAAAGGTGGAGGGGGGAGGTGCAGACGATACCATGTGATTTCCATTACAACTGCCAGTCGGAACGTAAGATTGGTGGACAGGAGGGGGTTATGTGACCTGTCGGCGACGTTCAATAATAATCAAATCGGACCACCTCAGGTGTCCTCTAATCACCGCCCTTTGAGATTATCTCTCTGTATTATATCATCATACGTATCTTGACATGCACTAGGGTTATTATAGGCCATGGAGATATAAATATACATATCTTTATTGCTCAAACGGAGTGTAATAATTGTAATGTTAGTAGATAATTGTTGTCTAGTGATTTTGGCCAAATCAAAGAATTCGAACCACTAAGGAGTGGTACAAAATTGAAAACTAAATAAGAATACGTTCTCGTTATTAATATATTACGACCTGAAAACTCGCGTTCACTCTGGTGTTTTGGGGCATCTCGTTCAGCAGGTAATTACCATATTTAGTTAGTTTGAGTACTGAATGATCTTCGCCGGTTGCAGGTCAACCTTGTGAGGCTCAACCAAGTGTTGGCGGATTTAATGTTCGGATACCGAAGATGATTGATGCAACGTCGGTTTTAATTGGTTTTCCAATCACGCTGAGCGAGCTGGACCCTGGCTCGGGATTCTCGTGTTGCTCGGAGATAATCTTCACCGGCGGGATATCTCCGCTCACGGTGGAATCGATACGAGAAAACCAAGGACCGAAGTGAACTCTCCAAATACTTAAAGAATGGCCATTTTCCGAGAAACGAGCTTGCCTTTAACCCCATAGTTCTCAATTTCTATCACCAACACGTAAAGTACACTTGATTACATTCTATCCTTCCAGTGAAATTGCATTTTCTCAATCATGGCTTCTAACTATATTACCAACGTTGCCATTGTCGGAGTATGCCATGCCAATATCCTGCACCAAAACCACATTGCAAGCTGGAATGCTAACATCTGACATGATAGGCTGGAGGCAACAGTGGTAGCTTCATGACTGACGCCTTGCTGAAAGCTGGAAAACACACCATTACCGCACTCACCAGAGAGGGTAGCCAGAGCAAACTCCCATCCGGAGTGATCTCCAAGACCATTGACTACGGCAAGATCGAGACCATTGTTGAGGCACTAAAAGGACAGGAGGCTCTGATCATCACAGTCCCAGGTCAAGCACCCGAAGACACGGAGCTGAACTTGATCAAGGCCGCTGCAGAGGCTGGCGTGAAATGGATTCTGAATGATTGGTGCCCCGACACGTTGAATGCGGACTTGGTTCGGGATGTTAATATTTTCCAGTTCAAAGGTGAGTATTGAGTTGGAAATTCAATGGCAAGCGAAAGAAAAGATTTTGACTGTTGCTATGTTTCCGCAGTGGCCTTCCGCAAGGCTATCAGTGACCTCGGGGTAAGTAACTATATCAGCGTGTCGACTGGCTTCTGGTACGAATGGAGTTTGGCAATCCCGGCGGCGTTTGGGATCGATCTGATTAATCGGACTGCGACGTTATTTGATGAAGGTGATGTCAAGATCACAACATCCACCTGGCCTCAGGTTTGAAACCCTATTGCCGAGTCACTTTTACCAAATTTTTCTGACCGTTCTAGGTCGGTCGCGCCGTGGCTGGGATTTTGAGCCTACCAACCAAGGCCGAAGGCTCTGAAGCATCTCTCGAGAACCTCAAGAATCAGGTCATTTATGTCAAGTCTTTCACTGTCAGCCAGAAGGACATGTTGGAATCCGTGTACCGAGTTACCGGAACCACAGAAGCCGACTGGACCATCACCAAAGAGTCGTCTATTGAGCGGTATACCAACGGCTTGAAGGAGATGTACGAGGGGAGTCGCAACGGATTTGCGAAGATGCTTTACACTCGGGTGTTCTACCCGGATGGCTGTGGTGATATAGAGCACAAGGGTACGATCAACGACCTACTTGGTCTGCCAACGGAGGATATCGATGCAGCGACGCGGGTTGCCGTTGACCGAGCCAAGACCCATCCTTGGAGCTGAAGCACTAGAAATCTGGAGGAGATCGGAATGGCTTCATGGCGATGGAAATCGGATTGGATCCGCCTCCCGCTGAATGCGCACAATCAGGGTATACTATCTACAGCTGGTGGGAAGGCACGATGGATGGTAGTGTGAAAGGTTGTAATTTGGAAACACCCCTCTCAATCATCAGACATGGTATTCGCAACAAGTATAAATCAATGCCATCTCTCTATACATATAGACGTTCAACATCTAGCTGTCCAGCAGCGCGGGGACCTTCTCGACGAGGTACTCAACAATAGCATCGGGGCCACGCTCGACCTGCAGACCGGTAGGGATCGCGTGCAACTTGATGTCGGGGACGATCGAGCGGGCGGTCTCGTGGATCTGCTTGGCCTCCTCTTCGGTCCACATGGAGGCACTGAACTATGTGGGGTGTTAGTCGGAGCTCTCGCCGAGGGACGGTATCGGAGCGAGACCGCGACTCGGATATTCCGAGTGGCAGGGAAACGTACCAGAACATCGGGCTGGTGCTCCTTGACCTTGGCCTCGACCTCGTCGATGCCTGTAGAATTGTTAGCCTTTGATTGACAGCTTGTAAGCAGGCAAAACTCACTCGCGCAGTTATCGACGTGGATGATAGTGTACCGGTCCTTCAAGGTCTCCGCAACACGGCCGATCAGGCGCTTGGCGCGCTCGGGCGCATTGTTGACGGTGACAAGACGGAAGGGGCCCTTGGGAGCAGACATGGTGACGTTTAGAATTGAAGTAGAAAAAAGAAACCCGTCGACGAGAGAATGCGAGATCGCCGGGGGTTTTATTTCTCAAATGGCCCTCCGATTGCGTCGCCACATGTTCCCCACATTCCACTTTTTTTGTGGGTGGACTGCCCCTCCAATGCTCGGCTTTCCCAACTTAACGGGGTAGAAATACTCCGCGCATCGCGCGATAAGAAATCGCTCTTTTCCTCTTTCTTTACTGGGTTCACTTCTATTGTCCCATAATTCTTCAAGCATGTCTAAGATTGCATCCACTTTCTCGCGTAAGTTGTGATCTCATCGATATATCGTATAGCTACAATGACTGAGCGACTTGACTGACTGTACCTCCAGGCCTGGTGCGCTTCGTCCCCAAGTCGAACCCCGCAAAGGTTTTGATCGGTGAGCCCGTTGATCCTTCGCTGGATGTAGGCTTGGCCCTGTATCAGGGCAAGGAGGTTGCTGTGCGCCCCTTCTCCGGCTCGTCCGTCCTGAACCCGGGTCAGGTCACCAGCTCGACCGAGACTATCGAGCGCATTCTGTCTCCTCTGTCGCAGTCCGAAGTCGGATCTATTCGATGCGTCGGCTTGAACGTGAGTGACGTGCTAATTGAAACACTGCAAAAAAAAAGAAAATCGAGAATCGTAGCTAACCCTACGATAGTATGTTTCCCACGCCAAGGAGATGTCCCTCCCCATCCCGGAAGTCCCGACCCTCTTCATTAAGCCCTCGACTGCCCTGGCCGATCCGTTCCCGGCGCCTACGGTGCTGCCCAAGATCACTCAACAGGATGGCACTGGTGACTACGAGTCCGAGATGGTCATTGTCATTGGTCGTGATGCCAAGGACGTCCCCGAGTCCGAGGCATTGGACTACGTTCTTGGATACACTGCTGCCAACGACGTGTCCAGCCGCACATTCCAGATGAACCAGAGCCAGTGGTGCTTCTCCAAGGGCTTTGACGGTTCATGCCCCATTGGTGAGCGCAACCAAGAACCTGGATTGATAGACCTTCACCTAACTCCAGTATCATATAGGCCCCGTTCTGGTCTCAGCTGCTCTGATCCCCGACGCGACTAAGCTCCACATCCGTGGTCTCAAGAGCGGCCGCGTCATGCAAGACTGCCCTCTGACGTACGTACACCTCCAATTCCCCATTGAAACATCAACGCAACACCAAAGAAGCTCAAGCTAACCATAACTCCCATACAGTGACCTCATCTTCAACGTTCCCCAACTCATCAGCTTCCTTTCTCAGGGCACCACTCTCCCCGCTGGTACCATCATCCTGACTGGTACCCCTCCCGGTGTCGGCGCCGCCAAGAACCCCAAGGAGTTCATCAAGGCTGGTGACGAATTCGCCGTCGAGCTGCTGCCTCACGTCGGTACCCTAATCAACAAGATCGAGCACCAATAAATATACTTGATGAGGATCAATGAATGAAGCGCGTGAAATGTACATATTCGTATACAATAATAGATTGTGGATCTTGAAAAAATCCCCCGAGCTCTTCTTCCTTGCCATAGAGAGATTCCATAATCATGCTTGCTACCAAGAGATATACCAGCGAATATAGAGAATGTCCTACATAATCAAGGTAACCCATCGACCGCTCACATGCCACGCAACGAACTCCCCACGCTCGCCCACAAGCAGCGGAAGAAATCTGTTTCGTCCACGCCCTTGAGAATCCCGAAGAGCCTCTCACGCATACAGTCTTACAAGCTAAGGAGGCAACTTACAAAAAACTACTGAAACAGCAAGTCATGCGATGATTCCTTCAAGCCAGGAGAACTTGTCATGGACATGCCCACCAATCAGCGGTGCAGTGGGGATATAGTATTTTCCACTAGCGGAGTATGTCACTTCCGGCCGCTGACTATGGTCGGCCCGTCTTGGCGGTTGTACTTGACCGACCTGGAAGTACACGGATGATTGCTACATGTCAAGGCGATTCAGGTTGATTGCTGAGCCATTATATTTGGATAATAATAATAGGGATCATTGTAGTTTAGATATTATTAGAGTTGTAGATTATATCTCTCATCCATTAAAATAGCAATGCAGCTCAAAACCAGTCTCAATCAAACTAGATTACTGTATCTAATGCAGGAGAACCCGACTTCAAAAGCCGATCATCGCAGGTTAGACCTAGCTCGTATGATCTCTTTTGGACAAGGTCAGGGGCCCGTCCCGATGGTCGCACCACGGCATGTTTTCGGCTTCTGCCGGTGGGCTTCCCGATCGGCTTCGCTGGGTTGGATCGTGCTGCGGTTTTTCATTTATGCCAGAGGTCTTGTCTATTTTTTCCTCTTGATGCTGTCGGTTTCCTTTCTTTTTGTCTTGCTACATGTCTATTCATTCATTTCGACCTTTTTTCTTATTCTTTGCTCGTGGTTTCGGCTCTTAGTGTGTCCGCACGAGTTTTGCAGTTGAGCAAAAGCTCTTGACTGCTGCACATTATGCACGCTGACCTTAACTCATTTGACGACGTTTGATTGCTAATTTGCTGCATGCTTTCTTCCAGTCTTCCAGAATGCCTTGATCATCCACAAAGACTGTTCTATATTCATGTCACTGCATCGATCTATATACAGTTGGCAGACACCTCCTGAGTCCATTCTACCCGTCCCGATGCCGAAAATTCTATCCGCGCGACCGACCGATCTATACAAAAAACGAAACAAAACGCAAAGTCCTGTGCAAAGCTTCGCTGAAAGGGAGCATATCACGATAACTTTCTCTCCGAAGTCAAGAATAAATTGAACACCTGTCGCCGTTTACTCCTCTCCGCCTGCGCTCCGACGCCAGATTGCTCCACGCCAATGCAGGACGATAGTTGGGACAACGCTAACCGCGAAGACCATCGCGCAGCCAATTCCAGAACTGGGCGCGACGCCGACATTCTCAAACATGGGCGAGAACCTGCGAAAGGGAATCCGTTAGTCTCGGTGTTCGAATACATGGGACAATGTTGGTGGAAAAAGAGAACATACCAAAAGGGACCGATGAATCCCCAAATCTGTCGCACAAAGGTGATAAACACACCCACGCTGGCGGCCTCTTGAGGGAAACAGTCTACGGCATAGGTGATCATGACGGTGGTCACGAGCTGATTACCAGCGGCGCCAATACCAATGCCAATGATGGGGGATACGTTCCAATGACCGGAAGGAGACTCCTGCGTGCAGACCAAGAAGACGACGATACCGATGATGACCAGGGCAAAGCCAAAGTAGCTCAGCCACAGACGGAACTCCGGGTCGGGCTTACGGTTCAGACGGTGCTGACGCCGCGTCATCCAGTAATCGGATAGCGCACCGCCCATCTGCTCACCGATCAGGGATCCAATGATGGCACCCAGGAATTGCAGACCGAGCTGTTCTGCGTTGAGTCCGAATTTCTCTTGCAGGAGTTGGGGAACCTCAACGGTGGGGAGGATGCCACCCCATAGGAAGCACATGGCGTATGCACAGGCGGGGATGACAATGGACGGGCGGCGGACCATGGTTAACGGGCGCACGAACTCCAACCAGTTCAGAGGACTTGGGTCGATACGCCGGAGAGACATATATTCAGTCTTCCAGGTGGGCACCTCGCGATCGACACCACTGCCGACCCAACGGGTCTCCGGTCCGAAGAACAGATACAGGATGAATTGGCCACCATTGATCTATCGATCGAGAAAATCGTCAGCCACACCAACGCTTCACTAACTCAATCCTTGTGTCGCAGCACTTACCATAGCCAGAATCCAGTATATCCAGGTATAATTCAACCGGTAGGTCACAAAGCCGAAGATAAAGGGGCCGATCGGGACTCCCAGGGTGACCATCAAGGTCCAGACACCCATGTAACGGGCGCGGTCCTTCTTGAAGGTGGTCTCCATCACGATGGCACTACCAATCGCCGAGGCAGGGGAGATGAAGAAAGCCACCAAGGCACGGCACGCCATTACGGATGCATAAGTCGTACTCTTCGCACAGCCAATGTTACAGACCGCACTGAGGATCAACGATAGCAAGAAAATGGGTCGACGGCCAAACCGGTTAGACAGAGGCTTCCAGAATAGCGGTGCACCTCCTAGAATAGCAATCTGCACTGAGGTCAAGTAACTCGCCTGTTGCAGGGAGATGCCCAGGCCCTCTGCAATGCTGGAATAGGCGGGGATGATGGCGGCGGCAGTGAATGTAGCCATACAAGCGTGGAATGCCACCAGGATCAAATTAGACATTTTCTATCATGATAATACTATCAGCTTTTCTTGTTCAGTGTACCCGGTTTCTTCAGAAGATGCTTCATCCTGAACAGGGTATTTCAAATGGGTCTATACCATCCGGATCACCCGGTATGATCGCAGGGGCTTTTACTAACCTTCCACTCAGGCCAGTTGTAGGGGTCGTCAGGCCCCATGCTGGGGATAGGATCGAGTTCCAATGTGCCATGGCGTTCAAGGAGATAATCTCGATGAGCTTTGGGAAGACGAGCAGCCACAGACTCCTCGTAGGTGGCCGCCCGGCCAGCTCCTGCACTCTCGACGAGATCAATGTCGGCTTTGGTAACCGAGTTATCCTCGGGCTGGTCTACGGCCCGAGACGATGACGGCTGAAGTTCGAAAGACGGCATGTTGACGAGGACCCGAAGGCCGAAGAAGGTGATCGGGATAAGGGGAAAGAGACGCTGGCAAGCACTGGACGTGCCTGGAAGCCCTTTTGCGGGGGAGAACGATGGAAAACGACGGCGTTGATCAATTTTCCCCTGGCAGGTCGTGGTTCCCTCTTAGGGCTTTGGTAGATGGAAGATCAAATGGGAGGAAGAAACTACTACGAAAATGCCACCCGGGCTGCGGAGTGGGAGAGACGGGTTCCGGTGAACTAAAGCAGGGAGGGAAGCAAAGACCTCGGAATCGAATCCTCGTGGAAGTTGAATTGAACTGTACCAGGTAGGAGGCTTCCCCGTAACGAAATGGTTGGAAGTGAAAAAAAACCCTAACTGGCGTGGCCTGGCGTGTTGCCAAGCGCCCGGTGAGTGCGCATAATCATCGGGCCTAAGCCTATCAGTATCCCCGTGAACCCCGTCTTCTCTCCACCCCCCCTCTGGTCGTTGCCGAGCACGGTCGGCTCGCCTGGAGAGAAACGCGGAGGGTCTCCACGGCAGGCCGGTGGGCTCCGTTCGGACTCGGCGAGTTGACAGCCTCCATTCAGCGACCTTCCATACTTCCATAGCTTACAGATTGGTCAGGAGCCCCATCATGGTCCATTCGGTGGCTCATCCGGGCCCATCCTGGCCCATCCTGGCACTTGGAAACGGCTACAGTACCCGAATGCTTCTGTCGCCTGTCTGGTAGAGTGGTACACTACGTATCCCGGCATACTGCGTGCGCGCCAAGTACCGAAAATCGTTGCAACCATGCGGTCACTCCTAAGCACCCCCGGGATCGCCTCAGTTCCCCGTATCCGAATCTCCAAATTCTTCCGGTCCTAGACCCTTTGCGGAATGGTTATGCACGTCCTTCTTGGGGGATTTTCCTCTAGGGTCTTTGATTATGTGGCTTCTTGGAAGGTCGCTGGGGGGGGTTTGTCCGGCTACGAATTGTACGATTGATGAGCTGAATTGCCGACTATGAGTGGATCTGTCGTTGATTCCCAAACTCATTGGCCATTACGAGGAGAAATTGCGCCTCGGTTGTCTGCTGGTCACTGAAGCGTGTACTGGCGTACTGTATTTTCCAAATCAAGGAGGCAAGGAGGCGAAAAAGTCTTTGAACCTCACTTTCCCAAGGTATTGCCACAGCCCCTACCAAACCATGGTCATACTTGTACTCCGTCCTCCATCCTTAATGCATCCATCCTTAATGCATTACCCCGTGGGCTATTATTGGATTAGATAGTCCCAATGTTATAATTCCGTCGGATTGTCGCAGTGATTCGTAAGACTCGCTATCAACCCCACGACCTCGACGAAAGGATTGGTTAGAAATCCTAATCAACGAGGGGGTCCCACACCCCACAATCGCCTCTCCACACGATCTTCTCCTCAATCTCCTCTTTCCTTTTCCCACATCTCTAACCATCGAAGATGGCGTCGCTAGAGATCATGCCAGGGCCGCCTATCTCGTCTGTATCATCTGCAGGGGTCAAGAAACTCGTGTGTCGCGTATGTCAAAAAGGATTCACCAAGGCTGAACATCTCCGAGTAAGTCGATTCCTCGATTCCTAGTCCCCACAAATTTGAGGGGCAGTTATCAGATATGCCAAGGCAATGCGAAAGAAAGATAGTCAGAGCGAGAAATAGGCTAACGCTTAACCGACACAGAGACATGAGCGCTGTCGTAAGTCTTGCATTCCTTCGACTGCTATTCTTTTCTCCGGCCATTATATGTCGGCCGGATCACCCGTCTCCCTTCCACCAGGGAGAATGGCCAGGCAAATCAGCATGGCAACATGAATCCCAACCGAAAAACACTTACCCCCTTAATAAAATTCCGTCGGCTGACCGGAAGTATGTCTTAGACACCGGCTCTAAGCCTTATGTCTGTAAAGAATGTCACCGGCCATTCGCCCGCCAAGATGCCCTTACCCGCCATGAGAAATTGCATCTGCGGGACATGAATGCGAAGCAGGGCACATCACCACAGTCGGTGCCGCCCCCATCGGCCTCGCTGGATTCAATGGCCTCGTGGGATGCTCGCAGTACCTCTACCACGACGGGTCCGGTCTCGACGTCGGCCACTAGCCGATCGTGGGATGAGCCGCAAGTAGCTCAGCATCAGGACATGGACACTGTCGCTACTGATCTGGATTTTGCCCTTGTCTGGCCGGATTCTGAGAATTTGTTTCAGAGTCTAATGTCTTCGGATACAACCGATCAATGGCAAATGCCGCTGGGCACGCTGCCCTTTCCGCCCGTAGTGCAAGATGTGAATGGAATGAATTTTGGGTCACCCAATTCATTTGACGATCGGAGTTCTTCCGTGGGTGCCATCCCGTCTGGCGGTGGACATCAGGCTGTGCGTGATGTGACGGAGATGATAACTAGCTCGGTAAGTAGAGTAACCTTGGGGGCATATCCTGAATCGGGATGCCGTCTTGTTGACGATGTCTGAAAATAAATCACCATGCTAATCTACATCTACCAGTCCTCGAGTGTCACCGCTGCTGTCAAAGCCACGTCAATCACATCAGTCTTTCTCGATGAATGCCTGCACATGTTTTTTGTTCGTTTCATCCCGACCTTCCCCATCTTGCATCGCGCGACGTTCGTCTTCCGCGAGTGCACCCATGCGCTCCTCCTCAATGCCATCGCCATTGGGTCTTTATACCTAGGTCCCTCCGACTCCGTTGCCAAAGGCGAGGCTTTGTGGCGCCTGGCTCACACGGCCGTTGCAACATCATGGCAGTCCTTGATCACTCACAACGGGCCTTATGATGCCTGCAAGGGAGTTCAGTTGATGATAACCGCATTATTGGGTCAGATCTATGGGGCGCTTTCAAAGAACCGAGCCGTTCGCACCACAAGTCAAGTCTTCCGCCCACTCGGCTTCTTCTGGGCTCGTCACTGTGGCATGTACGATAGTGAACCCTATTCGATGGAGAATCTCCCTTCTGCCGAGGCTCCTCCAGCTGAGAAGGAACATCAATGGCGTATATGGGCTGCGCGGGAAATTCAACAGCGTGCCCTTCTGGCATACTACATCCTCGACGGTCTTGTGGCACAAATGTCTGGTGATGGAGCATCCGCCCGCCACGTCTCCAATTCGTTGAGCCTTCCCAGCAGTGAAGGAGCTTTTGACGCCAATACCGCCGATGAGTGGCTGGCACACATGCACTCGCAACAACCAGATCAATCATCTTTCCGTGTCGTCTTCCGATCTTTATTTCCCCCAGTCGGCAACTTCCGAGCGCTCGACTACCAATTCTCTGCATTTGCTCTTCGCGTGGTCCTGGAAGGCCTACAGTCCCTGATCTCCGACTGCGATGAACACGATCTCGCGGTTGGTGTCCCGGGACGCTCCGATGTACGCCGTGCACTCGCTCAAGTACACGAGACAATTTCAATGAGCATCCATTTCTCTGCTGCAGAGCGGCTAGAGATCCTCCTTCGTTGGCACACCGTCTGTCTAGACACTATGATCAACTCCACGGTTCTCTCTCGACATGTCTGCTCTCGATACAACATCCCACAGTACGTCTCGGGTGGCTGTCGAACAGTTCGGCCTGACTTTGATCTCCTCAAATGGGCCAACACGGAAGATGCCCGTCGTGCCGTCCTTCATGCCATCGCCATCCAAGATATTGTCGAGCAACTCCCGCGTGGACGTGCCCATGTCGTACACATGCCGAGCTCATTATTCGCAGCCGCCACCGTCTACGTTGTCTTCTCACTGGCCGGTGTTGCCACGGTCAATCTCCCTCGTACGATAATCTGGCAAGACGCTCTTCTCTCCCATTCAGACCTGAATCTCGGTCACGACGACATTCGGCCTGCCTCTGGATCTGAGACGAGACGCTTTGTCGAAACCGAGCAAGCAATCACACCCGCCCCGATTGGCGGCACCGTTCGCAACCTTCTGTATGAATTGAACTCCATGCAGAAGCTATTCCGTTGTCTGTCTTCCCAGTGGGGTATTGCGCACGACATGGAAAATATTATCGCTCAGTGGATTCAATTATGTCACTCGTGATCGGAGCTGGACTCGGGCAATGGAGAGGTTTGTATTCAACTGTATATAGTTTAGCGGATAGGAATGACCAGTATAATGAGATCATGAAACATGAAACAAAACCAATCCAATCGCAGGAGTAAACTTTGACATCGCTTGCTCCCGTTCGACTGGATTTATAATTCAGTCTAAGTTAAAAACCTATCGTGAATTCAACGGTTCGATGGCAATATGGAGATTATGAGACTTTCTCTATCATTCTCCATGAAAGTATTCCGCCTACCTTCGAGGTTGACAACTCGTCCTGTCTCAATGATCAGACCCGTAGATAAGCCATGTAGGCCCTACTGCTCCCCAATTTCGTCCCATATAGCTCTCGAATCAAATATCAAATGTGACGGCTAAGTAACGGTTGACTGACGGTTGACTGGCGGATAAAGAAGTTCATGGCACTCTGTGTATTTCTCGTATCCTTGTTCCCATGATCCGCAAGCACATACTATATCCTTGAAGACTGACGGAACACAGACATAACACATGCTATGGCGAATGGAATCCGTCCCCAAGACCGGCATACCTCCCAGAATGGCGAACAGGGCTCTTCAGACCTCCACGTCTTCCAATATCGCAACAATGCCACTGACGCGGTCAAATTCCTCATTGTGCAATAACAGAGGGCTGGCACCGAAACCCAGGACGCTGTTTGGGAGCAAGCCGTTGATTAATTGAGTCGGTACCTAAGCGCCACACACGGTAAACGTCGGCCGACAGCTCGGACTCCTGTCTACGGAATAGTTGCTGTTGTCCAGGAGATGCGTGTGTACAAGTACGACGACATCAACGAGGTGGTTCTGAACCGGGCAGCACGAGGTATGCGTTGGGAACTGTGGGATTTGGAGGAAATGGGCAAGTCTGGCAAAAATTCCGGATCACAGAATGACTACTAGCGAATAGCGTCATATCTATGATGAAGAGTCATTTCCACTCATTCAAAGTCGGGTTATGAGACTTACTACTCCATCCTAGGTGGTAGTCTGCCCGCCGTTTATTCCCTTCACCGCCTTGATGCTGTTGGCGGCTGCATCGCGTCGCGTCCGGCGGACGCTAAACTAAATTCCGCTAGTCAGAAGCTTCCCTTTGCTGATTCTACCGACGCCAAGCCATCTCTTCCTGATTGTCAGAAAGCTCCTTCGTTCGGTAGTTTTCTGGGGCACCTGAGTAGGACCTCGTCAAATAGGCGATCAGCAACTGATGGGGATGCATATATGACGTGGTTAAGCTGTCGGAAACCTCGCAGACTGAAGACACGCAGATGTCCGACCCAGCCGAGCATGCTGGTCTGCCTCCGAGCGGCCCCGCTCCTGCTGGTCCCCGTAGTGGCCGTGGTAAACGGCTCACGGCCTTGGAAGAGTCCGCTCTCTTGGACCTATGCAAAGTGCGTACGAAGGGTGGCTGCTTCGCCGACCAGCCCAAGCGGTTCTGGCGCGAAGTCTCGCAGGCATTTGAGAAAGAAACCGGTCGACCTTATTCGTGGCAGTCGTGCCGCCGTCGCATGACCAAGTTGGAAGGAGATGCCAATTTCCAGCACACTTATGTCCCTTCGCGCACTTCGCCCGTCCCAGCGGAGCCCTCTCAACCCACCTCCGCCCTCGACTCCACCAATGACGAGAGTGCTAGTGGCTTTGGTGATGATGACGATGGTGGCCTTCCTCCAGCGGTTTCTTTCGTGAGAGAAAGTCTCCACCGTCACGATGATCCCGGGGAGCGCGCAGTGAATCAAACCTGTATCAGCATCGTCAATGAAAGTGTGGAAAACTTGGACATCAAGTTGCAAACCTTCGGCCCGACAGTTTTCAAAGACCTGTATGAGCTGCGTAAAGTCCAAAAAGCATTTTTCGACTTCAAAAATGAGTTTGATATGGCTTTGGAGAAGGTCAAACGTGGTCAGGAAGAGGGGCGTCTGTAATTCATCAGACGCACTCTATGATGTGGACGGATGTCATTTCGAATGGGATACATGACCCTTGATGTCCACTTGACGATGTCACGATATGCATGAATTGATGATCACCGAAAATATCCCTTTGATGCCCATGCAATCTCAAATGCGTGAAGAACCTTGAAACTACGAAAAATTATCAATTTCTCTTGCCCACTAGGCCCTATTTGCTGGGGCATTGCTGATAGTACTGCTTGTACACGAAACACCGAGTTGTGCGGGAAGGGCGTATGACATTGCTTGAAAACTATCTGCAAGATGCACAGAAGAAGAGCCTGGCTATTCCAGAACTCCCTGTGTGCGCTATCCGACGAAAAGCCCACGATTTTCCGATGAATCCCCCAAAAACAATCATTGCTAGCATGCAAATGTTGAAGACGTCACTAGGTGACGAGACCATTGAATGCAGCTATTTGCCGAAAACATCAAAAAACAAAATGCATTCCCGCTGTCGCCCAATTCAGATATGGAAAAGCAAACCATTGGGAGCTTTTCTGTTGGGGTTTGGCTCCCTCACGCCTCGCTGCCAAAGGTAGGGTCGAATGCAGCACCCGAGCCGCTCAACAATTCCTCCAGGCTGGCAATGAGGTTATCATTGGCTTCTTCGGCGCTGATGGGAAAGGAGGGGGGCTCAAGTTCATAGCCGTTCTTCTTGCTGTCATTGTGGGGCTCATTGTCGGGGTTGAACGACAGGAGGCGTGCGAGAAGATCATCGGAGTCATCCTCGAGCTTCACACGCTTAGCGGCGGGCTCCTCCGTGATCTGAACCTCATTGTCAACATCATTGTTCGAGATGCGGTGGCTCTTCATGCTGAGAGGGGAGGAACTGACCTTGCTTTCCTGCTTAAGCTCACGCTTGACCTTGGTAGGGGTCTCCTCGTCGCTGGAGATATCCACGACAGCCTCAGTGTCAGCAGTGTCACCGGTCTTGCCACCGTCGGCATCCTTGGCCACCTTGCCCTTGGGGGTAGTGATCGACTTCTTGGAGGCAGGAGTTGCCGTTTTTCCCCGGGTGCTAGGGGTGCGCGGGGTGCTAGGGGTAGTCTGCGGCTGGACCTGGGGACCTCCTTCACCAGCAGTGGCGCGCAAAGTCTCAGCCAGCTTGCGCCAAGCACGGAACTTATGCTCCATGGTGTTGTACTTAGCACCGAGGCCGTACATTTGTGCGATCCCGCCGTAATCAAGCTGAGGTACAAGTGTCAGTCAGCCTTCCTTCTTTCTTCTATTTGAGGGGCTTGGTGCACAAACCCGGCCCTTGGGATTGGCAGCGATCATTGCCGCGATGACTCTCTCCGGCTCGATTTTCATCTTGCCGGTGTTTTTGACCCTTTTAATGATCTGAATATCCAGTGGTCAGTCGAGTTCACTGTCAAAATCGCGTGAAGCGAAGGTTTCCAGATATGTCTCTGCTGTATACTTCGGACCGGGAAAACAAAAGTCCGGTTGACCGAAGTGAAGCGATGGCGATGCGAGAGCGACAGGGATGTCAAGCTTGCACAGAAGTCTTTGCAAATGGCTCCAAGACTTACCACAGGTAGTTGGGTTTGCGATTGAACGAATTTTGATCGCGAGGTTGAGGGGGGTTGGTGGTAAGGACAAAGCTCGGGGGATGTTGGAAGTGAGAGCGAAGTCTTGGTCGTGACCGAGGAATTCGGTGGGATGACCCCCAGCGCTTAGTCGGCGAAATTAGAGGCGGAAATTTCTGAGAGGTATCGCGACTGAAGATCGTGGACCGCCTCTTCCGTGGAGAAGTTCTCAAGAGCTACACACTTCACTGAATTGAGCAGCAATCATACTTTACCATGGGGCTCTCCTCCATGATGGCCTCTCCTTCCGACTTCTTCAAAGGTTATGAAATTTGGGAATTGAGCAACAACCATGCTTCAGCCTAGATTCATACCGGATGATCAGAGAGACACATTCAGTCTTGTCTACACCGCGAGAACATCCTCTCCTCGAACGGCGCACAGCACACATATCGGTGAAGAGATGGGCGTTGATGGCATTCATTATACTCGGTCAGGGTGGTGGTATCTGGGTTCTATCAAACTCAAGTATGCCGAACTGTCATCTTCAGTACGCTACTTGGTTGCGAGGACCATGCCCTCCGATTCTACAGAGTGCTGCGGGAGAGTTCAGTTTGGAAAACGCAGACGGTCATTCTCAATGATCAATTCGATGTGCTGACCTCGGCTGTTCCTTATACTCGGGTACATAGGGACAAACGCGAGGCATAGGACTAGGTCTCGCTGCGCAATTGTCATGCAGACTTTCCATTCCAGCAAACAAAGAATATACTTTCCCAAAGATGCCACCTTAAAACGAGACTAGATCAAACTTGGTTCCCTCGACCTTTGACATTATATCACTGCAATATTTCGTTCCATGTAATGGGTAGACATACTGGACTATGGTTCCGTAACACTAAACCAGCGCATTTGCCTATCATCGCAGAAATATAGCTCATTTACTCGACGGTTCAAGAGGAAATGTACAATATTTGAAGCTGTGGCCTAAATTCTAATTTTGTCTCCTGTCGACTGCAGCCGTATCAGCTCTAACCTATCATACCTGCAATAACGCAAGGTAATAACGCGAGGTTTGATGGCCCAAATGGGCACAGGAAATTCGATGAGGCTGTATTCATTATCTATCCCATGTGACCAGACCCGCTTACAGGATTCTTAATCCTGTTAAGCTAGCATAGTTGTGTTATCATTAACTAGATCAACTTGTATCTAGTATCATTATAGTAATTACGAATGCAAAGGGCGAATTGAAAGATTATGATAACAAAAGTCGAATGAGCCTCTGTGGAAGCATTCGAGGAAAATCAAAAGATTAGTCAAGTAAAGAATAAGCCTATCTACGAGAGGCTTCAAGGTCAGCTACTATTTTTTACTTGAATTCCTTGTCCTACCCGTTATAAGTTTTCTTGCGAGTCTGGCCTCTAACAACATTTTATCATTAGGATACTCTGCTGATACCTTTCTACTAAGCTCTTGACTCAGCCTATTTCCGAAATGACTCTAGTCCCTCCATCAAGGTCTACATTTGATGGTTCAGTATCTAATTCATAGCCAAATTTCTAAAAAGGGGCATGCGAGGGGATTGGTACAGCCACAAATCAATTACCGCTGAGACTATTCAGGGAGACAGTACATGATGACTGGCAAGAAGCTATCAAATACGATGAAGAAATTTCACTCAATGGTCGAATATGAGTGGTGGTTGACGATTACACTGGTCTTTGGAAACCCACACAATAAATAATCAAACAAAACAGTTTTATACTCACTTCGTCAAAACATCCTATGCAAGTCCATCAGACCGGCCCCTTCCATGCAAAAGGCGGGCGGAGGATATGCTATCATTTAAAAGAAAAGGTACCTACGATACCTTGAAAAAATGAACCTCGACTGTCCCAGCTTGTAGGGTTGGATGCATATTGACATCGCAAAAAGCAGATGTTCCCGACGGCTTCCCACACTTCGATGAGATGTCGCCTCTTTGCAAGTTGAATGAGTTCACAAGAATGTATCAACCCCGGTTTGGGTTCCAATCCTCTAAGGACAATGGAAAGGGGAGACATGAAGAAGAATGGTTGCAAAACAGAGGATATTCGAGCATGAGATCAGGCATGTCAAGTTATTTATTGTAGCAGGTTAAATCATCGAAGATCGTATTCCGTCCTCGAAGGACCGGTATAAGGAAAAAACCTAGCGTTGGATTTTGGTAGTTTACTTCAAAAAGGGGAAAGTCAATGAATTCTTCACCATTTATACTCCACTCCAATAATATTATTCATGTAAAATACTGCAACTTACTCCGGGTAGAACTTCACAAGCGAGTGGTAAATGGTTCGTCAGATAGAGTTCGTCGCCTAAATTCAGGGCAGAACGCCGCTAGGTCATGAATGCTCTCTTTACAGGTGACATTCTGAGTCTATGCTGTCATGTATCGCTTTGACGAAATAATTGAGGGCCTTATGGGGCCCATTAATTTAGGTTGTGGCAATAGCTTGTGGATGAAATTTTGAAAAACATATTATTGAAGCTGGTACCATTAGCATTGGGGGTAAGCGTAACCCTCGGCGCCAGTGGAGTCAAGGTGAATATTTAGATGGGCAGTTCTCCAGGTGAACGTCAAGACCGACGATTAGGCGCAATGGTCCGGTTTCGATCGGATTACTTGTGGCTCACATATGGCCAAAGGGCGAACCCATGGTGCTTGGGGTCGCTCCTGCCGTCTACTCAAAGGGGATATTCTGCCCGTCTGAACCGCCTTCTTAAAATGATTAGAATATCATTATACATTTGTATGCCGAGTGCCAACCTTGTTATTTCCACGCAGTATTCGTACGCATTCGTCGGCGTTTTTAGTGGCGGTTAGGATTCGATATAATTTAGGGCGATAGAGGTAGAAAAAGTAGTAAAAACTGTTTTGGCCTTCCCTTTTATACTTCAAATTTGCTCGTCCTGGACTTTCCTTCTTCCTACTCCGCGCACCACACTTACCATACTCTATGGTCCAGCAAGCTCGCACATCTGACTCAAACTTGACTTTTTTGAAACCCTTCAAAGACTCTAAGCTCAAGGCTTACGCACATATTCCCTCTACCATATTCCTCCCCCTTCATCAAAACCCAGCGTTCAAAATGCGTTGGGACACTTCTGCCGATCAACTCGTGCGTATACCAGTCTCCAACTCACCCGTCACATTTACATTGGTACTATGCATATAAAGTCTGACATTTTCACTCTCTAGCTCCTCCTCAAAATCGTGGAGACTCATGATATCAGCGTCGACACCAACAAGGTTGCTGCGGCCTGGCGTAAGTGTTTCGACTGTTTCGACTGTTTCTCCTGCTTTCTCCCCCCCCCCTTCCTTCCACGATCCCAAATCCACAAGCATCTTATTAGCCAGATGCTAATTGCGGCAGCTGTCTCCCCCGATGGCCAGCCGGGTCCCACCGCTCGTGCCATTAAGGAGCGCATTGGCAAGCTTCGTGAACTAGCCAGACGCTCGGGCACCCCTGCTGCCGCTGGCGCGTCGCCCAAGAGAGGTCGTGCAAAGAAGGCCACTGCCCCCAAGGCCGACTCTGACTCCCAGAGCCCATCTACTCCGGCGAAGCGAAAGCGCAAGAGCACTTCCAACGCCGAGCAGGAGCCCCGTGACGATGGTGATGTTGAGGCCAAGATGGAGCAGCTCATCGACTACCCTGCTGAGCCAGCCCACGCCGAGGACACTGGTCACATGTCTCACGAGAATGACAATTTCTTTGATGAGAATGCTTAAACAGTGAAATACGTGTCAACAGGGGGGATCATGAAATGTTTGCAATTTTTGATCGATTGTGTTTCCTATGAGAATTTTTGCTTTCTAAATCGAACGTCCTGCTGGAATAGCTGGCACCGGAGTTTGATGCCCTGCTGAGTTGAAAATTTCTGCACACATTTCTGCGTTCTGAATATGGCTTCCATTATGTGATTATTTTCGCGATGGTTTCAATTGCACTCCGACATATCGAGCTCTCGATTTGCCGACGAATATCGATGATTTGAATTTCCTTCTTTTTCGATATCTTGCAACAAGGGCAAAGCGGCTTACTTTTTTGATTTTTGGCATCCTATCATGGTGCTTTCTGGAATGGGTTTACACGCAGGGTTTTACAGCGTTATTAGCTACGTGCAGAAGGGGTGCGTTGGTCGTCGCTCAGGCTAGACGTCTTCCGTTCTCCTTCGCCCAGTATCAAATGAAGATCCCCTCTGTTGATGATAATTAGTCATGTCCTCCCTCCATGATATTCTCTTAGCTGTGAAGTTCTACTTTGAAGGCTGACGAATAGAGTGGGCATGCTTTCATATCCTCCATAGATCAGTCGATTGCAAACATGTTATTTTAATGGAAGTGGAAATCTGATACATTATGGTGTAAGCTTCAAAAGCAAGAACTAGGCATCGTACAATTCATGGGCTACATAAACAGCCATTTAAGTTGACGATTGATAATGACTTTTCGTGCACACATATGATCTATCGCATCGGAAGCTTCTTAATGAGACCCAAATTGACCGAGATGCGCCGACTGTCTCGATTGAGTGCATATTGAGGATACCCGGTACCTACTGACACTCATCATTCCCGTACAAGAGCTCACATGAAGTAGATAGTATTAGACAAGTATTTAAGAGAGGTGGTTCGCGGTGCAGAGGTTTCCTGATGGGCGTTAATGCTAACTGACCATGCTAACAAAAAGAGTACAAAATGTGGATGGCTGCTACCATTTTGACAAATTGAAACTGGGATTTATTGATATGCCTTTCTCCCTGCGACTTATGGTCACCGAGCGGGAATAAAACTAGCTAAGATGAAGGCTATCTACTGTCCTAAACAAAGCTCAAAGAGCAAATGTGTCGATGCAGAATCTGTGCTGCGATCCAACATTGTAAAAGGGAGAACACATGAAACCAAACTTCGATAATCCCAGTCTTCGCATAAGATCGAACCCCATGAACGCACGATGGATATCAAAGTCTTTGTGTGACCAGCGCCGGGCAACACAAGCGCAAAGGAAGTCGGGTGGATACTCAAGCGCACTCGAGCAAGGAATATTCCTCGGGCCACTCCTCCTTGATCGACTGCTCCTCGTTGCTGTCGCTGTCGTCATCGACTTGATCGACATTGTCGTCGTCGATGGTTGAGCTGACCTTGGCCTTTTTATCGGTCTTTGCCTTCTTGGCCTTGGCCTTCTCGAGGTCGGCCTTGGAGGATTTCATAGGGGTCGCACGCTTGGTACTGGTCTTGCTGCCCTTGGCCCGGGGAGTGACTGGCAGACCAGCCTTGTCTTTCAGGCGGGCGACACGATGTTTGAGAGCACTGATCGAGCAGTCTTTGAATTTCAAGTCTAATAGTTAGCATTGGGTTCATGGGTTCGTGAGACGAGAACTAAATTTTCAGTTCTGTGGTGTTGATATCATTCAAGGCAATGTTGGAAGTGAAATACGTACCCTTGCCCATGAAGAGTGCCGCGGCCTCCCAATTGATATTGGGAGTGGTAGAGATGATGGCGATAAGGAGCTATTTAAGCCGTCAGACCGGTTTCTGAAAATTCTACGGAGCATTGGAGACATTGATTTGGCGCAAAGTAAGGGGACTGGATCTTGGGAGTCGACTCTCCGAGGATGGAGCCCCCCCCCTAGAACGACTCCCCAGATCGGCGCACAATTGAACAAAAAGATGGTACTTACCCGAGCGTCCGACTCAGGATTCCAGGTCATTGGCATTTTGGCGGTATTGTTGGAGATTTTGTGAGGTGATGTTTGAGATAAACCTTGAAGGGTTTGGGGTAGGCGAAACGGGATTTTGGGGAGGCGAGGATGGAAGATATTTGAGGAGAGAGAAAGCGAGATTGAGGAACCCGAGGGGCCCAAATATGTGAAACTTTTTGGAATGAACCTTGAAGAGTTCAGCGTGGGTGAAGTCGGATTTGGGAAAGACCAGAGAGGGAGATGGAGAGGCAAGAGAGAAGAGGAACGAGAAAAGAGAGATGATGTATAGCGGAATAGCTAATTTAGCCGAATGATAAATGACGCGGTTATGGATCTGATTGCACTTTCAGGTCGAGGAATTGCACACACCAGTAAGCGCCTCTCCTGACCGTCTATATGATGTGCGATATGGGTGGTCGTCTTCGTGCTTCGTATACTTGTCTTAAAGGCTTTTACTACGGCGGTTGCTTTTTACTAACATGACGATTTTCAATCACCTTCTATCCAAGCATGTTACTATTATGGCGTTTTTAATACACTGAAGTAACGACCACTTATGACGTTCTATCCAGACATATTACTTATACGAAGATGGAAGTGACGATTTTTCAAATGAGAAGAGAGAGATGTATTCGTTGAGCATTTTGCTGTTGAAATGGCTACCGTCTCGTTTATTGCATCCTATGAGCCCAGAGGTCATGGAAAACAATACGAGAGGCGCGCAGATCAAGAAAGAAACACAAAAACCTAGCTACGCCGTAGTTCGTTCCCACGACTAGAGTCTAGGTGCCTTCAAAAAGCACGCATCGCCCACGACCAGTGTCATGATGTTGCAACAACAAGAAGTTGCATTTACTCACGATCGTCACGGACGTATTTGTTCCAGAAGCTGCCACGGCGGCGGCTCTTGTCACGGTTCTCATCGTCCACATGCCCCTTGGTAGACTTCTCGCCGGTGTTATCATTGTACCAATGATCAGCCTGGCGATTGTTGTTCTTCTTCTCGGCAGTCTGCTGGCTAGACTTTCGGTAGCGGGTTCCATCTGTAGCACGGGAATCATCGATGAAGACAGATTCGGTGGAGCGGGAGTTCTTGGAGTAGCGCTTGGATGAGGTCTTGGTCTTGTTGTCGGCAGAGGCTTCGTCTTCATCGTCGTACTGATCCATTTCCTCAATGCGCTTTTGAGCAGTTCGGTTGTAGCCCCATTTTCTCTTCGCCTTGCCTTTTGCCACACTGGCAGCGCGGGCGGCATGGGCCTCGAGGAGGGTCTTGCGCTGCTGACGGCGTCTTTCCTCAGCCTTTTTGGTGAGGGTCCGGAGGTGCTGCATGATGGCCTCTGGGGTGCAGGCTGATAGGATTGTTAGATACCAGACAACACTGTTCGGAAGAGTATAATCACTTACTACCACCCAGGATCTCGGCAGCGCTCTCCCAGTCAAACTTGGTACCACAAGTCTCCCATATGGCAACGAGGAGCTAGTTACATGCCAACAGTCAATATTCACTCGCGAACAGGGCTCTGCGCTCATGCAATGCTCACCTTGTTGTCCCAGTCGGCGGTCCAGACAATGACCATGATGATGATAACTGATATCAAATAATGTTTATGATAGGGGTCGTTTGGGATAGAAGGTGATGGGAGTTGCTTGAAAAAGTTTTCTCCGCGGGGAAAATACAAACGAACCTTGCCTCCACTTTGAGGGTGTTTAAATAGGCAAGAACGACGTTTGTATCGTTTGTTATCAACGGCAAACGATGTCGTTGCCTTGGATGTTACGCGTATATGTGAGTCGGAGCCTTCGCGATGCAATCGCACTCAATTGAGGAAGCCTACGGAGTTTTCTAGCAAACGACGCACTAAATATCTATAGAACTTACAGCAAGCCGTGATTTTTGATATTTATAGGCAGCCACTTGAGTTCATACATAGCATTTTACCTCTTAGTGTTCTTCTAAATTCGAGAGAGTGGGTAGAGGTCGTGAATCTATGAAGGTATTCTACACCAGGCTGTTGCTTTGATTCTACGTCTGGCTCCTCTTAGGACAAATTAGTACTTTATTATTGATTTTTCTGCCATCTTATTAGTTCTGTTTACCCAATGCCTCATATGGAATAATTCTCTTGCAAAAGGTCCAATTTTGGCTAGACCATCTATTCCGGTAGTCTCTTGCCCGAATCTGCTAGGAGAATGTTGACCATGCTTGTTGCAACGGCACGGCTTGCTGCAGGTCGGGTCCGCTGATGCCTTGTCAAAGGGCCAAATGAAAATTCTGATTCATTAGGCACGACTTCATAGGCTTTTAAAGTAGTTGAAAATCGATTTGGTGATCTACCTTGAAGGATGGAATTTTATTGGAATTAGGTCTTGATAGGTCACGTGCAACTATGACTAGATAGAGCCAGGAGACTCTGGTAGATTGAGCAAAGTAAATCGACGACGGCTAAACAATACGCCCCGTGGTTTAGTATTGGAAGTCAGCTGCTACATAGCACTAGCTCTGATCCTGAAATGAACACGCATTTTTGCGATATGTATAAGGTCATGGATTTTCTGACAAGCTTTGGCCGGAAAAGACCGGGGAATCTATGAAAAGATAATGATACGCCAAACTCAAACAGAACAGGGTTCGTCGATGTTAATGAAAAAACAAAACAAAAAAAAGAAACTCCTATCCAGCTATTATGCAGTACCATGACTCAACCATGGTGAGACTGGGGCAGCCCGGAGGCTGGTGGCGTCGAAGACGCCCAGGGACCGCTAACAAATTGGGGATCAGAGGCCGCTATGCGGGAGGTGCCTTCCGGAGTCGTCCATTGACCTTGGTGGGCAGTGAATTGACCGTGCTGTGGATGATAATGAGCTCCATTATGGTTGTTCCCATCATTTTGTGAGCTACTCTGGGGCAGTGAAGGCAGGTACTGCCGCACGCCGGCCTGGACTATGGGGTTTTGGTAAGGCTGGGCGCCACCATGGGCACTTGAGCCAGCAGAAAAGTCCCCCGAGTTGAAGCCAATGCCAGGTTGAATTTGTAGCATATCAGGGTTCTGAGAGGAACCATGGGCATTTGAAAGTTGAGGGCCGAAATTATTCGAGAAAGGCTGTGAATAAGATACGGCTGCAAGCTCAGCTTGCTGTCCGTATTGGTATCCCGGGGTTTGATGGGACTGAGATCGGGATAGAGGATGGCCAGGCAGAGTGTTGGCTGCGTTTGCGTTTGCGTTGGCATGGGGATGTGCGGAGAGCGAGCCGCGGTTGTATTGTGTATCCGCCTGGTTGCCACTATAGGCGTTTCCTGGCTGTGGGGCAATTGAGGGATGCGAAGATCTTGATGCTGATCCTCCAGAATGGAGTCCGCTAGTCTGCGAAATAGCACTGGAACCGTGGAAGGGTTGAGACAAGTTTGACAAGCTATACTGAAAGGATGAGGGTTGATGGGAATGATTCGATTTCGTTTCATGTCCTTCAAGTTGCCACTGCGGCTGGGATGGGAGGATAGTGGCGTGGGCGAAACCAGAATGCTGGCTTCCTGTGTACGCCACCGACGGTGCATACGCCGAAATATGAGAGAGTTGTTGTGAATCTATAGGAAAGCTGCGATACCGCCCCATGGTAGGGTCGACGCTAGGACCACTTGGGTGCTGCTGTATCATCTGCCCATTGGCCCAAGTTTGCTGATTGGGTTGCATCAGATGTTGTCCCTGTTCGGCATAAGTCGCTTTATAACTGGGATAATTGGGGTTTCCGTGACCTAATGGCGGAAATTGGCCCTGGAAAGCAATTAGCCATACGCACTAGTGCTGGGCTTCGAAGGTCTAACAAACCGCCGCATACGTTCCATCACCCGAAGTGAATGGCTGTGTATAGGGTTGTGATGCATTCTGGGCATTATGAGCCAAATGCCATCCCAGCGTACCCGCTGAGACTTGTCCGGAAATGCTCGATTGTCCATTGAGCTGGGAGCTTAGGGAGCTCTATTCCACCATCAGTGCCACGACTCCAATGCTTGTGCAGACATGATGAGTGCGATTCCCTACGGAAGTTCCCGCATTGTCCACCGCCGACTCTATTCGCTCCACCAATGAGCTTCCGGCCGCTTCCACTTGAGGATTGTTGGTTGACGGTTGCGATGGTCCCGCTCCGATAGACGTGGGGGTGGTAGAAGGTGATAGAACGACCGGCTCGGTGGGTATGTCCCATTGTGACTTGCCGGTTGCCCGCTGAACATAGTACCACTGGCGTTGTACGCCTTCCCACTGTGGGAGCCTGGATGCGTCTTCAGTCAGAATTGGGCACTGTGGGTAAACGAAACCGCCGACGGCCCACGGCCCATGGCTCATGACTCACGGCTCAACTTACCAGCCCTCAGGGAGTCGAGGCGGAGGAGATGATGGGCCTGCAGTATCTGCAGGGGCATCTTGTGCCATTCTGCACACAGCCAGAGGATGGGAGGCAAGTTGCTGGCGGACAGAAACACCCGAAGGGAAGGAAAGGTCGTCGGCTGGGGGCGATCCTGTGGGGCCCCCGGCCTTGGCTTGGCGATCACGTTCCATCAACATCGAGACGGACAGGTACAGTGGCAACAAGATAGGAGGCACCAGGAAACGAATCAGAGTGAGTTAAATGTTGATACATTATTAAACTATTCTAAGAAAATTACTATAGAGATTTAATATGACAGAACTTGCAAAACCTCAATCCCAACCCGTAAAGACTGATAATCCCCTTTGTGATAACTCCATAGCCGAGTTCCTTCGTATCCAGCCATCCTTTTCCAGTAGAAATAACGCTTGAGTCCCTCGCGCCGGTATGGAAATCCCGAAAACAATACCACACGTAAGAATAAAAAGAGAAGCAAACGGAAAATGAAAATGCGATACAACCAAACAAGAAACCCACGCAGAATCACCAGGCATGGCGCTGCGGGGGTTCCCAGTCATCGCCCGCCCAGTCCTCATCACCACTAAGCTCATCATCAAGGAAGTCAGCCTCGTTGAACTGGGTTTCCGTTGGGCGTTGGTTATCAATACGAATTTTGACGAAATTGCACATTCCCTGCTGGGTCTCTTCATGTGGCGCAGGGGACGGGGATCGAGACAGTGAATCTTTGAGGTGTGCCAGTCTTAGACTCTGGCGCTTGGATGGAGTAGAGGGTTCACTGCCAGCAGAGCCTGGACGTGCCGATTCTCCATCAGCGATCGATTGACTCGCCTGGAGGGGACGCTTGCGCAAAGAACGAAGGTTGGGGTCAGGTGGGGCGCTCCGACGCAGAAATGTTGTCTCCAGTCGGTGGATCCAACGCTCACGGAAGGTAGCACGATCGCGCCAGCCAATCTTGAGGATTGCTGTGATGGTAAGGCGGCGCAGGTCGCGCAGTCTAGGCGCAGCATTGACCAGCGACATGAAGAACCCCTCCACCGTTGGCTCGCTGAGTTTCTTGAGTTGGATAAGCTCGATCTCCCGAAGGGTCTCCGGCCACGTCGGAACTTCAGATGGAGTCAGAAGCTCTTGAAAGTGGAGTTCAGTATCGTGGTAGCTTGACCAGTCATGCATAGAAACGTCCATCTTGAACCGCTCCAGCTTGGGGCAATACTGCGCAAGATGGGTGATGAACGACATTTTGAGATGCCGGTTATGGCTGAGACTTAGCTCCCGCAGCTGCCGTCCGTAGGATTCTAGATATGCTTCGAGACCGGGAGAGAAAACCCGATTGCAGTTTGTCAGAGTAAGAGAGCGGAGCTTTGATGGTAGGCGAGGCAAACTATACTTTCCTACAATTCCGCATTCAATGAACTCCAATTGCTCGAGCCGAGGGAGTTGTTGTAGTGCTGCAACAAGGCAAGTCTCTAGTGAAGCGATATCCTCCTGGGTGCGCTCAGAACAATTGACATGGACAAGGCGGAGATGTTTCAATTTCTGGAATGCTGCTCGTTGATGTTTCTCCAGCATATAGGGGAGGAGAGTATCAACGTTTGTCATGAAACGACCATTCCAATCCCAGCTGCGAAGAGCGATGCTATTCTCGTCAAGGCTCGAGAAAAGAGATTCCGGATAGACCCACTTAGAAACTGGGAGGGTGTAAGTAGGTATGCCGATGATAGAATCATCTTTATGGAAGAGCCTGAGCGTGTGCACTCGCGGTACTGTCGCGATGAGGTCACACAGGTCAAAATAGCCAAGCTGTGGGCCTGTTTTATAGAGTAGTACGGATTCAGCATCCACATGGAGTTCTTTGACCTTGGCTGAATAGTTAATTGATAACGACTCTTGCGGCTTTGACAGAAGCCAAAGGAGTTCGAAGCTCTTAGAGGCTGGAATGAGAGGCGGAGAGTAGTAGAGAGCTGCAAGCGCAGGCTCTAGAAATTGCCGGCACGAAAGAGCCATTTCAAGAAGCCACTTAGTTGACTTTGTCCGCTGCATCAGCTGTTCGTCGACGAGAGGATGGGACGCTCGCAGGAATATGTCAAACAGGATGTGGTATGGAAGTGATGACCAGAGCGGAATGACTCCCGAGCTCAAAAACACCCCCTCGCTCACATCAAGTCGAGTGCGCTTCTTCAAGGGCTGGCCCAGGGTTCGCTTTGTGGGTTTTCTGGGGTTCGTTGTAGTGCGTTTTGGCAGTGAGCGTCGGGAAGGTCCATCGCTCTTGCGGGAGCGGCGCGGATCCGGATCACGGGAAGGCGCGTTGAGAGAGGCCGAGGCGGAGTGGATAGAAGCAGGTGGATTTTCTGATAGTCGCATCGAATGATCTACTTCCGGCACACTTGCATCACTGTCGTCGGGTGAGCCTTCAGGATTCGTATCTGAAGACAGCTCGCGATACGATCGACGTGTTCCGGATGACGTGCGCGGACGAAGAGATATGGAGGGAGGTCGGGAGGCCATTACATTTGTTTCCTGTTCTAGACCCAAGTCCTCGGCAGAAGTGCTGTCTTCGTGGTATGTCTTGACCTTGGTGCGCGTGGAGCGGATAGGTCGCTGCCGTCCACTGGGAGCCATGGCTGCTCAAGTCACGTTGGGGACGGGCTAGGCAGACAATGCCATCACATCGTTCGCCTTTGATTTCCGGAAACAACGATTGGATGCCGTTTTGATCGAGAGTCGATGGACCGAGGGAACAAAAGGGAGGAGAGTGTAACTAGTCCAACCGCTGCTCTTTGATGCGGATGAGACGGCAGGAGTGATCAACCTTATCGATAAGCAAAGTAGCTCCATCAGGCTGGACTGCATTCAGACTAGTGCTGCTCGTGACCGCCCCAGGCATCAACCCCCGCCCTCAGGCTACAACACTAGTCTACTTTAGGTACACTAGCGACAGCCAAAATTAGAAACTCAGCTTGAGCTAAGATGGCGCTGCCAGCCACCCTCGGGGGGTATCCTCGTGGGTGGTTGCTTTGTGAACTTCCGATTATCATTCAGTCCTCCAAGGGGTTGCTTCAATTCAAGATTGACCGGCTGAGATTAATCATGGTGCAGACCGATTGATACGATCCACACAATCACCCCAGGATCTAGAGTCAACACAGCTGGCCTGCTTTCGGCCCCGCGACTTAGTCGGGAGTTGACGACTCCCAAGGGATTTTTTCAATGGAGAACACCTTCCCTGTCATGATGAGCTCCACTGAGCGTTCCAATCAAAGCGGCATCGGGTCGTCTCAGATGGTGATCCAGCAGTATGCACGATATCCTACAGCGTTGGAGTCCACGCTCCAGAGCGCATCCTCACTGGGGAGTGCGCGAAGTCAACTTGAAACCCATAGGTCGCCACCGCTGCATCGTAAGGGGACACCTCGAAGCATACAGTCTTCTCCACGGGGAATGCGCTCAGCACTACCCCCATCATCAACCGCTCGGTCTGGCCCGTCCATGTCTCCACCTCTGTTTGATGCCATGCGTCATTCTCCTATGAAAGATACAGCAGATCAGGCCGAGTCGCGAACTCTGCCATCGCGGGAGGTTACTGACGACACCATTGATGACGCTTACGTCTTGTTTATTCTATACTGCAATCCCAATGTACCTTCTTCTGTCGATACCTCGGAGCTTCGCAAGACATTTCGCTGCCCTCCACGCAGTGATGGCAAAAGCTTTAGTGTTTTCACTCTATACGAGCTTATTCGCAGACTGGATAACAAAGAACTCAAGACTTGGATCCAACTAGCGATCGAATTAGGCGTCGAACCGCCTTCGATGGAAAAGAAACAGAGTACGCAGAAAGTCCAGCAGTATGCTGTACGCCTAAAGGTAGGGCACATATTTTCTCTCTGCGGTATATTACATTTCTAACAATGTACCAGCGTTGGATGCGTGCCATGCACGTCGACGCTTTCTTCGAGTTCTGTCTGGGCCACCCCCATCCATACTACACCCAGCTTCCTCCCTCTGGACCGTTCGTTAGCGAGTCCCGCGATGGCGTGCCTCTAGAAGAGGACCTTGCTCTCCGGGCTTTGGTTCCACAGTGGAAGCCCAAACGTGGCCGGAAGCGAGCGGATGAAAGAGAGCTCGAGGAAGACAAAGCAGCCAAGAGGCCACAGTTGGATACATCGGTAGCCGGCTTGCACCCACGGGTCTTTCCGACACATAACATTCCTTTTCCTCAAAGTGCCATCCCATTCAGTGCCTATCCCACCGAAGATGATCCCTGGATGACAGCATCGTCATCATTTCCGCCACCTAGTACTTCAGACCAACAGGGCAACGATTTACACTGGAGACTCACGGAGCGTGAGACCTCGCCTGCGGGTTACCCCCAATCTGCGATTATCCCCAGAGAAACACAACCCTCGGAAGCACTCATGTCTGCTGAGCCACGCTCTGCAGTCACTCCGTCGTCCGGGGAGAAGACTCGTGCCCGACGTAGACATGGACCGGCGGTCTCATCTGCCTGGCCCAACAGCAATGGCCCAATAGCTGGAAAGGGTCGCGGACGACCACCGAACAAAACTTCGACTTCAGGCTCATTTTCCACCTTTCAAGTCAACTCAAGCCGGGATTCCTCCCAAGTGCCTCTGCCTCGCGTGGCCCAATCATCCCCACTCGTTGTTAATGAGGAACCTTCTAATGCTGTGTCAAACTCGACCTTCAACCCTTCATCCACACCAGTCAACCAGGGGCGGCCGGGTAAACTTCAATTGCAGGTCCCGCAACATCAAGGTGCTCCGGTTCGGCTTGCCACCCCTCCAACACTTCTTGTTAACGGTGTCAACGGTGCACTTGTCCCTCAAGCCCAAGGGCCAAATCAGTCTCAATCAGCCAATACTCTTGACAATGTCCGTCAAATCGGTGGATTTGCAGAACACGAAGTCACGACGTCAGAGACAAGAATTTCTTTGGATGATATCATGCGCACGCTATCTAATGAGCTTCTACACGCACGTATCACAGGCAGACCTACTCCTATAGCTCCACAAGAGGCCCGGGCTCTGGCGTCTGCTTTGGTCGTAAATTTGACCAACATCTACTCACAATTGCCCTCTTCCCTTCCATCGACATACCTGGCCTTCCAGCTTGGCATCGGTCGTCATTTCGGTTTACCGGGCAACAGCCAAAATACAGTAGCTATAACAACCGACAATGCTTCCACTCATACAACTATGGCCGGTAAATTAGGCCCCTCGGAGTCACTGGATGCAACAAGATATACAGTCTCGTTCGAGTATAATGCCTCCTCACGATTTACTCTACAGGTGCTGCTTGCGAATAGCGATACAGGTGTTTCCACTCGGACCTTCAACCAAGCTGCCATTGCTCCTCATAACTCTCATGAACTCGATCAGGATGATGGTTTGCCTGATCTTGGAAATGACGATGATGATTTCGACCACACTGTCTCGGACGCTACATGGAAACAACGATATATGAGGCTCCGAATGCAGATGCAGAAGAAGGAGCGGTCATTATCTCAATACAAGCGAAGAATTGTCGAAGCGGTGATGGCGGATATCTAAACGGCCTTGCACGATGAGGACTTAGGCGATCATTTTCTGTTTTCATATGTTTGTCACCAAGCGTTCCGTTTCTCCTTTGATACGATACCCATCTATAACTTGTTATCACTTACTATATAAACTTTCTGCGTGGATCTCGTCCTCTAAACTTTCTATTAAACGCCCGTGCTCTCTACGTGTCGATGTTGATGGTCAAAGGGCCCGGGTACGTAATTGCCATGGCAAATGACCAAATTTGGGGAAACAGAGTGGCATTCTCATGAATCCTTGGGATATTCTAGCCTTCTATTGCGCCTCCTATGCCAAAGCACCTCGTGAATACAATGAAAGGAGAGAGAAAGTACTGGTACACGCGAGTGCCTGACTGACCGAATCCTCTGTTGAACGCGGTACACAAAGAGCCTTTCAAGACCCTCCAGCAAGTGGAAATGCCACGCCGTAGACACTATGTCATTTTACTACTCTTCTTCAAGTATAGCCACCATGTCATGTATAGCTTCGACCATCGCTTTCCCTCGACAGCATTTTATTCTACACCTCCTCGCCAGGACTTTAACCTCTTCTCCCTCCAGTTGACTCAATGTGTTTTAGCTCAAGGGTATCCCGCTTTAGGATTATGGTGCTCACTCCAGCTCCGGAAGAGCGTTGTGTTTGCGCAGCATGGTTGACCTTCTTTTGCTGGTATGACATATTCAGGTCATAGGCGCTCAGTGGGTATTTGAAGAGCTTCACACCAGATCTTGTCAGCTAGTATTGGACATTTTAATTCATCTTAGGTAGGTAACTTCCGCCGTAACCTCGGCAAGGGCCGTCTTCTAGGTGAACCCGCTCCATATTCTCTCAAACGGGTGCTCTCTCAAACGGGTGGAGTATTGTTCAATACCGTTCAAACCTATACCTTGATATAATGTGTACCCAAGTTACACAACCATCTTGATTCTTGGCAGTGTTCCTGAAGTTTTCTATACTTGCGTTGTCAGCGCATTGCGCTGGACTATGCCTTCCAAAATCTAGAACGACATCTCATAACTTTTACAAGGCCAACTTGAGAGTTACAGAAATCAGAAGTGGACTCAACTTTATTGGTAGAAACTCAATATGGCGCGATAGTATTCCTTAGTTGCCCCTTTGATGCTAGAAACGGGCGAGAGAGTCACGAAACGAAAGCAATAAATGACAAAAGGTACCAGGAAAAAGCCTCTGCATTCCCTGGTATGCGTATGACGGAGATGTTGAAACGGGAAAGGAGAATGCTAGTCAGGTGGGAATCGCAATAATGAAATCAAGATTCCAACCCCTCCTCTATTCTCGAAGCCGTCAAACGGAGCATTGAAGCCCAACGTCTCATTCGGTACCGGCCTCGTCATCCAGAGGCGCTGGGGCCTTGTCATTCTCAGCGTCGTCGTCCTTCTCAAGGTTTGCGCGCTTGCGCTTCGAGGGTGTACACTTCTTCGACGGTGTGCTCGGACCTCCAGTAGCAGCACCCTTGCCCTGGGCAGGGCCTGGAGATTGAACTCCCTGCTTGGCGAGGTAGGAAGTGGTGAGCCCGTAGGTTCCCAGCAATCGCTCGTACCGCTTCATACTGTGCTGGGTTAGATTGAAACAGTGCAGGTTGAACTGAGTAACTTACGCGGCTCCTTTGGTCTTTATGTCCATCTTCTCAGCAACGCTGTCCCAGTCAATCTAGAGTTGATTTTATTTTAGTGACGTTCAGGTAGTGTGTCTGGCGGGGGAGGGGGGCAACGTACCTTTTCGAGTTTCTTGGCCTCGGTGTTCATAATCACGGTTATCAGAAACCACATAGGATCCTTGCTCGGATCATCGCTGATGTCTTTCTCCTTGCTGGCTGGGGACATCCTGGCGGTAGTCTCGTGTGTTGGTGGCAGGTGATGTTTGGAGTCCAGATGTGTGGATGTTGATGAAGGTGTGGAGTTAGGCAGGGTGGGGAGAGTGAAGCAGTGAGAAAAGTGAAGAATAGTGGAGAATGACGGAGGCAGGATAGTGAGTAAAAAATCAAAAGATGATGATAAGCCAGTCGATTAGTGGATAAGGGTCAAACAACATGGTTTGACTATTGCCTCGCTGTTTGCCAGAATGTGCTCCACCGATGGTCCTTGATAGTACCATCCGCTTGACCTTCGTAGGGCCACTGTGACCTACATCTAGGTGGCAGCGAGATCCACTGGACAACACTTGACCAATATACGGGCATCTCATACGCTTCCAAACCATGAGTATGGATATTATTCAAGAAATAGACATATAAGGAGACTAAGAGAGAAGACGTGCAAGTGGGTAAGCCTGGTGAAGATGTCCAATCGGCAAGGCAAATTTACTCTCAGCAAGAACTACGAGTTGTTCAAAATCAGCCGTGTTCTATCTCCTCTTTTACTCGTGCTTCCTTTGCAAGGTCTCCTTTCCCAGAATCGTGGTATTCGGCGCGGTTATATAAGGGCTTGGGGCCGCAGCAGGCTCGACACCTTTCTTAGACTGGTGGGACATATTTATTCCATACGAGCTAAGAAGGTGTCCATGAATTTTGACTCAGGGCTGTGATACCTGAGGTGAACCACGTAATATACCCCGAGCAATTTACGGGGCACTCTTCGTCTTGGTTTACACGTCTTTTATTGGTTTATCCCGGTCTATCTGGGGTGAGATTATGTCGGCGCTTGCATCGGTGATGGGGCTCTATCACCCTCCACTGTCACGTTTGCCTCTATCTTTCGGCGTTTGGTTGGGCTATTTTTGCTCTCGTCGGCTTGGCATTTACCGATAGAAGTAGTCCTGATCCCACCAGCGGCAGCGGCAGGAGCGGGTGTTCGAGGGGCGACAGTACACATATGTGTCATTGAAATCAATTGCATGTCTCTGTTAGATACAAAGAATAACTAGCATAGACATGATCAAGTGTAACTCGAGAATGCTCTCAGAAGTATGACATCCCCAGTCTTCACATCGCCATTCTGGAGCTTGGAACGGGTTTAGAATGAACCAGAAGACTGTGCCATCCAAGAAATGCGTACAACAAACAGATAAATCCCGGAGTAGCCTTGATACTCTGTTCCCGTTCGTCATGACATTGTGAATTGGCACGTGCCATTGCGACCTCGGCTTCATCCACAGGGGTTCGCTTAGACCTCAGTTGGATCAACCTCAGACTGATCTGGGGTCTCGGTGTCCGAACGCTTGCGCTTAGTCGACTTGCGCTTGGGAGTAGGAGTGCTTGGCTCAGCTGCAGTCATATCTCCGGCTGGGGAGCCAACAACTTGACCGGCCCGGGTAGGAGCAAAAGATCCGTTGAGCCCGTAAGAGGCGAGTAGACGGTGGTAGCGCATGCGACTTGGTCAAGTCAGCATATTGAACACGGAACTCTACCACAAAAGACTTACGCAGCCACTTTGTTCGTGATGTTCAGCTTTTGAGCCACCTGTTCGAAGTCGATCTAGAGTAAAGTAAATGTTAGTGTCGTTCCCCAGTGGAATAAGACGTGTTAACAAGTACGGTAGAGGACTGATTTCTTTTTATGGAGTTGGAGGTGCCACACCTTCTCAAGCTTGCCAACTGCACTCTGCATGATACAGGTAATCAAGAACCAAGTGGTATCCTTTTCAGGGACCTTCTTGTTGCTGTCGGGGGAATTGGCGGACAGCTTGGCCGGCTTAGCCGGAGTGGATTTGGGGGTTGAAGCAGTCATCAGGCTCAAGAAAGCGCGGAGGTGGTTCGGCAAAGATGGAGAGTTGTGATGAAGGGAAGAATACGAAGAGGAAATGGTGACAAATAAAAGGAAGGCGGGGGGGAGGGACTAGTGGAAGGCAGTTTCGGGGTTTGCTCCAGGTCAAGAATATGGTGTGGCAAATATCACTCAAGTCTCTAGCTCAATTTTTGATCTACGTGATTTCAAGCCGCTCCAGTGATACGTGTATATTAATGCAACAGGCTAGACTGGACACTGAAGACTGGACACTGAAATTATACCATGTCGATAAGCCATTTCATGTCTCTTTGGGAGAGCGTCAAGTATAACTATATTCTCAAAGTCTGTCGTTTAAATTATCATTGGTCTACACATGGAGAAGCTCGGGGTCTTGATCGAAAATGGGAAGAGCATTTATGGGCTTGTTTAGTTCCGGCTCCCTATATGTATGGAGCAAAGGTAGTAGATTGCAACCGATGGCATCTAAAACTTTCAGAATCACGATCGCTCAGTGCGAATCTACCACACTGGCGCTAAAGTCCAGTCCACCCCTGTATCAATGAGAAGCCATGTATGAGACTGCAAGGATCGGGGGTGATCTGCAGATACTAATGGTCAGTTTGGAACAGTCAAAATGAGTGCGTTGCACAAGGTCAGCGTACCAGGGTAACGAAGAAGATCTAAGCTTCATTCTCGCTGGTCTTCTCTGCCTTGACGTCGTTCTCGTCATCGGAACTGTCAGAATCATCCTTGGGCTTGGACTCCTTGGCGGGCTCAGCGTTAGGCTTGCGGCCGCGCCTGGCACCGGGCTTCTGTACCTTGCTCGGGGGGCCCTTGGGGCTGGCAGGGCCCTGGATACTTTTAGTCTGCATTCTTAATATTAATATTTGATACTCACATCACCCCGATGGTAGGAGAGTTCAACCCGGAGGTTGTACTTCTTCTTCAGGGCACTGAATCGGTTTCCGGCGGACTTGACATTGCCATAGCCCAAGGCCTCTGCAACGGCACCCATGTCGACCTGGAACACGATCAGAATTTGACCGTAACTCAGAGCTCCGATCTCCGTGGCTAGATATTGCATACCTTCTTGGAGTCGGGATCGATATTGCGAAGACACATGGCCAAAAACGCATTATCCCCATCCACGCCTTGCTCAGAGCCCTGGGTGGTCTTTGCAGATTTTGGAGGCATTTTGGGAATTTTGGAGGTTTTGCCAAGATGAAGAGGGTGTTCAGAATTTGAAAATTTCTGTGGAGCTTGGAGTTGGAAGGTGTGTGAATTGTGAAGGAAGGGAATGTGTGAGAGAGAAGAAGAAGGCAGGAAGTTGAGTGGAGAGAAGCAGTGAGAGCAAAACTGCACAGGGGATTTCCGGGATAAATGATGGATCTAGTCCTCAAACTCAGGGCTCTCGATATTCCCCTGGTATGCTTAAGAATAAAACCTAACAGCCGAGTTTGGGATCACCTATTCGATTACTTTAAGGTACCTTGAAGACCAAGTATTCTATCCCCGTCACGTAGTTGGTTATCTTCTTGAACTGATTCATATCGTAAACACATATGGTGAGCGTAAACTATTACTATTAACCAGCTAGTCATACGATTAACCACTCAGCGGACAAATTAAATGGTATTACGACATTTGAGTCTAGGAAGCTCCATCTCTAGGACCACTAACTGCCAGACTGCAGGATCAATCTACCATCACCTACTCCTGTCTCTATAGACTTCCATGGAAAGTCATTGGAAACGGGTATGATAACAAGAGGTTCAAGCTTTATTAAAGCTCAATAATTATAAGAGAGAGGGTCTTCAATCTTTTTCTATAGATAGGATACAAAAGCAAAACCAGTATCAAACGAGTCCAAGCATTTCTAGAGCTCAAGTGGATCCAAATCCTTACAGATCAATGCAGATCTTACCATCCGATGCTTGCTCCTTCGCTAATTCCAGGCTGTCGACCTTTCCTCGCAATTTTCCCGTTCCTCCTTGATCTTTGGCGAGGAGGGCGGAGTGAGGGTTTGTTGCTGTGAGATTGGCTCCCAGGTTATGACCGGGCCGCTATTGAAACCAGGTGTCGGCTGGGAGGGACATTCTGGCATGTTGAAATCGTGGGACATTGGAAAGGACGAAGAGCAAGTTGTGAAACTCAATGGAGTTGACGTCGGCATCGGCGCATACATGCCTGAGGCCAGGGGCAATGGCACACTGCTCGCAACGCCTCGGGGCAGAGCTCCTTGTAATACGGGCTCAAAGTGATCGATATACTTGGGCGGCATTATTTGTGGGGACGGCATCATTTGAGGAGATGTCAGCAATGATGCAGGAGACAGGACTTGTTGGAAAGGTGAGTAAAAGCCGCCGTGTGGGTTGCTTAGGCCCTGCATGCCATCAACATGGGGGGTTTCGGGCTCGTATTTGACGAATGGGCTCGCGTTGGACTGGAAAGACGACCCATTTGGCTCGATTTTTGGCACAACACCCGAGTCCAAGAACGCTGGCTTTGTCATTGTCGGAGGTGGTGCCTGCATATCTCCCTTCAGGTTGCCTTTGGCTCCCTTCTTGGTGTTCTTTTTCTTGCTCACGGGGTCTATCTGGTTCTTGAATCGCGAGTAACGCATGCGTGCAGCATGGCCATTTGAGATTTCAAGGTCAGATGCGACCTTGTTCCAATCAATCTGACATTGGTGAGCATTTTCTCCAACTGAAGGGAATGAGCGAAATGGAGACGATGCACTCACATCCTTCAAGCTCAACTGTTTGATGATGGAGTAGAGAAACTTTGGGGTCGGGCCTTCAATGTCCAAGACTTTGCTTCGATTACCCATGATGGAGCATCCCGGGGTCAACCCGTTTCCCAAGAGGACGAAAATTTCCAGTATTGGAAGGTGCTTGGGTCGATCGGGGATGATAGAAGCTGATACCTGTTCAGACCTCATTCCATAGGCGTGCACACCATCTCAATATATATCTGTCTCGGAGCAGCATGCCCGGACAAAGCTAAGCGCTATTTGTTTTCTTTTTCTTCAGGCGGCATACATTAAAGCTCACCCCAAGAGATGAGGTCTCGTGATGCTAAGGAATACCCTTGAGTTTGCCTGTTAGAAGGAAGTGCAGTCAGTGGGGCCTGCAATGAGCCAACCCAACCTCAATGGAAGGGCTGATTTAGACGCTATCTGCCCAGCAGACTCCCTCCACGATTTAAGGTTATAAATATGGATAGACAAAGTACACATTGCAGTCGCGATGACAAATCTTCCATTATCGGCATGTATAGGGTCTTTGGCGATCCCTTCTGGTAGATCTGCGAAGTCTCACGTGCTTGTGCTTGCCCTAGCAGCTGCATGAACAATCGGGGCCACTGACGTAACGAGAAAAATCGCAAACGGAAAAAACTGATTTGAAAAATAACAATAATAAACCCTACAGTCTGATTGGGGAGGTAAAGAAGAGGAAAGGCGCGGAGAGGTCGGGAGCTATGACTTGTCGACCTGTCCCTTCTAGACTGGTGATTGGCTGCCCAGGAACATACTACCTAAGCATCGAACATTCCTAGCATGAACGGCTGGGCCATGTCAAATGGCATGAAAGAGTCCTCCTACGAAAGAAATTGAGCATTGTCAGGCACATACAAAAGAATGGACCTGAAGACCCCATCGGACATGATCCCATCCTGACTAATCCAGATGGATAAGTTACTTAACTGCCCGCCCCGCGGCAGGGAGTGGACCCCAATCCAGGCAGTACCTTGCTGGAATACGCTCGTACACATTAACAAATCCAGACTCGTTCTATTACCTGGCCAGCTCTTGCTCTACTCCAGAGCTGGGAATCATGTTGGTCGCAATAGGGGCTTGCTATCTGGACACTATCCTGACGTACGTTGAGTACCTCGATTTCCCAACTTTGTTGTATTGATCCTAACTCATTTACCCCCCATAGAACACAGTATTATCCGGGAGAAGATGAAAAATTACGAGCAACCAATGTTACTCGTCGGAGGGGTGGCAACTGCCCGAACATGCTCGAAGTACTGCAGCAATTGACATTCCACGAATCAACGGTTGAAGAGCTTCCATTAGCCTTGATCACAATCTTGCCTGCCAAATCATCAATAGCCTCCCAGCAGATCAAATCTGCATTTGGAACACGCGTCAACTTGGACCATTGCATCTACCGAGAGGAATTTGAAGAGCCAGCTTCATGCTACATCATTAAAAGCCAGTCCACTGGCAGCCGCACCATCGTCAACTATAACAGTCTCACTGAGATGACCCTGGAAGAATTCACTGGGGTAGCCAATGAGCTTGGTCCCAAAGCCAGGTGGTTCCATTTTGAGGTATGAATCGCGTAAGACACTCTTGATACGCACTACTCATATTTGGACAGGGTCGAACGCCTGAAATCACCTTGCAGTTTATCCATTATCTACGAAAAAACTATCCTTCCTTGAAAGTGAGCGTCGAGATTGAAAAGCCTGGCCGGCAGGGTCTTCAGGAACTCGCCGAGGAGGCCGATGTGGTGTTCTACTCGAAGATCTGGGCCAAGGTATAAGAAAGCTCTGAGAGTCCTCGCTATTAAGAAGTGGCTGACACCTGTACAGGATCTTGGATATAGAACGGCAGAAATGTGCTTGCGAGAGCAGTCTACACGCGTACACAAGGCGTGAGTACCTCTAAGCTTGGGGAATTTATATGGGCGAACAACTAAGCAGATGTCTAGATCGTTGCTATGTTGTACTTGGGGCGAGGCGGGAGCCAGTGCCCTGGAACCAAACACAGGAAACTTCGTGAACGTGGCAGCTTATACAACAGAGAATTTTCAAGTCATCGAGTGAGTTTATGCTTCAGAGAAGAGTGAAAGTAAGCTGATGAGGGATAGTCCGATTGGAGCTGGTGATACATTCATTGCAGGAATGCTGTATGCTTTGAATTGCAAAGGCAAGGACTGGGATCTCTCAAAAAAGCTTGCATTTGCGAACCGGGTTGCGGGCATGAAGGTGTCCCAGGAGGGGTTCGCGGGTCTAGACCGTGCATTGGCATCCTTTGTCTAAGCATGATTCAATATGTAGGATTATTTTTGGTACGTCACCAATTCGTGTCAATATTAGTCGAAGAATGGGCAGAAATATTTCCTGCATGTGAATGTTTATCTCCTCTGGGACGAGGACCAACTGGATGTGCCGGTGTGGAGCGGATGTTAAAGGGGCGACAACACCACGTGACCTCAAATCGTTGCGGGCCTGGCGGTGAGAAACAAAAATATTCTGCCGCCAACTTTTCTCGGAAGCTTCTGCATCGAACATACCTGCTGCTCAACATTCATACATCACAATGGCGGCAGTTTATAAGACAGTTTCTAAGAAGAAGGCCCGGCAAGTGACTGAGGATATGGATGAGGACTCCGATATCCCCATGGATGAGCTCCTCGAGGATGCCGACGATACCACCGACAGCGAAGAGGAGGATGAAATGGAGGACCGCATCGCTGAAGCGAGGAAGCAGCTTGCGGCTGGTTTCATGCCCAAGACTCGGGTTCTAATCTTGACATCGCGTGGTGTCACGCACCGGTCAGTATCTGCTATCAATGCGCTCGAATACAATCCATGACCCTTGCTAATCATACTCATAGCCACCGGCACCTGATGTCCGACCTTTGCGCTCTCCTCCCTCACACTCACAAAGAGACCAAACTCGACACTAAGAAGAAGACCGCCGGCTACAACCTCCTGCTGAACTCTCTCGCCGATTTGCACTCGTGCAACATGATTTTCTTCCTTGAGGCCCGCAAGAACGGTCAAGATCTGTACCTTTGGCTCTCGCGCCCGCCCAACGGTCCCACCATCAAATTCCACCTGAACAACTTGCACACTATGGGTGAGCTCGGTGCCGGCTTCGCAGGCAACTGTCTGAAGGGTGGACGGGGTATTGTCGTTTTCGATCGCTCATTCGACGAGCAGGGTCCCGATATGAGTGTTCCCGGTGCTGAGTACCGCGGTCTAGTCCGTGAAATGCTGCGCGGTATCTTCTGCGTTCCCAAGCGCGGTGTCAAGGGCATGAAGCCCTTCGTGGACCGTATCATCGGCGTTTTCGGCGTGGACGGCAAGATCTGGATCCGCGTCTACGAGATTCGCGAATCTGAGGGCGCTGCGAAGAAGAAGGATGGCGAGGAGACTGCCAAGGCTGTCCCCAAGGCCAAGGACGGACAACCCGAGGTATCTCTGGTTGAAATCGGTCCTCGCTTCGTGTTGACCCCTATCGTCATTCTGGAGGGCAGCTTCGGTGGCCCCGTTATCTACGAGAACAAGGAGTATGTCAGCCCCAACCAGGTCCGTCGCGAGGCTCGGATGGGCAAGGCCGGCCGGTACGCTCAGCGTCGGGAGGATCAGACCGACCGTGTCACCAAGCGTACGGATCTGGGTCTTTCGGACAACTCTTCGCGGAAACCCGATGCGCTGGAGACGAGAAAGTTGTTCGCATAAAGGGGAGTGGCTTTTTTTTTTCATGTGGGCCATTCTGATGGTTCGACTATCTTGTATATTTGGGCGACGATATCATTCATGGTCTGCTTAGGCGTCAGGGCAATATCTCGTAAAGGTTTATTTCAAAAAAAGTATTTTGCGCTTGATTGTATCTCCCAAGTGAAGTCCTTGTTTCCTTGAATATTTTAAATCACCATTAGCTCTTATCGTATGGCCAAGTTTTGTTCTTGCTGCCAAAACTTTATTCCGAGTCCTCAACGGGCAAGTCAAAACCCGCGGTGGAGCTTCAGGTGGGCCCCAGGCGTCGTGGCAGCCATCTGGTCCACCGATAGGACCACCTCAGCGGCCCCCTGATTGGAACTGTAATTAAAAGTACGGACTAGAAAGAATATTTCGTACACGGCAGGTATTTTGGGAGAATATGACGATTGTCCAGGAAAGGCTTTCATACACAAAACCACGCAGCCATGGGGACGCCCAACCCATTTCATTGCACCGGGGACCTGAACAGACCAACGGGAGGAAAAGAGCAGAAACAAATCTGGTGGAAAGGAATCAATTTAGGTGGAACCACCCAGAGCACAAGCACGCATTAGAAAAAAAAAAAGACATGAAGTTGGAGAAGAGAAAAGGAGAAACGGCAAAGATCCGAGGACTGGGAGCTAGGTCTGGGATTTGGCAGCTCCCCATCTGTCCCTCTCAGGTTTTCTACCGTATCCAGATCCTGCCGGGTGTATCGTCTTCGCCTCAAATTACAGACTCCATCACAGATCATGGCCATTCCAAAGTCACATTGTAAAAAGAAGAGTCGTTGCAGTCCATTTCATCGGGGCCCTTAGCAGCAGCCCTGCTTCTGCTCGTTGGGCTGCGGGGTGAAGTCGATAGTGCGGCCCACAGGTGGGTTCGTGCTCGACTCACCAGAGTCCAGAGCCTTGCTGGAAACGATGCGGTAGATTTCTGGGGAAAGAATTCCAGTTAGTTGCTGCCTAGACAAGGGTCTCGTGCCTAGATCCGATTCGAGGTGTGGACCTACCTGTGAGGATGTTCTGGAAGGCAAGTTCGACGTTGCTGGCGTCAAGGGCGGAAGTTTCGATAAAAGAGAGGTTGTTCTCGCCTGGTGAATCAAGTCAGCCCCCGCTTCCTTCCCTTACGCTTGATCGTGGGAATTCAAAACATACTGGCAAATTGCTTGGCCTCCTCGGTGGGGACCGCACGCAGGTGCCGCAAATCACTCTTGTTACCGACCAACATGATGACGATGTTAGAATCGGCGTGGTCCCGCAGCTCCTTCAACCACCGGTTGACATTGTCGTAAGTCTGGTGCTTGCTAATATCATAGACGAGAAGAGCGCCAACAGCGCCACGGTAATAAGCCGACGTAATGGCACGGTAACGCTCCTGACCAGCTGTATCCCAGATCTGTGCCTTGATAGTCTTGGAATCGACCTGGATTGAGCGAGTCGCGAACTCGACACCGATGGTGGACTTGGAGTCCAGGTTGAACTCGTTGCGGGTGAAACGGCTCAGCAGGTTGGATTTACCGACACCCGAGTCTCCGATCAGCACCACTGTTCATACGGTCAGTATCGTTGCTCCTACAACCACGTCATGTGGTGGAGAGTTGTGGCAGAGGCACGGGTGGGCAGGCGGAGGGAACAGGCAAGGCGAGGCGATATCCGCGCAAGGCAACGTTACCTTTGAAGAGGAACTGCAAGCCCTCCAGTCAGCAAAGCGAAACGAAAAGCAACTGTGCGAAGGGGGAGGTAACTTACATCATATTCGTCGTTGGCCATACTGAATGTAGGTGAAATGGGAAGTCGGGGAAAAAGAGGGGGAGGAGAAAGGGAAAAAGAAACGGGGGAAGAGGCGAAGTATTGAAGGCGATAGGAGAGAGGTGAAGCCTCCAGGTGGAGTGCCTCCTTAACGTCCGAGTCACGTGCGGGTGTTTACCGCACGGCTCATCCAGCTTTTGGAATTTGGACCTCGTGCTAAAGCGTTTTCGGCGATATAGATCTTGGGAACCTGTTTGCTGCCATTTTTTGCTTAAATGATCGGTGTTCGAATATTTGATACCCTTGGGGCTGTCGTCAAGCCTCTCACAATGACCTCAGGCCCCTTCGGTCGAGAGATTTTCTTTCATCCTGGACCTGACCCAAGCATCAAACACCGCTAGACGCGTCTTAATTCTTCTCGGCACGAGATCGCGTCTGCTGCTTTCCGTCATTTCTTCATCTCTTTCCCTCCTCGGTGTCAAGCTGCCAATGTCGCAATCCTCATTACAATGGGGGCAGACACGGAGATGAAGGATGCTGCCGCTCTCTCGGATGCTGATTCCCTGGCATCTACTGCGCCAAGTGAGCAAGGCTCAGAATATGAAGTGGAAGAAATACTTGCAGAGCGCGTTTCAAAACGAACTGGCAAAAAAAAATTCTTACTAAAATGGGCAGGCTACCCCATATATCGAGCAACATGGGAGCCTGCTGAAATGTTCCTGCAGATGGACGACGCCTTACTCAGATGGGACGAGAAAAGACAGAGAGTCAGAGCAGGCACTGAACGACCATTCGATTTGGAAGCATGGAAAAAGGCTCTTAAGGACCGTGAACGAGAAACCCAACGACGCAAAGAAGCTCGCCGACAGAAACGTGCAGAGAGGGCCGCACGGAAGGAGGCCAAGCCTCTTCGTTCGAATTCACCCCTCGTGTCTGCGTCTCAAGAATCATCCCCAGATGTTCCCTTGATGCACGCATCTCGTCAGTCGTCACCAGATGTGCCACTCATTCGGATCAGTGCGAGTCAGGGCTCGACCCTTCGCAAGTCTCATCAACGGCCTGGCTCGCCGTCCCCTGACTCTCTTTTTGTCTCGGCAGATGACCCGGAGACAAGAGTCCACTCCGACCAGGAAGATCTAGTATCTTCAATGCCGATAATAGCTCAACCTCTGCCAGGACTGCCCGCTTCTGGTCCTGCGAGGCCAGTCTTAGAGTCTCTTAATCCGCCTCTGTCAGTCAAAGCTGTTTCAGGAGCCTCTGAAGACCCTCTGCCACAAACTTCCCAGGGTATTCCTATGACATTGGAGAAATCTCAATCAACTCAATCAGTACCCTCTCGGCCTCTCCCTGAGGACTCGAAAGCTGCGCCATCGAAGCAAGATAAAGGATCCGCCATTGGGCCTAGCCAAGCTACTGGCGGCATACCAGGAAATGAACCAAAGTCGTCACGAGAGCCTCAGTCTCAGCGACCACATGCCTTATCTAGTCAAAGTGCCAAGCAGTTGGCGTTAGGGCCCCTGTTCACGGCGTCCGTATCTAACAAGTCAAAGGACCGCGAACCAGATATCAGCCTACTGCACCTTCGAAAGCCCTCTGAGTTTCCGGCCAGGGCAGCCGCAGGAGTACCCGTACCATTTGCAAAAATGACGGCTTCGGATAGTATCCGACGGGCCGCTCAAAGTGGGATTAAAGCTATCACTACCAACACCTCATCCGTGTCCGAGACCGCCACTTCGCCCGGGGCAGCTCGAAGGTCATCCGAAAACATGGGCCCTTCCTCACGGGCACCTCGGGCCCCTCAAGCAGAGAGGGCTGGTCGATATGGTCCATCCTCTCCTCGTCGCTCTTCTCTGCCATTCGGGGGTGACTGCTATCGACCGAGGAATTCTCGCGGCAGTCCTCCCCCTCAGCGGCTGGATCCCCGCGGAAGGCCACCAGAGTCCCGCCGGAGATCTTCTAGGTCACGCTCTAGATCCCCCGACCGCTGGTCTAGGGCCCGCGAGCCACGGCAAAGATCTCCATTCTCACGTCAAAAATCTCCAGACCATGATCGGCCCGGCGACAGGCATCGGCCAACAAGTACTTCTTCTCCGTTCGTAACTGTAACGCGTCCAAAATCCAATGCGCCTGTCCCAGCTACGTCCTCGAGGTCATCTCCTCCACCTGCCGTCTCTGAATTCAGGAGTGGAACGGGTTCCGCGAAAGACAACGCGATGGCTTTGACAACTAAGCCTCCGAGTCTATCCGAACGACCTCCGATGTCCGCAAAGGACCAAATCAACCGCATGCCGATGGGCAACCCCTTACCTGGAGCCAAGTGGTTGGGAAAAGGGCATTTCTTCAACCCCGGGGAGGTCTTGGCACATGTATACTTCGGCAAAGACAAACATTTCGTTGGGGTTGTACGGTTGTGTGGTCTATCACCAGAAGTGAAAAAAGACCTCTTAGCCCCCAAGAATGCTACCCGGCGATCCTCTAAATTCGAGATGTGGTTCCGGGATGTCACACCTGAGCAGTATTCTGCTCTTTGTCAAATGGAGGACGCTGCGGGCGGCAACAATAGAGTCGTGCGCACTTGTTGGATGGAGGGATTTGCTGATTCCAATCCCGAGATCTTCCACATGTCGGAATTCCTCCGCGGGGAAAATAGGGTCGGCATCTATTTTCCTCCAGGTAACGATGGCTATGTGTGGCTTGCGTATTCCCCCAAGTGTACTGAGTTCGACTACCTCACCCTGCCATATTTCGAGATCGACCCTTGGATCCCTATTCGTCTTGCTGTGCGATCACCTTTGCCTGATGCCCTTGATGAGATTGCTCTGTGGCTGCCAAGGGAACCTCAACAGGTGAAACCCCCGGCAATGGCCATGGTGCCTCATGATCCTTCAAAAACAGCAACGGCCGATCCACTCGCTAATGTCGTCAGACGCCTGGCACAGACTTCTGGTCCTAACAAGCCAACCGGGTCTTTCCACGCGCGAGGATCGAATGGTTCTCCTGTTCAGAGCCCCATAGAACCACCTACGGATCGACCTCCAATTCTTGGACAAGAGGCTCGGGAGAGTCAACTCGCGAGGCATACTGCAGCTGATATGGCTGCAAATGCCCCAGCCGACCCTCGCCTAAGACGTTTGTTGTCTATAGCGAGTACGCAGCAAAATCATCAGGGGCAGTCCCAGCCGATACGAGATGCGTCCGGAAAAATCAAGAGTAAGGACCTCCAAGGTGTCAAGATGGGAGCGCCGTCCGATCTCATGGACACTGCGCCAGACGTCACAGTACCCACAAACACGGCCCTGCTATCGGCCACACAGAATGTCTCTATGCAGCAACTTCCGGATCCTAGTTCCATGCTTGTGGAGTACTTTGACGGCCTCAAAATAACATTCAAGGAACTTGCCTGTGTGAATGGGAAACCTGATGGCCCTCAAGCGGATATGTTCTACCTCCATACTCCCGAAGGTGAAGAGGGCCAAAATGATTGCGCCCTCCTCAAGGCGTGGCTCGAAGTGAACGGGGCCATGATATGGTCCGATTGGGCCAAATTCGTTAAAAACAGCAAATGTGGAGTGATTCTGGTATGTCCTCTTCGCGCAATTTTTACTTATTTTTCAAATTACGACCATCTAACGAAGCTCAAGTTTCACGAATCTTTCGGAAGGTACGATACCCTGCGGCCCAATCTTCGAGACACCCTAGGAAACTCGTCGATGGGCTTTTGGACATTCCGGATCTCTAGACCGCTTGACTATCCCGACGTGCGATACTCCCCACAAGGAGTCTATTTTCAGCGCATCTTCAACCGAGGTGGCGCTTACCTCTTGACTGAGGACGTTCTGCACTCCTTGAAGGAAACAATCGTCATTGTCTACTGGTTTTACAGCATTCAGAAAAACAATCAAGAAGGTCAATGGAAATTGGTCTGTTGGCCAAATCTAATGGAACGCCTTGAGGGAAAGCTTGAAGATTCCGATCTCCCAAAAGATGAGCAGAAACTGTAGGCTTCATATCGTTTTTGTGTTCCTTATCAAACACTAACTTTGGCTAGCATCTTTACCCTCAGCTGGTTGATCAGGAAATGCAACTCTTTGAACAGCCTTCAGCCGCTTTACCAACCCGAAAGCCTGGATCCCACGAATCTTGACGGCCCTGATAATAATATCCTTTCTCTTACAGTGGCCGGCTATGGAGAGCGCTCCGCCAATGCGAACCCTGAGTTACCTCAGGATCTTACACAAGCCGAGCGCAATGCCGATCATCTCGCGGAAGCATTTGCTGGCTGGACTATCGAGAACGCAGCCCGCCTACGGAGATCCTATATTATCTCGAATTGCAAGAACGAAGCCCTACTCAAGCGATGGGCTTCATGGGGCCACGTCACTTTGTTTAGCGTGGGGGCTTTCATCAAAAAGTACGATATGAAAATCAATGATGTGCTAGGGCGCCTTCACCACAGGCTGAACAAGTCAAGTAAACCCACCAAACCATCCCAAACGGGACAATTGATTGACAAGCCCCATGTTGACCTATCCTCGCCAATTCAAACCCCCGAGACTCCCTCGGCTGCGGGGTTCAGTGGCTTCCATACACCGAGAGAGGCGCATACAGATCCTTCGAATCGATCAAGACCAAGCGAGTGGAGGCCACCGCAACCACAGGGGTCTCATATCTACGCAGCGCCATACCGTTGAAGGGTTCGATGCCCAGCGGCGTCTATCCTATCTGTTTTTGCTTTTGCATTCTCACTAGGTATTCCGAACGTGAACATGATTAACGTGATATCTTGGCGCAATTCAAGTTTGTCAAGTGATACCCTAAATCTTTGTGCAAAGGTACCTGTGGCATTTCAAAGGGATGAAACTAGTTGTACGAATATCAACATCCTACCGTTCTCTTCACAGGAAGATTTCCTATACATCCGCCTAAAATTACATATCAACGTCTCTTTAGGTCTTCCAAGTGGAAGCCCTAGCGACAGTTTCTGGCTATCGAAGGGAACTTGGACTCCTGAGGATTCTTCACTTTGGTGAACAACCAAGTTCTCGGTCAATTGGATCTCTAATTAAATCCTCGTATAGGATCCCTATATTCTCTAGTATGGATATATAACAAACGACACACAGTCCAGTTTAAAAGGGTGGAAACTAGTATATAGATATCCAAACCCACCCTTTTCTTCGCAAGAACGTCCTCTAACATATCGCCTACCTCTACGTATGTATTTCTGTCTGGTCGCTCCTTTAAAGGTACTAGCGATGTTTTTCCAGAGCCATCTTTATAGATGGCGCGGGCCCTACTGAGCGTTTGGTAGCGCGCGGCCTTAATTCGCCAAGACTTTGCGTTGTTATTCCCTTAAACAGACCCAACCCCGTTAAAGCTCGGTTCTTTGTTCCCAATCTGATTACAGTAGTGTCCTTAAGTCTTCATCTACCCTTTCTTTGATGGCAATCGGAGAAGACGGAGCCCTGAGAAAGCGTCATGCTCCGTGCTCGAGGTCTGATATGTACAAATCTACTTGATTGAGTCAAAAGGACTCCCAGATTACGATAAGTTAGGCAACCCCTATTCGTAAATGATGAAGATCGTATTCACTGGATATTTAACAAAAACGCCTTGAGGCATAGAACAAATAACGCTTCCTATGAAAGAAATATTTAACTAACGCTTCCTGTGAAAGTAAAATTTTCCGCCCAGTCAGACCTCTAACCATTTGCTCGCTTCCGGTATTCCTGGAAATTCGATGCATGCTGTGCGTTATCAACATTGGCCTGCGCCTTTGGTTTCTTCTCGTTCTTCTTATCAGGTCGCAATTTCTCTTCCCATTCGCTCTCCTCCGCAGAGATCATAGCGTGGAATTTACCCCCCTGGCCGCGGGCAAGGTAGATCGGCTGTTCTTGGCGGTCGGCCACAGCCTCAGTGACCAGAACGAACTTTACGCTGGACCCGGGCGCTTCGAACATGGCGTCACTGAGGATAGTTTCCATCTCCGTGCGTAGCGCACGTGCCCCTGTGCCCATCTTGAAGGCGTTGGCTGCAATCTTATGTAACGCCGGTGTCGTAAAGCGTAGCTCGATGCCCGAAAGCGAGAAGAGGGTTGTATATTGGGCTAGCAAGGAATTGCGGGGTTCGGTGAGAATGCGTAGAAGCAAGGGCTGTGTTAGTGTCGACAAGGCGGCGGTGACGGGAATCCTGCCAATCAATTCTGGAATGAACCCGTAACTTTGTAGGTCTGCTGGAGTCAGAAGGTCGAGGGCATTGAAATACGTGGGCTCGCTGCTTTGTGTGGCCGGGGATGCAGAGACAAAGAAGGGCAGGTGTTTCTTGTATAGCGCTTCTTCTTCGGATCCCGGTATTATTGGCTGTGGCTCTTCGGGTGACGCATCAGATTTGCTCGGTAGGCCATCCAAGATCGACGAGCCCCGAACTGGTTGGCCGAATCCCATCGAGCCACGCGAGATTCGGTCCATGACTACCTTGTGTAGCCCCACGAATGCGCCCGAGAACACAAACAGAATGTTGTCCGTGCGCACATTGTAGACTTCCCCCTTCGCCGCCGGGGTATTGTTATGCGGCTGGAAAGGGGTAGTACCCAACGGACTATTTGATGGATAAGAGTTTGGAGGACTCATTGAGCGAGGGTTCTTCTCTGGCTTGGCCTGCACTTGCACGGTAGTGCCCTCGATGATCTTGAGGAGAGCTTGTTGAACTCCCTCGCCGCCGACATCCTTGCCGTGACTCACTTTGGCAGCCGCAATCTTGTCCACCTCGTCAAGCACGATTATACCTCGCTCGGCCTGCTCAACATCATAGTTGGCCGCTGCTAGAAGACGGTGGACGCATGTTTCAGCATCCTCTCCAATGTATCCGGCCTGCGTAAAAGGTGTGCAGTCCGATATGCTAAAAGGAACAGATAGCACGCGAGCAAGTGTTTTTGCCATGAGCGTCTTGCCAACACCGGATGGTCCCAAGAGGAGGATGTTTGATTTGTCGAGTTGTAGGGGGGATGTGTCGACCAGTTCGCCATGGTCCAGTAGGCTATTCTGGCCAGGTTTCGTGGCTGTGGAGAGGCCAACGGTGCGTTGCTGTCCGGGAAATTCATCTACACAATCCCAAAATCACAGGTTAGCAAGTTCGTTTTGGGATTCTCAATAAATGGGGCAGGAGACACACTTTCCAAGGGATGACTCTCCAGTGCCTCCCTCCGCTGCCGTTTCGCCAGGAGCTCTTCCGCTTCCTCCTCGCGACGCTGAATCTCCTGCACTCGCTGGTAGTGATTATAGACTGCGACGCTCAAAACCTTCTTCGCTCGATCCTGTCCCACCACATACTGGTCCAAATACTGCTTCAGCACCTTGGGAGTAATCCTTGGGGCGCCAAAGGCTGGTGTGGAGCCCAGGGGTCCCGTGGTCGGTAACCCAGTCTCATAGCTGCTAGTAAATGGCTGAGTTGTAAAATCTGACCGGTTAAATTGTGACAGGGTTGGAAAGCTAGTGGAAGAACCAGAGAGCATGCGTGTCTGGACGACGGACGATAGGCTCGGCTGACATCGGGCGTACCGAAGAGGCCGGACAGCCTCGCGATGCGCCCGGGCAAGCAGAAGCCGACGCTGAAGAGGCTGCCACAACATGGCCCAGAGACAGCAGACGGTGCAAGATTGAGGAAATGAGATTAATGTGACGGGGACAGCGTGCGGAGGGATAAATCAGATACGGAGCTTTCCCCGCAGGAGGTGATAAAGCAAGTGGATCTTATCGGCTGAGTCATGGCGCCATCCATGTCCCGATCGGCTTCCGACGAAAGAGATTGATTAGTAGTGTGGCCTGGGGAGTATTAGATATGAACTGAATGTATGCAAACTTGGTATTCAAGACGCACAGAGAATTTCTATATATACTACCAGTGCTCCTTGTATGAAATGCTTCTTCTCGTAGAAATAGTGGACACTATACGCCGGGTAAGCTTACTGTCCAATCAAAGCCATAGTTAGTTAGTGCAGTACAGTAATGACATATAATGATTGTGGTTAGAATTCTGCTTACTTGCTTACCTGCAACTAGCATGCTAGTCTATTGACACTATTGAAATATGCCCAGCCATTGATCCCCGAGATTTATTGTCCAACGATAGATTAAGACTACTTGGACCATCCACTTCGTCTTGTCGAGCGCAGCGCGATACATTTGATAAAACAGAAACAAATAATACGGACATAGAAAATGGTATATCACAATTATCCTCCAATTACCAGACATTGAATATAATAAGTGATCTCACTTACTATTTACTGACCAACGTGCAAAGGAATATGGCTCGTAAACGGGCGCTGTACATGTGGCGCTCTAAATGACCTTTGCCCGGTTCGTCTAGATCTTAGCAGAGTTACATTGTCGTCATCCCTAAATAAGCCACAATCCTCGAGGGCTTCACCGTTCCCATGATTTGAGTAGTGTGACCTTGATATTACTTCCAATCCCTCGCTCAACAATTGCAGTTGTTCAATGGGATCTATTTCATTTCCTAATTGGGTCAATCTCGCGAGATCCACCGTGATGTCAACCACCCGGGCCAATACGAGGGAGATCTGCACGCTAAGCCATGCTCAACTTAATCCAATGGCTCACGACCCGATCGAGTAATTTCGTATTCACAGCAGACAGAATTATTCTGCACTGCCTGACTAGGGGATGGAGCGTGCCGAGAGACAATTATAAATAGTGCGAGGACGCTCGCTCAGTCGAGGGGTGGGTATTCACACTAGTATGATTGTATAAGGAAGGAATCCATCATGATTAGCCCACTTCTACTTCCTATCCTTGCAACTGCGGTCATTGGGGCGCCGCAGCCTTCTTATTGTCGCTGTCGCCCCAGTGATAGTTGCTGGCCAACCACGAAGGAGTGGTCGGCATTGAACAAGACTATCAACGGGCACCTGGTAGCAGTCCGTCCCGTTGCCTCAGTCTGTCACCAGGCCGAGTACAATGCAGATAGATGCAAGACCGTGACTAATCTCTGGTCCGATTCGGTCTGGCGTTCATCTCAACCAGGTGCTGGTCAATGGGAGAATTGGGAAGCTTGGCCAGAGCGCAACCAGTCATGCTACATCGACTCTCCACAGGATTCCGCCTGTCAGCAAGGCCGGATCTCGCTATACTCCGCCAAGGTGCAAAGTGCATCGGATATTCAACATGCCGTTCGATTTTCTAGCACTCACAACCTTCGATTGGCTATCAAGAATACTGGGCATGACTTCTTGGGACGCTCGACGGCTCCCGAATCGCTACAAATCCTCACGCATGCAATGAAAGATATCAAGATTTCGGATAATTTTGTTCCCAAGGGGTCGTCCAAGGGTGCAGGTCCTGCGATTACGATTGGTGCTGGTGTACAGCTTCCGGAGATGTATGAAGCGGTAGCTCAGCACAATCGGACTGTTATTGGAGGTTCCGCGCACACTGTGGGTGCTGCTGGAGGGTATATTCAGGGTGGTGGTCATTCGCCATTTGGCCATTGGAAGGGCCTGGCATCGGACAATGCCTTGGAATTTGAGGTGGTAACGGCCGACGTAAGTGGTTGCCCACGATCACTTTTCCGATTTTATGTTTCTGTCGACATTCTAACTAAATGATTGACCTAGGGCTCACTCGTCACTGCAAACTCATATAGAAACAAAGACCTCTTCTGGGCTTTGAGAGGAGGTGGTGGTGGAACATTCGGGGTGGTCACCAGCGTCACCATGCGCACGTTCGAGGAAGTTCCAGTCGTCGTGTATAACTTCAACATAACTACCGCTGGCAGCGATCCTCGCTTCTGGGACGCATTCGCCGAATGGCACGCCGCACTCCCATCCATCAATGATGGCGGGGGCTCCGGTTATTATTTCGGTCTCCCAAATTACCCTCTCACTGCGAGCGTCAGCGTGTCTACTATCATTTCCCTGATGATGTTCCCCGAAAAGACAGACATCGCCGAAGTCGACAAGCTATATCAGCCGCTTGCTACAAAAATCCAGCAGATCGGCGGGGTTCAGATCTCGAATGCATCTATCCCCTTCCCAACGATGAATTCGACCATTTTTACTATGCTCATCGCCGGTGAATCTGATAGCACCGGAGGCATATCCATGTTGGCGTCTCGTCTGTATTCCAAAGATCTCCTGACATCTCAGGATGGCCCCGGACGTCTGGCGAATGCCTTCAGGAGCATCAAGTGGAATCCTTATGCCGAGTTCATCGGCCATGTGGTTGCGGGTGGTGCCGTTGCAACTAACGCTGATAAGGTTGACAGTGCTGTTAACCCGGCCTGGCGAAAGACCATATCGCATCTGCTCTTCTCCCGATCATGGGCGACTAATGCCAGTCTGGCAGAGCAGACGGCCGTCATCAAGAACATGACCGATGTGGAGATTCCCATTCTGCGGTCTGTCGAGGGCGAAGATCAGATGGGAGCGTATATGAACGAGGCCAATGGGTATGAACCTGGCTTCCAGACTGCGTTCTGGGGTGCGAATTATCCTCGTCTGTATAGCATCAAACAGAAGTGGGACCCTAAAGGGCTCTTCATTTCTCGTAAGGGTGTCGGCAGTGAAGACTGGGATGACGCGGGTTTGTGTCGTACCTAGCACAGGAACGATGAAGCTGTCAGATAGACTGTCGTGATACATATGGGTGGAGAGTCTCGTGTGGACAAGTCAAGTGTAGATTTTCCGTGAATATTATGTCTTTAGTACTCTCGTGAATGATTAATATGTTCTTTTATGTTGTTCAAGAATGCCTCCAACGCCAGTGCCAAAGTCACCCTAGTTCAATCCCATTATCCGCCGGAAGCCCGCATTGTTCACCAGCACGCTACTACCATGCATCTCCACACCCTCACCCTTCAATTTTCCATCAAATGCGCCCAACGGCAAACCTGCCAAGAATTCTCCCAGAGGCGCAGTCGGGCTATGCATGCCCTTGAAAAAGCTTCGGATAACGGGACCAAAAGCACTTTCTCCCAGACGCTTGAGTACTGATCCCTGTGGTATCCATGGATGAATGGCCTGCTGGTCCTTCGGGTCGACATATGCAGGGCGCACGATCATGGCGCGGAAATCAGGATTCTTCGACTCCATCTCCATCAAAGCGGTCTCCGTTTCGCCCTTGACGCGTCCGAATAAAGCCGTAAAGCGACCAGGCTCGCTGGTAGCGCCCTCGCCGGACACGAAGACAAACTTGAAGTTGTCTGACTCGTCCGACTTGAGTTGCTCGAAGGCTTGTGCTGCTTCGAGTGTCATGGTCTTGGTGATGTGAATGTACTCACTGATAATGGGCTTGTTAATCTAAATGATCCCGTGGGGGTTTCGAGGTAAGAAATGCATACTCTTTGGAAACGGCAGTTTGGCTGATTCCAAGTGCCCACACACAGCCTTGCGCACCGCGTAGTCGCTCCTTCAATGCACTGTCGTAACCTTTGAAATCGTGGAGAATCACTTGAATTCGATCATCTTTGTTGCCCTCCAGCATAGGAACCGGGCGACGGCTGATAATGGAGATCTTGGAGACGTCTGGTCTGGCTCGTAGTGCGACAAGGGCTGCAGAGCCAACAAGACCCGTTGCGCCCGTAAGGATGATATGCATTGTGGAGTGCGCAGATGATATTTTTCTGATGTGGATTGTAAGAAGACTATAGTAAATTAATGGGTGACATTCTTGGCTATTTATAATGACCCTTTTTTCCCCTGCGGCGCAAATGATACCCCGATCGATACCAAATGGTGGTCGTGAGCCACTACCGAAAATGTAAGCTGGGCTTGCTGACAGCAGTCTAACCGGAAAGAGACACGCATACGAAGGCACGGGACTCCATCATGTAATCGGGACCGGGAATAACTATGAGTTCTACCCGTTGAACACGCCGAAGCCGTTGATTATCACCGAAAAGACCGAAATTAACGTCCGTCTGCTGGGACTCTTAAGGCATGATATATCATTCTGTCAGGCTTGGAGCGCTTAGCTTGAGGTTGGTGATCGTATTCATTGTCATTTCCAGAAGAGCATCTCCGAGATAGATGTTGCTTCGAAATGCGAGCTTCTGGGGTGAAGGAAAAAAGGAAGCTCCTCTCCCATGAATCGAACCCTCAATTTCGCATTCCCTATATACTTCGCAGTGATGCTCCCTTACAAACCACTCAATGCCGAAGTACATACGTTGGAGGCTGGCCCGGTCCTACCAGCGCTACACCTCCTTCTACACCCGTCTTAGAGTCTTAGTTTTAATAAGAAGTACCTTTACACTATATATCACATAACTATTATATGGAACAAGAAAGAAACCCAAAAAAGAAGAAATTCCGCGAGTGAGGTGAACCATCTCACTCGCATCCCGCCCGCCCACTCTCCCCGCCTAGGGATGTGCCCGGTAACCCGTGGAGATCATGCTCGACACGGGAGACCGGTACTGTTATTTCCCCTCATGAGGCACACCCAAATGGCCCATCCACTGAAGGTATGTCCAACTAGGTCATATGAGGGGGGAGAGTGACTGGATGACCGGGAAGTTGGTGATAAACCTCGTTCACGCCGATTCTACATAGTGAACAGCCCACAACACAATTTCTATTCCTACAATCATTTTCGCACCAGGAAAGCGAAAGCGGAGATTATAAAGATTCTCGCTGCAATTGATGGGTCGCAGTCTTTCGATGTGACTATAGACAGATCTTTATATGTGCTCGACTGAGTGTTACTCAGGAGCTAGCGTGCGGGAATCTGGTATATGGAATCCATCCTCCATGTCGCGGGAAATGGTACCAATATCATGCTGACAGTACCAAGATCGCAGGGAATACGCATCCAGTCCGATGTCCTGGATCTTCCCATTCGTAGCTTGCCACCGCCACAGAGCTTCCATGTAAGCCTTTGAGCAGAACACGGATGGTTTGGTTTTAGGTATGTGGGTATCATGTAGATATGCAGTAGCAGTGTATGTATAGTACTCGTCTTTTGTTGTGGGCGCATCCAATCTTCACTGGTTGGTCTTGAAGACAGGCTGCTGTTCCATCGTCTGCGAGATGAAATTGCGCAGCGCAGACCAGCGATTGGCAGTCGAATGAGCCCCGGGCGGTGCCTCGCTGGCAGTTTCAGCAGCAGGGGCAGGCTGCATGCTCGCCATCTGCGCCATGTTCTTCGCAAATCGGTCCCGTTCCACCTTCTCCAGCTTTTCACGACGCTTCAAAGCCCCAGGCTTGTGGCGGAGGGTCTTCTGCTTGATGATGTTCACTTGACTGGCAGCATCATGGGAGTTATCGGCGGCATCCGGTAGCGCATCGGCGAGAGATTCGAGGTTGGCGACCAATTTTTTCGAGGGGCGACGCTTCTTGGGCGTCTTGGAGCTTTTCGCGATCTTCGACATTAGGGTCGCATGCTTGATCTGCCGCTTGTCTTTCTTGCTGGTACGGAACTCATCCCCAAATGGGGTAGCCTTGACAGGGCCAGTTCTCCCGGACTTTGTTTTCATGATGTAGGTTTGGTGGAGTAATGAGAAGATCGCGACGAGAAAGAACCGGTGCGTGGAGTAGTCGCGCACAAGCTGGCAGTCGAGCATGTGAAGAGCGGCCGCAAATTTGTCGCCCACCAACGGCCCCACATGACCAGACCTCCCCCCAATGGCCCTTGTCCCTGTTGGGCTCACCCAACGATCCCAAATGAAGCAAAGAAAAAAGTCAACCCTCTTGGACCACTCAAAGGACTCCAATCTACTTTCCATGAGAATGCGCCGCCGCCCTGTGACGTGACCCCCCCCTACTTGTTGTGCAGATCCACCTCAGGTGTCCTCCCCCGTGAAAAGACTTGCTCGCCCCGGCTCTGACATCAAAACAACGCTGGATACCCACCGAAACAATCCAGTCCACACTGAGATCATTGGGACCGCAGCAGTGCATGTCCTTGCCAAAGCGCCTTACTAGTCGGATCTGCTTTCCTGGCCAGTCTCTCACGGGCCACTTGCCTCGGTCGCCTCTAGCCACTCGGACCCAACCCCCAAGCTATTACCCCCGGTCGCCCCCGTCGGCTTCCCTAGCGTTCTTAAAATCCGCCGCACTCCCCGGTCAACTTGCCGTGTGCAGATCATATTCCTCGGCCTCGCTTTCGAAAATGGGATCTCTCGGCTCGTATAAGCGCAAGCTCAAGGTCGCAGTAGTCGGCTCCGGCAACTGGTAAGTGGTCTCGTGGGCAACGGCACAACCGTTGCCATACATCCCTGCTCCTCTCCTCTCAAGTCAGTACGAGCAATCAACTGACCATGCGAAATGTTGTCGTAAATTCATAGGGGTACCGCCATTGCCAAGATTGTCGCCGAAAATGCAGCCGCCCACACCGATATCTTCGAGGAGAAGGTAGAAATGTGGGTTTTTGAAGAGAACGTCGAGATCGCAAAGGACTCGCCGCACTACGATCCCGCTGTCGAGGGCCCTCAGAAGTTGACCGAGGTGATCAATCGCACCCATGAGAACGTCAAGTACCTTCCAGGAATCCGCTTGCCCACCAACCTGCATGCCAATCCCTCAATCGAAGACACCGTCAAGGAAAGCACCCTCCTCATCTTCAACCTCCCCCACCAGTTTATCCTCAAGACCTGTCAGCAGATCAAGGGCAAGATCCTGCCCTACGCTCGCGGTATTTCGTGCATCAAGGGTGTCGATGTCAACGAGGAGGGTATCAGCCTCTTCTCCGAGACGATTGGCAAGACCCTCGGCATCTATTGCGGTGCTCTTTCCGGTGCCAATATTGCCAACGAGGTCGCCCAGGAGAAGTGGTCTGAGACCTCCATCGCGTACGACCCGCCGCACATGGACTCCAAGGCGCCCACGCCCCAGCGCTCTCCGAGCTCCTCCCAGGTCGACCTGGTGCAGTTCCAGCACCGAGACACCTCGGGCGAGATCTCGAAGGTGAAGCTGCAGGCTCTGCCGTCCGATTACCCTCCCATCAACCACGATGTTCTCAAGACTCTCTTCCACCGCCCGTACTTCCATGTCCGCGTAGTGAACGACGTCGCTGGCGTGTCCATTAGCGGCGCGTTGAAGAATGTCGTTGCTCTGGCCGCTGGTTGGGTGGACGGCATGGGCTGGGGTGACAACGCCAAGGCTGCCGTGATGCGCGTGGGTCTGATGGAGATGGTTCGCTTTGGAGATAAATTCTTCGGCGCGACCATTGATCAGCGCACCTTCACCGAGGAGAGTGCCGGTGTGGCCGATCTAATCACCAGCTGCAGCGGTGGCCGCAACTTCCGTTCCGCCAAGCACAGCGTTGAGCGCAACCTGCCCATTGAGGAGATCGAGAAGACCGAGCTAAATGGACAGAAGCTCCAGGGTACCTTGACTGCCGTTGAGGTCAACAGCTTCCTGAAGAAGCAGGGTATGGAGGATGAGTTCCCTCTGTTCACTGCCGTATATCGTACGTTTTCCCGCATTCCGCATTCGACGCTAAACATCTGCTAATTCATTTACAGGCATCCTCGATGGCACTATGAAAGTCGAGGATATTCCTTCCTATATCGAGCGGTAATTTTATCATTCCGGTCTTCTTCTTCTCCATGTCTGTGGTGTTAATTTACCTGCTGCATTTCCCTTATAGTCCCCCAGTTTCTCGTCCCCCGACTTCTACTTCCAATGTTGTTTCTCAAGGCGAGGATTGCGATGGCGCCCGGTATGCAAATGCGCGACTTTAGGCTTGAACTTTGATTTCTGGACTGTTGGGATTTTGGCTAGATTTACGACTTGTACCTACGCATTTTATATATGAAATGGAATTTCATGATAAAACATTAATACTGAAACATTCCGAGATTGACTATTTGGGATAGAGTCTTGTTCCGAATGGAACGGTCAATCTTGATTTTTAAGTTAGTTTTTGATCGGTTCCATCCAGGGCCAGTCCAATTGCTGGCTTTTGCGCCGTTGGCGGTCCAGACCTGGCGCTAAAACCTGCCAAGGCACGCAGAACGCCCGGATGCATGATGTCACCGGCTCGCACAGCTTGGAGGGGAGCTCTGTCCTCTCTATTTCCTTTTTTTCTCTTCTTAACACTCACTCACGGCCAAATTTCAGGCCATTCGCTCGCTGAGAAACCTCCAGCAACTTCGCTGGGTCAAGCAATTCTCGGTTTTTCGAGATCGCTGTGGCCGGTTGTCATTCCCCGCAACCTACCCACCTTGTTCGTGCGCTGATCACCATGGGCTCCTCACGCCAAATCTACCTGCTTCCATTGAAGGATGACGGCTCACCCGACGTGCCCGGTGGGTACGTTTACCTTCCACCTCCCGGCGACGAGGGATATGTGCTACGATTCATCATCGAGGGTACCAGCTCCATCTGTCGACAGGGTAGTCTGTGGGTCAACATCCCTGAGGAGGGCAAAGCGTTTGAACGCCATTCGTTCCGCGAGTTCAGGTATCTTTACTCCTAATTCTGTGGAGTCTGCGAATTTATGGAGGGACGGTCGCTGAACGAAAGTAGATTAAAACCCGATTTCAATCGCAATATCCAGATCGATATCCCTGTATCCAATGCGGGCGCTTTCGCCTACTACACCACTTTCTCCCCGTTACCGGAGTTCTCGGTAGACGCTGTGCCCGTGCCGGAGCCCACGCAGACTCCTATTCACTACATAGACGTTTCCCCGAAGTTGACTCTTCAGGGCAAGCATCTGCCACTCAATGCGCTTTCGATTTTCTCGGTCATTTCCAAGTTCATGGGGGAGTACCCTACGGACTGGGATAAGCATCTTCATGGCATTAGTCAAAGGAACTATAACATGGTCCATTTCACTCCTCTCATGCAACGCGGTTCTTCCAATTCCCCGTACAGTATCTTTGATCAACTTTCTTTTGACCCGGCTCTGTTTCCGAATGGAGAAAAAGATATCGCATCACTCGTCTCGCGCATGGAGAAGGAGTACGGACTCCTGACTTTGACCGACGTTGTCTGGAATCATACTGCTCATAATAGCAAATGGCTGGAGGAACACCCCGAGGCAGGCTACAGTGTGGAAACTGCTCCCTGGCTTGAATCTGCCCTGGAATTGGACACCGCGCTGTTGAAGTTTGGCGAGGATCTCGAGAGCTTGGGTCTACCAACGGAGTTCAAGACTACCGAGGATCTGGTGTCCGTGATGAACGCCATGCGCAAGGAAGTGGTTGATGGTATCCGGCTGTGGGAGTATTATGCGATCGATGTGAAAGCCGACACGAAGAAGATTCTCGAAGCGTGGAAGAGTGGGAAGACAGACCCTGCAAGCATTGAACACGTTGATCTGCGCAAGTTTGGTGAATTGTCGCTAAAGGAGCAAGCTCAACTTGTCCGTGAGCACGGTATCCCCGCTTCAAATCAAGTCTACGGAAGATTTGGCCGCTCCGTAGATGCTACGTTTGGTAGCGCTATCCTGACAGTGCTCCACGGTGACTACAATCAGGATGCCTCCGAAGCCGAGGCCTTCTTGTCCCAACTTCTCAATGAAGTGAACTTGCCTCTTTACAAGGAATACGACACAGACATTGCGGATATTATGGATCAACTTTTCAATCGCATCAAATACCTTCGCATTGACGATCATGGCCCAAAGATGGGTCCTGTCAGCAAGGATAGCCCTCTTATCGAGACATACTTTACCCGCCTTCCTCTCAACGAAGTAACGAAGAAGCACAGCCCCAAGGCCCTTGCTCTGGTCAATAACGGTTGGATTTGGAACGCTGATGCCATGCGTGACAATGCTGGACCCGATTCCAAAGCCTACCTGCGCCGTGAGGTGATTGTCTGGGGTGATTGCGTGAAGCTTCGATATGGAAAGTCCCCAGAGGACAACCCATTCTTGTGGAGCTTTATGACCAAATACACTCAGCTCATGGCCAAGTACTTTAATGGCTTCCGAATTGACAACTGCCACTCCACTCCTTTAGTTGTCGCAGAGTACCTGTTGGACAAGGCGCGCGAGGTTCGACCTGACTTGACCGTCTTTGCGGAGCTGTTTACTGGCTCCGAGGAGGCTGATTATGTCTTCGTCAAGCGCCTGGGCATCAACGCTCTGATTCGAGAGGCCATGCAGGCTTGGAGCACTGCGGAATTGAGTCGACTCGTTCACCGTCATGGTGGACGTCCTATCGGTAGCTTCGACGTGGGGCTGCCTTCCGCTGGTAGCAGCCATGCCATTGCGTCTGCACATGCCGGTGTGGGCGCTGAAGAAATCACTCATATTCGACCCTCCCCAGTTCAGGCATTGTTCATGGACTGTACTCATGACAACGAAGTTCCTGCCCAGAAGCGCGATGCTCGGGATACCCTTCCCAATGCTGCTCTTGTCGCTATGTGTGCCTCTGCCACCGGTAGCGTCATGGGCTACGACGAAATCTACCCCAAGCTGATCGATCTGGTGCATGAGAAGCGACAGTATGTTTCTCCATTCTCAGGCACCCACAAGTTGGAGGTTGGTGCCGGAGAGGGCGGAATTGGTGGCGTCAAGCGCCTGCTCAATGAGCTTCACACCATGATGGGTGTTGAGGGTTATGATGAAACCCATATCCACCACGATGGTGAATACATTACGGTTCACCGAGTTCACCCCAAGACACGGAAGGGAATCTTCCTCATTGCCCATACTGCGTTCCCCGGCAATGAAAGTGGCGCAATTCTGGCTCCGACTCACATCACGGGCACTCAGGCCAAGCACATTGGATCTTGGGTTCTGGAGGTTGATGCCGGGGATGAGACCAAGGCTAAGATTTCCGGAGATGATAAGTACCTCAAGGGTCTTCCAAGCCACACGCGCGATATCGATGCGACCAAGATTGAAAGCGATGGCAAGAATGTGACCATCTCCGTTCTGGATACACTGGTACCTGGTTCCATTGCGCTATTTGAAACCTGGATCCCTGGCGCAGAACATGCCAGTGGTCTGGATAACTTCCTTTCAAGTGGTGCCGATGAGGCATTCTCGGGCCTCAGCTTGGTTGATCTAAACTTTGTACTGTACCGCTGCGACGCTGAGGAGAGAGACTCTAGCAACGGCGAGGACGGGGTTTACAATATCCCCAAACACGGTCCTTTAGTCTATGCTGGTCTACAAGGCTGGTGGAGTGTACTTGAGAACATCATCAAGTACAACCAACTAGGTCACCCACTTTGCGACCATCTTCGCGAGGGTCAGTGGGCCTTGGACTATCTCGTTGGGCGGATGGAGAAGGTTGCCTCCAAGGAAGGCCATTCTGCGCTTCAAAAGCCAGCTGAATGGCTTCGTGAGAAATTTGACACCGTTCGAGTCGTGCCTAATTTCTTGCTGCCTCGGTACTTTGCTATCATCGTGCAAGTCGCCTACAATGCTGCATGGAAGGCCGGCATTCACAAATTCAGTGACAATGTCCGTCATGGCCAGGAATTCATTCATCAGCTGGCTATGGTCAGTGTTCAGCAGACTGGCTTCGTCAACTCGGCCTCTTTGTGGCCCACCAAGAAAGTGCCTAGTCTAGCCGCTGGGTTGCCCCATTTCGCAGTCGACTGGGCGAGATGCTGGGGTCGTGATGTTTTCATCTCCATTCGTGGCTTGTTCCTCTGCACTGGTCGTTTCGACGATGCCAAGGAACATATTCTTGCTTTTGCAAGCGTGCTCAAGCATGGTATGATTCCCAACCTTCTGAGCAGTGGCAAGCTGCCTCGGTACAACTCGCGAGATTCGGTATGGTTCTTCCTACAGGCCATTCAGGATTATACCAAGATGGTTCCGAACGGTAGCAGTCTATTACAGGAGAAGGTGCCTCGGCGATTCTTGCCTTACGATGATACATGGTTCCCCTTCGATGACCCTCGGGCGTACTCCCAGTCTCCTACCGTTCTGGAAGTTATCCACGAAGTTTTCCAAAGACATGCTCAAGGCATGTCATTCCGGGAATACAACGCGGGGCCTGACCTTGATGTTCAGATGAAGCCAGAGGGTTTCCAGATTGACATCAAGGTTGATTGGGAGACTGGTATCATCTTCGGCGGCAGCCAGAACAACTGCGGCACGTGGATGGATAAGATGGGCGAAAGCGAGAAAGCAGGCAGTAAGGGTGTTCCTGGAACGCCTCGTGACGGAGCCGCAATAGAAATCACTGGTCTCGTCTACAGCGCTCTTGCATGGGTGGCGAAGCTGAACGAATCCAACCAATATCCTCATTCGGGAGTTGACATCGGCGACGGCAAATCGATCACTTTCAAGGAATGGTCGGAGAAGATCAAGGCCAACTTTGAACGCTGTTATTACGTTCCTGTGGACCCCAAGGATGATGGTCAGTACGATGTCGATGCCAAGGTTGTGAACCGTCGTGGTATCTACAAGGATCTGTACAAGTCCGGCAAGCCGTTCGAGGATTACCAGCTCCGTGGCAACTACCCCATCGCCATGTCCGTTGCACCGGAGCTTTTCACACCCGAAAAGGCTCTCCTGGCCCTCTCCATCGGTGATTCTGCCATCCTGGGCCCTGTTGGTGTCGCTACCCTGGACCCATCCGATCTCAACTACCGCCCTTACTACAACAACTCAGAAGACTCCACAGATTTTGCAACCTCCAAGGGTCGGAACTATCACCAAGGTCCCGAATGGGTCTGGCAGCGGGGCTACTTCCTCCGCGCTCTCCTCCACTTTGACCTTTTGCGACGCAAGACAGCCGAGGAGCGAACCGAGTCCTTCCAGCAGATCACCCGACGACTTGATGGGTGCAAGAAGGCTTTGCGCGAGAGTCCGTGGAAGGGACTAACCGAGTTGACGAACAAGAATGGAGAGCATTGTGCAGATTCGGTATGTTGATCTATCACTTCTTGCATTTTAAGGAAACCTTTACTAATGTGTTCTGTTTGATTTAGTCGCCTACTCAATCGTGGTCCGCAGGTTGCCTGCTGGATCTCTATTATGATGCCGCCAATCTTTCTTAGGGCGGTGCGGTGAGGGGGTTGTACAGGGACTTAGCAAAAGAAAGCGTCTGATTTTCCTATACTATTTTCCATTGTTGATTCCCTTAGCATTCGCATGCATAGTACATTGTGATCTATGTCATGTATTTCAATGTGGTTTCATAAAATTGTCGATATTAATCAGCTCAATGCGAATATTTGAGGGAGGTTGAAAAAGTACCCTCTCATAAGTTCTTTAATTTGAATACTCATATCACTTGTCCTTCACGAGACCCTCCACGCCAGGGCCACACTGGACTCTTACAGAGGCAGGCCTCATTTACCTATTCTGCGATCTAGATCATTACCCTCCACGTGCCAGGTGCCAGGTGCCAGATGGCGGGTGCCAGATACCAGGCAGTCATCGAAGCTTAGATTCCGCCCCTCAAGATTGGCCACATTCCTGGTGTTTCAGCTGCCATCGGGCCTAACGTGGCAAGTGTCTAATGTCGACGTAAGATGAATGGAAATCTTGTGACCACTTCCGTATGGGGTACAAATGGGCTACTAGTACTGAAGAAACTGTAATATTCCTAGAGAGGTTTCCTTGGCGAGAAGTATACGGACCATGGAGTTTGCGATGGGCAACTGCCGTTCTATGAAGCATTCAGAGGATTTGTTTTTTTGTAATCAACCCGGTACTGGTTAACTGTATGAGGTCCATCAATAACAACCCATAAGATTTCGAGCTTCTTTTTTTCTCTCTTCTGTTGAAGACCACTTGGACTTGTCAATAGAGTAAATCATTACAATATTCCAACTGGTCACATGCTCTAACCTGAAACATGGTCATTGGAGTCTATTGTTAGTGAATAAATTTTACTGTTTATCCGCTTGGAGAACCATACTAGGTGATAGTTCTCTTAAATAACATCATTTCCAGCAAACAGAGCCTAGTATTGCATGGCCCTCGTAGAGTGATGAAATTGACTTGAAGTTAATTGTCACGTGCTATCCCCATCCATCCCATTTCAAGTCGTGACACCGTCCATCACTTCGGCTCCTCCACGGTCGTGGTAAGCCGAACATACCAATGGAGCGCCTCGCTGTATGCTTCTGGAACAATGTCAAGAAAATTCCAGCAACGACCTCTGATCTCTGATCTTTTTCAACTTTTTAGAGGGGGCCCACATGGCAGGTGCATGGAGACGGAGATCCCCGCGCATTCTCCGGCCTTGCAGCCTCTAGGCGAACTTGCCCGCAGCACAACAAAATATACAACAGTCAGTCACCAATGCCTATTTGGTCAATCAGACTGGACGGTTTGTTGTTTGCTTCCAAGAGAGCACTGTTGATGGGTGAGCCTTGAAACACATGCGCCAGGAGTCTCCCCTTGATGTGTCTCATTTGGTGGAACCCCCCCCCTTCCCATCCAACCCTCAAACCACTCAGCTGCATCCGGTCAATCGCGGGGCCACATTCTTCACGAGGCGGTTTCACACCCAAATCTCTCGATGGAATGCGCATGAGCCACCCAAGGGGACCACCGCCGGACCACTCTCAATGCGATAGTCGCATTTTCATCCGCGTTGCCCAGACCTCAACGCAGTCTGCCAGTCTGCCGAGGGCCTAAACATGAAAAGAGTTAGTCCGTTGCCTTCCCATTCCATGCCGCTCCATCATGCTCCATCGAGAGTATACTCCGGTACGCCGCCTATTGTATGCCGTCCGCGTCGCTGACTCGCTGAACTCGCTGACCTGCCAAGCGCCCGCCGCCATGCTGAGCGCCCGTGGAACCGGGTGAGTCTATCGCCGCGATAGCCATTTCTCATGGCCAAAATTCTGGCTGGAACGCCGCTGACAGCTCCACCGATGCTCGTCAAAAATACCTTTCTTCCATCAAACGTTTTCCGTGTCTCAGCAGATTCTTTGTCCACGTCAGGCCGCGATAGTGGGAGGGATGGCGAATAAAAGTTTCGCCCCGAAGTATACGGTCCTGACTCGGCCCTCTCATGCAGTAGTAGAAAACCCTTGCCTCGTCGCATCATTTCCCTCTCCATCCCCGGTTCCAAGCTATCAGATTTTGTCTTCTTACTTGAACGGCTGTACCACCGCTTTCGCGTTCGCTTTGGAGTGACACTTGTTTCTCTCCACTGTCGATACAACCTTGCACTTGCACTTGTACATTGCACATATTTTATCTCTTGGGCAGATCCCGACCACCAATTGTCAATTGTCGGATTCAACATTTCCATAAGCGCCCATTTTATGGGTAACACTACCACCTGATTTTCCATTCTATGGGACTATAGCCGAAAGATCAGATTCTGTCGCTTGTTGCAGCGCAGTGGCCGACCGGCGCGCCGTTAAGCTCTCCCCATCGATCTGCATCGGCCAAGTGGAACCCCTCCCGATCATTCCGTCGTTACTCTATGGACGCATTGGGCTTGGTAGACCACTTTTATCGACCGTATCTACCTCAATTGCTGGCACTCCGATTTTGTCATTGACAGATTTAATTTGCCATATACAATTTGGATTAACTGCAGATTGAGGTCATCGTGGCAAACCGACTAGAGGTTCTACCATACATGTCGAGCCACTAATTCCCTTCGACTGTTGTCGACATGCCATCTTTGAGATCTCGCAATCATAGCCGTACCGGGCAGGTTCCCGTGGTTGAAGCTGCTAGAGCTCGAAAAATGCGACACTCAGATATGGTGAACACCGCTACCCAGAAAAGCTATCGACCCATCATTCACAGCTCAACAACTGCCAGCGACCCTAATGAGCCTCTCACAGTATTCGCGCCACATGATTGCTCGAAGATTGCAGGCGGCTCAACACCCCCGGCGGCCAATGTCGCTCCTGCCGAAATTCTACTTCAAATTTATTCCATGTTAACCCCTCGGGACTTTGACAATGCCCGACGGACATGCTCACAATGGATGAGAGTCAGTCTCAACCGCAAGCTGTTGGAAGGAATGCTGAAACGGGCTGGATGGTGGGATGCTTACAAGCAAGATGCCGAGAAACAACGGGTTCTTCATCGCCCATCCAGCGAAGAAAGCGAAGTTTGGAGAATGAGCAAGCGATTTGCAACCGAATGTCTACTCTCTGGGAGAAAGGCCAATGTCGAAAAGTCGGGTTTCGTGAAATCGGAAATCGTCGACTTCTCCGGGCTGTCCAAGGGGACGAGCTCGAAGTCTCGGAGATTCTCTATGAATGAAGTATCGAAAGCTGCTCGAAATGGAAGTTCGTATGCATCTTCAACTTTCAGCGTGAGCAGTTGCAGTAACTACGTTCTTGCGACCACTGGCTGCATGATCTATGTGTTCCGATTACATCCACGGAGGATGAAATCGATGCTCTCAGCGAATCTGGCAGACATGGATCTGGAACCAATTTCAACTATCGAATGCCCATTCGAGGTTCTATCCGCAACTTCCGACACTACTACTTCAAGCCTTGTGGTCGCCGCTTTGTTGCAAAATCGAGTTGGTATGGTCTGCGATGTGGAAATACCTGATCACGCTTCTCATGCTGCTGGTCCAGCAACGACAACGCGGTCACCCAAGTCCACAGGACATCAGCAGCGTCAACGTAGAATGTCGAGAACAAGTAACTCATCTCCACACTTCTTTTACGATCTCTGCTCGGAGGATCACCCCCCACGAACAATTGCACTCTGCCCCGGTCACCGATGCGTGGCATTCGGGTGTGCAGGAGGCATTGAAATCCACTGGGTGGACGAGACAACCCACAAAGACCAACGGAGACACTTCCCCATGTCCCAACCCTCTGAGGTCCTCCATTTCCTACCTAGCACTCTTGAAAATCCCTCAGAACTACGCCTCATCTCATCTCTCGCTGGTCCGGGAGTCCACGAGTGCGCATGCCGACAATCTCCCTCCCCAGACCATCTCAAGAAGTGCCAATTTCACCTCCTCACCGACGTCCACTCTCTGAATCGTCGTAGCCCACCCAATACATCCTCCCTCAGCCTTGTGCGAGCTACGCACTGCCACCATTATCGCGCTGTCCCCATTAACGACGGTTTCCACATTATCTTTGTGGAACCACGCACCGGCCTCCTCTGCATCGGATCTGATGCTCCAATCGGTGGCCCAACGAGTCTAACAAGGGCCTTCGTATGCGTCCCACCCTTCGGCAAAGACCCAACAGAAAGCATCAAAGAAGCCCGCGTCCCGACCGTCTTCACCGTCGGCTCAGATCTAAGCTGGGGTCTCCGCGTCGTCGCCGCATATCAGGACCGCATCGTCCTATACTCCATCCCGCTAGATGTCTTCAACGTGATCCGCAAAGAGCGCGAGCGCCAAGGTGAAGGCGTAATGGGCGATAGCGACCTCGCGCGAGACTGGTTCGTCGATTCAGAGCGCTTCCGCAAACGTCGTGAGAGTCTGGTCCAGAATCAGAATGGGGACTGGGAGTTCTTGTTGAGCGTCAGTTATAGACCAACTGCTATGATGTGGCCATTCAAGATCTATGGGAAGGAAATCGGTCGTGTGGATAATGTGGTCGAACTGGCGCTGCAGTCTTCGAATGGTGGTGCCCGGGTGTGGGCTTTCGGTGCCGCGGGTGAAGCGCACGTTTTTGATATCGACACCCTCACATCGACTGCCCAGACTATGGCGGAGTCACCGTGCAAGGTGGTGACCGTTGGTTTGGATGGGAGTGTAGAGACTGCTCGACAAGTTGATCGTGCGGCGCTGAGCACTTCTCCATTGGAAGAATCACGAAAGCGCAAGTTTACCGAGCTACGGGATGATTTTGTCGGGCGATATGGGACGAGCCGATTCGTTCCAAGCCTGACATTGGATGGCCTCGAGCCTACTAGTACCGTTGCCGCTGCACTAGCCCAGAGTGAGGATTCCTCGATCAGACGCCCGTCGTTCGCGGCGTGTATTGTCGATTTCAAGATTCCTGAATTGGGGCCTCGAGAAGGTCGGTGGAGAGATAGTGGGACCGAAGGTTGAGTATTGAAGGGAGGCCTTTATTACTGCAGTTCTCATGCTGGTCATGCATCTTGGGTTCTATTTGGATTACTTGCACATAACCGTTTGCCATTAGGGTGAATTGAACATAAGAGCTATGTTTCCTTTCTTCGTAAAGTGAGCTCTCCAATAGAGATTCTTATGTTACTGCCAAAGCCAAAGCATTTCCATACTTGGTTCTGGCGACTATAATAGAGCCGCTGAGGAGTCCCATGCTATTTCTCCTCTATACGAGTGTACAAACTGGTTGCCACTGATCTACTCAAGATTGATAAAATAAGCGTGAGAATAGAGTTTAGATTCTTTCTCATTCAGAAATTATTTAAAAGCATCAAAACTTTTTCCTTGATTCCCTGGCACAGTACGCTCGTGAAATGCCTCGTTGTTACATCCCGGTGTCATAAAAAGGCAGCAAAAGACAAAAACATAGCGACGCGATTTAGTTAGCGCCGCTCAGTTTCTGTCTCCGGGCACGAACGGCTTGAGCCAACGTCTCCAATGTGGTCTCGGTGTCTTCCCAGTTGATGCAGGCATCCGTGATGCTGACACCGTACTTGAGGCCGGCCTTGCCCTCGGCGGGGACCTTTTGGTTGCCTGTAGTGGATTGGATTAGTGATTTGTGATTTAAAGGTTTATTATTGGTTAAAACAAGCTTACCCTCGTTGATGTTGCTCTCGATCATGACACCCATGATAGCGGTTTCACCGGCGGCAATCTGCTCGCTGAGGACAGCAGCGACCTTGGGCTGGTTTTTGTGGTTCTTCTCAGAGTTGCCATGGCTGCAATCCACCATCAACCGAGGAGCCATGCCCTTGGCCTCCAGCTTAGCCTTGGCATCCTTGATGCTGGCAGCATCGTAGTTGGGGCCCTTCTTGCCGCCACGTAGAATAACGAAGCAGTCAGGGTTGCCGACAGTGCCGACAATAGAGGCAACACCGGGCTTGGTGACGGACAGGAAGTGGTGGGGGTGTCGGACGGCGCCAATAGCATCAACGGCAACATCGAGCGAGCCGTCGGTACCGTTCTTGAAACCGACGGGGAAGGACAGACCGGAGGCCAGCTCACGGTGAACCTGGGACTCGGTCGTGCGAGCACCGACCGCGCCGACGGAAAGACAATCGGAGAAGAACTGGGGGGAAATAGTATCCAGCATCTCGCTGGCAATGGGCATGCCCTTATTCGTCAGGTCGACGAAGAGCTGGCGGGAGACGCGCAGACCCTTGTTGATCTGGAAGCTGTTGTCGATATCCGGGTCGTTGATCAGGCCCTTCCAGCCGACCGTGGTGCGAGGCTTCTCGAGGTACGAGCGCATGACAATGAGCAGGTCATCGGCATACTTCTCCTTCATCTTCATCAAACGGTCGCAGTATTCCAAGGCCATTACGGGGTCGTGAATGGAGCAGGGTCCAATGACCACCATGAGACGTTGCCTCTCGGCATCGGTGCCATGCACAATTGCCACGGCCTCGTTACGGCCATTGAGGACGGTTTCCCGCGACTTGTCGGTCAATGCGATCTCATGCTGAAGGAGGTTGGGTGGGGTGAGCGGGTTGTAGCCGCGAACTATATGGAGGGTGAGCTAGGAAGGGGCCATTGGGGAGGAAGGAATTGGGATTTAGCGTACTCCTTGAGTCTTCGAGATGGCTGGTATTTCCCACATTGGGATTTTCAATGAAGAACTAGCGATTGGTTAGGATCAATGGTGGCACAACGGGCTTTGCGGGTTACACATGAGGGGTCAACTTACCGACATGGCGGGGTAAAGAGAGAGAGCGCAACGGGGCTAGGAGGAAGACAAAGAAGGGGATATGGGGATAAGAGATGGTCAATTGAGGATATTACAGATGTATCAAGAGGAGAATAAAGCTTCGACTTAAAAATAAAAACCAGAAAACTCTCAAGGGCTAAGTCAAGGGACGAAATGACTCAACCGGAGAACCTTAGACACGTGATCCTCCGGTGAGCGGCGCCAATGTGCGTCACCGCGAAAGAAGCAAACAAACTTAACGGGCAGGCAGTACCGAGGGGACTGACTCTGAAGCATCCACGCACCAAATTCCTGTCCAGTACTGATTTAATATGACAACAAGAGTCCATGTCCATTCATGAAAGATAGACCTTAAAGGTGACCATCTAGATAGTGCTCGGCTCGTTCGTCTTTGAACTTAAGAAGGCGCTCTACGATGTACAGTCCGTTGCTTAGATCTGTTCCTGGGAATACATGACTGTAAGAATGATCTTTATAAATCGAATAGAAAACTACATAAGAATAGTGTATGATGGATGATGAATTATTTCATAAATTTGTAGCTACTATAACCCGACAAACTAACGCCTGTGGCTGTAAAATCATGCGGCTAAGAAGGTCAACTCCGACGCCGGGGTCGCTTAAAATACACTCCATCCTTCCTCCCAATTTATGGCCCCTGTTGCACCCGATGGTCCAGCTCCTGTAACCCCTGTATTAGTTCCTGACATATTTGAGCGTGCTGTTCCTTGACAGACGACATCTGCTGGCGGTACAGCTGCATTCGTGCTTCTTGAGCTCGGGACAGGTCATCGAGAATGCGATTGCAGCCTTTTCGATAGATCTGCAGTACTTTTCGGATAGTGTCCTTCTCAGCGGCAAGCTGGATTGACAGATGCTGCAATATTTCTTAGCATCGGCCCACATTGCAGGTATCTGCTGTTCTGACTCACTTGGTTTGTTTCCAACAGGAGGCTATGCGCATTCTGTTGAGCAGACTCTAGATCTGAGATCCAATCCATACTGGCCAGATTGCCATGCATGAGCAGGTGATGGGACGTAGAGCCTGAGTTCTCCATAGACCGTCGCCTCTGATTAGTTTCGGCCTCGGCCTCCATCTTTGGGTCGTCAATGGACCTCGGGACAAAGCTGGGCGCGATTGACGGCCCTATGTCATCGTGGGAGACGTCTTGATGAAGTTCGGTGTCATCCTCACTAGTCGCCGCGCTGAGTGGACTCGCACGGGAATCAATATTAAAACCATCGCTCCCGAGTCTCGGTTCAGTCACACCGGGAGTTAGTTCTTCGGGCGCAATTCCATATTCTATGAACATATCTCGCTGGAATTTGGACCATGTCCTTTCAGTGTGGCACTTGCTCTCGGAGTAAAAATCAGAGTCTTCACTGTTCTCACTTGAGCTGGAGTCAGCGATTCTGATACTCTGGAGAAAGAAGCGGTCAATATCGAAGCTTGATTCCACGGCCTCCTGCGGGCAAAGTCGAGGACTGCCATTTCGATCAACGACGCTCTTCCTCTGGATTGACTTTGAAACTTCGAGCGAGGCAGTCTTTTGCACACGAGTGTGTACGCTCAGAAAGGGCCTCTGGGATTCTGGAGTCTTCTCGCTTTCACTTGCTTGGATTGGCAGCACCGTGATATCGTCAATGATCGGTACTTCCCAGCTCTGTAATGGGGTATCTAGCTCGCTTTCTAGGCACTGTAAGGCGGCTTGCGGGTTCCCCTGAAATGCATCTAGTGGTTGGATCGAGTCCATCGCCATTGCCCCTGGCGAATACGTTGCCTGCGAGCTGTCGTCGGGAATCTCCATTGGATCATCGGCTTGATCCCCACTTCCCCTACGTTTCAAGAGTCCGTTACTCTGCAACAGCTTCTGTTGGTCTGGTGAGCCTTGGGCTGGCAGAACAGGTGCCTCTGCAAACATATTGATCGTCCGCTGTTTGTAAGTGTCAGCAATTTGTACCCGGTCTTGGCTGCTATGACTCTTCTGGCCTCCAGCTGTAGATGGAGCAGACGCCTCGTCTTGTTCCCAGTCGAGCTCAGGGCTGAATGGATTTTGAGGCGGGTGAACTCGGGCTTGTAGCGCAAGATGGTCTTTTGGTACCTTGGAAGCTGTCGTAGCGGCAGGCATCAGGGTAGACGAGAAACGCGATTCAACGGCGGGATAGCCCTGGGGGTTCAACCCGGCCTCGCGGAGTGCATCAGCAATTTTTTGCCCAACAGTGAAGCCCCTTCTATGACAAGTTGCCTTCGCTTCCTGTCTGTTGCCTTTTGGTAAATCGATGTCTTCTCCCGGGGCGGACAGGTTCGATGACCGTAAGGAGTCACTTGAAAGCTCGATTATCTCATCTCTTTGGTCAATGATTTCGGGCTCATCTGCATCCTCCTTTGCGAAGATAGGAAAAGAGGCTAGAGGCAGGTTTAGGGCTTCCCGTGTACTTGCATTATCAAGCTGTTCATCATGGATATTTGATGCCGAATTAGCGTTAGCATCAACATTCCCAGACTGCAACTTCGCTCTGGTGTCAGTGGTCATAGGAAGCCGGGCATTGATACGGCCGTTCTCCTTGACAGCCTTCTGGCGTTTACCCAAGTCTGGTTTCACCTGCGGTGCTTTGCGTTTCTTATTGGAGCATTTATTCACTTCAGCAACCGGCGAAGAGACAGATGTTTTTTTGGAGGCCCCTTTAGCTTTCTCCGGAGATTCATCGTCATCAGTCGGTCGAATGTCTTCACTCCAGTCAACCTCTGCCTTTTGATGAGAAGTTGATGTTTTCCGGGCAGAGCGCCGCGGTCGGAAACGCTCCAAGGAAGTCCTCGAAGATGGTTGGGGCTTGCTTGGATTACGACGAGTGACTTTTGATCGAGCATCGCTGTTTCGTACTATTTTTGAGCCAGAATTGTGTTTTGGGCTGCTTTGTGGAGGCTTCACGTGTGAGTCGATAGCAGCCGGAGGGCTGTCAATGCGAGAAACCTCTAACGCAGAAAGAGGAGCAGCTCGATCCCTAGCTTGATGGTTTGCTTCCTTGATATCCGTTGTCGATTCGCTGATGTCTTCCGATTGGATCTGTCGGATGCCCGGTATGGCGTGCTCAGTGGCAGCCTCATTTGCGTTGGTGAGACTGGCCCTGCGCGCGATCTTGGCCAATTGTGACGAATTCTCATCGACTTGTGATTCCTTATAAATTGGAACCCCGCCTGCTTCCTGCATGAATTCTGAGGGTCCGTCAGACACCTCTGCTGTCTCCGTGCCGACGTGACTTGTGGAGGCTTCTCCTCGAATACTCGTTGAAGTACGGCTCTCCCTTCGTTTCGACATTTGTCGCGCCATTGTCAGCCGATCTTTAGCACGGATTACATCTCCTGAGTCCAATTGGATGATGGCAGTTGTGACTGCCCGGGGACCTGATCTCGACAGCCTCGCACAGGCAGTGTGTTCCATTGAGGGCAGAAGAATCGCGCCTCTACTCGCGGACTCCTGGGTCGATTGTCAAACCAGGAGTACATCCACGAACCTGAATTGACTTGAGTCCTTGAGTGCTTCCGCTTGTCACAACCCAATTGCCCCACCTGACACCTTGAAGGGTGCCAATGTGCGATTGCACCTGCCTTTGTCTGGGATGCTTTCTTGATGATGGGGCTGCTGGATAGTGAGGTGAGGTGAGGGAAGTTCGCAACCACAACCTCAACGGCAACTGCGAGCGTCACATGGTGCCTCATGATTCCCAGAAGTCACGAGTGACTCTACTTAACACTTGACTGACTGGAGGTCTTCCAAGATCCTCGAGTAATCGAGGTCCCGATGCAACAAGGTTGGATGATTTGCCCTTGCATCGTTTTCTGCAAAAGCTTGCTGCAGTCTACTCTCGATGCACATGCCACTTATTCCATGATGGCGATCCAGCAATCTGGAGATATATCAAAACACTAACGATTCGGCTTCTTGTCTTGGCAAATGACTCAATCGGCGTCACTCTGACTATGCACCAAGATATTCCAAAACTGATTCTTTGAAATGATTCTCGATATCGGGGAGGCCATCGGATTGCTAAGATCCCTGCAAAGCAGATTTTAATCTCTCACTAACCAGAAACAGCTATGAGCCTAGATTCCAGCTATACGGCAAGATTGTTTTCTATTTGGCCATCAGCAAAATATGAGCAAAAAATGCTGCCAAAAAATGCTCACTGCCAGATTTGAACTAGCGACTTCGTGATTACTAGTCACGCACTCTACCAACTGAGTTAAGCGAGCTGGATGATCCAACAGGAAGCTATACAGACTGTTTACAGCCTCAGAGGAGTCTCCCACGGGAATCGGCTTGGTCAAATTCCGCTGGTTGTGCTCGGGCATCAGTTGCTCCGTCACCGCGATTATTAATCGTAGCTATCCGGCTTAGTGATGCTTCTGGTTCGCTGCTGCGGATGCGACGCATCAATTTGTCCGAACCAGGCCTCGACTGCCAGTTATTTAAACATGCTTTTTCCCGGTGACTAACCCGACGAACTGACTTCCAGCCTCTAGCTGTCCTTTCCCCCACGTGAGGCATACCTTTCCCTTCGTGATGACTGCGGACCACCCCCAACGAGCGGGCGACGAGGAAGCACACCCCAAGCCGGAAGGCCGCTTCAATGCGATTGAGCCACTGACTCGGCTACGCGCCGCTCTACCAACTGGTTTCACTCAACCTGCGATTCCCGATACCCGTCCTCTCCCTACCACCACTTCAGACCGCCGCCGCGCCTCCATTGGTGCGGATTCTCTTGATCGAGATGCGCATCTCTGGGAAAAGGTCACAGAACAACAGGAGAGCGGGCACGGATTGACTGGAACGTCCGCAGAGGGAGAGACCGTCCTTTACCTAGCATACGGCTCTAACCTGGCCTCGGAGACCTTCCGTGGTATGCGCGGGATCAAACCTCTCTCGGAGATTCCAGTGCTTGTACCAGAGCTCCGCTTGACATTCGACCTCCCCGGGGTCCCATACGCCGAACCTTGTTTCGCAGGCACACAATACCGGGATCCAGGCTTTGTACATGGTGAAGACAAAGAAGCCCAAGATAGCGACCTCTCTATAATCGATGAGGACTTCTTATCAGAAAAGGAGCCACTTTTGGCGGAGACGCAAGAGGTCCAAAGGTCAGAGGCGGACCGGAATCGGTGGCATAAACCTCTCATTGGAGTGGTTTATGAGGTCACGCTGGCCGATTATGCGAAGATCATCGCTACCGAGGGAGGTGGTCGTGGGTACAGAGACGTGGTGATTGATTGCTATCCCTTTACGAAGGGCTTCAAGCCTACCGATCCAGTCCCAGATCATCCTCAAACCACCCCATTCAAAGCCCATACTCTTCTATCACCGAGCGCAGACGAGGATCGAAAGAAGAAAGAGGGAGCGAAACATGGTGATACCTCCGTCGTGTGTACACCCTGTCCCAAATCTTCCGCATTTGGTGACATGGGACCGCACATGCGTCCCGATCCTGAGTATGCGCAGCCTTCGGCCCGCTACCTGAAACTGCTCGTCACAGGTGCTGCCGAGCATGACCTGCCGATCGCATATCAAACCTACCTTTCTCAGATCCACCCGTATAGAATCACGACCTTCCGCCAAACGGTCGGAAAGGTGACCTTCCTTGTTCTTTGGGGTCCGCTTATTCTTTCTCTTTTGGCATTCTCGAAGAGGTTTGCGGGTCCGGATGGACGAAGCCCGCCATGGCTGGTGACCTTGTCGAATGTCATATTTGCAGGACTCTGGACCAGTTATGATTGCTTCTTCAAGAAGGTGTTTGGAGATGGCGAGCGGACATTGGAAGATACCCCGTCGATTTGAAGTTCCTCGAGCGTCTTAAATACATCCTATACTATGTGCTACATTATCCCTCTGATCATTTTGAAAAGAACAATATACATTTCGTGCTAGAGGTTGAACCCTCCGGCAGTGTCATCTCTGATCCAGTCAAGGACCAAATTTAATTTCTGTATCCTTTTGAGTGGGGAGATCTTGCACCAAACGCATTCACACAAAGGAAATTAAATTCAGTTGACTCCTCGAGCACACAGTTTTCGGAAGGGGCAAAAAAAGAGATATATCTAGGATACAGATACACGTGTGCTGGGAGCGTTCTAACAAAACAAAGGGACAGCGACCCTAGACACAAAAACAAGATGACGAAAGAGATCTTTCTTAGGCCAAAACCGACGGGGCAATAATACAGGGTATGCCCCAATGGGTCACATAAACCTCGTCAGCCTCTCCCATTTTCCAAACTCATACAGGCCTCGTAGCCGTCACGTTTAGCGGCGGGGACCGATGGGGGGGCTGTACACGATCTTCCTGGACTTGATGGGGGCCCACTTGTAGCGCTTGACCCAGATGCTGATGGCGAACAGGCCAGTCAGGAGAGCGACGGCCTTGACACCCATCTTCTTGCGGTCGTCCATCTCGGGCTCGGCGGCCCAGTTCAGGAACTCAACAACGTCCTTGGCCATCTGGGAGGTGGTAGCGGGGGTACCATCCTCATATTCGACAACGCCGTCGAAGAGGACACGGCCCATAGCAATACCTATATGTCACGTTCATATTAGAGCTGCCTATAGGGCCACTGATGACAAATTATGCTTCACATACCGGTACCAGGGAAGTAGGGGTTGAAGTTCATGCCCTCGGCAACGCTGGCGCCCGCGGGGGGCTCATCGGGGTAACCAGTGAGGAGGTTGAAGACGTAGTCGCAGCCACCGTGACGGCCCTTGATGATCAGGCTGAGATCGGGGGGGAGAGCACCACCGTTGGCGGCACGGGCAGCCTCATCGTTCTTGTAGGGAGCGGGGATGTAGTCGGACAGCTTGCCGGGGCGCTTCTCGATCTCACCCTGGTCGTTGGGCTCGGTGTCGTACTCGTTCTCCTCAGCCATGGTCTTCATCTCATCGACGGTGTGCATGACACCGACGAACGAGCGCCAGGGGACACGGGTCAGGGAGTGGCAGCTGGCGCAAACTTCACGGTAAACCTGGAAACCACGGCGGAGGCTAGACGAGAAAATTCAGGTTAGTCATTGCGCGACGGCGATATGGCGGCATTGGTTAGGTGGGTACTCACGCAGCGTGGTCGAAGGTCTTGTTGAAGCGCTGGTGCACCCAGGGGTAGTGAGTAGCGTGCAGACTGGATAGAAAAGCAGTTGTTAGTTCATTGAATTTGATGATGTGCGCTCCGGACCGCACAATCCTCGGCTCGGGGTAACGGAGCGACCATGCTGGTCCCTCCCCAAGATTGCAAAAGAATTGTAGACTCACCCCTCCTCAGCAGGGGTCATGGCGAAGGCCTCCTGGCCATAGAGATGGTAGTACCAAGCGGCGGAACCGGCAGCCGCGGCGGTAGCGAGCGAGGCAGTGAGGGTGAGGTAGAAGGGGGAGCTGGCGGCATCGGCACCGGCGGCGGTGGACGAGGCACGCTGTCAAGATTCGTTAGCAAAACCCGTCTCTCCTGCACATTGAAGTCATGTCGAAGCGATTGCCCTTTTCGGCGAGGTTCAATGGGTTCGACGAGGGTGATGAGAGCGTACCGTGGACTTGCCGACAGGCTGGCGAGCGAAGGCCCGGGCGGCCACGCGCGGAAGGGAACGGCCCAGCATGACGAATTCAGACCCTCCGATCGATTGACGATGGATGTGAAAGGGCGGGATTCGCTTCGAGGGAGACGAAGGGGAGGGGGGTGGAGGGGGGTGGGTGCACAGGAGAGGTGCTGTCGAGAGGTGCGAGTTGAGGTCGAAGGTCAAGTTTCTCGCTGGGGGGAGGATTGGGTAAAACCCTCACGCTGATTGGTCGCACTGGGGCGGCCGAGCTGACTTCGGTGAAAACCGGCTGTATTGGTTGCCTGGTTTTGCAGGCAGTAATCACGTATTCCTTGTGATCTGATATCCTCAGAGTTGCGAGCTGGGACTCAATGGACCGTCTATATATTTTTCAACGACCATTCGTGGAATATCTACTGTTTGATCAACCGGCGTTGGTCAATGGCTTTCGGGTTTAATTTTCCATGCCCATGGCAGTAGACATCACCACCACACATCCCCCGATCCCGTGACTTCGGTCGAGTCACGGGACCATGTTTAATACTTTCCTTTTTCGGCTACTTTTTATCGTTGGCTATGCATGTCTTGCTACCACGAGAGACTGCAGACCCTACCCTGTTCGCAATAGCATATGTGGGAAACCTCAATTCATGAAACTTAGTGCAAAAGATGTCAACAATTTGTTGTCCGTCAAGGCCATCGATCTCCAGGTATTCACAACACAGGGGTATCTGATTGAAGCACTACTGGGTAGGCTGGTTTATATATTAGATTCCTGAAATTGGAACCGATCTGAGTTTGCTGTAGACTTCTGTCTCGCCTATTTATGGAGATTTTAGGTTAATTCATACGATTTCTCGACGGTGGCCCAATCAGCAAAGGTCCGGATATACATATGTGAGGTGTTCGTATGGAAATTGGACGAGGCTGAAGGGTCCTCGACATTTGAAGATTAAAGTTTTCGAGCCATAGTCTAGGACCAAAAGGTAAGAAATTTTTGCAATTGTGATACCCCAGACTGCAATTTGGATAGACCAACCCGCGACATAGTTTGCTGAGTGAGTTCGATCGGAGGAAGTCCTGATTTTTCCAAATCTAAGCAATGATTCTACATAGAAACTACGCATCTTCATCAACCACGAAGGTACTCTCATCACCTTGCCCAGACTCAAATCTGTCATTAAGCGCCCCGTACGTTCCAACTCCTACCAAAAAGGCACTGTTATCTAACACCAATCTTCTTTAAATTCATCGGTAAAACAGGAGGGCAAATCTTCCACGACATGATGATTCATCACGGTGTCAAATATATTTGTCAAAGCTTCGTCTCCTTTTTCTCAAGCTGGCGCTTACCTCAATTCTCGGAAATTTGGTTACCCTGACGCGTTGGATCCTTGCAATTTTCGATGCGATTCACAAAAAAAGAATTTCGACCTTATTTTGCCGCGTCACGAAAGAGGAGCAGGTCATATGGCGTAGGGATACTGGACAGCACCAGATGTGGGCAGCTCAACACTTGCGCTAGAAATTTCCACATACAATGATCAGATCGGGGTTACAATGGGCTATGGTTTTCCTGCCGCGATTAGGGCTCAGGTTGCCCGGCCTGATGCGCTTGTAATTGACATTGACGGCATAGATTTTGGTTGATGATAACCGCAAGCTAGAAGGGTGAGATCATCCATCTTTTCGTATCGTTGCAGACAAAATTATTTTTCAGTGAGTATTTTATAGATATTAAATCGGTAAAATGTTTCTAGGAAATTGTTAGAATGAAAGTGATGAGTAACAGAGGTACGCCACCTCAATGCGTAGCCTTAAGAAATTCATACGTTGGCAACTGCGGCCGCTACAAATCTCTATAATTGTTTGGTCAAATTGAGGCGGACAACGACGCTGTGTGACACCTAGCTAGATTTTCTAAACATCAAATAGTAAGCTTGATATATGGAAAGTGGAGACCTGGGAATTCCCGCTTTTTAAGCTCCATCCGTATTTTAATCCCTGCCAATGTCTATTTATCCAGATGGGTTTCAAACAACTACGCTCTTATGAAAAAAATGTGAGTGACCTGGTATCAAATAGCCCGTCATATATCTGGATGGATGCCCTTATGACTATTTTCGTCTTTCGAAAAACCGACAACATATTGCACACTTCGAGGTTAGTCAAACGTCAGAAGCGGCGATCCGTCTGATTTTGCAGTATCCGGCCGGCGACCCAAACGTTCCCCGTTGGGTCGCTGGCCATTCATTACATACAGGGCTAATTGTATTGAGGAGGACAGACAATACTTCTGGCCTCTAAATTAGTATTAGGTTCCTTTGCTTAAGAAATCCATGCAGCTACAGAGTCAATCAGTCGTCCTAGTCAGTTGCTGGATGTCAAAGGCCGTTCGGTCATCGAACAGTGGATTGCACCGGCCCGGAACGCGATTGCGCCATTCCACGAACCACCTTATCTCGATACTCTACAGCGTCGATTGGACATACCCACAATGCCATATTTTATGCTTATGTGATTTTTGGCGTTCGAATTCATCATTTGGTAGAACTGAATCGTTTCAGTAGGGTTGGAGGGTGGTTCTGTAAATTTGGTACATGCCGACGGCCAAGTGCTCGGCGACTCGCAATACGGTCGCCGTTCGGGTTCCGTAATATCCAGAAAACTCATTTTCACCACGCCTCCGAAGAATTTTCTGGTTCAATGTGTCATTCGCCGCTATTCTCGGCCGAAATCTTATTGCTCAAATAAAGTGCTTGAGATGACCTCAAGTGTGACTTTTCAGTCATTTCGACTATTGTCTTCCATCCACTGCTACTCATCTGGGACTTATTGAAAGTTAGGGAAGCATACTCTCAAATCTATCACCCGAGGGCAAGAGGTACTAGCGATTAGGGCATCATGGAAGCTGGAAATAACCAACCAGCTCGATGTGAGCAACCAGAATTGGCTCCTGTATCCAAACATGACCGTGGTTGGCGTCGAGTCATTCGCAATTTCACTCCTGCGTGAGTTCTCTTGAGAATAAATGGACTATCACATGTTTGATGCTAACGAGCACTCAAGCTGGTTTTCTGTAAACATGGGAACAGGAATTGTTTCAATCTTGCTCAACACTTTGCCTTACAACGGAAAATGGCTATACTATCTTTCCATCATCGTTTTCGTCTTGAACGTGGTTTACTTCACGATCATTCTGGCCATCACGCTTCTACGTTATATGCTGTATCCGGAGATCTTCAGGGTCATGATTACCCATCCGGTACAGTCGCTGTTTCTGGGCACGTTTCCCATGGGTCTTGCGACAATTATCAACATGTTCTGCTTCGTCTGCGTACCCGCGTGGGGTGACGGAGCGGCTTACTTCATTTGGGCAATCTGGATCTTTGATGCCGTAGTGTCAGTGCTGATCGCTATCGGAATCCCCTTCTTGCTGTATGTTGGCCTTTTCCGCAAGTGAAATTCATCATTAGACTGACTTGATTCCCAAGGACCACGAGCCAGAGAACCCTCGACCTTTCGTCAATGACGGCTGCTTGGCTCTTGCCGATTGTGTCATGTGTTGTCGCGGCCGCATCGGGTGCGATCGTGGCGGATATCTTGCCGAATATGCACTTTGCTCTGGCTACTATCCTGGCCAGTTATATTCTGTGGGGAATTGGGGTTCCCTTGGCACTCATGGTTATCTGCATTTATCTGCAGCGCCTTATGTTTTACAAGCTGCCGCCGAAGGCGATGCTCGTCAGCGTTTTTCTTCCTCTTGGGCCTCTTGGCCAGGGTGGATTTGGGTAAGTCTCAAAGAGAACATAAAGGCTGCCAAGCTCTTGCAAACTGACAGATTTATCAATCGTTCAGTATTCAAAAACTCGGCAAAGTTGCACAAAAAGTCTTCCCTCGGACGAATACTCTCAGTGCCACCACGGGTGATGTCTTTTACAGCGTTGGATTCCTGATAGGGATCGTACTGTGGGCATTCGGCCTGGTTTGGCTTACTTTTGCAGTGACCACCTTGATCACGACGAGGAAATTCCCGTTCAATATGGGATGGTGGGCATTGACTTTCCCCTTGGGAGTCTTCACCACTTGTACTTGTACTATGGGCAACGAGCTTCCCTCGCGATTCTTCTCGGTACTTGGCACAGTAAGTTGTCCTAGTTATACTAACGGTGTCTTTTTATCTACCATCAGCGGCTAACCCGACACAGATATTCTCCGTCGCGGTCGTCTTGTTGTGGCTTTTGGTCAGCTTTCACACATTCCGAGGTATCGCCCGCGGCGATCTTTTTGTTGCCCCATGTCTTAAAGATCTGGGAAATGCAAAGGCTAGATCTGGGGAGAAGGTATAAAGTGCCAACAAATAGAAGTTGGGATAAGCAAAATTATGCATAGATGAATTCGCATTTCAACCTCATCCAGGAATATACTCTTTCCCTCATCTCAAGGATGGGAGAGGAATATCGCCGTCAGTTTGTCTGACGCCAACTGGTGGACGGGGCCTTGAGCTACAGAGGTAACCATGAAAACTACAATTGCCTCAGCCGAGGCTGGCATTATTCGGTGTGACCTATGCATATAAGGGGAAAGCAGGTTGGCAACGGCAGCCGCCACGCAAGGACCAGGATCACCACCGGGTCAATCGCCGATTGATAAGCCCGCCACGTTCATTGGACGTATGACCCCTCGAATGGTACATTCAAATGCTGTAGGATAATAAGAAAATAGAAGCAATTTGAATTAATAGTAATACACTTCAGCACCCGTGCGCAGTGGAAGTTTAGGGATATGCGAGGGTCCCTACTTCATGGGCAAAGGAACAAGGCCATAGGCAGACTAAAGGCCAGTTTCAATCGAGTCCTGAAAAACTATAATCAAAGGGTAAATCGCCCAAATGATTCGCAATATCGCAATCTTTGAACAACAATTCTCCCGACTCTTTTCTTTGCCCCCAAGTACCCCTTGAGGGGCCTCAAGATGGTCCCGATAGCCCTCAACAACGAAGGGGAAGAGTTTATGGTTTTCACTCCGGGCGTGTCCGCCTCGCCGAGCTCGTCGGAACAGCTGCGAACGCCCGACTCCCACGACATCTCCAATCTCAACTTCGCCCTACACTCTCCCCGTTCCATCATGGCTAGAACCAAGAGGAGTGGCTTGGTGTCACTGGCGTGTACTGAGTGTCGGAAACAACATCTAAAATGTGATGCGCACAGGCCAACGTGCTCGCGCTGCGTCCAGCAAGGTTACTTTTGTCAGTACCTTCCCTCACGACGAGGCGGACGCAGGAAACCCCGACAGGACTCCGATCGCCAGCCACTGCCATCTAATGACCCCGATGAGCTGAATACTACATCGCCCCATGATCTTGCATCGGAATTGATGAAAGAGATGCAGCCTGGGTACCAGGCTCCTCTCGCCTTACCCGTGTCTCGTTCAGAACAACCAGATACGCCAGATAGCAACGTCCCCCAGCGCGGCACAGGGCCGGTCCCTTGGTCGATAACTACCCCGAGAACTGGGTTGAGTCAAGAGAATTTTCAGCCCACGCGGGATCTTTGGTTTCACGATGATCGCTTCCTGCGCCTCTTCTACGAGAATTTCCATGTCGCTCATCCCATCCTGGTACCTAGTGCTGTCTATCATGATCGGCAGTATCCGGATTTTCTACAGTTCGTCGTGAATTTTGTTGGATCTCACTATGTTACATCGAGTCCTACGCAAGATTACAGAGACAAAGTCCTTGCTGAATTGACTTGTCATAGCGACCGCTCACCATGTATGGTTCAGGCCTGGTTAATCTACTCGATTGCGATTTACGCACGCGGGGAATGGCAGGAGGCGCAGGACGCCTTTTCGCATAGCGTGGAGATTGCCTTGGAGATTGGCATGAATCGTCGCGAATTTGCCATAACTGGGCACCCTGAGAATAGTATCGAGGCCGAGAGCCTCCGGAGGACCTGGTGGGAGCTTTATGTGACGGACATCTTTATCGCTGCTCCGTCCAAGAGCAATACCTTTCTCTGTAGCTCAATGGCCCCGGAGGTGGGCTTACCCTGTGAGGACTCGGTCTATACTGGAACGTGCGAGATTCCAGCCCCTCGGAAGATTCTTGATTTCAAACGCCGCATTTTTGCGCCCGAAGAAACCGTCTTTTCTTCCTTTAGCTATCGCATCGAGGCCACTACTATTCTCTGCAGAGCTCTCGTCTTGAGTAGACTGCGAGACTACCATCGCGATCATCTTCAAGCGGTTGAGAATGCCCTGGTCAGCTGGGTCAATCATCTACCTCCGAGAAAGCTGGACATCGTTGATTCGTACGGCAACATTGATGAAATGATGTTCCAAGCGCACGTTACGATCGCATATGCCACCATGCTTCTACACCTTCCACGAAGCGATCTCCAACCTGTCTTGTCCCAAACAAACGAACAATTTTGGCCCGTCGCTACTCGTCACATGGCCTCTACGCTAAACCGCCCGGTCCACAGTATCAAGGCCACTGAAGCATCCAGGCGAATCTCCGATGCTATCTCTCTCTGCCCAAACGTTCTCAAACACTCTCCGTTTGTGATCCCCGCTCTGGCACTCTGTGGAATGATTCAATTGGCCACTTCTATCAAGCACACCGAAGAGTGCTTTGACCATCATTATAATAGAGTGACTCTCATTCTTGGGTGTTTGAAGAGTACAAAACGGATATGGGGTCTTGCGGACGCCGCTTACAATCATTTACGCATCTCTGCGGCAGATGCGTTATCGGATTCGATGGAACGATGGAGCACGGAACCACTTCGCAAATTCTTCCCAGCAGACTCGACACCTAGTAGTGCAGAGCGGATGACGACTCAGCCCTTTCGGCCTACGTCAGCTGCTTCAGAGGGCCAGGATCTCCTGTTTCCCCCCATTGTACCTGCCTTTGTTGACCCGACATGCTACAACGACTCATTCTTCACCACTATCCCTGAGTTTGACATCAGCTAAGGGCATGTGACAGCAATATAGTAATGATAAATATTTATTTGACGAGTACTATTCATCCTTGCACATTTCAGCCCCTCAGTACACTCTGTAATTAGGTAGGGGCTCGGTGTTCATGATAATTCTCCCTGCCCTCGCCACATGATGGCTTTTCCTTGGCTACGGCTCCCTGATCTTATCATTCGTGGTAATTCTGGAGACATGAAATACCCATAGACACTGGCCGATCATAGTTCAAATTACCCTATAGAAATCCCAAACTGGATGCTGTAGGGGCGCGTGATACCCGAAACGGGGCTTATCTTTCGGAGATTGAATGAGCGGTATGTAGGGTCAATCGCCGACTGCCCTCAACGTCACCTTCCGTCGGCGATTGCGCAATGGTTTGCAATGTGTCCACCTCAACATCTTCTATAAAACATCTTCAACTCTGGTACAATTCCCTGTGTGTCATAGCAAAGTGGTTAATTTATCAAGTTGTACAATTCTGTCTTCCAACATGCTGCCTCTTGTGCGTCCCGTATCCGCCACGAGCGCCACCATCGACAAAGGATCAGCCGCGCCTTATCGGCGATTTAAGGAGCGATACTACTTGAGCGAACTGGTGCAAGATATTAAACAACATCTGGGCCACTCTGGGGGCATTTCATCCGAAGATGTTGACTCGAACTATCTGCGGTCTTTGCTGGAGAAGTACATCTCCGATCCGAGTGACTGGATCCAGTATTTCCACAACGACCGCAGCAAAAACTATACACGCAACGCAATTGAGAATATAAACCACAAGGCAAATATTGTGAGTATCTATCCATTCGTCACGCTATCTGATTAAGCTAATCTCTTCTAGCTTCTTCTAGTGTGGAACCCTGGAAAAGGATCACCAATTCACGACCACGCAAACGCACATTGCATTATGAAGGTTCTCGCTGGAGAGCTACATGAGACCGTGTACACATCACCCGATAAAAAACCTGGCAAATCCAAGCCTCTGGAGATTAAATCCTCAACTACTTTTGGCATGAATGAGGTGACATATATTTCTGATGATATCGGGCTACATCGGGTTCACAACCCAAGCAGCGACCAGGTGGCTGTTTCGCTACACTGTAAGTATACCAGCTCATGTTTTCTTGTACCAACTAGTCTAATGAAACATTTTTAGTGTATACACCTCCAAATGCAGCTGACTATGGCTATCACATTTTTGATGAAGCGACGGGGTCTGCAAGCCACGTACCGCAGGCTCGCTCATATTTGAAGCCACAGGAGAATTAGCCGCGATGATGGTTGCAGCATAGAGCATTTCGGGTTTTATATTTTTCTTGGGCTCAAGCTCTTGCGAGCAGGGGCGTTCGCGAGGAAGGTTTTAGCATAGTTTTGTGTTTTCATCGCCACGATATCCCCATCTGCGTGTCCCAGCTTCGGATGTGTTTTTCTTTTGAATGTAAAAGATGTTCCACAGATTGTATTCACTTTTTTCAAACATCTAGACAGTTTTCACCTTAGAAGTTTAATAAATCCTCTCCACTTAACCATCGCGCCTCCAGACCAATGACCATAAGGCTTCATAACTGGTTAACCACTTCGGGCTTATTTACTAAATACTGCCGAGTCGTGGGGAAGGCGGTGAGACCACGGACCCTGATGATCGTCGCTCGAACCGGAGGCGGTTGCTCATGTGCGCTCACACCACTCAGAGTCTCGGTGGACTATTTTCCTTAATTTTGCTTCCCGGGGTATTCAATCAGGACGGCTGTGTGCTCTATACCTGGCGCTCTATCGGGGAGATCTAGGGTCACGAGAGTCGACTCTGGTGCGCCCGTCACTATCTCACCCCGCGGGCATCTGGTTATCTCCCAATGAAGAACCCCAGCAATCGCAATGCCGAACGGGAAGAAAGGGACAACGCCTGCTCGGCCACGCAGAGATGTGCTGGCCTCATTGCGCATGGCGTCAATGGAGGAAATTGCGAGAGCTTCGCTGCCAGCTGGTACGTCATTGGAATGTTGCGATGCATGGCCATACACTAATCAATGCTCGTCTACAGAGATCATGTCCTCAATTTTAGATTACCTCGATCCCGTGGATCTTATCCGTGCCGCCCGGTCAAGCAAGCTTCTACATGAAATGGCATATGATGATACCCGCTGGGTGCAGCGATTGAAAAGAATTGGGTGCTGGGACGAGGCAGACGCTCGAAGGCACATTGAAGCAACTTACGGGACAACTGCGAATCCGGCCATTGGAGATGGACAGGATATCCTTTCGGCAACGAGCGGCGCAGTACCTATCATTGCTATCGATAAAGCTCCGTCCTCGGATGTCAAGGAGCTGGCTGATGGGTTCGACAAGATTGACCTAGTCAATACAAACTTACCACCCGAATCATCTACAACGGTCGAAGACGACCCGGACCTGGTGGTTTTGAAAACCGCCAAATCCATACGGGGCGAGGCGCGTCAGGAATATGGGAGGATTCATGGTGCTCTGGCGCCATACTACAATGACATTGCGAAGAAGGGCCCTTCAATGGATAATTTGGTCTTCACCCAGTATAAAGATCAACAAGCAAGGGCACAAATGCTGTCGCAACTAGTGGCTTTTTCAAACTCCGATATGACTGATGGCTGGCAAGATCGGTCGGATCGCCTACAGAGCACAATCGCTATGTTTGAAACCGCCGCATTGAACGAGTTCCGAAATGCATATGAATCAGACGACATTGACGAAACGATGCGCAAATACGCTCACATATTATGGACACTCAACGGCGGCAAAGCAGCCGTCGATCTTTTTATACATCACAATCATTTGATGACACGCAAAACCGAGCTGGGGACCGTAGCGGACTGTATTGATGCCTCGGGGAAGGTGAAGTTGCAACATACACAGGCGTTCTTCACACGACTGAGCGTTGCCTACAATGAGGAAGTAACGATCATGAACCGTGTCTTTCCTCCCGAGCTGGATGTGGCCTCCCCCTTCATGGAAAAGGTTGGGCAGGATGTGCTCTATCCATTTCTCACGGCCATCTTCGATGAGCTGCATCGTACGAATATGGAATCTTACCTCACGGCCGTCTCCGTCACATTTGTACAGTGCATGAATCTATCCGAGTCACTTTTGCCAGTCAGAAATTCGGGCGACAAGTTCGATCAGTACTTGGATTCTGTCGTGATCAAAATTTACGAGCCGCACATTGACCTATACTTGGCTGAAGAACTTGACTTTTTCCGAAAAGGATGCGAGGCCACGATTGACGACTGGGATCGCCAGCTTTCAGAGCAAGCTGCATCGACCGAGTCATTCCTCATGTCCAATGTCAACCGCCAGGCAGACAAGCGAGACTTCCTCACTTCGTTTAAAAAGGTGATTATGATGCCCGTCAACATTCTTCCGAGCTTCTCGGGTAACAAGGCTACCGGCGACTCCAAAGCCGATTCCGAGACAAATGGCAATAACCCTTCTGCCGCGAAGAGTCCAAATCGGTTTTCCACCATCGCTTCACCGGCCACGCCGACATTCGAAGAGGCTCCCACTACGGAATTGGCAGCCAAGGCGGCCATCATGAAAACAAAGATGGAAGGCATCAAGTCCCTGTTCAGCATTGAGATTGCTCTGAATCTCGTTCACTCGGCGAAGTCCAGTCTGGAAAGAGCCGCTCAATTTGTCCGGTTGGGTGGAGAATATGGACGAGCTGCCAAGCAGCAGTGTGAGGCCATCTTCGTGGCCCTTCTTCGCCTATTGGGCCTTCGCCACGTCATTGTTGGCTTTGATAAAGCCGTGGACCATCTTTCTAATTACCGCCCGCGAGAGCAGGATGAGCGTGATTCTTCAGGCGTAGAGCCTTTGGTTACTTTCTTGGAGCTGGTGAACGTGGGTGATTTGATCCTACAAATGGTGGACGTGTTCTATGAACAGGAATTGATTGGCACGAGATTGACGGACCGAAATGATTTCCTCGATCCGGCCGTCAAGGAAAAGAAGAAATTTGAGCAAATGCTTGATGAACGTGTGGCAGCTGGGTTGAACAAGGGCATTGATGTACTTATGGAAGAAGTGGACTATATTCTCGCCACACGACAGCTTGCCACGGATTTCAACCCAGGCGTCTCGACGGATCCCCATCGACAGACCATGGACGTGGGCATCAGTCAAGCCGCCGCAGCCGTGGTGGATGTGGTTTCGTCGCATACCCAAATGTTGGTGGGCAGCACCGATAAGAGCACGCTGGATGTCTTCAACCAAGAAGTCGGTTTGCGCCTGTTCACTGCACTCTGCAAACATTTGAAGCGACAGCGGATCAGTGTGGAAGGATCCCTAAAGCTGATCAGGTATGTACAACGTCCAAATCCCCATTCTTACTCTACTATCTGTGCTAACCCAATTTCAGCGACATGAACCACTACTTCAAATTCGTCCAAACCCTCAGGAACAACGAGCTTCTCCTCTACTTCAAAGCCTTCCGAGAGCTAGCCCAGATCTACCTGATTGACCCGTCTGATGCTAAGGAATTGGCGACGATTATCGCCGACGCCGACCGATTCTCCGGAATCTGGCGAGTCGAGGAAGTTTCTGAATTCGCTGAGCGCCGGGTTGACTGGTACCAAGTGAAGGGCGACGTGGAACGAGCCATGTATGGCATTGGATGCAGCGTGATGTAAACAGTGATAGATACCCCCGAATTTCATAGCGGATTGGTTGGTTGCTTTTGATTGGATGTATAGATAGGATTATAGAGCTAGACATCGGTCATGCTCATAGGGCCGATCTCAAAAAAAAGTGGCACAAGCTCCACCTCCAACCAATTATACTTTGTGAATCAAATATACACGCCCTAGTTGTTAGAACGTCAATTCCCTGACCCTGAGGCTCTCTCTTTTTTCTCTCTAATACTTTCTTCATGAAGACACGATTATCCGCTCTTTCTAGTCTCTGGACTCGTCTCTCGCGCCGGCCCTTCCGCAAGGTAACATCTGACGTCAACGGGTTCACGGCGGCTGCTGGAACATCCCCCCCTCCTGCTTGAAACAGACATCTAGACTTTCCGAGCCAACACCCGCGCAGTTCCGGTTGCAGCTTCAAACAATCTGGAAAAGGACAGGAAACCCGTGGTTTTCTTTCTAAATTGCCCAGGGACTTCGCCTTCAGCGGTTGGGTCGTAACCTTGAACTCGGCGGGAGTGACGCAGAGATCTTCCCGTTTAGGTAGCCATGTAAACGCTATGTTCCTGCGAGGACCACGGTTTTGGGGATTTCAGGTCTCTAGAAGGATGTTATATCTGTCTAGGAGCTCTCGCTGGGGACTGTTCGGTAGTGCTACAGCAACCTGGCACGCGTTGCTGCAGTCTAACGGTTCTAACACCACTGTGTCTGGGATCCAGTCTGAATCAGCAATTCTGATCCATAGGCGATCGTTGATCTACGCGACCTACAAGGGCCGTATTTCTATTATGTGGTGAACCCTGGTGGAATTTGGATGTTATTCGCTTATAAAGGCCACGAGACTACCATCCTTGAAGCGTCATGGCCACCAACACCTATAATGGCTGGCCTCTACTATTACTCTTTGTGATCTACAGCAGCTTCATCACGGCTATCGAAGCAAAAGTTGTCGTGGCTACAGTCCATACCACAGTGGAGGTGGTCCAAGCGACGCCTGCCGTTCCCAGTCCTGCCTCATACACTTCGACCTCCAAGTTCAAAGACACAGTTCTTCGGGTTAGCAATGACTATCGAAAAGCACACGATGCAGAACCGCTAGTCTGGAACGATACGTTGGTCGAATATTCCCACGAATGGGCTCGGCATTGTATCTGGGAACATTCGGTAAGATCTCCCATTCGTATAGATTCTGTTGATTGCCATGGAGTCTAGTTCTGACTAATTGCTCATTCAGGACGGTCCTTATGGGGAAAATCTAGCATTTGGGTATCCCAATGCCTCGTCAGCAGTCGAGGCTTGGGGCGATGAGAGAAAATTCTATAACTTCGACAAGCCGACCGGATTCACTGAGAAGACAGGCCATTTTACACAACTGGTGTGGAAGTCCACAACGGAAGTGGGATGCGCTGCGATCGATTGTGGATATACCGAAGACAACGAAAAAGAACGAAGAGACGCCGGTGATAGCAGTACGGGTCGACTTCTTTCTCGAGAGCTCGATGGAAGTACGAGAGCGCAGGGTTGGTACGTTGTATGTGAATACACGCCAACGGGCAATGTTGTTGGCGATCACAATGAATACTTCAAGAAGAATGTGAAGCCAAGCGACAAATCGTCGTCCGCGACAACTACTTCTGCTACATCGAAAGGTCAACCGACGGGCGGGGCGGCGATGAAGAACAAAATCAGTCCCGCGGTGTGGACAACGTTGCTGGCTCTGGGGACTGTGGCGATTGGGATGAGCCTGTATACTTAGGGCAAGGAGACAAAAGCCTACGAGAAGTACAGAAATTATGAAACAACAGCCATTGCGTTCGTAGGCATTTCTCATGCTTATCCACATTGCACATCAAGAGCTTCGTCGGACACACACAGCTCATCTATCGATTTTTGAGAGTCCCCGATCATCAGCACAGAAATAGGGCCGGATCATAAAACTGGGGCACGTAGAAAGCCGGGCCCGAAAGGCAGAGGACGCCGGCGAGAACCAAGAAAAAGAAGAAGGAAACACATTATATGCGAGAGAGAAAAGGGGGGAAAAGAAAATGGGTTCGTCAACCAATGACCTCCTCGGTCTCCTCGACGATCTCCTCCACAATCTCCTCCACCACGGTGTCGCCCTCCTGCTGGTTGCCAACGCGGGCATCCTTGGCCTGCTTGGGAGAGTCGGCATCCTCGGGCAGGCCGAAGACCTCCCGCTCCTCGGCCTGGATCTCCTTCTCCCGGCGCAGCCACGCGAGCCACTCGCTGAGAACGCGCTTGCGCTGCTCGACAACAGCGGTATTGGCAATGTCCACGGCGTATCGGTCCTCCTCGTCGAACTCCTTCGAGTACTCGCGCAAGTTCTTGCGCACCTGCTTCTGCTCCTCCTTGCTGAGCAAGGTAGGGGGGCGGGGGCGCCAGAGGAACTGCTTGAACTTCTCGGTAGGGTTCTCGGAGAGGGTAGTTCCGGAGAAAGTGTGCAGGTTCCAGCCGTTTTCCATCTAGAGATTGAAAATTAGTCTTAATTCGTAGAAAGACACCAAGGGAGGATTGAGATCTTACCGAGTGAGTCCACACACTAGCACTGCTGACCACGTAGCGACCCGTGGGGTCCCACTCAATGTCGGTCACACCGTAGTGCTCAACAGTCTTCATCAACTGAAGGTTGGCGGAAAGATCCTTCTCAGCCTCATTCTTCTCACCCTCAAAGTCCATATCCCAGAAGTCCAGGTCGAAGTTGGACTGGGAGTGAACGGTAGCGACAACGACGAAACGGCCCTTGGGCGACCAGTAGATGCCGTTGCTGGTCTTCTTATCGACGGTCCGAATGAGCTTGAAGTTGCCGGCAGTGTGACCCTTCTTCTCCGGGGCGAAGAAGGAGACGCACGTCTTGGGAGGAGCGGCAGCGCCGGTAGGGCCCTCGCCGGTGGTGATCAGGACGAATCGAGAACCGTTGGGCTCCCAAGAGAAGTTGATGACAGTGTCCTTGAGACTGTCGACGACCTCAACGGGAACGCCCTTCTCGCGGACTCGGAAGATCTCCAGGTTGGTGGCCATGGATTTCTTGGACTTGGAGTGACGGTCGACCTTGACGCAAACGTAGGCACCCTGAGATTGCCAGTGCAGCTTGACGTCGGACACGTTGAACAGGTTACGGGTGCGGACAATCTCCTTAGAAGGAACGCTCATCATGGCGACACGGGCGGGGTTGCTACCAATCTCGGGAGTCCAGAAGCAGAGGAGCTGCTCGTATTGCTTGACACCCTCACGGGTGACGGTGGCAGGAGACCACTCGAAGTCGTTGACACCCTCGACCTTCACGGACGTGCGGCCAAGCAGGTTCATGTTGGGTACCTCGTAGATAGAAATAGACTGGCCCTGGAGCATACGGGCAACGTACTTCTCATCAGCGGACCACTTGAAAGCGGGCCACTGAACCTTCTTCTTGGGCTGGACCTCGCCCTCTGCGGCGGGACCGGCAGCCAGATCGTGGGAGACGAATGAGCGCAGAGGCTTGCCGGACTCGATATCCCAGACAATGATGTTCTTTCCATCTTCCTCGAAGGTCAAGATGGGCTGGCCTTCCTCGACCTGGATGGGGCGAGAAGACCACGTCGTCAGATAGCCCTCCAGGGGAGAAAATTCAACGAGTTGTACGAAGGGGTGGGGGAACTGTTTTTGCTTAGAGAAGGAGGCGCCGCCCCAGAGTTGGACACCTTGAGGGTGGACGGAGGCAAGGAAGGTACCCTTGGGGGACCATTGGACGAAGAGTTGTGTCCAGTGAGCGCGATCAACGACGTTCTCTGGGGGGTTGGACTTGTTGTTCCAGAACACGCCGACCTTGTCGTTCCGGTAGAGGGCAAACTGATCACGAGCATGGGCATCGGCCATCCAAGAGCGCAGGTGCTCCTTCTCCTTGAAGGGCTCCACCTCGGGAGCGTGGTACTCCTCATCAATACGTCCCTCCCGACCATATCGCTCGATATCCATAAGCTTGTTCACGGCCAGGGTGTGCTTCTTGTCGAGGGGAACACCGTGCAGCTGCTTGACGGCAGCGAGAGCTTGTTCGGGGGTCTCGAATTCAACAAAGGCGAATCTAGAAGAACAAGGATATCCTAGTCAAAATCTCATCCAGTTTATAAATCCGTAGCTCATTCATCCTGTAACGCACCCTTCGGACATGCCCTTGTCGTTCAGCGGCATGAAAACTGCATCTTCGGAGGTGTGTCCAACGGTGTTGAGTTTTCTCAACAAGAACTTGACGAGTTTCTGGCGGCTGTCTTCGGGCACAACGGGGAGGCCATCGATAACGACGAAAGTGTCCAGACCCTCCTCCAACTTGACTTCGAACTGCTCTTTGAGATCTGCCGAGAATCGATGTTAGAGAGGGGCACACACGCCAAAAAAAGTAGGGCTCCCAGGGGCGTACCGGAGAAGTCAATCTCCTCCTCCTCCTCCTCGTGGAAATCCTGCTCGGTCAGGGTGTCGAAACTGGGCGCCATGCTGGGTGGACTTGAGGCGACAGCCGTGGATTAGAGCGTTGCGTACTTGACTTTGAGGATTTTCGGCCAGAAACAAAACTCGCCGCCAAGCGGGTTCTTTGTGCGCGCTGACTCAGCCGTGAAGAGATCCAGCGCGATCTTTTCACGTGACTAAGAGACTATCACGTGATTCAAGCTTTGTTGGCGTAGCTGAGTCAGCCCGTTCCCCGGGCGCGCATCGCAAGTTGCAGTAAGCTTGGAGATTAGCAGTTGCTTTCGGAGCTACAGCCGACGCGGGGTTTCTTGTTGAGTTCTGGACTTGCGAACGTGGTGCCCTGTTGCTGCAAAGAACACCGACAACACTGTTTATTGTGACTCGCTCGTCATTCCCTCTTGCTGCATCTTCGCCTTGCTCGTTGCGCCCTCGGCTCGCCCGTCCTCCCCCGCCGCTCTTAAGCGCCAGTGCGACTATACCCACCTGACCTTCCTCGAAGTACCTGCTCGCGCAATCAGCACCAGTGTTCAAATCTAGCAGTCGAAGCTATCTCTACAGCTGTAAATTACACTTGGAACTCGGATAGTACATTTTTGGAGACGATTGGCAAGGATTGGATGCAGGCAGGATGTCACGTATGTTGCCTCGGTGGTATCCCAGCTTCAATTGCCGGCTCACACCTGGAAGCTTTTCTTTCTCGTCTAACGTGGCGCAATAGTCTCATCCGAGAAGCGCGATGAATATTCGGACATCATTGACTCGATTCTTGCCAAGAGTGACCTGAATACCGTCTCCGAGAAACGGATTCGCAAGGGTCTCCAGGACGTCATTGGTTATGATCTCACTCCACAAAAGGTCCGCACAAGCTGTGGTTGATACTTGCGCTTTGTTTCTGTTGGAAGGAAGCATGAATACTCGTCAAACTCTGGTAGCTGATAACGGTTTCGCAGGCTGAAGTCAAAAAGCTCATCATGGAACGATTTGACATCTTCGCGAGCAATAAGGGCGTCCACTCACCCGAAGAGACCTCTAGTAATGGCCATACAAACGTCACCACTGCGGTCGCAGTACCTTCTCCACCCCCATCCTCATCGCCCGTGAAGCTTCAGGCACGTAGCGAAGAAGCATCCGAGCCCGCTAGCGCCTCGCCGCCTCCAAAGAAGCGCAAGCCCGACGCGGATGTTGACGCCGACGCTTTGTTCGCCGCGAAACTACAAGCGGAAGAGAATATGAGGGCACGACCCACGAGAGGCGCAAATACACGTCGTGCTGCTCCGTCTAAGAAGAAGAGCAAGGCCAAGACATCCAAGCGCGTCAAAGCTGAGGATGACTCGGACGTTGACTCGGGATCAGACACGAAGAAGGAGGTCAATCGAACTGGTGGCTTCCACGTATGTCTTGAATGTCGAGCATTTTCTCCACGCAAGACTAATCGCTATGTTTTAGAAACCACTTAATCTGTCTGCCCCTTTGTCTGCCCTCCTAGGTGGAGAGACTACTGTATGTCAGGCCCAAATCGCCAGCTAAGTCTATACTGACCCTTTTGTTTCTAGCTCTCGCGCCCCCAAACTGTCAAGAAGGTATGGCAATATATCCGTGAAAATGAGCTGCAAGACCCAAGCGATCGACGCCAAATCCGCTGCGACGACGCGATGCGCGCTGTGTTTAAACAGGATCGGGTCCATATGTTCACCATGACCAAGATCCTCAATCAGAACTTGTACAACCCAGATGAATAGCCCTGATTTGTGCGAATAGTCATGGGTTGTTCTTGGATGAAGGGACTCTTGGTATCCCTCAACGAATTTCGTCTCTTTTCTATCATTTGCTTTCTGCGATGCATGGGAATGCCGGCGTGACGACTCCACCTTTGCCGCCTTTTAAGGCTTCCTCTTATGGCGCCTTGTGCTTTCAAGATTTTGGTTCTTTTCTTGCTCTCCAGCGGGAGTTGGTGCAGCCCTTGAGTGGTGATATCTATCGTTCTCATAAATGCATATCTAAGTTTCACGACCTCAATCAGTCTTGGGATACACTTCTCGGCTTTGATGTGGGAAAGAATGGAGCTCGTCCATCCTCGGAAGTGATGATGTTCGTGGCAACACTGCCTCCATATTGTCCTCGTTAGAAGGCCTGGTAATTCACCTGTAGAGTGCTGTAGTTGAAATATCGCCACATTGTAGGAACTTCTAAATGGGGTGACGACTCTGCTGGATGACACATAGCTAGCGAGGGAATGTTGTCGAGTATGGTGGAAGCTGCAGGTATCCCGTAAATCATCCAATGCCTGATGAACGACTGGTCCATTTACAAACATATGTCTGATCTGACAAACGGTCTCTAGGATATATCGAGATATAGTCTCTTCGTTGATTGCAAAAGAAGATTCCAGCTTGCTTGCTTGCGCATGCCCGCGGAGGTTGATCAGTCAGCCAGATCTCACTTTTTTCCCCATCTCCCCCACCACACTTCCACCCCCCCAGCGAGCTCCGCAGCTCCCACGTTGTTGCCATTGACACGTAACTGCAGCGCCGATCTTGACTCCCACGGTCCCCCGCCATGGCTGACAACACCCCATCTGCTCCGTCAACAGGCCACGGTCGTGGTGGTGGCCGCCGGCGTGGCCGCGGAGGCGCCCCTCCCTCGGGCCGTTCAGATGAGCCGCACAACGCTGGCGATGGATCAGGTCGAGGAGGCAAGTCCCGCGGTCGCGGAGGTCGAGGCTCTGGTGGACGTGATAAGCAACGGAAGCAGGATAAACCCGAAGCAACCGAGACACAACCTACGCCGAAGGTTGCGACCGTAGGGACAGAAGAGGTCCCCGCCGCTACAGAGGATGCCGACGATGGAGAGATCTGCTTCATTTGTGCGTCGACCGTTGAACATACCTCCGTGTCGCCTTGCAATCACCGGACGTGTCATATCTGTGCGCTTCGCTTGCGCGCACTTTACAAGAATAAGGCTTGCGCTCATTGTCGAGTATGTCTGCATCTCACGGTTCCAGCTGCTGTTGGTCTTTGGCATACTTGTCTACCATACTAATGTAGCCTAATATATAGACCGAGTCCGCCTTTGTCGTCTTCACCGATGACCCCGTTCGACGCTTTGAAGAATTTGAGAAGAAAGATTTCGCCCGGACCGATGAGAATTTGGGAATCTATTATGAGAAGGACGAAATCTTTGAAGACACGGTGTTGCTGCTTCGATACAACTGCCCCGACGAAGACTGCGATGTCGCTTGCCTTGGATGGCCGGACTTGCATCGCCATGTGAAGAGCAAGCATGGCAAGGTGATGTGGTGAGTTTCGATCCTATGTTCTAGATGCGCATTAGGCGCTTTAAACACGACGATTAAGACTAGTGGCTGACCTGCGCTCTGTGTGACATGACAGTGACCTTTGTACACGGAATAAAAAGGTGTTTACTCACGAGCACACCCTATTCACCATGGCCGAGTTACGAAAACACGAGAAGCATGGTGACCACAAACCTGGTGCTATCGACCAAAGCGGTTTCAAGGGCCACCCCGAGTGTGGTTTCTGTCGGCAACGATTCTATGGCGATGACGAGTTATACGCGCATTGTCGTGACAAGCACGAAAAATGCCATATTTGCGATCGTCGTGCTTCTCATCGTCAGCAACAGTACTATGTTGACTATAATGCTCTAGAGGGCCACTTCCAAAAAGACCATTTCCTTTGCCTTGACCAGGAATGCTTGGACAAGAAGTTTGTCGTATTCGAGTCACAGATGGACCTAAAGGCTCACCAGATTGAAGCACACCCGAATGGAGTTTCCAAGGATGTGCGTCGAGATGCTCGGATTGTCGATCTCGCCGAGTTCGATATTCGAAGCCCATATCAGCCTCAGCGTCCGCGCCGCGGTGCGGGTCGTGGGCGGGATCCCAATGCCGAGCCTCTGCCCGTCTCTAGCGCACAACCTCTCGGCCGTGCCGAGCAGGCTTTCCAAAGACAGCAAGCAATTCAGAGCTCGCAGTCTGTTTCTACTCGTAGTTTCGGCGGACAGCTCAGTCGGAATGATACTCAGACAGTACAGGCACCCGCGCGATCAGCAGCAAGTACCCCGAACCCGGCAGCTCGTGCTCGACCCCCACCCACCGCAGAGCTGGAAAGCCTCAGCCTTGCGGCCACTTCGGCAACTTTGAGCCCGCAAGACCAAGCTCGACGCTTGCGCCATACCGCAGTTGTGGAGCGGGCATCGAATCTACTCCATAATGATGCTAACAAGCTTGCTGAGTTCCGAACGAGAGTGTCCAGCTATCGAACTTCATCTATTGGTGCTACGGAGCTCATTGATGCGTTCTTCTCTCTGTTTGATACCTCCAGCTCGGAGTTAGGCAAGCTCATCAAAGAGCTTGCCGATATCTACGAAGATGAGAGCAAGCGTACCAGTCTTCTTCAAGCTTGGAACGACTGGCGTGCTATCAATGAGGACTACCCTGCTCTTCCGGGTCCTGGTGGTCTCCTGCCTGGCATGTCTCCTGCCACAGTCAGCACCGGTGGCAGCCGGGTCTTGCGACTGAAGTCCTCCACTGCCCAATCGTCTCGCTCCGCCGTTGGTAGAAGCGGTGCCATATCCTCATCCTCCGCCAACCCCTTCCCTCCTTTGTCTGCAGCTGCCGGTAGCTCATCTCGCCGTAACAACGCTGCCACTTCCACTCCCTGGGCTGCTCCCGCCCCTCCCCCCTCCATCAGTCGCCCTTCATACTCAACCCCTCCCAGTCGTGCGTCCCCAGCCATGTCTGCAAGCTCCGCACGCCCTGCTGTTGGTGCAGACGCTTTCCCTGCTCTTCCCGCGGCCGCCAAGCCAAACGTCCTGATGCCTGGAAAGACCCGTGGTTACGTCCGGTGGGATGAGCGTAAGGGTCCTGCCGCCACTGCTTGGGGATCAAATCCGTCTTCTGGTCTTGCGTCTCCAGCCGAGCCAGCAGATGACTTTGATGACGAGCCTAGCGATGGGAAGAAGGGAAAAAAGAAGAAGGGCAAGCAGACCCTGTTCCACTTTGGTTGATTGGTCTTGAATACCCCTAATTCCGGTCGGATATTTTGTGAGCGTTCTTAATAGACGAATGAGTATATTAGCAAAAATTTCTCTCTTTGAAACTGGTTTCTTTGAATGTCTCCGTTCCTCCAATATTGAAGTAATGTTTATTCAGGTACTGGTATAACTAGAAGCCTGTCGTCATCTTCTAATGATGTGGTATATCAAGTCGTCAGCCGCAGGTTATTCTCCCTTTTCCTATATAACAATGTCATACAATGGACGAAATGTATACTTTTCTAACGAGTCCCCGTTGTAAGGCTGACAGGCCCGATTCTCCTCGAGTCTCTTACACCAAAAAAACGCTGTCATGTCCAGTAGTTTCAGGCTCGGAATCAGATTCAATCGGTAGTGAATCTGAAGGCAAGTGTGTTCGAGTCGAAACTCCCTCAGATGCCCGGTCTGCGCGGAAAGTGGGAGCAGTGGAATCCACCTGAGAATCATTGCCCCCCCCCCTCTTCTTGTTCCTCCATTATCTCATCATCAGCATCACTCCACAGTTCGACTTCCTGATCGATAGCAGCCATGCGCAATGTAAAGTCGTTTTGAAGCTTTACAAGATGCTGCCGAAGAGATGGGCTATCCATCGTGCTATTCCGAGCGAGTATAAGCTCTTCCCGCAATGTGAGAAGCAACTTACGCTTCCGGGCTATGACGACGGCGCGCGACGTGCTGTTCCGACGCTGGGTGAGCCTGTCCATGCACTCGGAGACGGTTTTGGCAACCTCTAAAACAGCCGGTGGGAGATCGACTAGCTTCGCTAGCTCAAGACCATATCGACGGACTGGAACGGGTCCTTCGGCGACCTGGTATAGCATTGTCATCTTGTTCGCGTAAGGGCTGATATCGGCTGCAAGGTGAAAATTTATGACACCGCTTCGCTCGGAGAGGATGCGTGCGAGATCATGAAAGTGAGTGACAAACCATACCAGGGCGTTACTGGCGAGAAGGGCCTCGGCCAGTGCGACGGCAATTGCAAGGCCGTCAGTCGTGCTGGTGCCGCGTCCGAGCTCATCGACTAGGATCATTGCTCGTGGCTGGACATGGCGCAGGATAAATGCCATCTCTCGCATTTCTGCGGCGAAGGTGGAGACGTTCGCATCGAGATCATCGCTGGTAGCTACACGTGCGAAGAGTTGGTGTACAATTGGGAACGAAGCGTACTGTGCTGGTACGAAACACCCAATTTGCGCCATCACGGTTATCAGGGCGAGGCATCGGATGTAGGTAGATTTGCCGCTCATGTTGCATCCCGTGATGATCTGGAATCGAGTTTGTGGAGTGGCACATGCATCGTTTGAAATGAATTTGCTTGAATGAATCCGTTCTCGAATTGGGTGGCGCCCAGCTTTGATAGTCAGGGTGGGCGTTAATTCAGGACGGATGTAGTCGTGGCTTGTTGCTAGTTGTGCAAACGCTGACAGCATATCCAGCATTGCGATTGCCTCGCTGATTCGAAAGAGTCCTGCAACTTCAGCACACACATCATGAAGGAGCCCTTGAACGGTCTGGTCGCTCATGCTGATCACTTCATTGTGTGCATCCGTGATTTTTTGATTTAGCTTGACCAAATCCAAGGTCTGGCACTCGATCCGATTCTTTTTACGGTAGACGTTGATGAAGATGTGCGGCAGTGGCTCTGGATTCCCCGTTGGAATGCATATGTAGTATTGGCGGGCGATATCGTACTTGAGATCCAAGGGCATATCGAGGTTTTCTGCAGATGATTAGCAAAGAGAATTGCGAAGACGATTAGAAGCTTACCTCCTAGTTTAGTAACCAATTCTGCTGCATCAGCGTTGGCTTCCTTGTAAGTTTGCCTCGCGACATCCAGAAGGCTACTGACGCCCGCCTGGCTTAGTAGTTAGTAACGTGTCAAGAGCGGAGCAAGCTTGCGAATTACCTTCACACAATAGATGCGTTGATTCCTGAGGTCTAGTGGCTTGCTTTGGTATGTAACGTTTTCATTCAGCGTTTTCTGGATCAGCTCTTCGACGGCGCGATGGCCTGAAGGATGACACAGCTACTTCATGTTAGCGATGATACTTGCAAGATAATTTCTCTATGCAACCTACCTCTCGAATAGTGGTCAGGATCTCACTTTGGGCCGCACCTAGTGCCTGATATACCTTCTTGATTGCCGATACATATGTCTTGAGCATGATCACATGATTGACCGACTGCTCAATGTACTGGGTGGTTCGCTTGGTAGGCACGAGAATGATCTTACAGGTCAGCTGGATACGGAGAGACGCAATGATACCAAGATAACGTACCGAAGTCAAGACTCTGTCCGCATCGATGAAGCCTTTCAAGGACTGACGGACGGATACGAACATTGCCTCCTTTGTAGACAGGTCTTCCACTGCATTGTATCTCGCGGTCAATTTTACCCTTTCAGTGGAAGGCTGGAGAATGTTGACCCGGAGTAGTCTGGCTCCCATCGCCGTCCTGGTCTCATTGAGTAAACCATACAAACTATCCTTAGACTTGGCATTGTGGAGATTTTGGATGAGTTCGAGGGAAATGATCGTGGCCAGGTCGATGGTCATTGAGCCTTGCGAGGGTTCAAATTTGATTCGGAGAGAATGAGAGGCGAAAACCCGCTGAAGCTCCAGCTCGATATACTTGAGAACCTGCTGATGATTAGCGAAACTGTGGAAGATCGCTCAATGGAATGGCGTTCATACAGCCCCCAAAGCACAAGCAACAAAATAGTTCCTACCCAGCGTCACCTTGAGAGAATCCACCTCGTCTGGGAAGGCAAGGCGATCAAGGTACTCATGACCAGCTTTATCAGACCAGCACCTGCGATCCACGAATGTGAAGATTGGCTCGGGTAGGTTCTCTTCGATGATATAGCGCAGCTTGGACTCCTTGGCGGTATTCATGAATAAGATCTCATTTGGCTCGAAGACGCCAATCTTGGTGACGGTTTTGACGTAAGTTTGACTGTCACATATCTGGCACAGAACCACCTCGGCAGTGGCCAAGTTCACGAATGCAAGTCCAACGGTGGACGATACTCCCCGTGATTCACTGACAGCACAGACAATGTCCTGCGAGGCGACACTCGTGGCCGTGGTGGTGGGCCTTGCCGTTCCAGCCCGTCGAGTGCTGCCCCTGGAAGTCAATGGAATGAGATAATCGAGGGTAGACTGTCGTGACGATGTAGACATTGTTTTGATGAGGTGGGTTGAACTGATGATGGGGTAAGGTGAAAGAAGAGGCAGGTCATTTACATTTTCTGCACTTGACCTGCGGCGAGACTTGACTTGAGCCATACCTCCACTATCTTTCCCTTCCTTAGCTTTACATTTACATGAAACAACTTGTTTTTTCGATTGAATATTTTCAAGAAGAAACATGAACAAGATGTAAGGTAAACACCCCATAGTCGATTACCTATCGAATGCTGGGTCCCTAACCTAGCCTGTTATGGTCTCAGAACGAAGTATTACATAGCACTCGAGCAAACACTTACAGGATAATGTATATAGGGATTGGAACCAAGAAGATAGCCAGTAGTATCAGAGATATCCACTCTTCATCCAATCGTTTCTCTTCTTTACGTCCGATGATAGACTACTTTTGACTATCAGATCAGCGTTTCGTCCATGCAAGAGAGGTGTTTACCAATGTATATGTCAGTAGACTATGTCTGATTAACAGTAGATCCAATTGACACTTTACCTGTTCACCCTAATCTATTTTGAAAGTCATTTCGGAATATGCGGTCTATCAACAGCTCAGTGCCTATCATACTTGACGATAGCCATAGGATCCAAGAAGCCTACCAATTGGCGGTGCATCAGCTTCGATAGTGAGGAACAAGTACTGCAAACCTTTCTTCAATACCCCCAAAAAGATAGTTATCACAACAAAAATTACTCAAGTTCGAGAAACATGGGGAAAAATACATTCCATCAGTAAGTCCCTTGACAAGATGATCCCCGCCAGTCGCGGACGCTGAAATTCCCCACCCGATAAGATAAGCCCTCCAAATCAAAATTTCTTTCCTTCGTCAACTCCTCCAAACCACAATGGCGACCCTCCTCCCCCCGCCCAGTAAACGCCAAAAGCTGGCTCAGGCCGAAAAGGCCAGAGAGCAACAGGAGATTCAAAGTATTCCCACCGATTTGGGCAGTGTTCGCGTCCAATTCTACGACCAGGCTACCGGCAATGCCACCGGGCCTGCGGTGTCGGTCCCAGTGGCCGATGCGAATATTAAGAACCTCGAGACGCTGCTGAATACCCTACAAGGGAATGTAAGGGATTTTCCCAACCGGATTATGCTGCTGCGCCGAACTAATGGCTGACCATTTTTCCTCTGCACAGGACGACGATGACCGCGTCCCGTACCGGTTCACCTACCAATCCGACAAGGAAGATGGACAAACCATCGATATCCTCGCCGATCTATACCACTCGCTGCTCCAGCCTGGGATCAAAACCACCGAAGATACCGTTTCGCTCTACTTCACCCCGCAAGCCGTCTTCCGAGTCAAGGCGGTTTCTCGCTGCGCCGCTTCCATCGCGGGCCACGGCGAGGCTATCTTGGCAACCTCTTTCTCCCCCGTTAACTCGTCCACCATGGTCTCCGGCAGTGGTGACTCTACAGCCCGAGTCTGGGATTGCGAGACGGGTACCCCGTTGCACACCCTCAAGGGTCACACCAGCTGGGTTCTGGCGGTGGCATACTCGCCCAACGGCGCGATGATCGCGACCGGTAGTATGGATAATACCGTGCGGTTCTGGGATGCGAAGGAGGGAAAGGCGCTGGGTGGACCGGTCAAGGGCCATACCAAGTGGATTACCAGTCTTGCTTGGGAGCCCTACCACGTGCAGGAGTCTGGACGGCCGCGTCTGGCGTCGGCGTCAAAGGACTCGACCGTGCGCATCTGGGATGTCGTCTCGAAGCGCATCGAGCACGTTCTCACCGGACACAAGGGCTCGGTGAGCTGTGTTCGATGGGGTGGTACCGGGCAGATTTATACCGCGTCGCACGATAAGACGATCAAGATCTGGAATCCCAAGGAGGGTACGCTGATCCAGTCTCTGGCGGCGCATGCCCACCGTGTGAACCACTTGGCTCTCTCTACCGATTTTGCCTTGCGTACGGCTTACCATGATCACACTGGTAAGGTGCCGGCTACGGAGGCGGAGAAGGTGGCTGCGGCGCGAAAGCGATTCGAGGAGGCGGCTACCGTGAACAATAAGATCGTGGAGCGATTGGTCTCGGCTAGTGACGATTTCACCATGTACCTGTGGGACCCGGCTTCGTCTAATAAACCCGTTGCGCGACTCTTGGGTCATCAGAAGGAGGTCAATCATGTCACCTTCTCGCCGGACATGGCGTATATTGCATCTGCCGGTTTCGACAACCACGTCAAGCTTTGGAATGGACGTGATGGAAAGTGAGTCTTCCCCGCTGACTTCGCAACAAAAATTCTCTTTAAGTGACTGACACCTCTCTTTCCAGATTCATCACCACATTCCGCGGCCACGTCGGCGCCGTCTATCAGTGCTGCTTCTCAGCCGACTCTCGGCTGCTGGTGTCTTCTTCCAAGGACACTACTTTGAAGGTCTGGGACGTCCGGACGGGCAAGTTGGCTACGGATCTACCCGGCCACCAGGACGAGGTCTTTGCGGTAGACTGGAGTCCCGATGGACAAAAGGTGGGGAGTGGCGGCAAGGACAAGGCGATTCGAATCTGGCGGAACTAGAGTAGATATACTAGAGTCCAATATAGAATGATACCCAATGTCTGTTCTGCATGAAACAACCCCTCTCCCATCCGTTCTCTCGACCATACAAGAGGTAAAGTAATTTTTTTTTTAAAAAAAAGGGGAGAACTCTCGTTATGGTCAGTCATTATTATTTTGTATTTAGGTCGCCCAAAACACTCTACTTGCACGAGCAAGTTTGCAACTGATATACAAGAACAACAATGCTAAGCTGAACGCGATTGTAATCAATCATCAAATAAATAAGATCAAGTCCCCGTAAATCCCACACTCGTCATGCAACGCAATTAACCCTCCACTTAAGCGTACTGCCAAGCAGGAACGTCACCCTCATAAGGCAGCGCCAGCGCCGAGAAACCCAGACAGTCACCGACATTACCAGAGGGCACGGTCGCATTGCTGATGGCGGCAAACACCTGCCAGCGGTTGTCCTCGGTCGGGCAAGCCATGAGGCCGCTCGCACCCCAACCGTTGAAGGTATAGTGGGCCCAGGGGGTACCGGGCTCGTAGGCCAGGTTACCGACTGAAGAACCGGCTGGGATGGAGGCGGAGTGGGCCTGGGTGAAGCTCAGGGCACCGGCGGGATCGACGTAGACTTGTTGGCCGCCGGGAACTTCGACGTCCTGTAAGTTGTAGTTAGTATCGACATCGCTTTTTAAATTTTGATCAAGTCCTTTTTTTTGTCTTCTGTGGGCGACACTCTCGGACAGACGGGGGTGTTGATGCATGTCGTGTTTATGCATGTCGTGTTTACGTACCAGAGAGTTACCGCCCGGCGCCAGGACGGTCTGGTTACCTGGAGGGCAGTTCTGCACTTGGGTCGGGCAGTAGGACGAGGTTTGGCCGCCGAGCCAGAACTTTTGACCGGCGGCGTTCATCTGCAAGTAGTGGATGGGCGAAGCGGAGCGGACAGCCATCACGCTAAAGGGCGGGTTGGCGTCGGTGGCGGCTTGGGGAGTAGGAGCCGCGGCGGCCAGTAGAGGGAGGGCGAGGGAAGCGATAAAGGTCTTCATGGTGATGGTGGAGAGACTCGAGAGCGTGAGTATTGAGATGTGATGTGAAGAAAGTCGGATTCTGATGCTGGAAGTAAAAAAAAAATCCCCGAAGAATGCAGGGTCTCTTTATAGCCAGGGGCAGTGCGAACTCAAAGAAGCGATCATCCAAGGATCAAGAGCATCATCATCACCTTCATCATCATCATCATCATCATCATCCGTTCGGTAACCCCGCGAAAAAAAAAAGGCAAAGAGGGTATGGACAAGACAACAAGAACAGATCCACGGGGATCCACTTCTTCCCCTCGGGAACTTGTTGGACGACCAGCGGAGATGCCGAGTGGCAACACGATTGGGCGTGTTTAAGACACGCCGTTAGACTCGTCGGCGAGAGGATTATGATGCAACGTCGACTCTCACTGTACAGTTAGTGCAGTATCGCGCAAGCGAAGCGACGGGGCAAACAAGTGAGACATGGGCGGGGATAGAGAAATGGATGTTTCTCCCATTAGGATGCCAAGCCACGCAAAGTAGCCAAGCAGAACGAATCCTAGCGGGATCCTCAGAATTCTGAGAGTCGGGGAGAGCGTCACGGAGAGCCGCGGTTTCCTGCCGATCTGCACGCCTGTCTCACTGGGCTATTATTATTCCTCCCAACCTCCACCTGCTCGTGGAGGCTAGCGGAGCTCCGCATGTGGTCCTAGGGATCTTCAAAATTGGAGCTTGCTAACATGGTCTGATTCGAGATCATGATTGTGCTCCGGCTATGATGCTATGCTCTGCTCTGCCGTGCTACAGTCTCAGAGGATGATTCTCCATTAACCCGTCCGTACCTGATGCAACTCTCCCTCCATCGGCCCAACTCGGTCTCTTGCTATTATTGTCCTAGTCCGCAAGGATTGTCTCATGGCAAACCCTGACGCACATCACTCTTCTCATTCAACCCCCACGCCGAGCTACTCCCATCGTGCACCGTCGCCCGCCGCATGTCCCGACGAAACCGACCTTCAAAGCTGCCCCCGACCGCACGATGCATCACACTGGTATTATCCCACAGGATCATATCCCCGGGTGACTCCCATCCAATCCGAAGCACGTAGCGTGGCTGCGTCGCATGTCGAAACAATTTATCAACTAACGCCCGCGACGCATCCGGGTCTAACCCTTCGATATGGTGGATGTGCGCTGCTAGATACAGCGTCTCTCGTCCCGATGCCTCGTGTCGTTGCACCAGGCGATGTCGTCCCATCGGATAATCCTCAGGATTGACGTCGGCAAAGGTCCCCGGCGCAGCGGTCTTGCGTGAGTGCCAGAGCGAGTGTGCTGTGATATAGTCTTTGTCTCGGAGCTCCTCTTTCAAAGTAGTCGGTAACTCATCAAAGGCTGTTCGTACATCGGCAAAGTCGGTTTCTCCGCCCATCCCCGCAGGCGGGAGCTCATGCGCCCGCAGCAAGGAATATCCGGCTCGCCGGGGATTAAAGCTCGAGTCAACGTGGAAGAGTCCATTGCCCTGTACTGTAGTGATTAGTGGAAGATCCAGGTCCGCGGGATAGATACTCAAGGGCTTGCTCGCTCACCTTGTTCCACTCACGACGCACGTTATCCAGCGCAAACACCGTCCCGTCTAGTTCGATATTACCCACGTCAAATAACCGGACGTCGGATAGTCGATGTGCTCGTCCCCCGGCCGTGTAGGGGGTCACATCATCCAACTCGCCGAACTGCCCTGCAAAGGCAACGTGACCTGCATCGTCGAGTCCCGTGTTCCGAAACACGCATACGCCAAACTAGTCTCGCTCGTGCAGCATGAGTACATACTCCCATACCGGTCTCTGCGAACTTGCCACTATAGCTTGGAGCGTCGGGACCCACCTGTGTGATTGCAGCTAAAATCTCATCAAAGACGTCTTTCTCCACCGCTCGCGAGAAATCTACACCGCTTATTTCTGCGCCGAATGTCGGATGTAGTTTGTTGATGGTGATGTGGTTGTATGCTGGGGAGGTGGAGAGGCCGGGCATTGTGATGAATTAGGTAAGATAGGTGGGTATGCGTATACTCGGTGATGAATGTCTTACTTTTGCCTGGCGGGTCTCGAGTCTGTGCTCGCTTTTAATATTTCCGAGACATCAGGGAGTCCTCGGCATGAAGAGCGTAGATACGCTGATGCGGTGCGGGGAAGACTCGGACTTCTGTCCAGGTTTTATAACGTCACACTAGCACGTGTGCTTGATAAACACTTTCGACGAGATGGAGCTAGTCGAATGAAACAATTTGAATATTGACCTATTTTCCTACCTTGCTGGCGCTGTTTCTGTACGAGTGTTCTATTATTAGGCAGTCTCTAGTAACGTTGCTGTTCCCACAAGTATCGTTTGTATAGTGAAAGAAGTAAAAAGAATCTATCGAGAAAAACACTGTATTCATAAGTCCAGTCGGTATTACATTCCAGTCATGAATCTCTTTTCCCAATAGATGAGTTCGGTGGATTCCACGATATACCAGTCTCTTAAGGGGAAAGCATAGAAGCATGGTCACAAGACCAACCGTGTTATGGCTTAGGTTGCTGTCTATCGTTTCCTGTACCCGATAGGCTGCTAGCGCCAGAACTTGGCGTATCATTGCCAGTTGTCTTCGACTAAATCTACGGCCCGCACTATATCTAATGAATGGATATCTCAGACTTCAATCGGAGAAATGGGTGTCTCTTTCTAGAAGGAGAGAGCTACTTTTTCAAGTCTCTATTTGTCAGGTACTCAATTCATTGCAGCAATAGCAGGACCTATAATGGAGGTTTAACATGGGTCCCTGTCTGTTTCAACAATTTCACATACTGTGATACCCCCTGGACAGTTACAAGCAAGATTATCATCAAGTTCAAAATTGGGGTATATATTCCATCTCGTCCTGACATACTTCCATCTATATAACTGTAGTCAAGTCACGTAATCGTATTGAAGTTCACTCTTCAAACTTAGTCTAAAGTCAGTAAGCATTACGACGGATAAAAGGGATTGGGATTGGTCTTTTTAGACTAAAGCTCAGGCACTCTATCGGAAGACTTGATCAACTGAGAAACCCTCTTCATGGGAAGATGAAAGCTACATCTTCTGACGGTAATAAGCTCTTTTTGGTAGATAGCCAATTTTCAGGATAATGATAGGAGCACGACGAAGACTACTATGCGCTGGTGATGTATACTGAACCTTGAATCCAATTTTCAACACCGACAAGGAAATAGCTGCTGACCTAGTTCGGTTAACGGCATCCACATTCCGAGTAGGTAGCTAAGAAAACCTCCAGTCTCATACCAGGAAAAGCATACTACCAGTTTACTACGCAATCCTTGAATGACAATATTACTATATACCCGCATCGGACTATATGAGACACCCGACAGTACACATCAATCCTTGTCATTGGTCATCCGACTTATGGGGACACTTTAACCCTGCAGGATTCCGGGATAGTGGTCCCGTTTTTAAGGTTACCCCCGCCACGGCTCCGGGCCCACCTATGCAACCAGGGTGTCCCCACGATGGCAGATGAGAGTATAAGGGGTGTGGTTAAAATCAAATAGCCACGACCATGTATTTCAATATAGACGTAGATTAGAATCTACGTAGACTCAGTAATGGCCCGAGAAACTAACAAATTATTGAAATCACCGAATAAATATATACGAGCGGGCGAGGTTGCCGCCGAGGTATAAACATGGCCCAAAGGGGCCAACACAACCAAAGACAAAAAAAAAGCCAAACACCTCCTGCACCAGTCCGTGTAGCGATATAGAGTTATAAAAGGAAGACTTCCGCGGTAAGGGGAGAAGAAAAAAAAGAAAGAGAAGGCCGCCGTGAACACCGATAAAAGCCAACACCCCTCCCTTTTTTACCCACGCACGTCTGATCCGCCGACCTAGAGCAAGAGAACAAATAAAAAAAAAACACACCCATATCCCATCAATCATCGTTCCCAGTCGAGAGAGAGAGACGTGCGTCACTCCACATCGAATGGGGACTCGGTTCGTACTGGAGGAGAGTGTCTCAAAACAAAATCCGTTCCAGTACATCAACATGTTTTTCCAATTCCAGTCAGGTTAGTAGTCATCTCCGTCGTCATCATCTCCGTCTCCGCCACGACCACGAGGGCCCTTGACACCATCCTTTCGGATAGGGATCTTAATACCCTGTAGCGCAAAGCACTTGCTCAATTGAGTGCTCTCAATAACACCGGGGAATTTCTTGGCGGAGAAGACCTGGAAGGGTTCACTGAAGACCGAGGCCAGAACGGGAGCAGACCCATGGTTGATCACGGGGGCCCCGTTGCTAGTTTCAGTGGATTGGGTGCCCACATTAACGAAGCTCATTTTAAGGCTACCGAGTATTAGCTATCGACAATCCTGCAGAGACGAGTTTTCTGGCTTACCGAAAAGTGCCTTCTGTGCGCACGCTCAAATCCTGCAGTATAAACCACACCCCAATCTTGTTATCCGGGTCCGTTAGACGGAAGGCACTCGCACTGAGACTGCCAATCAAGTTTCGAGTGAACATGCCGCCCGGACCACCGGAGACGGGTGGTGCAGGAGACATCGCCGCGGGCATCTGACCCCCCTGGGGATAGCCATAGGGTGGGTACCCAACTGCCTGACCGTATGGATTTTGGTACATCTGCTGTTGGCCATAGTAATTGTTCATGGGCGGATATCCGACCGGCTGTCCGTAGGCATTTTGGCCATAGGCGGGGTAGGTAGGAGACATGCTTTGGGGTGGAGGCGGGTATGAGGAGGACATGGCGGTGGAAATGGAGGGAGAGGTGGCGGAGTGCTTGACAAGGTTGACCTCGTTGGTACCATCGGCATTCCACAGATCAACGGTGAGCACATAAAAGGAGGTGTCGATCTCACTAGATCACACGCACAAGGTCAGAAGACGAGGACGGGGAATGGAACGGTTGTCCAACGTACTTGATATCAATCTCCTTCTCGGTGTGTTCATCTCGTACGATAAGGCGAATGCATGGTGGTGGAGTGATGGGTCTTCGATCCTAGAGAGAGAGATTCGCGTTAGTCGGCAAGCCAGAGCTAACCTTTTGAAGGAACACCCACCTTATCACCGAAACCACACATGCGAGCTCGGATGGGCTGCTGGACGACCTGTAAAGACCAGATGCGGCCCTCGTGGCTGGTCGAAATGGGAGCGAGATGATCGGAGGACCGCAGCGGGCCTGACCCGGGCGTGGGATACGCGGCAGACGGGCCAGAGATGCGGTCCATTGAGAGTGGTGGTGGTGGCGGCGGCACCGGATGGGCCCTTTCCTGTTCAAGAGCGTACATGGTTCGTGATAGATAGGAACCGAGGACGACGTTTACGATAGAAACGACGGGATCCCTGTTGTGTATGAATTTAAAAAGAAAAAGATCCGCTTCGATCGTGGGCCCTCGAAATGCTCAAAAGCGGGGGGTCTAACGTGACATGCGACCCCGCGGGAATCCAGGACGTCACAGTTGAAGCATTGACTTCGGGCGGAAGCTGAAGCGGTCGCGAGCGGTCTTATCGCGCACACGAACAAGGACGGATCTCGCACGGGTGATTGAGTGCGAGAGATTGATGCCGGACTGCGGACGGGTCTGCTCGGGGGGGTTGTTCAGCCGCACGGGAGTTAGGTTCGTATTTTGGGGAAGATTGGTAAGAATCCGCTCGCGTTGGGCGAGAAGGTGAAAATTCGACCAGGTCAAGATGGTCGGTGCCCCAGGCAGGACCAGCGAAATGAGTGCGGGAGTGGCGACTCGAGAACCGAGAACCGCGCTGTCGGGAGGTCGAGATGGTCGGGGCGTGGAGCGGGGAGAGGTGGGTGGATGGGCGAGTCAGGAGGAGCTTGACTATGATCTCCGAGCGATCACTGTATACACTAGATTCTGATTAGTAAAGAGGCATTCCAACTCGATCGCATTCCATCGTGAGGGAAGTGTGGGTGAGCCACGAGTCGTAGCTGTCAGGGTGCGGGAGATTGGCTGGGCATCCACGGAACGCAGCTCCCGTAGTCTGCGGTCCACGAGTTCTTTCCATGTTGATCGACTTACCGGATCACAAAGTCGGGAGAAGACCGGCGGAGAATACCAGACGACGGGGAAGATGGAAGTGAGGGGGCGAGGAAAGAGAAGGAGAAAGAGAGGGAGAGAGTGAGGGTCAGGAGGTTGAAGGTTAGAGGTTGGGAGAAAAAAAAGGCAGAAAGTGGAAAGAAATCGGAGAGGGGAGACCGAGTGACGTTCTCGAACAGGCCGTGTCCGCTCTCTCCTACGATTCGTTCTCTCTTTCCTCCGTACTTTCTGCCAAATTCATTATTAACTCAATTTAACCTGCTCGTTACTCATTTCAGTCCCAACTGAGAGTGTCAGATCCGCACTGCCGGCGCAGGAACCTCGACCCAGTCCGTCGGGTTTTGGGTTTCTTTTTGGACGAATAGGGTCGCCTCACTCTTTCATCCCGTTCGATGTAACCGCCAACTCTGCTCGCGATAAATCTCCTATCCTCGTCCCCTCCGGTACTGATCTACGGATTCCTCCAAGAGCACGAAGCCGCCCGCGAGCCCTCGACGCTTCTGTTTTGGCCGTTTGCGGAAATCACTGACCCGGTGGGTCCTCCGTGTGCGGCAAACCTGAATGATACCTCTTCACGACGCACGACTCAACACAACCTGGCGATTTATGCTCATTGGGCAGGAATACTTACCTTTCATCCAAGACCGGCCGACCATGGCAAACCTGCCTGGCACCGGTCGTTCATTGTCTCTTAGTCATCCATGATGAGAGCGACCATCATTCTTCGGCAGATTCTCGGGCTGTGCTGCCGTGGTGTGGCCAAGTCATGAAGAGCCCCAGATCTTGACCGCCGGCAATACGGAGCGATCAAGATCAAGATCCTCGATCTGAAGCAAGGGTCGATGGAAATGATAATGCAGACCGCATAAGCTAGCTGCGGCTGGCATGCAGTGGATCCGCTTCTTGGTTCTTCTATCCCCTCTG